GCGAGCGATCAAAGTTTGGGATTGTAACGCGGATCTCTTGACGGGTTGGTTGGCGTGGTTGGAGAGAAACAGCGTCCAAGGTGTCGGTATGCGGGTAACACGATGGGAATGGGTGGACGTCGGGCATCTTGAAAGCGCTTCAAAACCTAGCCACAATATCCCATTGCTCAACGACGCTCAGACCGCAGCGCCCAGCGTTTCTCTATAGCTGGGATTCGCGTTCGATTAGATGCATATCTGTATGTTATCCAATAGAGATAATACACATGCGACAAAGAAACTATGCTCTACACTCAAAGTCTGCGCTACCTAACAAGCCAAGAGTGGCGCCCAAGCACCAGCCGAGCTCAGTACCTTTGACCTAATCGTCTATTAGTCTCGTGCAAGAGTCACCAACATCACACGTACCTGTTTCCCGATCCTCACACCGCGTTCCTCGCCAAACTCGTATCCAAGTCGTAACAGCGCGTACATGAAGGAGAGATCCAAACAGTACTCTGGCCTATCTGCGAGTTCGGCCATGACCGCTTCGGATTCCCCCCATCGCTTTGGGGCGCCAGGTTCATGCGATTGGTGCGGAAACGCGTGCTGAGTCCACGTCGAGGGACCCTCACAAACGGCTCGTGCGAGATTTTTTATCACCGAGATGGGGAATACGACATCCTCGGTCAGGTCAACTGAGGATGTGGAGGAAGGGGGCGCCAATAGCGGTGCAATGCGATCGTAGAAATACGAGAGGAGTAGAACCGGTCCGTCTGAAAAGGAGTCGAGCAGGGATGGTTGGTAGACGCCATTAAAGGAACAGGGCTTTAGATGGCAGACACTGCGCGCACATAATCAGCCATATAGTCTCGTCAGCAGTGAACCATTACTCACGCGTCCTTTGCCAGAACCAACTCGAGAACTCGGTTGCAGGCAGCCCAACCCCCGATATCTCCACCAGTCATGGTCACATTCTTGAGGATGGCTGCGCCATCCCTTCCGATGTCGACTTCCACTCTTCGCTTCATGGTGCGAGCGATACAGGGATTTGCAACCACGTCGACTCCCGCGTCAAAGCCATCTTCATCGTCGTCTGGACCTCCACCCAGACTCGGAGGCTTTTGTCGAGAGGAGGCTGTCGCATACGAGCTCATAAACTCGACAACGCGATGCACTCCAGCTCGTGCTCTCATGAGCCCATAACCAAGATACGAGTGCTGGTAGAGCACATGCGTCGCGCCACCAAAATGAAGGTCGTATTTGTGTTCTCCATCTTCTAGACCCTTTTCGTCGTCAATACCATCCCCATCCCTGTCAAAGAAGGGCTTGAAGACGATCTGAGTGGACGCGCCGCCTAGATCAAGGACTGCGTATGGAGTGGTTCGGGCATTAGAAGAGCTCGCCTGGGCGGATGGAAGCGTGCCCAAGAGATAGTTTGCAGTGATCCATGCATACACTCCCTCGTCTTTACCGTCCATAATGACAACCCCATCCTTGGAGACGACGGGGAAACTGTAGGCGGTGGAAAGGTGATGTTTTACTGCATGAAGAATGGCATTGCTTTCAGTCGTGCCAAGCAACCTCAGACCGGCAGTGGCTTTGACGGCGACCGGAGTGCACTTCCACAGACTCTTGGGTACGACTGCTTCCGCCTTTTTCATCAAAGGGTCTAAGCTCTTTGCCGCCCGCGTAGCGTCGGATGCGTAAGAGGAAAGACCTGGGCGGGTCTGCATAAAGACCTCGTACTCAAAGGTCGGTGATGCATAGCAGTTGTTGAACTTGTAGACGTGAATCCTAGAGCCAGTTGAGCCAGCGTCGATCATCAATGCCCATTGTACGAGCGGTTTCTTGGTTCCATCTGGCGACACGTATGGAGTCGAGCATTGTTCCGTGGAAGCTGGGTTGGGATCCTTTTCAAAGGTGAGGACTGGCCGAGGTTTGTCAAGGGCAGGGGGCCGTGCAGGTGTGTGCGGATGCGGCTGAGGGTGGGTGTCGTCGACGGGTTTGGGAATATTAAAGCCATTCTCCGTTGATAGTGAATCACCTACGAACAGAGGTCAGCAAAATTAGCATCGCATTGGCGTGGCGGTACGACCGTAGCCCGGGTTCGGGCATTGGCAGAATACATAAAGAAGTAAACGTACCATTATCCATGGGAGACGCCATCCAACTGCCAAAGCCTAGCCAGGCTAGTGTGAGGAGTAAAAATCCGCCGAGCGCGAATCGTCTCCACGCCCAAAGTGTCCTCCATCCGTTTTGTACAGGATTTCCGCTCCCTCCGTTCAGTGCTTCATACGCATAGGCATATGAAGAGCCACCGCTTGGGCCAGTGGAGATGCGTGGAAGAATACTGGGTTTATTGGCCCGCATTCCGCTTGTCGGCGACCAATCTTCGTGTTCTAGCGATTGAATGTCAGATTTCAAGTCCCTTGAGATTGTCCTTTGGCGTGTATGCGTCGCCTTTTGTGAGCTGACGGCACTAGACGATCCACTCGCTGCCGACGTGTCTGGTAAAGTCGACGAGGGTGTCGGCTGAGACACCGGATCGTCGTCGTGAACTGCCTGTATTATGATTTCGTGTACTAGGCCGTTTGTAGGGACAGGAGGACGCGGTCGGGAGAAATGAAAGTCGTGGTAAAGGCCAAGTAAGGTGAGGAGACCGCACATACGCAACGCCTTCATTCCCTGAAAACTTTTAAAAGTAGATAGCGTGTTCTAGGCAGCTTGTGGTCATTACAGTCATCAAAGCATAATCCCCGGCTTGAGCTCGAGGGATACTAGTCGTTTATCCTTTCTGAACGACACGCTCTATAGAAGCTTGAATCATGGCGACTATCTTGGTCCTCAATTCTTTTGGGATCCCATTCACTGCCGTGGGCTTTAGATCCTCAAGGAGGCGTTGCAGATTGGTCTTGTCGTCTCGAGAGCGTTCTAGTGAGAATACAATCAGATTTTGTGCTCGTCCAAGGACGCACGCACCTTTGGCCGTGTCGTAGAGGTCGTCGATCCATCCAAGTTCGTTAAGTTGATCAGATAACTCTACGTATATCCTAGTATAGCTTGTGAGTATTCTGCAGTCGTGAATCCGAGCCCACAAAGCGGCACCATCTTGCCACAGCTGTGGTGGATACTCACCTATCCCACTCTCCGTTCTGCTGTAATTTCATTTGGATAGCATTTGTCACGTCTGCATCACTCGACGACATTCTCAAATGGACCGCTTGTAGTGGTTGAAGGTCAACGACGTCTGCACTTGTACCCAGCCCTGTCGGACCTCTGGACTCCAAATCATCCAGTGTCTATGAAATTCATTTATATTTGTTAGAGATTCCCTTTGGACGTAGTTATTCGGTCGAAAAGCGCTTGGTGCTTGCATCTGCAGGCTCGTCGAGTTGAAAGGCTCGATGGCATGACCAGCTAGAACCAGTGTCATATCCTTCGAGTCCATAGATTAGCTTCTATGAACATTTACAACTCACTCATGTGCTTCGGTCGATGGTCTTGGTCGGCTTGAACCCAACACTCGCACTCTGACCTCCTCGGCCGACGGCACAAACGTCCGAAAGAAGGACTGGGTGCCACCGTTATATTTCGGCATGTTATGGCTGGAACTCGAGCAGTGAGCCCAGAATACGCACTACACATCCATGGCCGAGAGACAAGACAACTGGTCTGCGACAGAATATAACAATACGGCATCGTTTGTCTACAGCGACAAGTTTACGAGACCCGTCCTCGATCTCCTTCAACCGGCCAAAAGCCAGCGTATCCTCGACTTGGGATGCGGAAGCGGTGAGCTCACCAAGGCCTTGATGGACGTCGTCGGTCCAGAAGGATACGTCCTGGGACTCGATTCGAGTCGGAATATGGTTCATACTTTCTATCTTCGTTTGGAGCCCAGGGCTAAGAACACCTAGATTGACAAAGCTATTTCGAATGGTGTCGTCGATGTGCGTGTCATGGACGTTCAGAAGATTGCCTGGGAGTACGGTAGCTCTACGGGCCTCGTTGAACACAGCTTTGATGCCGTATTCACCAACGCCGCGTTACACTGGTGTAAAGAATCGCCTACCGACGTTGTGAAGAATGCCTGGAGTGCTCTCAAGCCACAAGGCCGCTTTGTGGGCGAGATGGGCGGATTTACTAATCTCTGCGGTACGGCCGAGCTTCCCTATCTGTCGTACCTGCTAATCCATCTTTGTGTCTATCAGGCCTCCGCTTAAGTTTGCACCGCGTTCTCCGACGGCGTGGACACGACCCGCGGGTGCGAGACCCCTGGTACTTTCCATCCGACACGGCCTATAAGGGTATGCTAGAGAGCGTAGGATTCAACGTCGAGACGATTGGTCTTTACCCTAGGCTCACACCTGTCCCCAACGGCCTCAAAGCCTGGCTCGACCTCTTTGTGAGACGCAGCATGCTCTCGGATCTGAGCGACGCCGAAGCCGACGAGATACTCGACGAAGTGGTAAAGGAATGCGAGGTCGACATGCGAGATGAAGAAGGAAATTGGCACATCATGTACGTCCGCCTCAGATGGAAAGCAACAAAGCCGGCGGCGTGAATTGGCTGTATATCCTCAAAATTCAATGAATCGATCCGAGTCCACAAGAGTGATATTTCAGAGCTATTAGGTATCAGGGAGTGACAGGAAAAAAGGACAAAAAGGTAAAGAGTGCACGACAGACACGAAGGGGATTACGACAAACTACCAAAACACTATGGCACAACAACCATAATAGGTGAGAAAATAGTGATAAAAAGGTCCAAAGGTGGCACCACAATGCCTCTACACATCACCTCTCCTCTGTCGTCGGCGTGGGCGAGCGGTCGTCGAGCTGTCGCTGATGCTGAGCCCATTCTCTCGCGACATCCGTATCCGGTCCAAATGTCGAGCGATTCTCTCGAAAGGCGCGATGACTCGAAGACCGTCGCGAGTCGTCGCCGTTGCCGCGCTCTCCATCCGAATCAGACGCATTCTCCACATCGTCTGCGGTTGGAGAACCGGGTTCGGCCGAGAGTGGCGAAACGGGCGTCGGAGATGTAAGCCGTGGTGGGAAATAATCCATGCTGAGCACGTTGGAAGGCGTGAGCGTAAAGTCGGCCGTCTCTACAGGTGGAACGGGAAAATCGGACAGGTTGGACATTCGCGACTGCCCAGACGTGCTCGTCATAAAGCTCGTGCGTGCGAATCCCTCGGGAGCGACTGCCCTTTCTGACGAAGTGGCTCGGCGATGCGTTTGAGAAGGAACGTGGAGCTTGTGGTGAACAGTCGGCAACGTGCCAGAAGAATGAATGGCCCCTTGATCCTCCCTAAAGCCAGGTCGAATGGGCGACGAAGCCGACACGCTCTCTCGATCCTCTGCCGTCGACTCGGAGGCAGTCGCATGGTCGTCAATTGAGCCCTCGATGACGGACAGTTTCGTAGAGTGCCGACGAATCGGTACAATCGACCTCGGGAGCATGGGCAGACGAGGATTGACGATGCTATACGGTTCATCTACAGCCTATCAGCATCTCGTCAAAATGCGAAATCTATGCTTACCATCCTCTTCTGGATCCCACGTCTTTCTTACTTCAAGCTCCGTCATCGGATTACGCTGCCAACGAGCACCGCTGGGCTCACCCGCGGAAGATTGGGTAGGAGCCCACAGGATTCCAGACGACATGCGCGGAGGTTGTGGCGTTGAAAGGATCTGCTCCGCCAAACTAGGTGTATCGCTCGACTTGGATCCAAAAGTGATGACATCGACCCGTCGTGTTCGGTCTCCAGAATTGTTCGTCTTGAAGCTGCTACTCGACCGTGGCCGACTCGTTGAATTGCCCTGACCAGCATTGTAAAACAGGTCACTGTACCCCTCCAAATCGTCCAGATTGAGCAAGGCACGCGGGCTGGCCTTTGGACTCGACTCTTGCGACTGGGCGGCACCACCTTCAGAGGAAATGGTCGACTTTCTCCAGGACCCATCCTGACCAGAGCCAGTGAGCGCGTCACTGTCCCGAGACACTGGACGCTCCTCTACAAGGGGGCTGCGTACAATGGACGACGCCTGGCGCGGTAGCGCGACTTGCAATAATTCTGGATTGTCGGTAGGATTTGCGGTCTTTTCAGTCCCAGCAGTCACCTTTTCCGTTGCCAATCTGTTGCTCAAGGCCCGCAAGACGGACGGTCGAGGCGTCGCCGTCACGGATCGCGAACTGAGCAGTCGGGTCAACGTCGCGCCCGCTTGAAACGTAAGATCCGCATACTCATTCTCCGATTCGGAAACACTTGCTGTACTGTGTCGTTGAAACGCCTTGGTGAGCTCTGCTTCCAGATCCGGAGACACGACCCGAGTTCGGAGGGGCGACGCCTCGTCGAGACGCATGTCTGGACTATTCCGCTGCGTCTCAATGTCTTCGGGAACCTCTTGTCGTTCATAGTCATCCACCGGAGACATGGTTTTGCTTGTTGATCTCTCTTCGACGGGAGAGAGGCGATCCTGGCCAGGTTCCATCGCGTTCATATACACGAGCCAGGATTCTCGCGAAAGCGTCTCTTGGTGAGCTGTCGGAGGAGCAGGGAGGTAGTGATCGAGACCAGCAATCGAGGGCGCCAACTGAGGAGAACGGGGAGGGGATACAACAGCATGAGGAGGCAGTCTATGTCTAGTCGCGACGTCGTTGAGAGAGTGAGGTGGCAATGCCGTAAGGACTGGTGAAGCAGGATGGGGACCCACGTATGGGCGCGTGGGTGAGCTAATGGGCGTAGCATACGGGTGTTCAATCCTGGATGGCGTCGTGGTGAGCAGTGAAGGGATGGGCGGTGTCCCAATCGCGACACCGACAGCAGATGAAGTCGGCTCTTCCTCCTCTACTGCAAGATCCTCGTCACGTCGGGGGACGGTGATATCCAAAATGGACGACGCGAGCGAAGGAACCGTCGAAATTGCAGGCCTCGGAACGTCGGGCGCAAATACCTTTTCGACACCAGGACTGACTGCCTCTGGATCGATACACGCATTCTTGGCCCGCTTGAGCGCCGAACGGCCCCAAGATTCGCTCCGGCGTACCCCGTGGGCATTATCCCCTTTATTGATCGTCGTGTCGCCAGAGGGTTGTCGTCCATGGTGGTGCAACGAAGACGTCGAAACGACGGCCACATGTCCCTGCGCAAACGCACGTTGCGCGAGATAGTCGATACTGCTTTGGACATTCAAACTCCTCTCCTTGGACCGAGCATGTCCCTCCTCCTTGGTAGGATGTCCTCCCGCAGACGAAGTGGCTGTAGGTGGAGCCGATCCAGGTGCAGTGTGCGCGACCGACGACGACGTGGGCTGCATCGCCGCCATTCTTCTCGCCCGCTCACGCTCTTGCTCCTCGGCAGCAGCACTGACACTCGCAGACGTAATAGCATCATTTGCCGCTTTGGCAATCGACTTTGTCCGCGTCCGACTCAGACTCCTACTCCGCGAATTCTGAAAACTCTTGCGCGCGACCGACGCCCACTCTTGCCTCTCCTTTTGCAGCGCTTCTCCACGTAATATCGCCTTTTCCGCCTCTGACATTCCTCGCATGTTCTTCAAAGAAGGTCGCTTCTCCGAAGTTCGAAGATCAGGGGCGCTCGCCTTTTTGGCAACGCCCCGCGCTAGGATGCGGGGCTTCGGCGTGTCGAAGAGCGCCGTCGTCGTCGCGCGTCGTTGATCTTGCCATGAGCTTCCCCGAGCTGGTTCAACAGGCCCAGAAACAGAGCCGCGCGCTTGTGGTGACGGTTCGACGGGAGTACGACTGGGTGTTGGACCAGGCGGTGTATCCGGTGGACTAATCTGATGTGCATGAAACCGAGGTCGAGGAAAGATGAATGTGTCGCAAATCGTTTGGCCCTGCAGGACGACTGTAGGCGGCGCCCAATTCGATGTGCCTGCAATGGGGTGCGGAGGGACAGGTGCTCGGTTCCGTGAAGTAGCATTCAAAGGTTGGTTCCCTGCGGGTACAGCTTGCTGCGCACGCGCAACGGCCCGAAGATTGGGCGTAGAGATGCTGCCCTTGAGCGTCTTGAGCTTGTCGGATGCCAATGCCCGGAGGCGGTTCTTTGGTGTCGCAGGCCGACTGGTAGGCTGAGACGATGTATGCTGTTGTTGTTGTTGCTGCAAAGTGGGGCCCAGCTCCGATGCAAACGGATTGATAAATGGAAAGGGTTGATGGGTAGAGGGCTCGACTGGGCTTGGTTCTACAGAAATGGGGTGTGATGAAGGAAAGACGAGCCTAGGCGCCAGGGGTCCTCGCATAGAATCCGACCTCGAGGGTCGAGGTGCGGTATCTGGAGCGGAAATGGCGTATGGATGAGGAAAATCAAACGAAGGATTGACTGGGGATGCGAGATTCACGCCCTGCGAATCTCCAAAAGTAGATGCTGGCTGATAATGCTGATGATATGGGTGTGGCTGGCGTGGAAACGGAGTCAACGCCACTGGTGGGTTGGTGCGATAAGAGGTCTGATGAGGTGGTCTTTCTTCGAATGGAGATGTATCGAAAAAGGACGTGGGTGCCATGACCCGAACAGAGCGTCGGCCATCTTCATCTGGCCGCTCTCGGCGTCGCTGTTCTTCCTCTTCTCTCCTCTTTCTCTCCACACTTTGCTCCGTTTCATCCACATAACTCTGGCTCCGCTGACGGAGAAATGCAGGGAGGACGGGCTGAATAAACGAAGGAGAGTTTCCATCGCTATCCTCTTCGCGTTCTCTCCTGCTTTCCCCACGCAACTTGGATGCACCGTGGGGAAACGACGTAGATTGTGCGCTTAGGGGCATGGTCGCAGACGTGACCGACTTTCTCGACTGGCCAAAAGTCATAAAGCTTGCGAGACTGGATCGATGCGGCGCCTTGTCACTCTTCCATGTATCTCTCCCCTCTCGAGTGGAGACAGACGCGACGGGGCTCTGTCCGATAAAGCCACCATCGAGGGCGATGAAGGATGTGCCCAGAACGGGTCGGCGCGAAGAAGTCGGCGCTGGCGTAGGATACGAGGCAGTGGGCAGAGGTTTTGTAGACGGATAGTGCGCGAGGTGTTCGCTCGAGGGCGATAGGGCCGCAAAGGACGAGGAATTGCTAATCGGACGCGGTTTACGCTGTCTTCCTCGATCCAGCGGTTCTTCTGCAAACGTCGCGGTCGTCGCGGTGATCTGCGAGAGATGATAGGCTGGATTATAAGGATGAGAGGCGATGGAATGGTTTGTCTTTGTGCTGCCGGAGAGAGTATGTGCGTGTCCACGCGCATGGGCCTGAGAGTGGACGTGCTGTGTGGATACAGAAGGTGGCATTTCGTATGTACCAGTGTATGGAATATAATAATCATCTGTCCCGTCTTGCTTTGGCGAAGGGTTGGAGGGGAGACCAATGAGCGAAGCCAGACGGGAAGTAAAGGGAATGTGGGTCATCGGTTGAACAGGCTCTGCCTGGGCATAGTATTGCTAATTGGATGCGAAATTACATGTCAGCAACCGGGTGCCCCATAGAAAAGATGACGGAGAAAGGCGCACCTGAGTGAGTACGTCTCCCAGATTGTCTACAGGTCACAGGCGACGTATGCAGCCTGTGTAAAAAGTGATTAGAAAAAGAGTTAAAGAGCTGCGGGCGAGTTGCGGCAGAGAGCAAGATACAAAAAGAGCGAGATGTAATAATTCCGACTAGGGAATAGCGCCACGGAGCAATGAGCGCGGCATCGTCATTGGGCCGTTTGACGAAATTACACTTTGATTACGCGCCGTCAAAGTGGGCATTGCCCACAGAGAGAATCTCCGCCATTAGGGTTTTGGCGTTGCCGGTCGATCAGCCACGGACTACAAGCGAGGCGCTTCGTTTTCCGAATGGCCGTGCAAGGTCTCTAGACGTCCTTGAGACGCTCTCTGGACCCGGTAAAAAGTCCAGGCGAGTTGGAAAGCGGGTAATAAGCGGCACAAGGACACGAATAAGCCCGAGGAAACACTCACAACGTCTCTGTTTCAACGCGATAGCTCGATTTGAGCCAGAAAAGAGGGCCAGCAATCTCCAACGGACACGGCTCGGACGTGGTCGAGGCCAACAAGCTAGAGGCCGTCTAATCAAACAGGTCCAAGGAATGGATTCGGCAGTAACAAACATCACCCCCCCCCGAGAGTGTTTGAGCGCCGACGTGACAGATCCAAAGTCAATCTTCTGCTTCTCCGATGCCGCCTAGTTGTTCCTGTCGCGCCTGCCAAACGCGGAACATTCACATCAACACTTAGACCGCCCGCCATGTCTTCATTTCTTCAGAGGACCATCACACGCTCTATTCTATCGCCCCTTCTCTCTTCTTCCTTTCTTTCTAGATCCCTTCCAGTCTCCACTTTGTTTAACCCCACCCGGGCCCTGTCATACGCGCCTCTTCTCCTCGTCGCCGTTATCACATGTCAAGCGAGAGAAAAAGTACAAATTAAAGACCAATCATGCGGCTGCTGCTCGCTGGAAAGCGCTCGCAAACCACTTTAAACGGGTCAGTCGTTTTCAGCACCCCCAAATTATGTTGCACCAACCGCAGTCGTCCAGAGACGCCAGGGGAAATCTCACATCAATGTCAAAAAGTCTCCTGCAAGACTCAACAGTCTTGGACAAGACGTCCTTGCTGCACCTTATCATCGACGACATCTCAAACGGCTCCTCCCATATGCATGATAGGATACATTTTTTACGACCACATTCTATTCAATCGAAATGTTGATAATCTTAATGTCCTCCATTGGCTTGTCGGATCGAGTCGTTTTCACGTTTTCAATATTGTGAATCACCTCGAGCCCCGCAACCGCCCTTCCGAAAATGGTGTGCTTCTTGTCCAGCCAAGGTGTAGCCGTCGTCGTGATAAACCATTGAGAACCGTTGCAATTCGGCCGTCCAGGGTTCGCCATCGACACTGTATAAGGCCTAGATGTCCGATAATGAGCAGTCGTCGAGGACGTTACGGGGGAGGGGGTTCCCTACCTATCATGCTTCAATTCGTCTGAAAACTCGTCTTCAAAATCATGACCCCATATCGACTCGCCACCCGTCCCGTCCCCAAGAGGATCTCCGGTTTGGATCATCTGACCTCTAATCAGAATACACCACTGGTGTCCGCTCCGTCACACTCACAAACTTGGCAATGACACGATGGAACAAGACGCCCTCAAAGTAGCCGCTCCGCGCATGTCCCACAAAGTTTTCCACCGCCTTGGGCGCCTGCTCAGGAAAGAGCTTGATGAAGATATCGCCCATCGTCGTATGTACCACGGCGTTACGAGCGAGTCGCGATGGTCCTCTCCCAGAGCCAGCACCCGTCGTCTGCGCAATCGTTTGTTCTTCGCGCGTAGGCCGCTCATTGAAAATATCCCGTTCTCCTCTAAAGTATACTCGGTAAGCCACAAACGTATCTTGTGATAAGATCAAGAGACGCACTCTGGCTCGCTGCGTGTAAACATGTAGAACCGATTCTTCTTGTACGCCGTGCAGAATAGTGTCGGATCACGCACACCCCGTTCAGCGAGAAGAGGATTGGCCGACGCGGCCATTGCAGCTGTCGTGAGTCCCTTTTTGGCGGGTGCGCCTTGGTAGAGGCTGAGATTTAGCCATCGAGTAGACTCTTCCTTTCCGAGGATGCGGACGACCTTGTTCGACACAATATTTACCACTGCACATGTTAAGCTCAGACTCATATGTAGACAAGATTGTATACCTTTGATGCCGAGAAGGGTCGGGTAGAGGATAAAGTTGCTGCTTTCGTCCCATACCGCATTCATACTCCGACTCGCCACCTCATCTTCCTCAATCTCGCGCTCGACGGCCAGCCTCCGTCCAAATTCCATGTCTTCCACCTTGTAGACGGCTGTTCCAGCTTGTTGCATATCTTGAATAGCCTGCAGACTCTCGTCGTATACACGCGTCTTTTTCCCGCTTAGCAGATCAAAAACGCGAATCTGTCGATCCGAGGCAGTCAACGTCACAAAGTGAGATTGGTTCGGGGAGATGGTGATGGATGTCGGTGCGGTGCGGGTCTTCTTGAATTCGTATAGATCCGTATTCGACTTGTATGACCACATTCCTGGAACCGCGGGCAGTTCAAACGGCTCACTCGGTTGCCAGTATTCGAGGAACCCGGATTCATCTGCAGAGATGACTGTATCGTAGACATCTGCGTACTGAAATGGTAAGATTTCGTCGAGTAGGCAGAATTGACCTACTGCTAGGACGTGAACGGTAGTTTTGTGGAGCTTTTCCACGACATGAAGAGGCTCTTTTGTCCCTCGACCATCAAAGATTCGAATCTTTCCTGTCCCCTTTTCGGTGCTGTGAAAGGGTGAGCCAAAAGTGCCTGGAACAGGGGGGGCAGCATACACTGCAAGCAGCGTGCGTGCCTGTCCACGCTTGTGTACCCAACAGCATGCAGCAGGAGTAAAGTCGAGTTCGAGCATGTTGATCAAGTCTGAAGGAGTTAATCGGCGAGGCGTTTGTACCAAGAGAACCGCTCACCAAAGTTGACCACGTCAAAGACCTTGCAACTACCATCTGCTGCTACGCTTGCAAAACTCGCACCGTCTGCACTCGCCGTCACGCCGACAATGGGCGCCAGATGGGCATGGTAGTGCTTGACAAACTCGATCCCGACTTCTTGTTTCTTCCAGAACTTGACGTGACCATCTGTCGATGCTGTTATGATAAACTCTGTCCTGCTTGACGCGTTAGGAGACTGCAAGCCAAGGGATCTCGCGTACCGAGTGGCGACGACGAAATTGACAGTTTCCCTGTGCATAAAGCTCTTGTAGTACTGATCTGCGGATGGTAAATGATCCAAGTAAATCTTCTCATGTGGCAGCACTGGGCAAATGGTTGTCAGTCGTCGTCGCCAGACTCCTGGCATGTTACCTTTGCGCTTTTTACGCACTATCTGCGTCTCCTGAACAGGCATGGGACCAATTTCGTCGCCGCTGCTGGCCTCGTCATCTTGCTCATCTCGCTCGCGCTTCATCGCCGTGGCCGTGGTCAGGTGCTGCCTTTGTTTTTTTCGACATGGCATCACAACTTGACCATCAACTATGTCGCTCCCCGTCCCCGTCCCACCTTCCTGGAAGGTCAGTACCCATTTTTTATGCCATAGTGCCTGTATATGAACTCATGGCTGACGTTTGTTCGTCTCCGTCTCGCCTCCAACGCTGCCGAATGGGCCTACGTGTTGTGCCGCAAACTAGGATCTCGGAAAGAGTTCCAACGATCTCTTGGGCAAGGACTATCCTTTCCATGCGATTGGACTCGAAATCAAGACCAAGACGCCCTCCAACGTCACTTTCCGCGTCGCCGGCACACGCGATGCAAAGTCGGGCGCCATTGCAGGCGACCTCGAGGCAAAATACACCGACAACAAGTATGGAACCGTCCTCACCAACACATGGACGACTTCCAACGTCCTCCGCACCCAGCTCGAGGTTGAGAACCAGCTCGCAAAGGGTCTCAAACTCGAGGCCCACTCGAGCTTGAATCCTGAAAAGGGCATCAATAGCGGTCTCTTCAACTTGACTTTCAAGCAACCCGGTTATCACGCCCGTGCCGCCCTTGACCTCTTCCACGTTCGTCGAACAAAATTTCTTATTTGGACTTATTTGGACTGACTGTCGATCAAACGTAGGGGTCGAATATCACGAGCGACATTGTCCTTGCTCGCAACGGTGTCCTCGTCGGTGCAGAGACAAACTACAATGTCAACGACGGATCGATCACCCGCTATGCGACCGCCCTCGGTTACACAGCGCCAGACTATGCTGTCACCGTCCACGGTCTCAGCAACATGCGTCTCTTCTCGGCTTCGTACTATCACCGTGTCAACGCTGACGTCGAGGCGGGCGCAAAGGCCGTCTACAACTCGGCCTCGTCCTCCAACGCCATGAACCTCGAAGTTGGCACCAAGGTGTACGTCTGACCCTATACAATATTTTCCCCATAATTGACACTTTTCGTCATAGCTATCTTGACAAGGCTGCATTTGTCAAGGCTAAGATTGCCAGCACTGGTGCTCTTGCTCTCTCCTACACCCAGACCCTCCGGTCCGTACCTTTTCTGTAGTTCGTTCGTCACAGTCGCTCATTCTCCTCATAGCCCTGGTGTCAAGGCCGCGTTTGGTGTTGCCATCGACACCCACAAGCTCCAGGATCCCACCATTGGCGGAAGCCCCCACCGCGTCGGTGCCCAGTTCACATTTGAGAACTAGATGATTGTCACAGTTCAAAACGTGCTATGGGATCTGATGCTGCGCCGCTATCATAACCTTTTTTTGCCGAAATGGTGATGTCGTGCATGTAGATCGTTAGGTCAAAATCTATGTTCATGTTCATGAATTCCTCCTATTCTAGCGCTTGAGCGTTCGTTGCTTTTCGGCAAATTGCACGAGCTTCTTCTCCACAAACATGCCCTTTCGCTCCCGAACGGCCTCCATGTACCCACGCGCCACGTTGGCTCGGTCCGCTTTCTCTCCCAAATCTTCCAGTTCCTCTTCAGTGGTGGGCACCCAGAATGGATCGAGATCCAATCTCTCATAGCTAACGAAACTCAGAATGTGTCCCCATTTGGAAGATACTACATACCCGCTGAAGATTAGTTGCGGATTGGCTGCACCTGATGTCTTTTTCCTTATTTCTGCAACGCCGTCAGTCAAGACGTAGAGAGCGCGAGGTGCTCACCATCGGAAAAGCCAAAGCTCTCCACGACAGGGATGACGGAAGATACAGTAATATACGTCGTCCCTTCTTTCATTTCTTCGGCGACGATTCGACCCTTGCGTCTGCCGACGACGCTATACACTTTGCCCAAGACCTCGGCTACAAGGGATGTGAGCGGGATATACAAGCAATCAGATTCAACGCACTCGCGGCCTGAATATCACAGCTGTACATGGCCAGTAATAACCTTGGAGACCAGTCCAAGAGCCCTTTCCGACATGCGTCTCTCATTCCAGATATCAACGAGCCCTTGGCTTGTGCTCGCTTAGAATGTGCTATTACAGAGTTAGCCGCATCTGGCGAAAAAGCCGTGAGCTCACCGTCTTGATCCTGTTTCTCCGGCTCGGTCGATTGTAGCGACTCGACTATGTACGCCATGCCCTGTACTGGTTCCGCGCACATGGGCCCTTGTAGAGTGGCTATCTGGAAACCAGCCTCGAGACTGGGCTCATATTCGAGGGATGATCGTGAGATATGTGGAGGTGGGTCGTTTCGACTACATGTCATTCTGTCATGCCTGTAAACCCTGAGTATAAATTTGTTTGCACTTTATGCTACTCACCATCGTTCACCTTCGGGACGACAGTCCAGAAGGAGATTTGGTCCAGTTCGGTTTGGTCCAAAGGCCCAAACGTGACTCGCGCGCTTTGCCCACTCTCCACCAGCCTTTTTAGCGATATCGGTAAAGGTGGTCCAGAAATCCTCAGGTTTCACAGTCGGTTTATGAAACAGTTCGCCATGGGCAATCGCAAGTTCCTCCTCGGTATCCTCATCCCTTGAATCCTGCTGTTGAACTCCATTGACACGATCGTGCATCTCGCGCTCGAGTCGGGCTATTATAGAGTGATTTTGTTGAAGGTACTCTGTCAACGCATCTGGCATTGGCACAGCACGGACGGTAAACGTTGCAAGTGAGTGAGAGGCTGATCCATGTACTGTGCCTCTCGGTGCATTGGCAGTTTTCGGTGGAGCCATGTCGGGAGCTTTGACGGCTGTTTCACGAAACGGTACGATGGGATTCGAGGCCTGAATCTCCACCTTGGCAAATCTCTCTCGTAAATCTTTGAGACATCTCTGCAACGAATTTAGTCTCGCTTGATAGGAACTGAATCAACACACCTCCAAGTGAAGCTCTCCTGCACAGAGGATGACCCACTCCCCAGTCTGTTGCTGAAAGACTTCGACGCATGGGTCCGATTGACTCAATATTTTTAGTCCCTCCACCATCTTTGACATATCCGCAGACTCGACGGGCTCTACGGCTACTCTGACGATAGGAGAAATCTGTCGCAATTAGTGATTGAAATAGAACCAGCGCCATAGCTCACCTGCAGCCCAAGACCACCCAAATTGATGATACACTCCGCCTCTGGCTTCGATTCTAGGTCTTGAATTGCCATATTCTCATCAAATCCAATGGATGATGGTGAGCAAATAGTTGCACTCCTCCCAACAAACCCGCCGAGTCCAGCGACTGCAAAGACATTCCCAGCCACAACTTCGGATATCGGAACCAGATCTCGTCCCATCATGGTGTACAGCGCCTTGATTTTGATGAACGAAATGAACCTGCTATTTCGTGGCGACGAAACGCCTCGAGCATGTTGGTATTTTGGCAGAATGACAGCGACGGTACTTCCGGTTCGTAGTCGTCCAGAATAGAGCCGCGAGAAGCCGAGAAGGACCTCGTCATTCTCATCCGCTTCGATTGTAGGCGTCGCGTCCTCGTCTTCCTTCGATTCTGCATTTCGACTCCCCGGAGCTCTCTTGGATTCTGGCATATCCTTCCTTTGCACAGCGAACATTTTGCTCACGTATGCAATGACATACGAGTCTTCCTGAGAGTCACAGGCCCAAAGACCTCGTTCAAGTTTGTTCTTGGGCTCTTTCGTCTCCTCGGAAAGATCTGGGTAGACAATTTTCGGCAGACGCGTCTCTTGCGCGATTGTGGGTGGAGGTACGATGTCTATGACGGCTTGAATGGTGCAACTGGCTAGAGGCAGCCATTGGGAGAAGATGAGATTCAGCAGATGGCGCGGGTTCTTCGAGTTGATATCACGAGGAAGTATCCTAAGGTTCAAAGCTCCAATAATCTTTGTAACCTTTTCGGGGTTTCTACATTAAACTTTAGCCAAGAATAAGACAAATCCGAGTAGACAAACGGGTTTGTTATGACGTTTTCATAAACATTCCAGATATTCTCCAGCACGAGCTGAACAAACAAAGGTTTGAGGTTTCGTCCCTTGAGGTGTCGTTGCGAGATTACTCGTTTCGTCTTCGGGTCGAGATAATAGTCACCCCACAAGACCTTCTTCAGCGTCTCCTCGTTGAATCCGAGCTTGTTGGAATATAGTCTTGCAAACTTGCCTATTCGGAACGCCCAACCATCGATCGCAGAGGCAAAGATAACGTTGCCACGATCAGGAGCGAAATAGATGTCCTCGTCGTCCTTTTCTTTAAACTCGTCAAAGACGGCTTGGTCCACGTCTGTTGGCTGGTCAAGATTGGCTATAGCCTGACGACGTGATTCGAGCCGTCGCTCTCTCTCTTCTCTCCATCGCAAGTCATCCTCAAGTCGCTCGCTCGCAAAGAAGCTCCCCATGACCGCATTCACCTGCTCGATAAGCTGACATAGATGGTGGTAGGCCTCTGTTGGGCTCATCTGCAGCTCGGTGATGAGACGATCAAACTTGTTGAGAATGAGAATCGGTTTGAGGCGATCCGCTCGTGCTTGACGAAGCACGGACACTGTCTGACAAATATCAGAATGTCTGATGTGCAACCAAGAAAGTCTTACCTGGGTACACACCCCCTCTACGACGTCTACAAGCACCAGAGTGCCATCACAGAGGCGGGATGCCGCCGAAACCTCGCTCGAGAAATCGATGTGGCCGGGTGTGTCGATGAGGTTGATGGTGTATACAGTGCTGGATTCTCCGACTGGGGTAGCTGTTCCAGAAGATCCTGCAGAGGCTCCGCTGGTAAACCTGAGCGAGACGGCGCTCGCCTCCATTGTGATCCCGCGCTCCTGTTCATCTTCTCGACTGTCAAGATATCGAATCTTGCCTTGAAAAGATCTTTATCATCAGTGAAAAAGAAAAGATGATCCAGATGCGCTTACCGGCTTGTCTTGTTGAGATGATATTATTTGCAGCGAGTAGCGAGTCGAGATATGTCGTCTTTCCATGATCCACATGTCCACTTGCCGTGATATTCCGCGAGAATGTTGCGTTACCGGACATTGAGGGGTGGCGACGAGGGATGCAGAATTGTCCCGGCCAAACATCCGCCACTGCCAGCTCACTTGACCCCTCCCACGTCGCAATGTCATTCCTCAGGTCTGAAACCTGGCTTTATTCTTTCAATCGTTACTTATTACGCGTTTCAGGCTCTTAATCTGTGTGGTTGGAGTCTACTCCATGTTTCTGGTGAGCAAACTTTTGTGTCAACGAGGCTGCTTCTGATGCACCATTAGTTGTGGGCCATTGCCCAAGAACGATGTCCGTATCTCAAAGATTGATATGCAACCTTTCTGACTGTGGACAGTGGCCGTTCCATTCCCTTCGACCGACGGGTCTCCCAACGCTCGCTTCAAATCTGCCCTCTTCCTCGGAACTTGTCAGAGTGCCGCCAGTACCATATCTTCTCTCGTCTATCTCTTGCTACGACGCAAGCCAGGACAGTCCTTTGCATCCCTCGTTGGCCTCGAAGGACCTGCCAGCAAAGCCAGTAACGGAGTCGCCAACGGGAACGGAGTCTCAAAGGACTCACACAAGCACAGTGGTGGATGGTTGAGCGCACGAACAAAGGCGCTGTTGACCGTCTACTTTCAATGTTCGCTTCTCATTACCGCGGCCGCTCCATTTGGCTTTGCGGCACTCGCCCACATCTCGTACCCGACCATGGTCCTCGGAAAGTCATGCAAACTCGTCCCAGTCATGATTATGAACGTGTTGCTGTACCGCCGCAAATTTGCGCTGCACAAGTATCTCGTCGTCTTTATGGTCACCGTCGGAATTACCATGTTCATGGGCTTTTCGCACGAGGGACACTCCTCTAAGCACCAAAAGGGCGGTGACTCTGAGCTCAATAAGAATGGTCTCCTTGGCCTGACCTATTTGCTCATCAACCTTGCACTCGATGGAGCTATCAACTCTACGCAAGACGAAATCTTTGCCAAGTACAAGGTCAACGGACAGCAAATGATGTTCTTCATCAACCTTACATCCACACTCGTCACCACGGTTCTTTCCACCCTCCCACTTCCCAATATCCCCGTCATTCACCCATCCGACACTCCGCAGTCTGAGCTCAAGACCGCTCTCGACTTTATCAAACTACACCCGAGCGTGAAGGTTCCATTGGCGCAGTACAGCTTGACGGGCTCGCTCGGTCAACTGTTCATCTTTGAGACTCTGCAGCATTTTGGATCGCTGACTCTCGTGTAAGTCGCATTCCTGTTCTCGAATCACTTTTGAACAATTCTTGCAGGACTATCACCCTCACTCGCAAACTTTTTACTATGATCCTATCTGTGATCGTTTACAAGCACAAGCTCACTTTGGGTCAATGGGCTGGTGCCGCCGTAGTATTTGCCGGTATCGGTGTAGAGGCATGGGTGAAGCGAAGAGGTATGTCCTAAAGCGAAAGTCGTTACTCAGACGCTGATAAATGTTAGATATTCACGCCAAGCGCGTGCTGCAAGAGAAAGAAAAGGCAAAGATCAAGATTCTTTAGTCGCTGTCTCCTATTTATTCCTTCAACCATATTTGATTCTGGCCAAGGAAAATCGATAAATTGATAAACAAGCGAGCAGGGTGTATCGTATTATACAGGGAAGACGCAACAATGACCAGGGGATCAAGTAGCCATATAGTCCGCGTACATCATCATAGGCGGCCCCTCTTCATACTGTACTCGTTTCCTTTCAGACCTAGCGAGCATGAGTGAGGGGACTGGGGATTAAAGGGGAAAGCTCACTCTTCGTCGTCCTCTTCTTCCTCTCTCTTTCGTCGATTCGCGCGTTGCGGTATAGCCGGAGCGTTTGCTACTGCAAGAGAGGCTTTGTAAATGGCTTCGTATTCCTAATCATTGTCAGCTGAGCATGGCGGATCAACGATTACACCGGACCTTGATCTGCAGCAGAAAACCGCCGTTGGGAGAGATGCAATATCTCCTGTTCTGGACCATATGTAGCGCGTCGTCACACGATAGTTGAAAGTGTTCCATTACGAACATGACCACGAATGCGGGTGATAGGCTTATGCCGCCTGGACGTCGAATGAAGAATCGCGTATAAGCTCACAGTTGGCGCGTTGTAGGGGGATTGACCTACCATTGCAATGTACGAGAACTCGGCCTCCTTGGTTGATCGCCTTGTAGATGAAATCTCGCGCGCTGATAGCAAACAATGAGCATCAGCAAGCAGATCAACGATAAGCAACATACCCGGGGAATAAGCTGATCAGGTTCTGGTCCTCGGTGTCTTTAACATCCAGCGTAAGATAGTGGAACTGGCCCGGGAAACGCGGTTTGACGGAGAATGCTTCTGCTGCATCGCGTATACAGACACTGAGAAGCGTGTACGAGTCAGCGCTTTGGGGCTCATGGCCGGTTAAGAAAACGTACATGTGCGTGACCGCGAGCGCCTTGAGGCGTTCGAGGTTTCTAGAGACAAGAAATGGACCAAGAAGTAGACCAGGAATGATTTCCTGACAATCACGACGCATCTCGTATCTGCGGAGGTGTTGTATGAGCGAGCGCGCGCTGTTTGCAATGAGGAATGTACGCACTTCCATTCAACATCTGATGGTCCTTGAATAATCTCCTTTAAACGATCTCCCGTCGGCGGTTGGCCCGTGTTGCTCATCGCATAGTCCATCGCGTGTGCTGTGGCAACAGTCAACGTCGAGTCCAAGCTTGGATTCTGCCACCACGCACGGCCAGGCAATCAATTGCACAGAAATCAGCACAAATGAACACTCAGCTGCTCGCTGAATTTCCAGAACTCGGCCATCTCTCGTGCGTGGCGTTTAGACGACTGACGATGCACGCTCATGAGATTAGGAGACAGGACCTCGAAGATCTACTAACAGATCAAGAATACTTTCAGGCCGTCTTCATGGGACTTCCACGCGTCCAGGCCATGCTCCAGTCTGTCGTCGAACTCGGACGAGCAAACGAGGCGATAGCCAGTGCGTTTCATCCCATTTACTAGTACAGACGCACTGAATACTTGGTTAGACAAGAATCTCTCCCTGCGCGATAGTCTCTTTCGCCTTCGGTCAGAGACGCAACAGGCGTTTGACGAAGCCAAGGCACTAGAGGCTCGGAGTAAACAGCTGGAGCGTGAGCAAAAGGAATTGCATCAGGTTAGCCTACCTAGCAATCAGCCCGTCATTCAGTCCTAATATAGCTCCCTCCGTCTAGCGATATACCGCCTCTTTTCTACTCATGAGGCTGCGACATGCGACGACTGCACTAGAGGAGCAATCGGAGAGCACAGCGACGAGCTTTGTCCAGGGAACTCCGAGTGACGGAAATGGATCGCCGATGGACGTAGAAGACTTTATCCGGACATTTAAGGAACAAAGAGTACAGTACCATAAGCGTGCTATTTGGGGGGAACAGTGGGCCGCGGGCAAGGTCACCTGGCCGGAGCACTGAAGGAGTGAGTAAAAGGGGTCTAGAGGATTAGCCAAGGTTGGCTGGGCTGTATTACTTCTAAATCCAGGCTCTTCTTACACGCCGCTTACCGGAATTAATGCCGTCTTGTCGGCACGTCGCCAGAGTAAGACAAGCTCGGCTCAGCGTCCGCTTGCTGGTCACACACCTTAAAGCTGACCTCAACTCTGCTTGGATCCCTGTGGATGCCAAGTTGTGCACCCTCGTTTACAAAATCCCTTTCAATCTTTCTAATGAAGTCTTTCGCTCTCGCTTTTCTTTCCTCACTCTCGTTTGTGGCCGCCCTTGACTCGGGGACGATGCAAAGTCACCTCTCGAAGGGTGCGGAGCTACTCGGTACATACAAGGCATCGTCTGCAAACACTACAAACTGGATGTCGACCATCGATGATGCGACCCTCATCCAAAATATGAATATCCCGGGCACACACGATTCGTTGACCTGTGGGTCTCGGTAATTCTCCATAAAATCTGCAATACTTAGGAATTTTATCTAGGGAATGTTCCGGCGTTGACATCGCCTTTTACGCAGACGCAGGTGGGCGCCGACTTGGCTCCGGAAGAGACTCCATAGTGACCAAAGCCCCGCAGGAGCTGTCTCTGTTTGATCAACTAAATTATGGTGCTCGTTTTGTGGATCTAAGGATAGGTTTGCTCGACAACAAGATTCGGATGTATCACTGTAAGTCCCTGCCCGTGAGCCGGGACAATTTCTGACCCGCTCATTTCGCGCGCAGCTTCGTACCTCTTGGATGAAACAGCCGAGCTAGAGGACATTTTTTGGGGGATGTATTACTGGCTAGACCAAAATCCGACAGAGACGGTCCTCGTTTCGGTCAAGGTCGACAACGGCAACAATACCGCCGCCCTCCAGCAGCAAGTATATACGCTTATGAACTCGCCAGATGTCGCAGATTATTGGGTTCACAACTTTACTGTATGTTCAAGTGCACCGCCCTGCCGTGTTCTTGGCCCTGACCTTTGCTCAGCTGCCAACACTTGGAGAGTCTCGGCACAAGCTTATCCCAATCCTTCGTCTTGGTCTCTCGTCGGCAAACATTCCGGATTATCAACCCTTTGGAATCAATGTCGGAAAGGGCTGGCTCGACAACAAGGCTAGCTTCTTCCTGACCTATGTCGTCGACACGGATGGAAACCCTCGCCAAAAGCTCTATGTCGAAGATCTTTACAACCCAGACGGTAGCGATCAAAAGGACGGAGTGAACAAGAAGATGAACGCAATAACCGATCATCTAACGCGCGCTGCCAATGCTGGTCCTAGCCAGACGGACTCTTGGTACATTGCCTTTGCCAGCGGCTACAATGGTATCACAACGACACCCAAGGTATGTTCATTTCGGCGTTGTTAACCTTGTACTTAGGGCCTTTTAGCAATTCGCACTCGGCAGCACATTACCCCAAAAGGTCGCTGGCGTCAATCAACGGATGCTCAGTTACCTGGTGCAGACTCGAGGCAACTACTATGGTGTCATCGTGTACGACTTTATTGGCATGGACCAGCGATTAATCAGCGCCACTCTCGGATGGGAAACTTCTGGGTATGTTGCTTACCTGCCCAAAATCATTCCTAACGCTGCCTACAGAGCGTTTATGAACTGGGCAGTCTCATATCGACTATGCATGGGCGCCGTTTTCGCGGTGATGGCTTTACTACATACCCTCTAGACGAGCACAATTTAACAGGGATCCTGTATAGTACCTAGCTACGAACGGGACTTTTCCTCTATTCCTTGTTCGCGCTGACCGTTTGAACCTGCTTCGACATCTGTGGGTTTGTTCTTTTGGGGCCGCGGTGGTTGGACGGCTTCCCACCATTGCACAATACTCCCAACCAAGAAAGCCCAACCTCCCCAAAAGGTCGAGCACGCGCTCTGGTACGTGGCCCAGTTGCTGCTCCCGTCAGCAGGGATGAACCGCGAGTATCCAAAGATGCCACACAGGGTGAAGCCAACTGCTCCAACGAGATTCCAGACTGATGAGAGATTGAGGAATGTACAAATGGATGATGGGTACATACGTACGGCCGACGTGCCAACCGAGTGAGAGTGGAGCCGGTCGCCACCATCTTTTCTGGTTTTCTAACATGAATAAGAGGCTACAAATGGTTAGCTGAGAAGAACGAATAGCAAGCACGTACGATGCGATTACGAATCCGGAGCCACCGATGACTTGAGGCGTCCAATACACTCCATCCTCCAGTCGAGGTCGCCGTTGGATAGATTCGAAGACTTGGGGAATCCCTGTCCAACTGTGTGATCTAAGTATGCTTTTCAGTAGAACCCGTCGACGCACCCAGATATCCAAAAGATGGTCGCAGCCCATATTTGTACAAAATTGGCCCAGAAACCAATCTCGAGCCAGAGTTTAGGATCAGAAGGAATGAGCCTAAACCTTTTCGTCTTCTTGCGCGGCTCCAAATGAGGACTCGGTTCTTGCAGGGGTCGTTCGTCTTCATGTGAAGACGTGGTTCCAAATGCAATGTCTTCTTCTCTGAAGTTCATCAGATTCGTTCTAAGATTGGAAAAGCGGCGCATACCGGTTCATGGCTTCGAGTAACGCCGTCACAGCGCCGAATTCGAAAATGGTGGCCCCTAGCCACGCCGTCCACCCTCCCCCAACTTCGTTTTGTCCATACTTTTCCGAATTGATTTGCGGGAGGAAGACAATAAAGCCATTAATCACCCAAACGATACTTCCAAACGTGAACAGCTGCCGTAGACTTAGTAACGGTATGAAAGGGCGTGTAGTTGCGTACGTACGACTGCAACCCACCAACTGAGCTCTCTCCATTCTAGCTTTCCAAACCTCGCGAGGGCCTTGAGGGCCGTTTCGGGTTCATCCGTCCCGTCAAAGCGAAGATTTCGATATCTTCTCTTTCTATGCGCGCGGGATGTCCAGCCGAGGTCATTTATTGATGGATGAGCGTGCACGAGCGTAGCGTGCGTCGGCAGGAAGATGCCTAGTGCCCCCGACGTCGAATGAGCACGGACATTATGGCCTAGATTGAGATGAAAAGGGTCTTTGGGGGACATAGAGAAAGCGCTAGGTGAAGCGACGAAGGTTCAACGTTGGCTTTCAATAGACGTCATGCATGATTAAGAATAGCCACACAAATGAAAAAGGGAACCTCGAATAGCAGAACATAGACTAGGCAAAATACATGAGGTCATTCTTCTTCTTGCTTTGTACTAGACCAACCGCATTAGTAAAAAGGAGGGGTGCGTGTAGAGGAAGAGCGTACCCTCGGCGATACCACTATGGAAATGCTCATGGTTGAGCTCTGATGCACCTTCACGCAACGCAATCATGCCGGCTTCCACACAGACCGCCTTGAGCTGGGCACCGTTAAACTCGTCTGTGCTCCGTGCAAGCTCCTCAAAGTTGACACCAGCCGCGACGCGCATCTTGCGGCTATGGATACGCAAAATCTGCGCACGTCCCTCCTCGGTCGGTAATGGGAATTCAATCTTTCGATCCAGACGCCCTGAGCGAAGCAGAGCCGGGTCCAAAATGTCGATACGATTGGTTGCTGCAATGACCTAGGGAGCGTTAGCGATTGGAGTGGTAATATGGCTGGCAACGGACCTTGATTCGCTCGTCGCTGCTGAATCCGTCGAGCTGATTGAGCAACTCGAGCATTGTCCGTTGAACCTCTCGGTCTCCACTCTTGTCAGAATCAAAGCGCTTTGTACCCACGGCGTCCAACTCATCGATAAAGATGATGGCGGGTGCCTTTTCCTTTGCAAGATTGAATGCGTCTCGCACGAGTTTGGCACCGTCGCCGATAAACATTTGGACGAGAGAGGGACCAGCGAGTTTGAGGTAGCACGCGCTGGTCTGAGCAGCACAAGCTCGTGCAAGGAGCGTCTTGCCGGTTCCTGGAGGACCGTACATGAGGACACCCTTTGGAGGTCGGATGCCCAGCGTCTTGAAGCGATCTCCTTGGGTCATTGGCCAGACAATGGCCTCCATGAGCTCTTCGATTTGCTTTTCTAGCCCACCAATATCCGTATAGGTCTCGGTGGGGCGTTCATCCACCTCCATTGCCTTGACACGAGAGTCGTATTCTGCTGGAAGGGTGTCGAGAATGAGATATGAATCCTTGTTCACACCGATGAGGTCGCCCGGTTTGAGCTGTTCATGAGGAACAAGTCCAATGATTGGAAGGAAGATGGTCTACAAGAATGAGAACGTGACCCGACAAACCTTTTCGACTTACCTGGCGAGTAGACGTCTTGATGACGGCGCATTTCCCCTTGCGGGACGAATCACTATCCTTTGTAGCGCCATCTTCTGCTTCTGGATCCATATCAAGAATCTGTACCGTTGTTTAAAACGAGCTGTAGTTGACAATGCCACTGTTCGTACCTCGACGACGTTGCTGACCAGATACGGGAGGACCTTGTTCTGTTTAATCTTGTCACCATTCTCCCGAATCTTTTCTCGCATGACATCTTGTTCGTGCTGCAATCTCATCGTCTCGGAGCGCATGACCTTGATCGGTAGTCAGCAAAGGAACACGCAGATGTCGTCCAAACTGTACCCTAATATCATTCTCTATCAATCTTCTTCTCGAGACAATCTCTTCTGCCGAGGCGGTCAACAGTTCTTCGGGGAGGTCGCTCCAAGTTTCTGCTGGTGGATCTGGCGTCACGTCCATCTTTTCCGCATCTGTTGGCTGCGCCGTGGAAGAAGTAGAGGTGGAAGGAACATTCTTCTCGTTGTCGCCTGTCGGTGGCTGCTGTGGGGGCTGGGACGAGGCCATGATGGTCAGAGGGAACGCGCGTGCTGTGTTTGGCGCAAACACTGTTCCGCTTTTGGGCCATGACTACAACGCGAGTTGTTGAATATTTCATACATGTGTACAGTTGAGAATGGTGGCTCTTCTCAAAAGAGTCTAACGCTTCATCTGGTCAACGAGTAACAGAGAATACGCTGTGGGTTATATGGACAGTAGTCCAATACACAAGACTATCATCAAGTGAAACACTATACCGATCCACGGAGCCCTTACTCGGCGCAATGGTTACGAGTGGATCAACAGGCAAGAGCGGACCGTGATGTTTTGGCGGCAATCTATGGTTGGAAAATGAACTGGGAAATAGCGTGAGAAACCACGGGGTCCGAGGGCGCCCGGTTGAAAGAGGGGGGATACCCCGGATCTGAACCCACCGCCCTCTCAATCTCGCCGGGAGTTGGACAGATCCGTTTTAGGTGCGCTTAGTTTTGGGACTAGTCTTACCTCCGACTCGGAAAGGGCTGCAGGATTAGATGGAGCCTGTCGACAGCTAGTAGATGCGGTTTCACGATTATGGGCAAGCGTTGTCTTTTTCCAGTTTTCTATCCACTGGACTATTCTTGCGACGTTGCTCTCCATCTCTTGCACCGTGTCGCTATTGAGCTCGATGACAATCTCGTCTGCATAGGATTCCCTGGCCTCGTCGAGGACCGTCTGGAGAATCTCTGCCTCGTTGTTTTCCTGAATCTTTTTGAGCGGATAGTTTCTGCCGAGGAGATGTCAGAAGAATGCAGAGTTGCATGCGAGACGTACCGCTTCTCGAGACGTTCCCACAGCAGAGTATGATCGCATCGAAGCACAATGACAAGGTCGACCCATCGTTCTGGAAAGATTCCGCAAGTGTGCCAGTCGAGCACGACGCCACCATCAGCAACGAGTGGTTCGAGTTCATCAAGGACCTAGCATGTATTAGATAATTAGATACTAGTAATAAAAAAAAAGGCATACCTTGTCATCGTCGACAATGTACGACTGCCACTCGTCGTCAAATCCTTCGTGGAGACCGTGTAACCGCACGAGGTCACCCACGTTGATGTGTTTCAATGGAATTGGAGATGATTCGACGAGTAAAGCTGCCGTTGTAGACTTTCCCGTTCCAGGCGTGCCCGTGATCACAATCACTGGTGCTGTCCGCTGAGCTGGCTGATCGTCGTCGGTCGAGTCCATTCCAAAAGTCAAAGTCTACTAATTCTAGATCTGCTGCCGTCTAGCCACGTGTGGCTACTCGTCACTCGGTTGCTGGCGGCGACCAAAGTCCTCGATCACCCATCAAATGGGTCCCCCTACTACTACTTCTTGGACCCGACCGCGCTCTCCCCAGCGTCGCTGTCGCCGCTGGGTTTCCTCATTATTTGCGGAAATACCGTCTCCAATCGTTTTATACCGCTCTTTCTTTATTTCTTTCCCGTGGACACGGCGACCGCACACCGTTGGTAGCGGCTTCTACAGCCCTCACACACACTTTATAATATTATTACGGGCTCATCTCTGTACTCCCCGCCACGTAGCTCGAGCCAGCAGCGCGTCCAATGGCGTCCCAACCGACGCTGCTGCCGTCGCCAGTGGCCAGGGCACTCGGCGCGGCCACGATAGCAAGTGATGAGGATTCTCCTGCTATAATATTTCCACTCGAACGCAACATCAGAATCTCCCAGTTCCCTTCCCCTCTCCCTAGTCCCCTCATCTCGTACCGACCGGCCTATACGACCCTCGAGGACGGCTCGCTCCTCACTTCCGTCTACAAAGCAGACCTCTATTCGGCCAACTCACGTCTCTTTGGCATTGGCGCCCTTCTCACCCTCGGGGCAATCAACGTTTGGACCTGTGTCTCGTTTATTCGCAGGGGTAAAGTCAAAGACAAGACGCTCTTTTATCTCCTGTTGGCCAGCCAGCTCCTCCTTCCCGTTTGCTTTTTCGCCCTCCTCTCCCCCTTTTTTCTCAGCAATGTCAATTGCACCATGTACGTTTACCCCTATGTCCCCCCGACCCTTGAATGGCACGCTAATGTCTCACAGCGTCAACACAGTCGCCGTCATTGCGACCGAAGCATCTTATGCGATATTGGTGCGTTTTAAATTCAGGGGTAGCCGTTTCAGTGTACTAAACCTCCCCCTCCTCCCCCATAGATATCGGGAATCCTGGGTCTCAAGGCCTATCGGTGCCTCAGCAAATCCAAATTCATCCTCGTCGTCGTTTGGGTCCTCCAGAGCGCCGTCTTTGTTCTGTTCGCTTTCGATATTCGGGGCATAGATTCGCCGCGCCGGATCAGTGGTGAGTACTACTGTGCCACGAATCCACCTATCACACCCAATACAAACTTTCGTCCGATCCGCACTCATAGCCACACTCTTATCCGACGTGTCTTCTGACGTTCCGCCATTCTTCCTCAGGAAGCTGCAGTACAGATGGAAAGCTCAAGTTCATGCCGATTGCCCTCATACTCACCGTCGTCGAGACTCTTTTCCTTGGTCTATGTTGTACGTTTCTCTCTCTCTTGCATGCGATACAGAACTGACCCTGGTTCCTTGCCAGTTCTCTACGCCGTGTGGAAATCATCGCTCTATCCTGCCGCACAAGGCCGTCTCTCCATTGCCATTTCCGAGAAACCACCGACCATACGAGACGAGGACGTCCACGATCCAGTCGGCAACCCCAACACATTTGCAGCCACACGTCAACGTGGCTGGTGGGACTATGTGCCCCGAGCCCCTCCCTCGGACACGGGTTCGGTGCGCGCAGCACCCGTGCGTACTTCGGACGATTCGCTCGTCAAGCGGCTACGAAATTCGGTCATGAGGCTTACGACGAGCATGGACCTTGCGTCGGGGCCTGGCTTTCCACAACAGCAAGCGGCATATAACCGCAAGCCATCGATACCGACTGAATACCCGATATCACAACCGCCACGCCCGCAGCATACTTCTCGACCGTCCCATGTGTTGAGCGAAAAGTCGCGAATGAGCACGGTGGAGGATGAGCGGCGTGGTACACTGGATCCATCGAGGAGGGGAGCTAGAAACTCGGAGATTGCGCCAAGTGCGAGAACCACGAGTGTGAAGAGCATTCTTTTTGCTCCATCTGTCGCTGGTATGACGGATAGGAGCTCAAAGATTGATCCACTCCAGCCACTGCCGAGAAAGGAAGGTCAAGAGGAGGCTCCAAAGGAGAATGAATGGGACTCGAAGAAGCTTCCGACCGTCTTTCAGCTTCGAGCAGTCATCAAGGATGAGGTGAGTGGCGAATTTGTTGATTTCATCGTCTCATATTTGGGTTTAGATGATCTACACGTTTATCATCATGCTTTCTTGCATGCTGTCTGCTGGACTCGCCATCTTTCGAGCAAAGCAAAACGACGTCGTGTTTGGACCGTCTGTCTGGCTCGGTGCCAACTGTGAGTAATCTGTTTAGCCTAATGATGGGGTTTTCTGATTATGATTTTGCTTTTCGAACCAATGTTTTGATTGTGATGATCTCGGCCCGTCGCTATGCACAACCGACCATTTCAAACGTTTTGTAGGGGCCGCCATCTCGCTCCTCGTCATGCGCTCCTTTTCCCGAGTTGTTCGGAGACACGAACGTGATGCGATCCTGCAGTCCCCGACGGCCTATGGGTCCCCTAGTGAGTTTGTGACGGCGCTTGCCCGACGACGACGGGATGCCCTGGCTCTCGCGGCTCGGACCGAATCTTCAATCTTTGCACCCCTGCCTGGCGACCCTGCCGAATCGAAGCGGCGAAAGCTTGCTCGTCGTTCTTCGTGGGACCATGCCACGAGCGACACCCGGGTGCGCCATGGATACACCCAGAGTCTCTTTGAAGACAATGCGAGCCTTCGAAGACGCGAGGGACTGCGTGCATGGGATGAGGAAAAGGAGAGGCGGAAGCTTAGGGAGCTCGAGTCGGAGAATCCGTTTGCGGATTTTGAGGACATTGCTGGCTTTGGATACGAACAACGCAAGAGCGGCGAGGGACCTTTGGGTGTCGAAGAGCTGATGCTCGACAACGACTCGATTTACCGACGTGGATTGCCGCTGCAGAAGCCGATGACGGCTAGCCCCTGGACGGAAAGCCCGTTCACATATGTAGGCACCGGAAGCAATCCGCCTGCCAGCTATGATGGCGAGAGGAGGCGGTCAATCGGTCCGATGTCATCTCCTTTTGATCCAGGGTATAGCCTCGGCAGAAGACTGAGCGACGTTTCGCTCCCACCACCCGCAGCTATTGCGGAACCCAACGAACGCGAACGACAGCGGTACCTTCAGCCCTCTCTCAACCCTAGTCCGACATCTCCAACAGCCAAAGCCAGTGGTGGAATAACGACCACTGTTGGATTTAGCAGGATCGGAAACGGGCTGGCGGGCACTCTCCCCGGAGGAGGTGTCCGTAGAGGTGCGATTACGACCGAGTCTGTTCCTGTTGTCGCGGTGCCCACGCGTGCTGGTGCGCTTACGCCAGAGGGGACGCCGTCGCCTCCTCAATCGCATCATGGCTCGTCGATTGAAATGTTGGAGCAACCACGGACAACATGATGATCTTTTTCCTGTCTTGTCACCAATTTCTCTCTCTCCCTCTCGTGCATATTTTTTTTTTGGAATCCAACGTACATACTCACACTCTCTTTGCGATACTACTGTCCCAACACATACTGTTCACTCTTTACAGGTGACAAGATTCGGGTTTGTTCTGGCTTTACAACCCTCTGTGCAATAATCTCCTGTCTTATGTTATTCACTGTTGGAATAAATAGCCTCAAAGCCCCCGCTTGAATCTCGTTCCGCAGCCATGCTTAGCGAGCTTGTCGCCTGCCTCGATAGACCTAACGATGAGAATATTCATCGTAATCTCGACGGTGCTTTTATTGCTTTTGAGAACATTTGCGGGGCCCCAGGCTGCGCTTTCGCAAGCAGAGTATACCACCCGCGACGCGACGGATAATCTGGTCTTTACGAGTATTGCATCGCTACTTCAGCAATGGCCGAATACACGTTGGAGGAATGGGCATACGATTATCCAGGGCTCGATACCCGTTGGAACGATCCTGTACGTTGCGCTTGCCATGTGTGAAATATAGACTGAAGAGGCGAAGATACCACGCAAGAGGAAATAAGAATCTACCCTTGACGCCAGAATGGACGGCGACAAACGTCGAGCATTCGTATATCTTGTGCCCGCCGCCTGAATGCTGTTCGTCCCCGTCGATGCGTAAACGGACTAGATGAAACGTTGATAGGGATGTTGACGCTCGCGGTCCAGGAGCGGCTCAAGGTTATCTACTTTGACGGCTCGAGCGCGTCGAATTCTGTCATGGGACACCAGGACGCACAGGATTTGATTATTTATGGCAAGGTTCGCCCAGATAAGGTTTGGGCAGAGGTTGAGAGGATCCGACTTCTCTGTGAGTGGGGCGCGCCTATGGGTGTCGATGCGATTATTCGGTGAGTGCGGTCTGTATTTAGGTTTGATGATGCTGAGTTTAGTGCAGTATGGAACCTGGGTTGTACGTTGACTCCTTAGTCGTTGGACTTGGTTCTGATTTGTCTCAGCGAAGTGATGCTCTGTGACTTTACCAAGAAGGTCAAGCTTGTGTCTGCTTTGCATATCATGGCCCCCGAAAACACGGGACATATCACCAGTCCAGTCTCCCAACCGTCATCGGATTTATTGGTCGAACGGCGGGACATGCACAAGATGAATGGGAGCGAGCCAGACCTACCGCCTGGTGCTCCCCACCATAGATATCCTCAGCCCATCCCGCCTCACTGGCATGGCCCACTACGAGATAAACGTTCCGTCGCCGTCGAAGCTGTCCTTGCAGCCGGATGGAATAATTTCTACCCAGGTGAAGCGCGCGTACACCTCGACTATACGCGCTTCATCTCCTTTTACGATCCAACGTTTACGAGTCTTGTTCAGTCTAGAGAAGGACAGGCGAGGGACCGGCATCGCTTGACGGATATTTCGAAAGAGGACTATGAAAAGGCCATGTCGCAGCTCCGGGATGATTTGACGAGAGAGGATATGGAGCCCTCGTCTGGAGTCGATTGGAGCGCGATACTACGCACAGTAGTGGATAGATATGGGGAGAGGCTGCGTCTCTTACAGGTCTCCCTCCAAGCAGACGTTCAGTCGGAACGAAATGCGACAGAACTCGCATTGAGGATTCGACAGCGGATCATGGTGATGTTGATGCCGTATACAATCTTTGGTGTCCTTCCGGAAACGGACAACTACGAGGAAGCGTCTCGGAATATATCGTGGACAATTCCGATCCGCAGACACTGCGAGAGCGCCTTGCTTGCTGGTATCGAAGATTCTTCGTTGACAAGATCGGAAAGGCTCTTGAAGCGTGCGACGCATGGTGTCTTGGACAGGATCTGCTCGACCTTGACGACAATTTGGGTCGACGCACTCTTCGTCACGGTTATAACAGAACGACAGGCGCGGAAGTTCCTGACGTATTGGTTGGAGCATGTAGAAGAGCTGGTCAAGTGGCTAGCTTGGCCCATTTGGGATACTTGCCACCCTGCCTGCTCCGAGCACGTACGTTCTCCCTATGCCCTATTTCTTCTCTTATACCCATGTTAGACGTTCTGCTACATACCTACTTGGCCTTGGGGGGTTCCTTGGGGTGCATCCGACCCCGACGCAATTAATATGAGTCCCAGATGTGTCAATAGGTTCAACGGAAACTTGAGTAATTAGAACTTATATCAACATTATAACTATCACTTCCTCGAAATTGCATCCAAAGTGTTGTGAAGAAGCACATGGACCTTGCTTTATCGTCCTTTGTGTACCCTCGACGCTAATTTATCGACAAAGATGATTATAACACTATATGTCACTCTGTCACTGCTTTCTGTGGTCCGTGGCATGACGAGACACTCGCAAATACCCCTCAACCACCCAAATATCTCGACCAATGAAGCAACAGACAATCTCATCTTTACGAGCGTAGCTTCTCTACTTCAACAATGGCCAAATACGCTGTTTCGGAATGGTCACACAGTGATCAAAGGTCATATACCGTCGGGTACTATTCTGTATGGAGTCTGCAAGTTTCTACAATTTCCACTGACTAATTTAACAGATATCATGGCAGAGAAGACAGTTCTATCCCCTCTCGTCTGGAATGGCTCGCATTCAACTTCGAGCACTCTTACCTGATGTGCCATGGCGGAGAGAGCTGTACGTATATGAAACTTGAGAACTTTGACTAACTTGGACCAGGGATGTTGACGTTTGTAACCAAGAATGACTTGAACATTTTATATTTCGATGGTTCTAGCGCCTCGAACTCGATTCTCGGGCATCTCGACTCCCAAGATGTATTAATGTATGGACGAGTTCGACCAGAAAAAGTCTGGGAAGAGCCGGAGAGAATTATGTGGTTTTGTGAGTGGGGTAAAACATTTGGGATTGATGCCATAGTCCGGTATGTCCCTTATTGTCTCCGGCGATGACTAACATACTACAGGATGGAGCCAGGATTGTGAGTCTGTGCTGACATTGGTAACCTAGACTGAGCATGTTAGCGAGGTAATGCTCTGCGACTTCGCCCACCTTGATCTTGTGACGGCAGACCACATTCTTGGTTCTACACACACTCCAAACAACCTTACGGATAGAGGACCTTTGGTTTTGGTGAAGCGCCAACGCATACGGCATGCGCTCCGGGAAGGGTATGGCCACAGTCGGGATATACATTTGGCGACAGTGGCAGCTTCACCGCACAATCTACCCAGCTTACCGCCAATCTATCCACCAGACCAGCCTGTTCCACCGGGATGGCACGGCCCGTTACGCTCAGTCCAATCAACGGAGATGGAAGCCCTCCAAGCCGCATTCTGGAACAATTTCTACCCAGGAGAGTCGCAAGTCAAACTTGACTACACGAGGATGATTTCCTTCTATGATCCATCCTTAAAAAGCCTCGTCGAGTCGCGTCGAGGTCAACCCTCACGAAACCATCATCGACTGACGGAAATATCGAACGGGGATCAGCAGCTTGCAAAAAGCCTTCTGGAGGAAGACTTGAGAAGATTGGAACCTGCGTCTTCTCCCATGGATTGGAGTGCGTTCTTGCGTGCGGTTACCGACCGATATGCCGAGCGACTTTATCAACTCCGACTTTTACTCTCACTTTCCAATGGCGATATCTCGTTGCCACTGAGAACAAAACGTGCGAGAGAACAAGTTCTGGTCATGTTGACCCCATACATTCGCGTCGGCGATGTGCCGCCACCATCGCAGGGAGGGGAGCGAAATGCATCGTGGGTCGTGCCAATTCGAGACCGGTGCGCCTCCACACTACTAAAGGGAATACACGAGACAGACCTTGTGCGCTCTGAAAGGATGCTCAAGCACGCGATAGCAGGCGTACTCTGGAGAATATGCTCGACATTAACAGAAATCTGGTTCGATGCAATGCTGGCTCTCGAGCTTCCAGGAACCAAGCAACAAGACTTGTTGGATTCATGGTACGGCAATGTGTATCGGTTGATGGAGTGGTTGGATTGGCCAATATGGCATGTCTGTAGACCAGCATGTCCAGATGAGGTGTGTAAAACAGGCTCGAATATTCATTGCTCTTCTGAATAATTGGCAGTTGTTCTGCTATGTCCCCACGTGGCCTTGGGGCATCGAATGGTTTGAGACGAATGTCGACGCAATTGACATGACTCCACGATGTATAGACAGGCAAACTGGATCACTCTCTGGACATTAGACACCTTATATACCCTCGATTGATAGAGAAATGAGGACGGTGAACATAGAAGGACCGAATGGTATGGCCTACTACACCTCAGGGAGGTATGGTAACTTGTAGAATATCGCTGAATGACATGTCTTCATAAAATCTCAGATTTATTGCACTTAAATATACTTACATCCCTGGTACGTGGTGCTAGCCTTCAGTTCCCCAGATGTGTCCATAGATCCACTGGAAACTTGGGTAGTTAGAACTTATGACCCCCTTGTCACTGTCGCCTAGCTCCTTTAGCATTCGTTTCACACAGAGCGTGGTGACCAGGGAGCGAGCACATGGATTCTTCCTCATCGTCCTTCATGCACTATAGCCAGTAATTCATCAACGAAGATGAGAATAACATCCTATCTGACTCTGTCACTGCTTTCTGCGGTCCGTGGCATGACGGGACACTCGCAAATACCCCTCAACCACCTAAATATCTCGACTAATGAAGCAACAGACAATCTCATCTTTACAAGCGTAGCTTCTCTACTTCAACAATGGCCAAATACGCTATTTCGGAATGGCCACACGGTGATCAAAGGTCACATACCGTTAGGAACTATTCTGTACGGAATCTGCAACTTTATACGCCTTATAGTGACTATTTTAACAGGTATCATGGTAGAGAAGACAGTGACATTCCATCTCATCCAGAATGGCTCGCTTTTAACTTTGAGCACTCTTATCTTCTTTGCCACGGCGGAGAAAGCTGTACGTCCACAAGACCAGGTAGCTTGAGCTGAATTGAACCAGGGATGTTGACCTTTGCGACCAAGAAGGATTTGAGCATTCTCTACTTCGATGGCTCTAGTGCTGCGAACTCGATTCTTGGGCACCTCGACTCCCAAGATGTGTTGATGTACGGACGCGTTCGACCGGACAAACTGTTAGCAGAGCCAGAGAGAATTCTGTGGTTCTGTGAATGGGGAAAGCCGTTTGGGATTGATGCAATAGTCCGGTATGTCAGTGCAGATTGTTGTCTTGTCGCTGACGTGATGCAGAATGGAGCCAGGATTGTGAGGCATAATTTGAACTGGAAAATCCTAACTGACCATTGCCAGCGAGGTCATGCTCTGTGACTTTGCAAACGTCGACCTTGTGGCTGCAGACCACATTATTGCTTCAACCAACTCTACAGATAATCTCAGGGATGGGGAGTCCACAATCATTGCAAAGCGCCAGCGCATACGACATACCCTCCGAGAAGGCAATGGCGACTATTCGGCAACGATGGAACCTCCATCACGAGAGCCGCCCGGCTTACCACCCATCTATCCACCAGACCAACCAGTCCCGCCAGGGTGGCATGGTCCACTGCGCTCGGCCCAATCAACGGAGATGGAGGTCATTCAAGCTGCATTCTGGAACAGTTTTTACCCAGGAGAAGCGCGAGTCAAGCTCGACTATACGAGAATGATCTCCTTCTATGATCCTCTTCTCGAAAGCCTCGTCGAATCGCGTCGAGGTCAACTCTCACGGAACCATCATCGACTGACGGGAATCTCGAACGGCGACCAGCAGCTTGCGAAAAGCCTTTTGGAGGAAGACTTGAGGAGACTGGAGCCTGTATCTTCTCCTATGGACTGGAGCATGGTCTTGCGGACTGTCACCGACCGATACGCCGAGCGACTTTATCAACTCCGACTCTTACTCTCGCCTTTCCATGGTGAAATCTCGGTACCGTTGAGAACATCTCGTGCGAGAGAACAAGTTCTGGTCATGTTGACCCCGTACGTTCATGTCGACAACGTCCCGCCCCCCATGCAAGGAGAGCGAAATACATCGTGGGTTATGCCAATTCGAGACCGTTGTGCCTCCACTCTACTTAGAGGAATGAGCGACATACGCCTTGTGCGCTCTGAAAAGATGCTCAAGCATGCGACAGAAGGCGTTCTCTGGCGAGTATGCTCGACGTTAACAGAGATCTGGGTGGATGCAATATCGGCTCTCGAACTTCCAGAAACTGAACAACAAGGCCTGTTGGGATCATGGTACTACAAGACTCATGGGTTGATGGAGTGGTTGGATTGGCCAATGTGGCATACTTGTAGACCAGCATGTCCAGATGAGGTGCGTGAAACCGGATCGAATATTCTTTGCTCTTCTGAATCCTCGTTAGTCATTCTGCTATATCCCTACGTGGCCCTGGGGTGTTGAATGGTTTGAGACGAATGTCGACGCGATTGATATGACACCAAGATGCATAGATAGGCGAGACGGATCTTTATCTGGATATTAGACGCTATTATATACCCTAGGTTGAGGGAGGTATCAGGTTGGTGGTAAACGTAACTTGAACCCACCCCGTTGCCGTCATTATGTTTGGCTGCTGCGTCGCTGGTCGCCTGCTGTGTGCAGTACCCTGGTCAATCTAAGATTTCCTCTGATCATGAATGATGCTGTTCAAGTCAGACAAACCTACAGCAGGTAGACGAGACGCACTGTACGTTTGCGCTCGAGGCCGCAGAGACTATCAACCATATTTGCGTCTTTATGCTTGGGACAGGTATCTCTCTTTATATGCTTGTGCCATATCCAGGTGTTCTGACGGATTCCAGTGCCATTCCCGCCCGGGTATGCTGCAACAGTGCATTTTTATTGGCCAGGAAAGGGCTTCCAACTCCTGGGGATGTGAGCAACTCGTTTATAGCGACAATCAGTCGAATGTGACTCATATGCATAGGTTATCAAATGAAAAACCATCAGCCATCTTTCGTGTACGAGGCACATTTGGCAGCACACAATCTGCGTCCCATCAAGTTATCCTGCAATCCTCGCAAGATCAAGCATCAACGACAGCCCAACTAGGCATCGCAATCGAGACCATTGACGCGGTGCAATCACAGATCTCCACCCTGCAATCTGCACAAACCTCGGGTGCATCTAGGCCTTTGACGGATCCTGTTGCGCTCGCAGAAGGGATTGGGAAACATCTGATGAACTATCTGTCCAGCTTTGGGCAAAGTGGACCCGGGGGACAGGTCTACGTTCCCATTGCCGCTGTAGGGAAATGGTATGAGAGTTTCATCAACAAAGTCAAGGCGGGTGGGATTGGATTCCTGGAAAGGCAGGAGTAGCTCATACGGTGAAGGATGGCTGCACAATGTATACCGCACAAGCTATCGAGACATGTACTAGACATTTACATACCGCGCTCTAAACCCCACACGAGTCCGAGCGCCACACGTGCTGCCGCCTTGCGTTTCTCATCTTCGTCGGTAATACCCGCTATCTCCTCCTTCATATTCTGCAACGCACCCATGATGCTTCCCAAATCAAATTCTCCGTGCGTTTCTTCCTCTCCTTCCTCTATGTTTCCATCCTTGTCATAACGGGGGTCAGCAGTGAAGGAGGCGCCAAAGATGCGTTGAGAAGCCTGCATAATTTCTTCTTTCGAAGGCATCTCGTCGTCTAAAAGTTCTTTGTAATCCTCTTCGTCTCCAGGAAGGGGAAAGTCTTCGTCAGAGTCGGAAGCTGCTTGTTGTTCTGGCGCGTCACCGGGGGTAGTGGAAACAGCGTGAGCGGTTGAGGATGGAGCAGATATGAATTCAGTGAAATCGTCGTCGAAACGTGCTCCTCCACCGGCTTGCGCCCCAGTTGGATCCGTAGAGGAGGTTCGTTTGGGCCAAGGGTCGTCAGCATCTGACTGCGCTTCAATCACTTTCTTTTCATTATCAGTGTTCGGATTTGGCCCATCTTCTTTGCGCATCTGCTCAGCTGAGATTGAAGCAGTGGAAAGTTGGGAGCGGTGATGTGGACGGGAATGTCTCTTCATCTGCATATTGGGCCATAGAACTGTTTGAAGTGCCTCGACGATGCGATCATACCCTTCGTCTAGCCATCACCGTAAGTCATCTAGTTCCCAAATCACCAAGTAATAAGAAGCGTACTCTGCGACTCGGAGATAGAGGTGCCAAGATTGATAAACTCAAATCCAGCATCGGACACTGCGTCTTCTATTTGCTCCAGATCCCCTTCCGTGGCGCCGATGACAGCTGCGAGCAGCACCTCAGCATTCATCCGCCCACCATGGGCGGTGAGCCGAACAAGGGCATCTTGATAGTCCTAAACAAGTTAAGAATCGCAATTAATATTAGTATATACATACCTCGCCATTCTCCCAGAGCACAACGACCGCAGGGATGCCGGGTTCCAACTCCTGGGCAATGTACTCCCAGTTTGCACGGCGAAAGTGAACATCAGCTGTATAGTACTTATTGGAGATTGTCCATTGGACTGTATCCTCTTCAAGCTGATCGTCTTGCGCACTTGTGATGCCTGGCAGCTGTGGGCTATCATCGGAATCGGTGGGTGTAGATCATACGTTTGATTAATTGGATCCCTAGCGTTCCAGAGGACGGAACGAGCAGGATCCGAGACGCGGGACCGTGTTCCATTCCAAGGCGGTGAGAACCAAGCTTTGCTTTACTTTGATCCCTGCCTCCCCATGTTTTCTGGACAACGATGGGTGGACGCCAAACAACGCATGTTATTAGAGTCTGTTTCTCAACTAATAGCCTCTCTATCAGACTAGCGACGAGCAGCGCTTCGGCCTTTTGTTGCCGTCGTGCTGTACAGACTTGGCATGGGGCTGCCTTTGAGTCGGAATTCACAAGTGAATCTTCGTGTGTGGCATAGACGGCAGCTGGTTCACGGCCAACGGCGGACACCCGCTTATCAAGTCCGTGGAGTACGCTCTAGCAATGTTCACAGACTCTGGGTAGAAAGCTCAGTTGCTGGCGTCAATGCCTTTCCGAACGTCGGCATACAACTATACAAGGGTATATAGACTGTGCGTTATCAAACGACTTGATTCCCTCATTCCTTCGTCTTGGCCTGGTGCCCCTTTTGGTGAGTGCTCAAGTGTAGATCCCAAACGGCCACTGAAAAAAAGGCAGTTTATTTACAATGTACTTTCCAAAAGCCGTTCTTGTCCTCCTCGCCCTCTCAGTCAGTCAGGCAGCCTGTGCACCTGTGGCTGCTACAAGCAAAGACGTAACCGTTGTTACTCATCATGAAGCGGATCACCTCGTACGGCGTGAACCAGAGCCTGAACCTCGACGAGGAGGGCTGGTAAGTTGGGCATCCCCACAATATTCACCATGTGCTCAAAGTTCCTCAGGTGCACACAGTCGTGAGCGCAGGGAAGAGGCTTTATCACAGCGAAACAGCCAGGGCTATGGTTGGTAATATGGTCAGCCAGGCCGGCTCGGCGTACGCCCAACGGCATGGTGGTGGAGGCGGATATGACGGTTATTATTGCTGTTTGCACCGAAGTTGTCACACTCACTTTTCGACCGCGTCAAACTTTGCACCATCACCTCGCCCCATGAAATTCATTGGTCGGCACGCAAACTACAGCGTCAAAATGGGGCTGTATGGGGCTATCTTGACATGGCGTTATTGCCCAGAAAAGGCAACCTTTTGCACACCTCATTTCCGCGACATGTGCAAAAGGATACTCGGTCGTTTCAAAAGCGCGTAAAATAGATCTCAAATACGATATTATGCTATTATATAACAATTTAACACCGAGTTAACCAAAGCGACGCCGCTAACACGCTGACGCGACATTCAGTATTGTGCTATGGCAAGGTGCTGGGGGATATCATCAGTAGTTATTGAACATACGGACCTCTGAGAATTGTTTGCGCCCCCAATTGAAGAAGTAGTACCTCGTTTTATGACTCGTCTCTCAGTCGACAGTTCAACTCTGCAAAGAGGGAAATCCCGTATCTGAGTAAGCACGGTGATGTATAAGAACCTGTTGAGAATAGATAGCGGCCTTTTGAGCCACTTTTCATATCGCACTGGCGACAAGGAGAGTATGGGCAGGTGCCTCCAACATGGAACAGCAACGATTTTTTTCTACTTTGGCACCCATTGGTTTGATTCAGAACATGATCTGTACAATATTGCTAAGATCTGGGGGGACAGTGTCTTGCGATGAAGGTGCATCAGGACCAGTCTAGCTGCGATAAATCGAAACTTTTTGGATACTACAGAGATAGCTCAGTATTATGAACACGCTTTGACATGGTTTAAATGAGGTCTTGCACAGAAGTCATTTTTTGACAAGAACGCGAGAGGACTTCGTTGCCGCTTTGATAGGATAAATCTTATTTAAGAGCATGAAACGAGATGAACTGAGCTTTTAGAATCCTGCTCCCTGCTTCATATCACGCGGGAGGCCTTTTTAAAAATTTGCCCTGTGCAAAATCTCTGAACGAACATCTCTCTATATTCCAGAAAGCTTGCCCCAAACATGAGGATTTCAAAAATGTAGCTATCTATACGGTAGGCCAGCATAGTGAGGCTCAAGGACGGTTCAAAGTTGGACGCGGTCGAAAGGCGGCTGTGACAACTTTGGTGCAAACAGCAATAAAAGTCTTGGACTCGTCTTGGGAGAGATGTCCTCATGACCCCAAACATGATTTCCGGAAGTACCAGTTGCCGCTCTGGCTCCCCGGCTCTTTGTAGTCTAGACTCGGTCGATTTATCGACCAGTACTTAAAAGCCCTGAATGGACGATTAATTCCGCATAACATCTCAGAGTCAAAACCAAACGTCAAGGAACCATGTGTGTTGGATTTTGGACGACGGAACATCCTGAATACGCCTTGTATGCGCCTTTGGACAATTCGGCAGCGTTACTAATGATCTTTTCTGGTAGGATACTAGCGAATAACCGTGACGAGTTTCTATCGCGACCCACAAACCAGCCTCTGTACATCATTTCCGTTCATGCTCGGCGTCAAAACACCCGCATCATACGCACGTCGAGGGAAGTGAAGTCATTTCCGGCTTGGATGCAAAGGCAGGCGGGACATGGCTTGGGGTAAACCGCCACGGCAGAATTGCCATGCTGCACGTCCTTTTTTTTCACCCCTTTTGAATGCGTACTAAGTCGTCGCAGAACAAATATTACTGAACAGCCGCATCACCACCACATCTACTCGCGCGGCCACCTCGTCTCCGACTTTTTGCTCTCTGACCCCAAGACGGAGAATATGGAGCAATTTATCAAGAGACTCACTAATCGACCACCCTCAACGCCGTTACCTTCTACCACCACTCGAACCAAACCGGTAACCACCAAGGCTATCTCGCAGGGCTTGGGAGCTACAAATATGCTGAGCGTAATGGAGATGCCCGAGCTTGGCGATGAAGAAGAGGTGGAGTATGACTATGCTGGATTCAATCTTCTTCTCGTCAGCATGGCACAAGAAGATGCCAAACCTCGCTCTGTCCCTCAGAATGCCGGAGAGCATGAAGACGAAATATTGCCAGAGATTGTACCCCGTATGGCTCTCATGACAAACTCGGGAGAAGGAGGTCGACTGACGGCGCGTTGGCTCGAGGGGGACGAGGCAAGACTCGGAGGAGTGTCGAATGGCGTTGATGGAAGCACGATGGAGATGTGGACAAAGATTGAACTCGGGAAAAGAGCTCTTTCTGACCTTATTCGTCGAGAGATTGAGCTAGGAGCACATTCGACTGAAACTACGAAGAGGTGCAGGTGTTACGTTGCCCATCGCCATGATAGCTTCCATCCCAGTGCCCCGGCGCACCTGGAGTGTGTTCGAGAAGAAGGGTCCGATTGTGATGTGGTCAAAGCAGACAAAGCCAAGACGAAGCAAGATCGGGAGGAAGCTTTGATAGAAGGGGTATTTGACGTGCTTGCGTACGTAACTCTCTTTGCATCTGATATTTCGTCTTATGCTCCTAAATCAGACTTAAAGACACGGATATAAACGCCCGCGACGATTTCTTTGGCTCGGTGCGTGTCGATCCACGCCATCTCGAGATTGCGGTCGACGGAGGAGCGAGGACGGTCGAGGGATGGTACGCGACACGCACATCGACCGTCTTGCTTGTCCGGAAAGATGGGTGTGTCGTGTACCGCGAACGGGATATCTGGCGGCTGTCGAGTAGCGACCTCGAACGGGCTGCCAGTCCGTTTTCAGAATGTAGATGCATGAGTCCTATTATACCTGGAGAAGTCGTGGAAGCAGAGCACGAGTGTCGGTTGCCCATCGCAGAACAGGGCTTGTTCCCTGTGATGGGAGATCGCAAAGAAGACAGGGAACATATATTCTGGTTGTACCTTTAGGTTGATTGGTGTTATTTGTAGGGTTCTCATAGAAGCCATGATATGCTTGGAAACCGATTATCAGATAATCTCGGAGCCCGGACCTTTGTCCCTTGCTTGGCCGTATGATTTGGTCCAGACCGCCAATCAAAGCGCGGATACACGCTTGGACCTGGCCATATCTGCTCATGGTGAACCCAGTACGATTATTCCAGGATTTAGAGGGTATAATATCTGAGCAAAGCATCTAGGATTTATCAGAGCCTGTATCTGTTCTCCTTCGCCATGGCACCAAGCAGGCGCATGAGCAAGCGGAACACTCCCCAGGTGCTGGGTGGCTGACCCGCGGAGAACTCGATCGCTCAGAATATGTGCGATTCCTCATGATGCTCCATGTTATATACTCGTATGTCTTATCTGGTCTCTGGGAAGCCAATTTGACGCGGTTGGATAGGACGCTAGAGGAGGCGCTAGACGCCACCAAGCCCATCCGGTGCTCAAGACAACTTACAATCCCTCTGTGCTCGCTCGAAAGGAATACATCGCGCTGGATATTGCGTATTTTCTTGGAGCGGATTCACACGCGTTAAAGGATCATCCCGCCTATCTCTCGTTTACATCGAACATGCCGTCACAGGTCTCTGCATACGTCCATCGACTACGCCATATTTCGTCTAATCCAACCAATCTCAAAGACGGGGATGCTAGGCTTTTATTGGCGCACGCATACGTACGCTACCTTGGTGACCTCTCCGGCGGCCAGTTCATCCGACGACGGATTGCCAAAGTATATAATCTGCCAAATACCGGTGAAGGAGTCAAATTCTATACATTCGTCACGAGTGCAGGGGAGGGTGAGGCGGGGATGCAGGAAATGAAGGACCTCAAGGATTGGTACCGCGACGGTATGGATTTGGGTGTTGGTGACGACCATAATCTCAAAGGTGGGCTTCCTTTATTCATTCCTATTGCGCTCATACTTTCTTGTGAAGCGGCGTTGGTCGACGAGGCAATCCTCGCCTTCAAGTTGAATCAAGATTTGTTCACTGCACTCCGTCCTCCAACCCACCTTGAAACAATGACATTACCCACCTCGCCCAACCCATCGACGACACCCCCAAAGCTCGAGCCAATGGACACCGTTGACAAGTCCAATGCATTGACCCCTTCGAATACATTCACGTTATTCATGGGTTTGCTCATTGGCACAGTTTTATTCCTCTTCTACACTGCCTCGTCAATGACGTCCACTACCTTGAATGCATAGCAAGTATAACGATATCCACCTATTCTGACAACTGGAATTCAAGTATCCTGTCAGTGTCGCCTGGTGTAGCTAATATTGGCCCCTCGGACATTGTCTTGTTCATTTGCCAAATGTCTCGTTCATGGAAGCGGACCGAGTTATCTTTACGTCGAATGAGGAGTACGGTAGAAGTGCGTGTACCGTACCATCCTTGGATACCTCTTCCAATGTTCAGGTGGACCGGATCGATGCGGATTGAGGCTCGAAGGTCGTCTCTTTTTTTAGGTGGTTCCGGTGTATGCAGACTGCGCAACGATTAACAAATTTCATGTTAACCGCATTAAAGAAAAGCCTACGAGAGAATCCCAAAGAGGCCCTCCACGAGATTGTCCTCTGCCAAGTCTGGCTGATCGAGGAGACTACGCAAGATTGTTTGCCCTCTTCAATCTTTGTCCAGTATTGCATCGTTTTCCCATCGATTCCATTCGACATGCCTCCAAGACAGATGTCATCTTGGCTCATCCAGCGTGCACTGAGGACACCACTGGCCCCAGAATTTGTCACGAGTGCTATCTGCGGCTTCCTATCCAGGTTTGTATCGGGAGAGTCATATGTGCTAAAGCTGATGAGGACGAGATTAAAGCCTGCATAGTCGCGCTCGCTCTCTGCTCCTTCTTGAGAACCAATGGTGAGCAAGCGATCGATGTATTCCTGCATAGATTCTTTAGCTGGGTCGGATAGGAGAAAGTCAGAGACGAGGTGTCCTCTTGACAATGATCTTCGCTGAAGCAATTCCTCGGTGATATTTGTACTATCCAACTTTTGTCAGTGGTTAGTGAGACTCCTAAAAGAGACGACTCGCATCATTGCGATTCGACCATGTCGATTAACTCCAAGCCACGTTCCACCTCCTTGGGCATCCAAGCCTGATACGACGGCGTTTGCAGCATCATCGTCTACTGCAGCTCCAAAGCGATGCATTGCTGCATGTCTCGTCTCGCGTGCTAGAAACTCGTCGCGGTTGTTTGCTAAGATTCTATCCAGACGACAATGTTTACGTTTTCCTCTTGTCTATTGATGAATGCGTACAGCGCATAATCCGGGTGTTCTGTCGTCCAGAAGCCTACACACATGTTTGATTCTAGGGTAGTGGCCGGGTCCAAGTGCGATTAGATCATCAGGAACAACCGGGCTGTCGATAGCCGGGTCCGGCGCGGCAAAACCCAGGCTCAGTCGGCCTCTTGTACACTTCGACTGCTCCGCATCCGTCTGCCGACTCTGCCTCTCCCAACCGTTTACTAGCACGTCTTAGTTGTCAAGATGAAGATCTACAAGTCAAACTATCCCGATGTCGAAATCCCTTCGCAGTCTATTTTCACCCATGTCCTCCCAGAAAACGGACCGTATGCACACAACTTGCCTGCTTTTATCGACGCACCAACCGAGGCTACACTAAGCCGCAGGCAGCTTCGTGATGCAGCACTACGCTTCGCAGCGGGACTCGTTGACGAGCACGCGGTCCTCAGGACTAAGAACCCGGATGGTGGGCCGGTACTCAAACGAGGCGACGTCGTCAGTATTTACAGGTGACTCTCCTTTATTCGACCGATATACTATATACTGATGCCGTGAAGTCCGAATAGTCTCTCCTTTGCTATTGCGCTCTACGGATGCTTCGCCGCTGGGATAAAAGTCTCGCCAATCAACAGCAGTTATACGCCCCCTGAAATCAAGCATCAGCTGACCGATTGCGGAGCCAAAGCCGTCGTCGTACACCCGCTCCTCTTGCCTAATCTCATCCAGGCGTTTGCACTCATGGGCATCAACGAGGGTCAAGCGAAGAAGCGGATAATCATTGCGGATTGGAAAGAAAGCCAGACATTGAGTGACGATGTCAAGCGGCGGTATAAAGGATACACCGTGTTTGAAGAGGCTTTAAACGTCGGAAAGATGGTCAAGGAAGAAGCCTTTGATGGTCGCTATGCAGATGAGACGGCATTAATGTGTTATTCGAGGTCAGTATTTTCGGATACTTCACGATGGGTGGCTGATATTTGGATCAGTGGGACGACCGGGTTGGCAAAGGGCGTTGAGGTGAGATCGGAATATCCAGGTGTAAGATTACTAATACTGTATAGACGACACATAAGAATCTAGTGGCGATCATGTGCATGTTCCCGGCGGTGTTCATCCGCCTGGAGCCGGGAGTCGATAAGATGCTTGGATTTTTACCAGGTTATCATATTTACGGGTTAGTATCCGTTTTGAGCCTCCATGGATCGTATTCTTATATCTAATAGACTCGTCAAAGTCCTCCTCTACCCAATCGCCAAGGGTGCTGCTGCGGTGATTATCCGTGGCTTTGACGTCGCCATGTTCGGCAAGGCCATTGGTAAATACCGTGCGTCTGTATTACCCATGGTTCCGCCAGTCATCCTTCTGCTCGCGAAGAATCCAGTGTTTGAAAAGTTTGATTTCTCGGTGAGGCCCGCTTTTTTCTTTGATTAGGTGGTGGAGTGTACTGAAGGATCACAAAGTCTGTCAAGCTCATTACCTCTGGTGCGGCACCCCTTGGGAAGGATCTGACGCTCGAAGTCGTTGCACGCCTGAGGAAGCTGGGCTCCAATGCATTAGTAGTTCAGGGTTAATCTCTTCTTTTGCATCGTATCGCTGCCTTACATCCAATTCCAGGCTACGGGTTGACAGAAACATCCCCTACGGCGCATTTCAATCCTGTTGAAACGTGGGATACCAAGGCGGGGACAATCGGGCCTCTTCTACCAAATCTCGAAGCGAGGCTTGTGAGAGACGATGGGACGGATGCGCCAGAGGGTGAACGAGGCGAGCTCTGGCTTCGTGGGCCATCCATTATGAAGGTATCTATCTCAAGTTTTCCCCATTATGCTATATAGCTAAAGTGCCTAGGGATATTTGCATAACGCGTCGGCCACACTCAACAGCATTACGCCTGATGGCTGGTTCCAAACCGGAGATGTCGCCATAATTGATAAGGACGGGTATGCTTTTATCCACATCACCGAATATCTGTCTAATACGAGTTTAGATGGTATAGCATCGTCGACCGCAAGAAGGAGTTGATCAAATACAAAGGATTCCAAGGTATTTTCGGTTATTTTGGTATACAGACTTGCTAAAATGGTTCCAGTCCCGCCCGCTGACCTCGAGGCTGTCCTGATAAGCCACCCCGAGATTGTCGACTCGGGCGTAATTGGCGTATATAGCAAAAAAGACGAGACTGAGCTGCCAAGGTAAGGCTTTGTATCCGCGGCATCACAAATTAACTGGATGATCAGAGCATATATTGTCCCCAAGCCCGGCTCAAAAGCACTTGGCAGTGCGCAAGAGCGAGAAGTCTTTCAACGCGAAGTCGCAAAGTGGATAACGTCAAAGGTGTGCGCTCCTGTCACATCTATCGCATATTCTGACAATTCCAGGTGGCCAAGCACAAATATCTCCGCGGCGGCGTTGTAGTGGTTGAAGCGATTCCGAAGAGGTGAGAATTTCTACTTATAAAAGATGTTGTTTAATGAGTATATAGTGCGGCCGGCAAGATCCTCCGTAAGGAGCTCAGGGAGCGGGCTAAGAAAGAGATGGAGGCAGAGCGGGCTAGACTCTAGCCCAAGAGACTCTATGTGGTATCTTCTCCATGCTAATCGTCCGTTTTGAATTAGGAGGGTTCCTTATCGACCAGCAGTCGATCGGTCATTTACCGAGCCGCCGAGTATACATTCCAGCGGCCCTGTTCTTAGATATCATTTACCCAATCAAAATTTGGCGTATATTGCACCTTAGTTTTCCTGTTCCCGTCGAAGCTTCGATCCATTACGCCACGATTGTATGGCGGGGATGCAAAATACAGAGGTAAATCATCTGTTTCCCATTCAATTTTATTTAGATTTGTAGTATTTTGTAGCATTTTCAACGCAGCCCCGACGATCTTGGCGCGCGCATCACTTGGACTCCGACCATACCCAGCTTGCCCCCAGCAACGAACTCGCTGCAGCCAACGGCTTAAAACTACAGTTTTCTCGTTTATATTCTTGTTCTACTCTCTTCCCTGTCTGTCTGCACCTCAACGGATTTCGTCGGACCCCTCGAATCGTCACCGCTCCCCGGAACATTGGTCTCCAACATTGCCAAGTACTTGCCTATAAACAGTGAGTACTACTCCAATGCGTTACTGCGCATCTGGCGTATTCTCCTTTCGTTTACAAGTGCTCACACGAGCGATAATTAGGTCCCGGAAATTTCTCCAATAATCATGGACCACTCTCCTCCATACACAGACACCTTATCCTCGCGTTCTTCTTCTGAATCCATCGCCGTCAAGACCCCTTCCGACAGCGAACATCCTTCGCCCCCCAATACGTATATCGCCACCAAAGCCGCCTTCCCCGTTCTATCATCCCACTTTGAGAAGTCTTCAAAACGCGCAGATTCAGCACCTGTTCCACCCATAGCCTTTACTCGACGCAGGCGAGAGACTAACAGCAGCCTTGTGTCGATTTCTTCACAATCGTCCCAGGTTTCCCTCTTGCGAAAAACACTCATGCTTGTCACGTCATCATCATCATCATCCTCCTCCAAGCCCCGTTCTGCTTCTATGCGTTCTGCCAGCGGCCTGGGTTCCGAACGCACCCCCAGCCTGGTGACCTCGACCAGGCGGACTTCGGTCTCCTCACTTGCGTCGACAGCTCTTTCTACCCCTGCATCGGTTTCTATGTGCCCGGCATTCACGGATGCAGCGTCGACCCTTGTGGACTCTCCCTACGCGCTCACGGCGGATGCCACTACCGCACTTTCACCGACCAGCATTAGCCCATCCCTTGCCCAATTTTCTCCAACACCCGCCGCGACGGATAGTTTGCAACAGTTTGGAATTGCTCACGCACGTTCGAAAACGGTCCCACGGTTGCCCGAGGTGAGGAGGAAACGCAGTCGAGCTCGCACGACCAATAATGACGGCGTGACCCGAAATGACCTGCAAGAGTCAGCAAGACGAAACAATAGCAGCTGGTTTGGAACGAAGAGTGACCTACCATCGATTGCACGTGCTATTGAACCGGATACACCCACGTCATCGATGGGATTAGACGTGCCACAGGGATCCCAGAGCAGATTGGGCGTTCCTGTGTCCTGTGACCAGATCATTAGTCCTGGCCATGCTCTCGCTGGTACACCACGACCAGAGTACCCAATCCAGTCATCCCATACGGCACAACCGCCGGTCCTTGACAAGGGCAAGGGAAAAGTGACGGCATCCACATCATACGCCACACTTTCTTGCAATGCTACAGGCACCCTGGATAAAAAATTGTCCCCGGTGATGTCTGCAGAAGTCAGGAACGGTCGCGTATCACTTACTACCCGCCGAAGCCCTGGTTCGGATAGCAATCTACCCACACTCGAGGCTGTCGAGTCAGGTTCACGGCTCATGCGTTCCAAAATTGTCTGTTCGACATGTGGCGACGTCGGCCCAGACTTCCCACGCTGTGGTCGATGCAGCGAGGCGTGGTGTTCTCGCGAGTGCAGGGTTGAAGCCAATCGGTCCACTGGAGGAAAACATCGATGCGCGGCTAGTGTTGCATAGACATAAAAGGGTTTCTATCTCGGTACTATATGTAATCTTATCTGGGCTCTGGCAAATTCTCTTAGTATGTCGTAGGTTGTACACATTTGGTGTACTGTATACAAACTGGTTTATGCTCCACTGTTACCAGAAAAAGTGCAGATCTGCAAACGTATTCGACGAAGGTGAGGCAGTAAGAGCAATTCCAGAAATATCGTCGAAAAGGAAAACAAGGGGCATAAGAACCGACTTTGGCGTTCTTTTTCTCCCAGAGAGTAAAAGTCGACTGCTTGCTTTGTCTGCCGAGCACCCATATCGGCGTAGACAGATTTGATTGTCCAAGGTGGGCCTGATGATGGCGTTGCCCGACTCAGACGCGACGAAGAAGTCCACGGGGACCGGGCTGAGGTAGCTGAAGGGTGGTGCGATCGATATGTTATCGAGGGTACTTGGACTAAGGGTGTTTCCAATGGAATCCACTACAGGCTCTTGCTCCACTACAGGATTTCCGTTGTTGATAGAGTTGCCAGCCGTTGTACCTTCGGGTTCTATTGGAGGGGGAAGATTCTCCTCTGCCATCACAGAAGTTTCCTCAATCTCGTCCGGTTGATCCGTTGTTGCTTTAGTGTCGAGAAGAAATGTATTCCAGGAGATGGAATCATCCACTCCGGCAATGACGGCATGAAATTTCGAAGACTCGTCCGCACGTCGAGTTTTCGGGAGCGTGTATTCCAACACGGAGGCTACGTTCCCTTGCATCATGATGATTGATGTGCTGTTCAGAATCTTGTCTGTGGGTTCGTCCGCGCCATCTGGAGTGGATGGAGAGCGCGTGGGGAGAGGATATACTTCAAATGTATCGTCCGAGGTCAGAGCGACCATTGACTCGGGACCGATCTTGATATTCAGGAAATCGCTTCCCCCAGACGAGCGTATTTTTGCACGCAATGTCTCGTCGTCCCAGCGCTCCACCTGCATCACATCCTTCTCGATCATGGAGGACCAGCAAATCCAGCCGTTGCGGAGAACACACATATCGAATATCATCTGCGAATCAATTTTGCGCAGTTCGGTAAACTCGATGTAAATTGACCCTCTGCCGTCGGTTATAAAGTCGGCGGTGAAGATGGCAATGTAGTTAGCGCGACGGGACCTATCTTTGATTAACTGTTGCACCTTTGAGTTAGATGGAGCGACCTACGAGGCACTGAGAAAGGCCAATGCTACTTGATTTGGCGACACGCTTACGCCCGCGGCCGAAAGCACCACGTGGTGGAGTTTGTATGTACCAAGATTTCGCCCTTTGAGCATGTCAAAGACGCTAATTTCCGACTTGAACGTGTTCATCAAGTGGCCGTACTGGAAGAGCCATCTCGTGCCCGGTGGGATGAAAAATTGTCGCTCAAATGACATTTCCCTTTCACTGAGAAGTGGAACTCGTAGCTTTCTTATCGATTGGACATCTGTTTGTCTCCATGCCCACTTGCATCTGAGCGTGTTCACTGCTGAGGCTCGTAGCTCCTTGCCCGTGTGCGCAGCTTCCTCAACCAGTCGTGGAAGCGTTATGGAGGATATACCAGCGTCCTTCCAATACGAGGAATGACCGTTGGACAAAAGAAAAATGGCCCGGAATGACTATCTCAGCGGTGAGTATACGACATGCACAAAGGACATGCAAATCCTGACCTGAGCAAAGCTTAGACGCGTTTCTAGGTCAAGGAAATCGGCGATTGACAGGTAAAGTTCCATCGAGAGCTTGCATATTGGCGCAGTGTTCCCCACAAGGTGACGAATTGTGGACTCAGTGTGGTTTAATTTATCCTCTACAGCATGATTGCGGCGACTCGAGCGACGCAGACGCATACGGGCGGTCGTCGTTCTTCTCAAAGGCACGCCACCACCTCCCACCAATAACGGGTACGTTTCATTTAAAGTACAAATGCCCACATAGATCAAACTCCCGCCGTGTAAGAGTTTTCTTGCACAGGTTCTCCAGAGGTAATCATCTGGAGTTCCTCCATCAGCGTATGATATCGGAAGGCCAACCGAATATCCGGGACATTTGTCTAAGAATGATAAGCCAAAGTCCAAAGGGAAGTCAAGACCTTACCTTATTAATGTCATTCCCTGCTGCTCCCGGTAGATACCATTTCTGACCGAGCCAATGTCGTTTGATCTCCATCTCGAAACCACTCTGTATGACTGAATTTCGGGCTAGTTCTGCAAGCGACGCTTGTGAAAACTTGTAAATCTACGACGAATAAGCCGTTGCTCGAACAACGCAAGTGTGCTCACATGAGCGGCCACGCTATACTCCTCTAACAGTGGTTCCTGTGCAGTATGAGCGATGATTGATTGCTAAGACAGCGCAGTACCTTTGTAAAATGGAATTGAAGCGGATCGTCGGTACTCAGGCTGACGTTGAGGCCCGTCTTGAAATACTCTGGGAGCGGATTGCGTTCATAGGTGAGGAACAGAGCGTTGTTGCTCAATGGGCTCATGGCGACGCCGACTTGTTTGAGGTAAAATAGATATTGGAGAGCCGGTACCTTGCGAAGGAGGATTCCGTGGGAAATCGAGTGCGAGGTAAGGTATGCGCACGAAAGATGGTCAGGGTCGCCGGCTTCTCCACAGTGAGGACGAAGAACAAATGTATCTGTTGAGTGTATCAGAGCAATCAAAGGAGGTCCGGTGAAACGTACTAAACCCTCGTTCTCGTCGCCAACTGTTGAGACTGGTCATATTCGCGTACATATAGTAGACCCTAGGAACTTTGTCAGAAGCATACTGACGTAGGGGAGTACACGCACCAGTACGAGTACGGCGGGTTTTGCTTCGTCTCCCAAATTCGCGGGTATGGAAACTTGTCATACACCCTTCTCTCGGTTTTCGACTCGTCGTCGACGCTGTCAAATCCAATGACACGCTGAAGAAAGACATGAAGTTCGGGATGAAGGCTTGGGTCTTTGGTAACCTCGAAAAGGGGCTCGAATACGTCTGTACCATGTCACTTTATATTCCATCGGACCAGATAAGAAGCTTACTTCTGATAATACGCTCAAAGTTCTCTACTTGACCCGTCATCTTGTAGACGTTGTATAGGCGAGGAATCTGAACGAGCCATCGAACATTATGCGAGTAAAGTTTGTGGTGAATGACCCATTTGGCGAGCTTGTCCCATTCGTCTGGAGAACGACCATAGATACTGATCCTCCACTCGCAGTTCTGCGACATTTGAGATAATAGAATAGACGTGCTTTTCAACGCACCTGGTATTTGCTCTGTTCCAAATCTTGCATTAATTCTGAAGCAGTTCAGACTCGTTTTCCAAAGGACGTGCTTGCAAACCTTTAGTCAAGTCTGCGAGGTATCTGCCGCCAATGTAATTGTCCGTCTTGAGGAAGATCTCTCTCAATCTGCTCTCGCCGATTGGGTTGTACTTGAGGTTAAACTTGTCGAATCTATGTAGTTTGTGTCAGAAACGAAGGGATAGACACTATGGGCGTACCGATGAAAGGAGTCTTGATGGGCGTGCATATCCAGAGTGTCGATCGACAAGTCGTACGCGGTAAGATTAAGGGACTCAAAAACTTGAGCCAGAGTAAGTGGGTGGCCATCTCGAACGATCACAATGTCCTAGCAATGATCAGGAAACACTATTCGTCTATGGGGAGCGACCAACGTTGGGACTGCGCTTCATTTTCGATTTGATGAAGCGCAGTAAATGCTTCTGGTTCATGCTGCTTGAATGGTGAACGTGTGTATCCACTTTGCGGACATTGTAAAAATCTCGATGAGGAACAGCCTGAAATCGATGTGAAAATGTCAAAGATATATATTACACGATACATACCTTCATACTTTGCAATTCCTTGTGTTCGTTCAAAAGAGTGTACATTCCCCACTTTCCTTGTAGATATTTGAGTCGTCGATATGCAAAGCTCTTAGTAGGACCGTCCGCGATGACGCCAAGTACGTAGTCGAGATCTACATAATAGTCTCTAATGGTCGGAACGGCGAATATTGGCTTTGAGTCGTTATCTAGATAGCATTCATCTTTACGAATGATCAACGAGGAATATCCGTACCATCATGTACCGGCGTGCTATAGATTTGGAAAACACCCTTGCTATCGAGATGGTAATGCCATTCATGTGCACCTGGGATTTCGAAGTGACCAAAGTCAAAGCCATCGCCATCGCCCTCTTCGGACACCAACTGGGGCTGATCGTCTATTGGACCTCCTTGTTCTGGATGCGGTTTCGCAGTCCAATGCCAATGCGGGGGAGGTGGTCTTGGATAGATATCCCATTTGGCAAACTGTTGCGGTGCCGGCTGTAAAGAAGGATGCTGACCAGATGTCCCAGTATTCTTTCGCAAAGTCGCATAGGCGTCTGGTCTCACGCCAGAGACGCCCCCAATATCCTCTGCGAAGCCCTTGAAGGCACCATCGTAATCGCGAGGGTTATCACCAAGCCTCTGGAGCGAACAGGCCATATATTTGTCTCGAAGTTGAAGGCATTTATTGAAAGAGGATAACAAATCGCGGAGCTCTTGTTGACTCAGGGTTTGCTGGTCTTATCAGGATATTGAGCACGAGACTGGGAGAGATTGACAGACTCACGATCCAGTTTGCTCAGATTAATCTCGGGTTCGTCATCAAGCGTCACCGTATGAGCGTTCTCGAGCCCAAAATGTCCACTCGCAGCCGGAGGCAAGGCAAAGTCGTGCGCAACATCTTGCAGGCCTGGAGTATTATCCGTTGTGGTAGCATTCTCTGCGAGCGGTTGAAGCGGCAGAAGGTGATCCATCCGGGGTAATGAGGATATCGACGTTGGACGAGTCGTGGGTGTCTTGGGGTGTGTTGCTGTGATCCGGGGAGAGTTGACTGTCGACCCACGGTTACTCCCAGAACCTTGGGAGTATCTTCGGTGAGAGTAGAGCTTGTGTTCGAGCTTCGAACGTCAGGGTCAGTTGGTGTAAAGTTGGGGGAGAGCGTACGCTTTCCAAACGTTTGGCCTCTTCGTATCCAAACACGGCGTCTCTTGTTGCTAAATTAAACAGTGTTCAAGATCCGGAGTCATACATTGCGCCTATTGTCGCTCACCTTGAACATCGTCCTCTCCGGAGGTTATCGCACTTGTATATCCATCTCTCGAGAGAATCGGAGGACTGGGAATATTCTCACGATCAAGAGATCTTCTGCCGTCCTGGATCTGGGTTGAAGATGTGTCGAAACCTGGAGCAATGGGATCCATCCCGGGTTGAACAAGTCTACAAACTGGGTTAATTGATGGAGTCTCGAGTGTTGTATTCTCGTCTTCAACGCGGACCTTCTGCTCGTGGCCGGGTCCAAAGTGGCGAAAGCAAGTTGCCCGCAACCCGTTCAAGTCCTGGTCACCGCGGCATCGTAATATTCGGTCAAGTCTCTCGAATAATATTCCCAAAGATATCTTGTGCCGCTAGCTCACGCAGTTTCCGTTAATATCTATCTGTCGACATGGCCGACGACGGCGCAAAGCCCAAGATTGGCTCACTCAAGGATAGGATCAAGCAATTTGAAGCCTCTTCGTCTGCATCTTCAAGTGGTCCTACCCCTCCGCCTCTGCGGCCTAAGCCTGCGACGCTTGGGCAGTGGAAGCCGAAACCGCTGGATCCGCCTTCACCAAACAAGCAGACAAGCTTTGAAATAGCAGATAATTCGACTCACGCAAAGGAAGATGACTCGCAAGGAACTGGAATGTCCGCTACGGACGCCATGGAGTCTATATCCAAAGGCGGAGGCACTTTGAAGGAACGAATGGCTGCGCTCCAGGGCAAAGGAGCGTTTGGAAACCCTGCAGCTGCGTCTACTGCGCCGCCTCTTCCAAGCAACGAGGGCAAACCGCGAGTTTGGCGCGCAAGCCCAGCGCCTCCATTACAACCCAAACCTGTGGTCGAAATCACTCCTACGGATACACCCGTAGATGAGTCTCATGAGGCTACAGAATTGACAAACCCAGAGGTTTCCGTGTCCAGCCCAGCGGACGATGACCCTCGCAAGCCCAATGACGCCACGCAGCACGAAGAAGGGCAACCAGGGACGGAAGAAGATGAAGAGAGAGAGAAGCGTGCTGCGATTGCGGCCCGTATGGCTCGACTTGGAGGTGCAAAACTTGGAATGCCCATTGGATTTGGTGTTCCGACCAAGGGTCTCTCCAAGCCTACGACACCCGCGACGCCTACGAATCCAGCAGCAGCAGAATCCGAAGATGGGGATGCAACTGAAAGCACGAGTAGTAGACCTCGTCAAACTACTCTCAACACTGCGCTCCAGATCCCTCTTCCCAAGAGCCAAGGGAGCCTTTTATCCCCTGGAGACGGTATGTGTATATTTCATAGCAGTATCCTACTCATATATTGTAGATCTTCCATCTGAGTCGGACGCGTCAACGTCGAGCAAGCTGGTGCCTCCTCGGTCCCCAGCCATTCCTCGCAGTCCAGACTCGATGCCCATTCCCGCGCTCCCTAAGCGTACTGCTGGTCCAAGGAGGAAGAAGAGTGTCAAGGAGATTGTGCCTCCGGCTATTGAGGATACGCCACCAGTGCCGTCCACCGATGTCACCCCTGAGGGTGAACCAGAGGCAAAGTCCCTGTCAGAAGTCACTCAAAATGACACAGAGGCACGCATTTCCGAGAGCTCTGCCGCTGGACACCTCTCCGAGGAGTTGCCATCAGTTGCTCCCTCAGGTAGCCACTCCTCCGCCAGCTTCTCCGTCCGTCTTGACCACTGAAGGCGAGGAAGAATCTGAGGATGTCGCCTCATCTCCTCTTGTTCGACCCAAAGTTGACATTCCAACCGATCCAAGCGATGACCTTGACACCAACTTGTTAACGCCGCGTGCAGGATACGGTTCAACGGACGAGGCGGAGGTTGCTTATCCCACGGAGACCGGCATCGAGGACGAACAAGGGTCTGAAGGGGATGAGGATATCCGAAAGCAACGAGTGGCCGAGAAGATGGCCAAACTTGGAGCCGTGAATCCTCTTGCACCGGGAAGTGTGTCTCCCACCTCTCCTCACGGGATAAAGGATGAAGAGACGTCTGGTCATAGCGAAAAGGGAAATAAGTTCGAGCAGAGTCATGTGGAGTCTATCATTCCGGCTGATGAATCGGAGAACAAAGTTGCTGTCTTGTCCTCGTCTGGTCAAATCACTGGAGGCGCAGACTCGTCTCATCGCCCTGAGCGGTTTTCCAATGCAGATGTCGCTATCGTCACCTCTGAAGTAGACGAGGAAGACTACGATGTGGACTACCCAATGATGTCTCCTGTTGGGGGTGGTTCCTCAGCGTATGGTGGCTTTTCAGAACCTGCCGCGAGCCCATCCGAGCCCTTGCCTCGACAGAAAGCGGAAGACCTCTTTACTGAAGGTCATTCACAAGTCCAAAGGCATACCACGCGCCCAATACCCCCACCGCCAATGCATGCCGAGCCTTCAATTAATGCAGAACAAGAAGATATCTCTGGCGCCTTGACAGCGGCCTTGGCTCGGCGACCTCCCATCCCGCCCTCGGCAGAAGAAGAGATATCGTCGCCATCGAGATCGCTCTCGAGAACTCCATCCCCCTCGCCCGCCCTCTTTGTACGCGAAGGGGCACCAAGCCCTCCATCGATAGGGGAGCGGTCACAGCTCTACTCTGAGGAAGAGTATGAAGTCGAAGAACAAGAGGTCGAGGAGCCCGAGGTTGAATCCGAATCACCCCCTCCGGAAGAACTAGAAGAACATCAAGAGGAGCAAGAAGAGTCACCCAAGGTTGAAAACGTGCCACCACCTTTGCCTGCTGGACGTCCCCAGGTTCCAAACGTGCGGCGGTCGATCCCACCACCACCGCCGCCGCCGCCGGCTGCAATTGAGAGCCCTCCAGTGGATGTCGATCACACTAGTGACCACACCGCCAATAATGTGCCGCCCCCACTACCCGGTGGCCGGCCACCTGTTCCAAATGTGCGGAGATCAATACCGCCGCCTCCCCGTTCAATGTCACCTCGATATACAGAACCAGTTACGACTGCCGACAATGGTGATCATGAAGACACACCATCGACCATCAGCAACGTTCCTCCGCCCTTACCAAGCGGAAGGCCCCCGATTCCAGTCACACGTCGGTCCATCCCTCCACCACCGCGCTCAGCTTCACCCCGAAGTATTGAAATCACGATTCCCGTGGAGATGCATGAGCGGGAGACGGTCCAATCAGCGGTTGGCATGCCACCACCCCTACCAGCTGGAAAACCTTCCGTTCCGTTTAAGCGCAAATCAATCCCACCCCCACCACCCGCCGCGGCAGTTACACGGGAGGAAGATGTAGAGGCACCTTCGACTAGTCCACCTGCATCGTCGTCCGCTCGCTCCCAGCGACCACAACAATCACTGATGATGATCCCGAATTCACCAACCGGAGAGAGCGAAACTGAAGAGGTCGATTATATGATTGGCGAGTCGCCAGTGGCTCAGGTCCAGGATGAGACCCACAATATTCGCAAGGCAGCGGAAAGGCCAGCGATGGTGCCTCCACGTGCCAAGTCGCCCATCCAAAGCAAAAGAAAGGAGATAATGGATGACGAAGAAGGAGGTGAGGAATCTTAGATTCGTTGTGTCATTACTTATCAATTCGCACAGATCCTGTCGACCCGCATTTCATTGGAAGGCACCAGTCTCCTCCCGTGAGCCAACAACCCACCCCCACCCCTCCTCGCAGAGTATCTATACCCCAGTCACCACCTCACAAAGTTTCAACGCCACAACGCCAAACGTCGGAAGATGGACAACCTCCAGCTGCTGAGGAAGCAGAGGATGATGGAGAGGCCGCTCGTCGCAGGACAATTGCTGAGAGAATGGCAAAGCTTGGTGGAATCAAGTTTGGCATGCCCGTGCCTGCTCCGCGGGCTGCTCCCGTTCGCAAAATGTCCGAGCACGAAAAGGAAGAGGCATCCAACGACAAGCAAGAGGAAGATCAAGCTGATCAAAACCCAGAGGAAGCACAACGTGCACGACGCGCCGCGCTTGCTGCCCGGATGGCTGCGATGGGTGGTCGAGGATTTGGAATGTATGGAGGCGTGCCACCTGCACCAGCACCTCCGGTTGCTACAAGATCTCCTTCGCCTCCGCCTCAAAGAGAGCCAGAGACAAGCCCAAGCCCGCCACCTCTTCCGACGAGCCGCCCGCCTGTGAAGCCAAAGGCGGATCTGTCGGAAGCGGTCACGAGAACGCCGCCGCCAATGCCAAAGGCTAGTGGCCCTGTTCCTGGTGAAACATCTGAGAGTGAGCTCGAGATGGTGAATGCCGAGACGGAAGATGAAGGTGAAATCGTCGAGCAAGAAGACGAGGAACCAGAGCTTGTAGAGACGCCTCCTGCACCACCTTCGCGCTCAAATCGTCCACCAGTACACGCAATTAATCGTTCGCCGCCTCCAATTCCAGGAAAGCCACGCTCAATGTCCATAGAAGCACAGGATGTCACCCCTCCTGCAGTCGTGCGACGTGCACCATCTACTAGACAACCCCCAGCGCCAGTGCCACTAGGAGTCGAGTATGTGGTCGTCGACGAGGAGAACCCACAAAACAGATCTCGTGCCCCACAAACCCGCACGATTCCTGAGCCACCTCGAGACGCTTCCAACGGCCCATCCATGGAATCCAGCGGACAATGGGAGCTTCCGAATATCCCAAGTGGCTCACTCGACCTTGGACGGTTTGGTCAAGGCACCAGCAAGCCAGGACTGCAGCCACCAAAGCATCTAGAAACAGATGCATCGTGGACCAAAGTCGAACAAGAGCAACTATCTGTACCTTCTACCTCTCAGATGGGCCCAATTACGCCGTCAGAACCGTTCAATGGGCCTGCACCACCCAAGGTATCTGTCGACACGCTGGCGGCGCTATCGGAAAAGTACGGCGCAAAGATTGTGCAATCTGCTCAGCAAATTCACGAGAGGTCGAAGAGGCTCGTGATCGGTGACGGTTCCTCGACGTCGTTTTTGTACATGGCGCTCGCACCGACCGGCGCTTCAACGACCAGCTTGGGGCACTTGATTTATGCGCAGACGGGTGGATCTGTGCAAAAGAGGCTGGGGGATATCATGCCCGGTGATATCGTTGCTCTGTATGAGGCACATTTCAAGGGCCACAAGGGCGGCCTCGGGTTGGGTAATTATTCGGCTGTGTGGGGAAGCCGAGAAGAGCCTGTTTTGGGTATTGTGAGTGACTTTGAGGCGAAGAAGAGCAAGATCAAGGCATACGCTGTCAATCAGCATCCGAATTCGTATCCGGTGCGTTGCGGTGTCAGTGTGGCTGACTTGTGCTAACGTAATTGATTAGACGATCGATGCACCGAGCTATAAGCTTGATGATTTGAAGAGCGGGACCGTAAAGGTATGTTATGGCCGTTGGCTCTCCGAACCCATGGTAATCGGTTTTAGGTTTTCCGAGTCGCCGAAGAGATGCGTTGAGAATTGTAAATTTACACGATATGTACATGGGATACGTTTGAACCACAGCTTTCGAGGTGCTCGCCTCGCAAACCTTCTGGCTTGCAACGCACAGGTTGAGCTCACAGAACGGCAGACACTTTGAACTATTTAAAGAATCACTTGTTTGAGACCTGTCTTCATTTTTTTCTTCTGGCCCGGTGCTGTTCTGTAGGTGTTATTATTGGCAATTGGGATCCTGCTTACGCACCCAGGATGATCCTTCTAAAGTTTCTGCCGATTCTTCTCATACTTTCCGCTGCTACAAGTTTGGCTGCGCCCATTCCATTGAATCCCTCTGCCACTAAACTTGGAAAGCGAGGGGCAGTTCTGGAAAAGCTCAAAGTGAGGTCATCCTTTTCTGACGCTCATAGTTGCTAAGGACATGTGTAGCCACATATCAAGGAAATTCTTATAAATGGTCTTGCTAGTTGGTCAGGCAACCGGGTGCAGAAAATGCAGAATGGCTCTGGGTACGCACCTCAGGGTGATGTTGGGATGTATGGCCAGTAGTGATAGAGCAATTTATATATCTAATGTATTGAGAAATACGTTGAGGGCCTGTGCGTCGAGCTGGTCCTCGTCGACGGCTTGGATACATCGTGAGATGGCAATGGTCTGCTTGGGAGTAGCAGTTTTAAACCAGATGCGACCGTTGACGCCAATGGCGGCGTCGAGAGCAAACTTGGTTCCTAGCAGTGGGAGGAGAAAGTGCGCTGGGTCGAGTAACCTGAACGATATTGAGTATACATCCAAAGGGGATGCAAAGCACATACTTGCGAGCCAGACCGAGCGAGCAGGAGATGACGAGACCTCCCTTGAGTTCACCGAACCCATCCGCCTTGCGTGTCTGCGCGTCAAAGCACTCGAGTTCTGGCTCGAGGTCCTTGTTGGCCAATGAAACACGCGCGTATACGAGTGAGCCAACCTTTGAATAGTCAATTTTGATGGCCCCTTTGTTGGCTCAAGGCGTACCTTTAGCTGCGGCCTATTCCGTTTCGAGGCGCCCTCAAAGGCCAATGCATCGAGAGTCGCTGGATGTGCAGAGCCAATATCTACGCGATATGATTCACCAGAACGAGCGGTGACGACTCCGACGACGGGTTCTTGTGCGGCTGGGACATACTGCAGATGGTGAGTGCGATGTATAAACAGAAAAGGGACAAGGGACAGACGCGTCGACCGTTTGATTCGACATAATACTTGTTTTTACCCGATTTATGGAGCGTGCCGGCGCGTGTAGCAATGATGGACGTCTGGCCGTCGCGGTCTCGCTGCTGATAAAGACCAGGTCCGAGTTTTAGATTTGAAAGTGTAGGAGGAGTAAGAATATGGCCAGGAAATACGTTTGTGGTGGCCATGGCTGCTAGTCGTCGGCGGGTGGCAGGAACAAGGCTCGCCTCAATGGGGAGTTTGCACCTTGACGCTGACCACGACGAGGACGAGTGCGATCCTAGTCTGATCTTTTTAAAGGAGCAATGTCTACGTTTGAACACCTCGTCGCAGACCTCACCCGCGATGTTCTGCGTGCTCAGCCGCGCGATGTCCTCCAATTCTGCGCGTCGTGGTTCAACTCGCGACTCGAAGAGCAGCGCACACGCATGCGCGACATTCTCAGTTCAACTTCGCATCCAAACATTGACGTAAACTTGTTCGAAGACGTTGCGCCCCATGCAAGTGGACCCCCGACATCTGCGCAGAGCCCTTTGACTGCAAACGCAGCCCCGAGACCGTCGCTGGTGCTCATGGATGGAACACCCGTCCTCACCAATCCCTTCGGCCCACAAAGCCAGCTGCACACCTATGCGCCCAACCAACACCCTCCCACCACAAACTCGGGCATTTCCAAGCGACCATTTGGATCCGTGCCGTTTGTGACAATCAGAGAGGACGAAGCACTCTCGCCGCACGCGTTTACAAACCCATTCGAGTCGTCGCCGTTTGAGAACAAGTCCAACGAGGCACCACCCCCGTCCGATTCGTTGCTTCCTCCTGGCTTGCTTGGACGACGCGTCTCCGTCTCTGCGGAATCTATCATCCCCAACAGTCACTCCGACACGCCGCTCCCGTTCCATCCCAAATCCACCGAACAGATTGCGCGCATCAAAGCCGCCATCAAGGAAAACTTTATCTTCCGCGACCTCGAGGAGAAGCAGTTGCAGTCTATCCTAGGTGCAATGGAGGAAACACACGTCGCCGACGGCGAAGTTGTGATCCGCCAGGGCGATCACGGAGACTACTTTTACGTCGTCGAGTCGGGGAGACTCGAAGTGTATATTACCTCGGAGACGTTGCCATTGCATGTAAGTCCCGAGCAAGCAAAGCAAAAGGGTGGCCTGGCCGGTTATCATCCCATTTTCGGCAAGAAAGTCGCGGAGAATGGACCCGGTAGTTCGTTTGGTGAACTGGCGCTCATGTACGGACATCCACGTGCGGCGACAGTCTTGGCCGTCGAGCCGTCGACCCTGTGGCGTTTGGATCGGATGAGCTTCCGCACGATTATCCTCAAGGCCGCCCACAAGCGACGGACCATGTACGAAGAGTTTCTCAGTACGGTCCCACTCTTGTCGAGCCTGTCGCCCGAGGAGCGTAGCAAGATTGCCGATGCGCTCATGAGCTGGACGGTCGAAGATGGCGATGCGGTGATTGAAGAGGGACAAGTCGGAGACATGTTTTATTTTGTGGAAGAGGGCGAAGCGATAGTGACAAAGAAGCAGGAAGATGGATCGGAGAAGACGGTCAATACATACAAAAAAGGAGACTACTTTGGCGGTACGTGTTTCAAATCTGCTTTTGGAGCGAGAGGACTTATGTTGTTAGAGTTGGCACTTCTTCGTCTCGAGCCCCGAGCGGCGACAGTTCGTGCCGTTGTTCGCGAGGGATCAAATGAGCCCAAGCTCAAAGTGGCTGCACTTGGTGTGGCTGCATTCACTCGACTTCTTGGTCCGATCCGGGATATCATGGAACGTAATGCGGGCGAGGCGTATGGTGGCCGGTAAGCAACTTGGGTTTCCCATTTGACACTGCTAATGGACATGTATAGATACAACTAGGATTCTTGGGTATGACACCGTCTCATTCTTTAGAGTACGGATAGAGAGTCGACTTTGGAGGAAAGGCATTACTTCTCATGCTTTGCTTCATCGAGGGCGACACAGATGCAAATCATCAGAGCGAGATCCACTGTATCCAAAACCGAGTGTGTGAATATGAGTCTAGTGCATTTTTGGAAGGATACTGACCGTTTGGTGCAACGGTGAGATAGTACGTCTGTTGACCCCACAGGAGGTCATTTGCGCTCCATTTTTGACGGGAGATGCGACCGACGACCATGCGTGTCCTCTCATCGATAATATCTGCGCGACTATGGATATGGTCAGTGGGGTGCGTATCTTTGTTATGATGTGAGTTCACCTTGATAAAAAATTGCCATTGAGGAGGAACTCTGAATGTGTATCAGTCAAGGAAGCACGTCAAGAGGTGGTTCGTACTTCGTTGTTGGCCAGAAATGTCTGTAAACGAAATGTCTGCGGTGACGCCGAGGAAGACGACGGGTTTGATGGTGGCAACGAGCTGTGTGGGTTTGTCGCCAGTGTAGACGGAATACTTTCTGAACAAGCTAAACTCGTGTCGAAAGTTGAGGATGGGAATGCCATTCATGTCTTGTAGGACTAGAAGGCTTTTTAGTTGAATCAAGGAGTATAGCAAGTACAAACCCTTTTTCTGCTTGAATGACATTGCACGTCCTTTGACTTGGAAAGAGGGATTGCCGTTGATGTCTGTGATATTAAACGAATCACCAGACCAGCCCACTTGTTCTTTCAGTCGCAGTGTAATCTCATAAGGATGGCATAATGCAGCTACGACGCCTGTGCGCTCTGGGAGAGGGGCGAGTGGTGGTGGGGGATGCTTTTGAGACGAGACTTCGTTGCCCATGGCGTTTGATTGTGGTATCTAGACCGTCGTGACCTCGAGTCTGGGCTTTATATCCGCCACCCAAAAGACGCCCGGAGTTAGTTTACCCGTCTTCTTGTCTATCTCCGAGTCGTTGACATGGAATTCCTCCCACGCTGTCCAATTTACCAGCTTGATCGGACCAGCCCAATTGGGTAATTTCCAGAGATTCACGATAAAACCTTTTTCTTGAGACGGATGACAGCCGAGTGGCGTAATCGACTTTGACCTCGACAACGATGAACTCGACGGAAAGCAGAGACAAGAAATCAAACACGACCATTGTTGATACTTCTGATGATCTCGTCACGTCTCCGGATCCAACTCATGTAAGCAATTACCGTTTTGTCAAGCCTTCTCATCGTTGATCTGTGGTAGCCAGCGAATCTGATCCCAGAACTCTGTCGCCATTTTTGGACGATTGGATGGGCTACAGGGACTGGTGGTGGGATTTCAATCCGGGACGAGTGAGCATCTTATGTACTTTTGTGCCTAGATTGACGAGATGTCAGTGACAAAGTATACATCGCACCCTCTGGAGTACAAAAAGAACGCATCAAACCAGAACACATCTTTGTTCTCCCTTACCCACAGTCTGAACCTCCTCTCGCCTCTACTGCAGACACGCGCACCTTTCTCCGCAAACCATCCATCCCACTCAAGGAATCCGCATGCACTCCACTCTTTTGGGCTGCATTCGACTTGCGAGACGCCAAGGCGTGCATCCACACCCATTCGCAGCACGCCGTCATGGCCACACTTCTCTGGCCAGGAAACGAATTTCGGATCGAAAAGTTGGAGATGATCAAGGGTGTAAGATGGGGTGGTGTCGAGGGTACGATGACCTATGAAGACGAGCTCGTGGTGCCCATCATCGAGAATACGCCACTTGAAGAGGATCTGAGGCATACGCTCGTCGAGGCGATGAAAGCATATCCAAAGGCTGCTGCAGTCCTCGTTCGTAGACATGGAGTCTACGTTTGGGGTGAGTTATTCTTTGATATATCATGATGAATTGGGACTAAGTCTGGTTCCTAGGCCCGAGTTGGGAGTCGGCAAAGACACAGGCAGAGTGCCTTGATTATCTCTTTGAACTAGGTGTCAAGATGAAACTCGCAAATGTGCTTTGAACCCTGTATCCAACCGTATTCGTACTTTGGTTAGGTCTCGTGTGGAGACGCATCCTAGACCCAATCATGAGCACACTCAAAGTTTCTCTCCCGCCTCATTTGCGTGAGGTTCTTGAACCATTGCTGGGAATATTACCCAAGGAACTTGATCTTCTTCTCGAATCCAGCCTCGCAAACGCCGAAATCGCATACGCCGTTATCGACGACGTGTCCAAATGGGCACACACGTCCTCGGGACAAGAGACTCTACAGTCCAAGAATCTGAGTACGTCTTAATAGTTCAAGGTGGAGTGAAAAAAAAGGACTAAAGTGATGGAGAAAAGATCCACGAGACTATGACCGTCTCGCGCTCCTAGCTGGGACCGTGACCGGTCCCTCTCAGCGTCTCCCGCCACCAGAACCTAAACCAGAACCTTGGGAAGTCGCTCAGGATGAGAAGAATACCCGACGCGCCATCGCAGCCCTCGTCAATGGCCTGTTCAGTGTTGTGGGCATCGCAACAGCCGTATGGTGGGCGAGCAAGACGACGGGATATTCTTACGAGACTGTAAGTATTCCTTGTTCATATAAAGTTTCATGGGTCGATCTAAATCCTGGGTAGAGAGTTGGCTTGGCCGTATGTGGAGGCTTGATCACGGCACTCGCAGAAGGTGGACTGTTTGCCATCTATTACAACCGTCGGGAAAGCAGAAGGTCGTACCGTGCCAAAGAACGTGAAAAGCACCATCGCAAGCTGCAAAGACGTTATCTCAAGAGTCTCAAAGAGACAACTGCGGATCACGATACTGTCTCAGAGACAATTCCAAAGGATGAATCAAAGGAGGAGAAAGTTCCAGAGGAGGACATACCACCTGCTGAAGAACCAGACAAGCCACTACGAAAGCGTGCGGTCGGGAATAGAGAAGAGGACGAATAGATTACTCTGCGTATATACACGACGCGTCGAGTTTGCCTTCACACAGTTCGTTCAGGTAATCTTCTGTCGCTGATCCAAGCACGCCGCGCTCGCAGTCCCAGATAAACCCCTCGACGGCCCACCGCCATCTCTATTTAGTGTCGTCAGACGATCGGTCCGAGAACCAGATCTAACAAAGGAGCGGAAGGCGACTCACCATGTGTACTCGCAACTCTTTATCCAGCGGCGTCACTGTTTTCCATTCATTTCCACCAACAAGCTGTCCACAGAAGATTCGATACGAGTCGAGCGCGTAGCGCCCCATCCCTGGAAGATGTGACACTGCTGTTGGGGGGTATTTGGCCACTCCTGTTCAATCCTTAGCTCAAGCAATATAATACGAAAACCACACCTTTGGCGACTTGAACTCTCGACGGGCGTAAACTCATTTGGTCCGGTGGGTCTTCGAGCCACATTGTCGCAAACTGAATCAGCCTCTGTGTCCTCTTCCGGCCAAGACCCAGAGGCGTAAGGAGTTCGAGTTCTGGAGCATGTGCTGGTAATAATATGTAAGAAAATTCTAAAAAGGTCTGAAATGACATACCTTGCGACAGCGCTTCCATCGTCGGCCACCGTGTCCTCACCTCGTTCAACACCGGCACCGCAGCTTTGCCTGAGGTCACATTGAGGAGTATCGTCGCTACGAGCAGCCACTCTGGTCGATGAAATAGAATCGCTACGTCTCGGTTCAGTACCAATTGACGTAATCACGGAAAGGAGAGAGCAGGCTCACATTGCACGATAAACGGCTTGACGAGGACCAAACGCATGATCATGGCGACATTTCGGTCGTGATGAGTGCGCAACGAGACTAGTTGTAGCGTGACTTTTTTCCTTGGCTTGGCCACAGCGTTGCGTTTAGACCTTGGAGACCTATTGGACTTCGATGGCGAAGTAGGGCTCGAAACTTCCTGAACCTCGGATACGAGCACGGTCTGTTCACCAACCGTCTCATCGAGCATTGGTGAGTCCAATTGGGGCGTCATTTGACGACCATGGGTAGGAGAAGGTGTGGCGGTATTTGTAATCGCACTGCCGTGGCGCAATTCGCGAGGCGGTTCCACCGTGGATCCGCTAGAGTATCTTGACCTTCTCGTTGGTGTCATTTCCTTCTCATTTCCTCGAAAATAGCGTGAACTGACGGCCATGTTTGTCCGTGTGCGGTAGTTGGCGCTGTCGGCATTCGCTGTTTATCAGGTGGCATGGAGGCCGCACGCGTTGATTGTTGCTTGATAGAATGAGCAGAAATTAATCCTGCTTTCTTTGATAGCGAGGACGAGAATGCGCTTAGAAGATCCCTGATTAGTTGGGGAGCGAGTTCAAACCCACTTTGATCCAAGACAGGAGTCAAGAGCGGCAAGAAGATGCAAGTATTCAAGGATTCAAGGTAACTAGCATATATACAGTGACATTATTATCATGTGATATGCCTAGACATGGGGGAGGAAATGCGACCATTCAACACCACGGTACGCTCCGGGTGGCAGATGCCTTAGTGTGGTAAATGCGAGTACCAAGGTGACGGCTCTCCCAACTAGGTAGATGAAAGCGAGCATCGAAAGCAGGATTGACAACGGTCGAAGAGAAATATTGAGAATTGCAAAAGCCAGTGGTGGCATTATAACTGGGATTCCAGTTAGTACTATTGAGAATATGCGCCAAAGCAATTGTTCCACAGCAGTTGGGAAGGACGACTCCATGCAAGGAAGTGAACAGCACCGAAAAGAGCGCCGCTGACAGTCAGAACCACTATGCTGGCCACAAAGCTGATCAAAGCTACAATAATACGTCGAGCTTTTCGATCGCGGAAAGCTTTGCCGAAAGCTTTGAGGCTACCCTCCCCACTGATTGTGTACATAACTACTTTGATGATTTCCGTTGATGGCTTTGAAGTTCTCTTGCGTAGTGGTCGTTTCTCTTGTTCCATAGGCTCTTTGTAGACAATACGCACCGCCTCCTCCACGCAGTAGGGTTTCTTCCACCAAAAGGCATAAGTCGCTATATTGATAATAATATACGCCAGAGTGACAATCTCAAGTTTGGTCAATGGTAGGTGCTGAATTTTGCGTCCAACACATTGAGTGACAAACCAAATGGTTTGAACAAGGACCAACAACTTCGCGATCTGATCGTGCTTGCTCTTGTCTTCAATCTCACGAGACCGAGGAATCTGTAGCTGTTTCGCCTTTAGAAGTTGTAATACGTCAAATTTGTCCAACGGATGATAAGAAACTTCATCCTCTTCAGTTGGAACAGAATTGTTCCCCACTGTAATAGGTTGAGACTCAGTGGGCCCAAGTGGATTAAACATTTCGATCCCAGGAGTTCTCGCGGGTTTGGCTTCACGGCCATGGAAACCACCCATGACAATAAAAAAGGTCTGATTGAGCGACAGGTCTACAAAGATGTTAGTTGTAGCAAGATCCTAAGACACAGGCGTACGCTTTGCCTCCAGTTTTAAGAAGGATGCAGAAATAAATTGAGAAATGCTGAAAATGAGAACCCATTCAGGGAAGAGCAATGCCAGGACAAATGGAAATAGGCGTCTCCGAACAAAGTGCCAAGCACGCGCCTGACTACTTTTCCACCACCCAAACCCCTTCATACTGAAGGGTTCAGGAACATCTGGATGCATCGAGACCCATGTACACAGAAATATAGTGCTAAGGCAGCTCCATATGATATCTGGTAGTGCCCTATACCGCAGGGCACAGTCTTGCGGCGCAATCACTGAATTTGACACAGCGTCTCGTGATGAAATTGCATAGGAAGCAAGTGAAAGTGCCATAATTGACTTGAAGGTATAATCCGTGTATTCAGAGGCTTCAACTGGCTCGTTTGATCAACTACTGGCCTGGGTCAAAGTGGGAGTGCAAAAAGTTATTGAAAGAAGGGTAAATGACTTAAATACCCAAGCTCATAGCGAAGGAGGGGTTTTGGCGCGGATCCAGTGCGGCAACGGTGATGATCATTAGCCGCTGGTTAAGGCAAGGAAGCCGCTGGTTAAGACTTATGCCACGAGGAAGCGCCTGGCATCAGGCTGACGGAGTCACGGTTTCAATGAGGTAAATGGGCCACCTGCATAGCCTACTCAGCTGCCCGGGACTAAGAGCGAGGAAAACGGATGGCTAGTGTAGCGCCCTCGTGCCCGAATGGCGCGGGGCCAGCCAGAGTCTCTCAGAGTTATTTGGCTAGCTTCTTACACTCTGTTTCGTCTCTGTCTCATCTCCATCACTCACGTTTCGACTCCATCCTTTCCGCGTTTCGTCTCGCGCTCTCGCGCGTATATAAAGCCTCTAATCATCGATAATTATGTACATAAGAAGAATTCCAGCTACTTTCTCGTCCAATGCTCGCCTACGGAGGCCTAAATTTCGTATTTCCTGCTAGCATAGCTAGTTATTTTCATTCACGCTCACTTGGCGTGTCTCGCCGGTAGCAGTGCTACCTCATTCGGTTTGTTAACGAACACCGTTTGAGGTATGCTCACTAATCGCTCACGCGCCACCGGAATACTCATACAATTACACTAGCTAACTTCCATTGTTCGTTAGCCAATATTTCCCTCTCGCCCCCCATTCCTTTCTTCTAATCTCACGTTACTCATCCTCGCCTCAACAAGCGTTCACTCTTTTCACTAGAAAGTGACTCTGATTGCTGTGAATAACTGATGAACATAGAATATGAGAAGAAAAGCAACGAGGTGGAGCCAAACGGATGCTCATCATCCAAAGAAACTGTTCGTTGGCCCTTTTGCATAGCCCAAAGAGCTAGTGTTGACCGGCTTGGATGTTTTCTCTAGCGTAGCCTTGCAGAGTCATCGCCGTATCGGAAGCAGCGGCATCACGTAGAGAAAGTGGAGATGTATGCGCAGTTAATTAGCTTAGATGCTGAACTATGGTGACCTTTTGCAACTTGAGATTGATTTGTGTCTATTTAGTAGGTATTCGACTAGAGAAATGTCGAATGGAAGTAGGTGGAATACGGGAAACAACTCACATTTTGGGGCAGTGGACCGCATTTATCGGCGGGACACGAATGAAAATTTTCCATTGCTTTTTGAGAATGAAATACGAGGAACTCTGTTACACGAGTTCGTGTTGACCTTACTGTCGTCTAGCCATGCAATCCCAAAGATACATTCAATCCGATAGAATACATGACACGTAATTCATGTAAATCCTGGCTTCGTGATATTGACATTTGGAGATGCGTTCCGGCAGTTCCAACGTACATCCACTAGAATATCTTGACTTTCTCGTTGGCGTCATTCTGTCACGGAACGCGGTGAAATCTATGCAGGAAGAGTAATAATTGACACAGTGACTCACATGCGCCACGTCGAGAAGCTGACGCGCCACCATAGACGGGTCCGCTCGACGGTAGCGGACCATACGGTGTCGCATATGGCCGACGACCTCTCGCTACCGTACGGAACCGAAGTAAATAGAATGTTAATTATGGGTAGGGTTAGGGTCGACGAGGATTCGACGTCAACACCTCGTCATCCGTCCGCTACTCCGCACCAGCCAATCGTCTCTCATCCCCTATGCCCTCTGCTCGCTGACTCTCATATCCGTTTGGTATCCGTAGATATTGCCAATGACTCGATAGGGGTCGCGAAACAATATATAAGGACCGATTTCCGCGTGTACATTTCGCTAGTTCTGAATCTGCTCTCATTCCGTTCTAGCACCCTCGCAAACTCCCGCTTAGTAATATATTAACCACGTGAGTTGTACTTTCCCACTCGGGCCTCCCACCTGTCAGACGAACCGCCGCGCGATTCGTAACACATTCCCTTCTCATTTCCTCGAAAATGGCATGAACTGACGGCCAAGTCGGCACTAAATCTAGCATCCGTTGTGCCTCTTATCGGCTCTAAGAGAGTTTGTTTGCGTGTGGTAGTTGGCTCTGTCAGCATTCGCCGTTTGGCAGGTGGCGAAGAGGCCGCGCCTTTTGATTTTCGTTTCATGAGGATGTTGAAAACGCTGTCTGTGTGTTAAGAATTCTGAAAACATGTACCATGAAGATAGTTGCCAAGTGGTTCAGAGCAGCCAGGAGCAAAATCCAAGACCCACTCTGGTCCACATTATTCAGAAATCGACTTCACGCGAGCATAAACACTCAAATCTGTCGATAACTATATACAGTAATCACTAGAAGATCTGAGTGCTCAGATATGTGGGAGAAAGTCCGACCAACCGACATCCCGGTATGCTTCGACGGGGAGGCACCTAAGCGTGGTGAAGGCTAGCGTTATAGTTGTAATCCTACCGACGATGTAAGCGAGTGGGAGGAGAGAGGATCCTGCCACCGCAAATTCGTAGGGTAGATTAAGTAGACGAGCAATAACGGCCAGAAGAATTAAGAAGGATATAGGAAATAGTGGTACTGCAACGAGTATGATCGTAGACATGTGCCAAAGCAGTCGTTCGGTGGAAGTTGGGAATGATGATGCCCACGCAAGAAAGTGAATAGAACCGAATATGACTCCAGTGACAATGAGAGCCATAATACTTTCACTATGAGCGGATTCGTTGTCTAGTCCTCCTGCGTCAAAGGTTGGGATACGCTTCAGCGTCCGGAAATCCGTGAAACGATCCTGGGCACCAAGAACATAGCAAAATGCTTTAAACAGCTTGCTTGTGTTCTCCGCATTCTTCCTGCATTTCTGTTGCTGTTCGTTGAGTGCAGGAAGCTCGTCATATACACGGACCGGCTCCATCACTTGGTAGGGCTTCTCCCACCACACGATATAGATTGCAACATTCACGAGGCTATAGGCTATGGTGATAACCTCGAGCTCGGTCAAGATTAGACCTTGCGCTTTGCGTCCAATACACTGACCAATGAACCAGGTCGTCTGAATGAGAACAAGTGATTTTGCGACCCAATCATTCTTGCTCCTATCTTCCAGTTCATTTGGACGAGGCATCTGCAATTTACCCGCATTTAGCAGGTAGATCACATCAAAGCGGTCCAGTGGGTGGCAAGGGAATTCGTCATCCTTGAATGCGAGAGATTGATTTTGAGTTGAATTGACTTTGATTGGCGCTTCATTTGTAGTAGGAAGGGTTTCGTGGGTCTCCGCTATTTCAGCTCTGCGCTCAAAGCGATGGAACCCACCCATGACAATGAAGAACGCCTGGTTGAGTGCAAGTCCTATACAAAATTCAGTCAATGCCGAGGTTAGGATCTATAAGTACCATGCTGCTTTGCCAGATAACGAGCAGAAAATAGCTGCCTAAGGCTGAAAGCTAGAACCCACTCGGGTGCGAGAAAGGCAACAAGAAATGGAGCTAAGCGACTGCTCATCACACGAAGGAAGTGTGTCTTGGCCTTTTTGCATCGCCCCAAAGAGCTAGTGTTTATTGGCTCGGGTACGTTGGGGTGCAAAGAGACCCAGGTACACAAAAATATGGTGATGAGACAGCTCCATATGATGGTTGGTAGAGACCTATACTGCCTAGCGTAGTCCTGCGGTGCCATCGCTGTATTGGACGCAACGGCATCACGCGTCGAAAGTGTGTAGACGAAGAGTGGAAATGCCATGTACAGTTAGTGGTGAGCCTTTGCAACTTGAGGTTGATTTGTGTTTGTTTAGTAGGTATTGGGCGGGATAGATGCTATATAAATGGCGAATGGAAGTAGGTGGAAGACGGGAAACAACCCGCATTTTGGGGCAGTGGACCGCATTTATCGGCGGGACAAGGATGAAGTATTTCTATTGCTTTTTGAGAGTAAAACATGAGGAACTCCGATTGTTACAAGAGTCCGTGTTGACCTTACTGTCGTCAAACCTAGACTATGCAATCCCAAAGATACATTAAACCTAATAGTACATGCCACGTAATCCATGCAAACCCCAACTTCGTCATGACATTGACATCCGTAAATGCGTTCTACGCTCTGAAGGATTGTCTCTATATACGTCTGCGGTATATATGCAACGTATGAATTAGATATGAGGGAAAAAACGCGACCATTCGATATTGTGAAAGGCCTTTGGCGGGAGATTTCGGAGTGACAGAGCTGCAATCATCAGAGTGATGAGCCTGCACATCACATAGATACTAGGCAGGGCGATTGCTGATAGAACCATCATCCAAGCAGTGACGGTTTTGTGCCTTCTACCCTTTGAGCGCAGAAAAGGTATCAGGATAATCAAAGGTGCCGCGCACATAAAAATTGTGGACATATTCCAGAGGATTTGCAACATTGTAGAGGAGAATGGGGAAAGAATGCCCAAGATGTGAGGTAATCCAAAGGCGATTGCAGTGGATGCCAGGGTCAGAGTCGTCCAGCTGTCGCCATCCTTTTCCGAGAATCGAAAACGTCCAGTGTAGAAAGAAGGAGTACTCAAACGCCTTCGTAGGTTCGTCCACTCATCCTGATCTCCGGTAATATACGCATAAAGCATATGGAGTAGATCGATCATACTCCCCTCTTCTTGGCAGAGATTTGCTCGTGCCGGAAGGTGTTCATAGACACGCACTGGCTCCGAAACCTGATAGGGTTTCTCCCACCATACAGCATAGATGATCAAGTTCATCAGCGTATACGCAAAAGTGATGATCTCCAGCTCTGACAAAGGTAGACGTTGCAGTACACGCCCAATACATTGAACAAAGAACCAGATAATCTGCGATAGAACGAGGAGTTTGGCGACCCAGTCACCTTTGCATTTGTCATCCAACTCGTTTGAGCGGATCAGTGTTAACTTCCCTACGTCGAGAAGGTATTTGACATCAAACGGGTCGAGGGGATGGATGGGAGTGTCGTAATCATCATGTTTTCCATCCGGCGGCGGAATACCGCGCTGAAAAAGATGATAGCCTCCCATTATAATGAAGAAGGCATGTTTGAGTGATATGTCTTTCACAATTGTCAATTTTATGAAGGCAAAGTCGGTAGCAACGTACTTAGATGACACTTCAGTCTGTAAGCCGATTGCAGTTGCAAAAGGCTCACACTGAGCACCCATTCAGGGGCAAGCAAGGCGCACAAAAAGGTAGGTAGACGACTCCGGATGAATCGGCGAGCGTAAGCAAGAAACGCCCAACGTTGCTTCAACCGTCCTGTGGTGAGCGGCTGGGGGATATTCGGGTGCATCGTTACCCAAATGCATAGAAATATTGTTGAGACGCAGCTCCATATGATGCTAAATAGCGTCCTGTACTGTTCGGCGTATTCTCGAGCCTCGCGAGATGTAGTCGTGGCGTTACGCATCGAAAGAGTGTAAATCGAAGTAGTAAAGAGCGTGTATCTGATAACACCAATGTTAGCGCAAGGGAATCGGAAGGCGAGGAGAGCGCCGACAGTGTTCAGCGAACCGGTTGATTATCGTAAAGATAGCGTTGAAACGAACTGGGGAAAGAGACTTCGAAATTATAGGACGAACAGGGAATGAAAGATGGGGCAAAACGCTTTGTCTCTGCGGGTATTATGTACACCACGGCGCTAAATAACTACAACAAGTGCCAGAAATGGCAGAATACAAAGATACTTTATGAGGAATTGGGAGGTTCGCATAGATACCGGTCACCAAAAACACAGCTATGGCGGTGCGAAAAACCCCGTGGCTGTCACACCAACGCCCACGACACCTGCGCTGGCACTTTTGCGGACGGTTCCCCCGCTGGTAATAGTCGCACGCCCTAGATTGATACTCTCTCTCCCGCTTGTGATTGTTCTCTTTCCTTTTCCATGTCCAGATGGATTGATGTCGACGCCCATCACCGGCGGCGCCTTTTCAATGGAGATGATGCTCCGCGTCTTCGGCATGCCTCGTAAACCCGTGCCTGTCCAACCACTCCCACTGGGTCCATGTGAGTTGTACGCCACGGAACGCGATCCGTATGGCGTTCGGGAACCAGCAGCACCGTCACGACTCTCTTGATACGCCTGTGACGATTCGCCAACTTGTGGATCAAGGAGAGCTCGAGATTTATTGCTACGTGTGACTTGAGTATTTCGATCTGCGTTGGAGGGATCCTTTGCTAGAGCTTGAGCGAGTAAAGCCATCGATGTAGTAGCGGATGATGGGGGTGGACCACGAGTCCGGCCTTGCGCACGACTCATCGGGCTGGTTGACGCAGCATTCGGGGAACTTGGCATGTTGGCCATTTGAGCCGCAGGTTTTCCCTTGTTCGCCGCCAAAGGGGCGGTGACCTCAGCCGAAATAGGTAATGATATGGGGTTTGGGATCGTCCCGTTCGCTTCTAGCAGTTCACCAGGAACAGCCTCTGTGACATCCCGAACCTCATCGAAAATTTCGTAATAATCCTCGATGCAGACACGGATGACAGTGCCAAGAGTCGTATTATGGGCCACAGTCGGGGAATGAGGATCTGAAAGATCAGGCTGTGGTTGATTTTGCATCATGATGTCCTTGGACCCTCTGCGCTGAGTGGTAGGTGAGGCGACCATGGACATTTGTACCGCGCGAAGTGGGTTATCGTTGGAAACAAGATTCGGCGTGAATACGATCGCGAGGTTATACGCATCCATGAGGTTGACTGATGAGCGAGCTGCAACGTCGTGAAGTAAATCTGTTCGACCGTGGTCAATACTTAATCGGAGAGAGATAGGATACCATACGTAGGACGACATTGAGCAGAATCTGTTTATTCCCCTCGAGCTCACCGATAATCTTTGTCTTGATATACTCCACAGCATCATCCCTCGTGTTCGGATTATCCGGATTTGGACAATTGCGAATCATCGCAAACATCGAGTCTAGGAAGATTGGTTGTGGAAGAGCGCGGAAGAATTTCTTGATCAAAACAGCACACAAATTGGCGTCATTGTACTGAGAGAGGTCCACAACTTGCCCTCGATCGTATGCTGCTTGAACTTGTTTCAACAGCGCACTCGACGGACTCCTCCTGAACAAGCCTTTGTCTTCCAGTGGTATCGTGTCATCCTCACGCCACGCACGAAGGTATGCGATGGCATCGCGGACAGGACGAGGAACACCACCACTCTCGCCCTCCATACCCATGATCTCGTCCAATGATGCGCCGAAGACAGAGGTAGCAGGTTGTTGGGAAGTCGGTAATGTAATCTCGCGCTCGAATTTGAGATTCTCGGCGTAGACAGCGGGATGAATATTGATCTGACTGAGCGGAACGTGCTTCGCAAGGTCAGAGAGTGTGGAGATGTACTCGAGCTTGGCGTAGAATTTTGGACTGATAATGGCGCCTGCCAACGAAAAGAGCATCTTGGAAAAGCCAGTAGAATGGACGATGTACTATTTATAACGTCAGTTGAACTCGACCCTAGGGCTGATCGACTTGCCAGCTTTTTGAGGTTTTTACGGTACTTTCTGCTCAAACTTCTGTAGGCCTTCCATATCCAACTCCAGCCAGGCGAGAAGCGACCGCCCGCCGCGAGAAAGACGACACAATAGTCGGCCTCAACTGTACAATTAATATCAGTCAGAGGCGCGCGGTGCGCCGAAGGTAACTAGCCATAGAGATCTAAATATTCAAGAATAAGTCTAATTTCTTTCGTCAGATGGAATTGGTAGAAATGGCAGGAGTAGCTTACTGAAGCAAAACGTCGTAATCGACGTGATCGGGGTTCGGAAGTGCCGCAGCTGTCATAACTACCATTGGACGTGTCCTATCATCCACGTTGTCCCATTAAACATCCAGATATGCACGGTTTCAGTAACCAGTAAGAGGAACGATCTTCAACGCAGGCGAAACACTGACTCGAAATCCAATCCGCCATTGAAGATGACCGAATTCATGATTTTCTGCATGTCTTCGTCTAGTTCCCCGGCATCCCATTCGCGTTCCTTGCCCTTGGAGCTCTGCGTCTGCGCAGGAGTAGGATGATAGTGTTGCGCCTGTTCGTCGGCGTGAAGCCAGCGCGCGAGGATGCCACGCTTCTTTGCTGGGCCCATTGATGTAGGAGAGAATGTAGCGGGATTTGATGAGACAGAAGGCGTCGCGGGCGCGGCAAGGCTTGACAGCTTTTGTCGTAGCGTCGTGCTCAGTGGGTTTGGACGCGGCATGTTGCTCGGGGTATTAGGTGCTCTCGTGTTTCTAGCACAATATTTGACAAGAGTCTGGTGAACCTGAGACAAAAGGTCGAAAACGCCAGATAAGGTCGGGAGCAAGTCAAAGTGCACAGCCAGCTCAAGCAAGCTTCAAGGGTTTGTAGGTATATCACAGCTCGGAACCTATTGGGATATTCTAGACCGACTAGAAACACCGGAGCTTTTACACGAGCGGAGGCAGCTTGACAGCGCAGGTTCGGATGAAAGCAGGAATGAATGACTATATAATCGTATGTCCGTATGTACTCGGCTATGATATGAGACCGAGCGCAAAGCCCTACAAACTCCAGTTGTCCAAATCATCAACCAAGACCGCCGCCACTTCCTCGATGCCTTTGTCCGAAAAGGTGCGGATCTTTCTCGCGGTCCCAAAAGTGCACTTTGCTAGATCTTCCTCGTTGGTGGACTCGCTCAGATCGGTCGAGCACGACCCAACGTTGTACGCCGCAACATAAGAGGGGCCGTCGCAAGCTGGAACGCTGATAGTGTACTGAGTGGTGCCTTTGATTAGCTGAGCAGAGATATAGGTCGACGTATACGTATACTCTGGGTCCTCGTCTGTAGAGGTCGAGTTACGAGCAGCACAGAGCTGCTCGATCGTGATAAAGGGAGTGCTAGCGCCAACAGAGGCCACAACTGGTGCCGCGATGTGTAGAGTGTACCGCGAGTCGCCGGAAGAAACTGTCGCAAGGGTTTGCTGCAACCAATTAGACAAGATTATAGCACGAGAACTAAATACGTACCGAGAGCGTCCCCTTCATGTTCGCCTTGTCGAACAGTGAGCTCGCAGCTCTCGAACCTTGCACCGTCTTGGCTCTCGAACCCACGACATCATCTCTGAGTGGTCCATTGGGACCAGAAACGAGCTCGCACTGCTTGTAAATAAAGTACCACCAGCAGTTTGTCGAGCCTTTGTTGCCCCAACTGCCCTTGTAATTCAGCCAGGCCAAGCTGTCGCTGTACGTGTCCGGATAGTTGATCGTGACGAGGTTATTTTGCGTATCCCAGTAAACTCCGTTATCGGACGTAGAGTCTTGTAGCTTCAAGACGACGGCATCAATATAAGTAAAGGTGCCCGCGCTGGACCACATCCCGTGCGACCCTTGCGCGACATAAGCTACCGGTCGAGCATTCGAGTCAGAGTTATTTGGATCGGGATTACTAGATGGAGAAGATGGAGAGAATTTGGGTGCTTGTGCATAAGGAATCGTGCCGGAGCCTTTGTCGTCATGTGCGTGATAATCTATCGATGTTGCTACACCGTTGACCGTGCGAATGGTGATTCGTTCCCAGTCGCCCACATCTAAATATTCGTCAGCACATCATGAACCATAGAATTCACGGACGTACGATTTCCCATCCACCCTAGCACAGGAATCTTCTTTCCGAGATTGTATGGGCAATAGATCCAGTAATAAAGGTCGACAACGCCGTTGTCCTTTGGGGCAATGAAGACATATGTCGACGTCTGAGTAGAGCTAGGATTCTGCCCACGCAAGAATTCATTAAGATTGGCGTTCACATCTGTAGACATGTAGGTGCCCACGCCGTTATCGCTGGCCGTATCCATTTTGGTAGCGACAACTTTTCCAGAGCTGTCCTTGACCGTGACGGGTCCATTGACAAAGTACTCGACTGTCGATGGGAAATAGACTTCATCCTTGTGGAATCGAAATTGCGGTGCATATTTCTTTGCGAGGAGGACGTTCTGGTCGGTCGGCGCCGCGCGGACTTGGATGGTGTAGAGTGCGCAAAAGACAAAGGAGATGAGATATAAGAGAGACTGTTCCACGTTCAGTACGTCCAAAAACCGTCAAGCGGGGGCGGCAAACTGACCATAATGCCGGAAAGGAGGGTGAAACGTAACGAACGTGATTGGGGGATCCTTCAAGCAAAGATCAACCCGGTCTGGTCCAAGATATATGCGTCTAACTGGACGCTAGTTGAGGAAGGGAGGTCCAACCTGGCTAACGTTCGCCCAACCTTCCGTCCGTCCACGGCATCAGAAAACCGGCGTGTATGAACCTCCACGAACACCATTCAGTCCATTCCTAACGCCATTCACGGGTTTTGCGCAGTTTGCTCGTCGTCGCAACCGGCGCCTTGGCTTTGCAGGCATTCGGGAGGCCGAACTCCCGGTCAGCCTTCTGGTAAGGCAACCCGCGTGGTTCAATCAAACAAAACGAATAGGATTTATTTGTGTCATGTTTGCGATCGATGGACAGTACGGCCCATGTGGTACGGGTCCAAGAAGCAGGGGATGCAGTGGGAACCGCGCACGGAGTGTCTCGGGTAAGATTATTCGACATGGGAACGAAAAACGAGCTATGGGTTGGATTGGTTAGCCATACATACAACGTCTGATCAAAGTCCATGCTCTGATACCATCACTCCATAATGGACGGCTTCCGAAAGCATTCTTCTCACCTTTTCACATGAAGTTCAGAATGTAAGAGATTGAACGCGTTATTTTGGACAGGTTCCCCTGACGTGCATGCCTCTTAAGGTCAGCTCTCGCGGTCCATGACCCGCAGCACCTCTTTGGTCTCTTCACTCCTTTCCGCCCTGCAAGATAGCTAAGATGGTAAGATATTCCATAATATACCTCCATCTCTACTCACCTCCATAGTCTCTCCTTGTATACACACTCCTTTCACTTTGCCTACTTGCCATAGGTGCTGTCAGCGCGCCCACACCAGCAAACATCTTATTGGCACAGAAGTACGCCCCGCAGTTCCGGTTCCATAAATCCGAGACCTACTTTCCATCGACAATCGAATTCTTCCTGGCAGGCGGGGGTGGCGTCAAAGCGTACGATGCCAATGGACCCATCAGCGGCGCTCCATTTCCTCTCACAACCGCCAACTTGGGTGACCTAGCGAACAGAGGGTCAGGAATGTATCTAACCACCGACGTAAAGGCCAACCTGAACGGCTTCCTACTCGGCCAGAATCCCAACAGTGGCGCAGGCTCGACTTATGTCTTTATTGCCCCCAAGGCCAATGGAGTCGTCGATCTGTACTACTGGATCTTCTGTCCATATAACCAAGGAAAGAAAATTATAGTGCTGGGCTATGTCGGAGACCGTAAGCATGCAGTTCTCGATGCTATCGAAAATATAACTAACGAAAATAGATATCGGAGACTGGGAGCGAATCACTGTGCGTACAGTGAATGGCGTTGCTACTTCGGTCGACTACCACGCGCACGGCGACACGGGTTCGGGCACAATCCCTTGGTCCCAAACACCTAAATTTATCCCATCCTCTCCTAACAGCCCGCCCTCGACGAGCACGACAGATCCTACGGCGCGTCCAGTCGCCTATGTGGCGCAAGGCTCACATGGGATGTGGTCCAGCGCTGGCTCGTTTACATACGTCAACGCCATCATCTTCCAGCTGAAGGATACTACTTCGGATGGAGGCGTTTACTGGGACACTGTGAATGCGTTGACGACGATTGGTTACCCAGACACATATTCGGGTAGCCAGAATTGGCTCAACTACGTGGGTGCATGGGGCAACAAGGGCGTGAACAATTGTTGGTGGTATGGGATTCACGACGAGTGCGAGTTAGTCGATGGACCGACAGGGCCCGTGCGTGCAGATTTGCTTGGAGCTGCCAAGACGTCCGGGTCACTGTTCGCCAAAGCGAGCGCAGATTTACCGTCTGTGAGTGCGATATTGTGTGGCAAAGGAATGGTATTTACCTATCCCTAGCACGTCCTCGCAACTCCTTCGACCGATTCATCTACATATAAAGTCCACCTGGAAACGCCCCTGATTTCGAATGCAGCACTGGGAGTCTCGTATTTGGCAGTTGAGCAACTGTGCGCGACACTTAACCAAACAGCAACCCAGGACACCTCCCTTCCCGTATACTCGTTTACGCCGAAGTATATGGCATTTCCTCTCAAACGTACAGCCGAGTACACTCTTTCTGTCCAGGCATGCGACGAAGGCTCGTTTGTGTACGCGTATGCTGTCGGATACTGCACAAATTCACTCGACGAGGAGGCAGATAGCGTTGATGGATGCAACTTTGGCCAGCGTCGCAAGATCCGGGCGTTTTCTAATGACGTCGTAGGTGCGCAAGAGGTTCGTGCAGTTGTGACGGAGGATTTGGACAATTGGGTATTGTAACCATATTGTAGCTTGGTGGTTGTGGAATCCAAGTTCGACCTGAACCTACCAAGTTAAACTGACTCAGGAGATTAAAGGCTTGTCGTTTTATTACCAGCTTCCGATGCCAATTCGGTACATATCCGCGCCTTTGCAAATGCTCTATATGGTAAATGAGTATTCTTCCACACCAAGGCACTGCAGGGCAATCATTTACCTCTTCAAGCAATAGGGTCAGGGTACCCGAGTCGTCGCAAACGGAGGGGAAATCTTCTCTGGCAAGTACTACCGCGGATCAAAGTTCGCAGAGCGGACGGCCCAATGGCCTGGACAAGATAGTTTATGCAGACCCCCCAAATACTATTTAGCATGGCCAAGTTTAATTGTTCTCGCCTAACGCTCTAAAGGCAACTGGCGAGCCGAGACGTGGACACAGGGGTTCTCGACTAGCTCGAGCCCTTGGTCTCATACAGTTCAATTTCTAGAATTGGAGAGACTTTTCATATGAAAAGAGCTCGATAAAGGAGCGATTTGCAGGGAATGCGAACATCTCGGTGGAAGGCTTGAGAGTCGTCTCACCAAAAGTGGATGCCGCCTTCGACTATTGCATCATTTGAATCGGATTTGTATAGAGAACATTAAAGATTTGACCGCGATCTTTTCGCAGAAGAGATGAAGACGTAAATGTCCCCTTTATTTCCTCAAATGACGTGACTGAACCCTTGCCGAACGTTTGGACATTTGAAATGCTTTGGTCGAGAAGGTCTAGGAGTGCAATGATGTCCTTAAACTGAGAGGGCATCTAGCTGTTAAGCGATTCGAAAATCATGACTACGACATGGTGACAACGGTCCGGCAACAGATACTCGACGGCAAACGCCGAGACCCTAGAAGCTTTCGAATCACGAACAGGTACTAGCGTAGATCTCGGTTAGACTCTCCCCAATCAAGGCACCTGGACCTTGTGGCCACGCATTTATATAGGTAGACTCAAAAGATCGAGTCCCAATGCATCTCCTTCATGTCTGCTTCAGCCCAATCGCCAATTTCTCCCCAGTTCAATGCCCTTATTGTATCCGCCTTGGAAGGGACGTTCTATATCATGCTTGCGGCCCTGGTGATCTGGCTCTGGGATATACTACTGAATCTAGATGTGGAAATCTCGGTCATGTGGTCACGGAAGGGTGCTATCGCCAAGACCTTTTACGCTCTGGTGCGGCCGTTGCTTTTAAAGGGTATAGCATATTAATTCGACATCCCAAGATCCGTTATTGTCCATTGTTTGTCGTCTTGCCCAATGTTTTGAGTTGGTAGCCTTTGGAAGTCATCGACCCACGAGACTGAAAACATTTGACAGTATACAACCCTATACGGACCAATCCACCATCAGATAATGTAATATTATTCTCTATGTATTCATAAACTGACGATTCTCCAGCTGTATGTCCTCCAAACTGCCCCTCATGCCAACTGAGATCCTGTCAGCTGTCATCATCTCTACTTTATTATTCTGTTGACTCAAGGGATTGGAAATATGGTTGTGACGAGTAAGTGCAGCTTTCCCAACAGCGTGATGAGCTAAATCTTCCGCGCCCACTCAGCCGTATTCGCCCTCCGTGTATACACTCTCTACGTCAATAGCAAGGCAATAAGAAAGCTTCTCGTAGTAGCGATAGCCGCTTTACATCTGGTACTCTTAGGCACTACCCTTGCAACGGCCATTACCGTTTCTAGTGCGTCGTTCTTTGGGGCCATGCCCATCTCTTACCTATTCCCCAGGGGAGATGATTTCGGTGCCTCCGTTCAATATCTGTTTCGACCCTGGCGTTCCACTAAAGACCTTTTCCCTTTGGTACGGATCTACGGTAGGGGCAGTTTTTAGCTGAACTTACAGTCTGCTCATGGGAACAAAGTTGGTAGCAGAAACAATTATTGTTGCAGTGACTCTTTACCACGCGGTCCAGTTTCATCGCGCATCGTTTAGTCTCAAGGGAACCGCCCCGGGGATCGTTATCGCAACGCTACACAGAGATGGATTCAGCTACTTTGCGGTGCGTTACGTAGGCGGGGGGTAATTGGGATATTGACGCCTTTTTAGTTCATCTTCTCGACCAGATTGGTCCTCTGCATTCTGGCAAGTCTCAAGAACCAGTCAACCGAGCCGTTTGAGCTGATATGACTCGTAGATGTGGGGTGTCTCATCATTGATCGTACCAATCTTGACAAGCCTCGAGTTCGCCTTGATGAGTACGCTCACCAGCCGTTGGCTTCTCTCTTTCCGACAACTCGCAATATCCGTGTGGGGCGACTCCCAGACCATCCAAGCAGAATGTACAACGAGTCATTCGATCACTCGTCCTCCGACTAGCACCATTGATGCTGTTACCCATAGCCTGGGCTTTTCTGCGTGGGAGCCCACCGGAGTCGAACATCCTCTGCAAGAACTAAGCGACTTGTATACAATTCGGTAGGCAGAGAGATACCTGCGCTTCATAATAACTCTTCATATCGGCCTAGAGGGACCGCCTCTGGTCACCGCCGCCCACGTCACTTTCCCTCCCCTTTCTCTGAACAACCCAGACTTCTGCCTGGCACAGAGCTCGTAGGGGATGTGGTCGAATCAATCTGACTCTTACATATACTGTTATTTGCAGCTCAGGGCCGCTCAGAAAATCCCCAGATGTACATAATAGCAATAATCGATTGTAACAATCTGTAAACAGAGCCGTATTTGTGGCTATTCTTAGATATGTAACAGGTTTAGATCACTGTTTGCAAAAGCGAGCGTAGATGCACCCTTGGAAGGTAAGGCTGATGGATGTAACTTTCGTGCGTTTTGTGGCAATGCTGTAAAAGTGTGCAAGAAGTAGAATCGAATGTTCTCACAAACTGTTCCGAGCATGCATTCTTGTGAGATATGGTAAGCAATCATGATGATTCAGCAAGCTCATCTCGGTCCTGTGAATGATTTCTATTGATTCCGATGCCGATCTTGTGTACTTACGGATCGGAACGGATATGGGCTGCCGTGGAGCCGTCGCTTGCTTTCGACCTCTGAACAGCTGCTGACCAACATTTTCCGAAAACTCGCAATACAAACGTCCGACACTGCGATGACAAATGCTGTTGAAGCGCCTCTTCAGATACTCCGATAGCGGGCGTATATAAACAAGCACAACCGATGGCGAAATCGATGACCACACTCTATCGTAACTCCTCGACTCCAACGACCTCAACTCTCGCCAGAAATGAGTAACGTACACTACAAAACAGTCCCAAATGTTGAAGGTTTCTACTCTCTCAACGAGCCTGCAATTGGTTCTGCTGTTCATCTTGTACGTTTGCTCAAACTCCGTGTTACACGGAGTAACCGGTTCTTGCTAGAACGACAGCACTCCAAAGCTCTTCCAACCCTTGACAATCCGGGATGCAACATTTAAGAATCGTATCTGGGTCAGCCCCATGTGCCAGTACTCGAGCAAGGATGGGTTTGCGTCCGATTGGCATCTCGTGCATTTGGGCGTGCGTCTTTGATCTATTTGTGTAGCTGATACTGATGGTATTTAGGGATTCGCTACCCGGGGTGCGGGTGCCATCACTGTGGAAGCCTCAGCCGTCGTTCCAGAAGGCCGCATCTCTCCTGAAGATCTAGGTATCTGGTCAGACGAACACATTGCTCCCTTGAAGCGAATCGTCGACTTTGTGCATACGCAAGGTACTCTGATTGGCATTCAGCTCGCACATGCGGGTAGGAAAGCATCGACGTGGGCTCCATGGGTGGCCATGCATTTGAACGGAGCACCAACAGTCAAAAATCACGAGGTGCCAAAGGAACTTGGTGGCTGGCCTGGAAAAGGTGAGCGATACACTTCGGTTTAAGAGTGGCGGCTCATATGGGATTCAGTCTACGGGCCCTCTGCTATCAAATGGTCGGATGACTACCCAGAGGTAACAGAGATTACACTCGAGGGAATCCAAACTGTCAAGGACGCCTTTGTGGCCGCAGCGAAACGGTGTAAAGAAATCGGCTGTACGTTTATGTGTCCCGTTTCTCGTTCATATCCATTCTCATTTCACTTCTAGTCGACTTCATCGAGCTCCACGGTGCCCATGGATATCTTATGAACGAGTTTATGTCTCCCGTTTCCAACCACCGCACCGACCAATACGGTGGAAGCCTCGCCAACCGTATGCGCCTCCCGCTCGAAATTACGCAAGCAGTTCGCGCCGTATGGGACAAGCCACTCTTCTTCCGTATCTCTGCAACAGAATGGGCCGAGCACGAGCTTGGTCCAGAAAAGGATGAAAGCAGTGGAGAATACAAATGGTGGGGAATAGAACAGACGAATATTCTCGCAGGAGAGTTGAAGAATGCTGGTGTCGATCTATTGGACGTGAGTTCTGGAGGAAACTATTCCAAGCAGAAGATTACGGTTGGGCCAGCGTACCAGGTCTGTGTCTCCTCCTGTACTCACTTCTTTCGACTTATTGTCTCTTATAGGCGCCCTTTGCTGAAGCCGTCAAAAAGGCGCACCCCGATTTGCTCGTCGGAACTGTTGGATTGATCACCGAACCACAACAAGCCGAGGATCTTCTCCAGCAAGGCAAAGGAGACGTGGTCTACCTTGCCAGAGAACTCCTTAGACGGGTCGATTTCCCTCTCATCGCGGCAAGCGAACTCGGCGCTGTCGTCAAACCAGCCAATCAATATCAACTCGCGTGGAGGCGTATGCTACACAAGGCCTAATCTTCTATGTCGATTGTAATTCCAACATGTACATAGAGCTACAACGAGTAAAACAACATCAGATTGCATCAAGCGTGAAATAAAGGATACAGCCAAAAGGATACAATCCTGAGTGAAGAAATGTACAATTCATCATTTGCGCGACCTCCGACTCGAAAGTGACCCGGATCCATGCGACCGAATCGAGGGCTTACGGCGAGCAGCAATGTCCGCAAGGATGCCACCAGAAACCGACGACGCCTCATGATCCACACACGTAAAATCAATCTCCTGAGTATACAACTGGCGTGCGTGCTTTTCCACTCGTTCCATCGCCTCGCCCATCTCCCATTCCTCCGAATCCTCGCCGTGTAAGAGGAGCGTCTCGCCACTGGGTAATGTGACCCGTCGGACATTGTCATTTTGTGGTTCGGAACAGTCGAGGAATTCGGAGACGCCGTCTTCATCTTCACTTGAGTGAGAGTTTTCCGACACGGTGGAGAGTGAAGGTGCGACGCTGCTTACAAAGGAACACCGCGAGGCGTCCCTACGATGTCCGCTACCGGTGTGCATCTGTGGACGGCGCGAGAGGGATTGTGCGCGTCCGGCGCGGGAGACGTCTACGAGTTGTGAGAGATCGTTCGAGTCGTTATTAGAAACTTTTAGAGGTGTAGCGACTCCATTGGCTGAGAGCTCGAGCCCGAGTCCCTCTGCGAGCTCGGTGAGTTGCTTCATGTGATCCTCGTGTGGAGAGTCCAAGATTTTGTCTTTGATGGGCGGTGGAGGTGAGACAGCGCAAAGTTGAAGCTCGTGGCGTAGTGGAGAGGGCGTGATGGGGGACGTTGTCGTCCTGATCGGTGAGATGGGTGTCGTGGTCGATGGCTTGTCGGCGTATGCCTGGACGGGCTTGCGGCGCACGCGATGCTGCGACGAGGTGGAAGAAGAGATGGAGCGGAGACTGGTCGTTGGGCTCTGCAAAGGAGCTTCTAGCGTGGTCATACTGTATGCTGGACTCGAAGGGTCGTACGTCTGGTACATTGACGTTGGTGGCGTTGGTGGCTGGATGGTAATGACTGGAATTAAGGGTGATGTAGGCGACATACGTTGTGTCCCACCACGGGAAACACTCGTGGCACTGCGGCCAAGCGCTGAGGATGCCGTGTTCCGTGGGCTACTGTAAGAAAGAGATTTAGCTATTGATCGTCAGTATACATCCAGGAAAGCGGCGAGGGTATCTTACAGCGACGATGATCACCTGGAATTGGCGGGAGTGACTTGCTGTGTGCATCACGTATAGGAAGTGGATCCTCCTTGACGACTCGTTCCGTATCGATGCGAATGCCGTAAAGAAGGGACGAAGAAGGTCTGGTGACAGCAATCTCCTCTGCATCGTACACCTCGCGTCCAATGATATCGAAATCCCCTTCGTGAATACGAGGACGGGAAAAGGGCATGGAGGAGGGTGCCTTGCGAGAGGCCCACCTCCGAAGAGCCTGAGTGGTGGGTCGCGCAAGCCACGCCTTGATTTTCTCGCGGGTGCCAGAGATGCAGGTCGCATCCGTGTTTGGATGCAGCTTGCTATTGTCAGGGAATGCCTGCCTGATGGGTGAGTCGTGCCACAAAGGGACGGCGGTGGTTCCAGGTGATTCTGAGAACGAGTGGGCAAGTTCTCGACGTGGAGGTGTACTGTTGGCGTTGCCTGAGGGCGTTATTCCGTGGCTGGGGGGTGTCGGATGGGATTGGGGAATCGAAGTCATCATCAGCCTCGTCAACTCTGATAGCGGATTGGGTTGAACATTCGTATCGTTTTCGTTCAAGTCGTATACTTCGGCGGGCATGGGTGCAATCAACCCCTTGCGCTGCATGTAGTCGCTTACGACGCGCAGCGACATGAGTGGATCCCGTGCGCTTTCGTCAGATTGAAGGAAATAGTCGATAAGACGGAAGAGATCCATGAGTGCCTTGTTGATCTCGACTTGGTTTCGATGGTGAATAAAGTACGGACGAGCCGTGGCGTCCATCTGGTCTACAGGGACAAAATCCATGAAAATTTCGTGAAAAAAGAGTGGGTAAAGAAGAAAGAGAAGAGGGAAAGGGTATGTGGGCTGAGTATACGCACGGCAGCTTTATAGAGGTATGGATGGGCGTCACACCCATTTGAGTGCCAATTGTCCATGTCAATCTCTGCATCGCTTCTTCTGCCTCGAGGCTACTCGTTTTCTCAACCGGAGTGACCGCGCCGCTGTCTCGCGGGAGATAGACGCCCTCTGGACGAATCGTCGGCGTCGAATATCCACCCTGGGCTAACAGACGCCCAGGGTCTGTGTCAGATGCCCAGATCGAGGCAGGGGTGACTATCCATCCCGGTTTTCCAGCGGCTCTGGTGGCAGACAGGTGAGGTGCCACACAAAGCGTAACCTTTCGTGTCGAATGTAGTCCCTACGTCTAAGTGTTAGAGACCAAATCGCTAGAAGAAGTAAAAAGAACATTAATTGCATCAAGTTGGAAGTAAAGATTACAGTAAATGGATACAATCCTGAACGAAGAAATGTGCATCAAGCAGGACGTAAAGAATACGGTAGATGGATACAATCCTGGGTGAAGAAATGTGCACCAACCACTACAGCCATGTGCGCGGTCTCTGACTCGAAAGTGACCCGGATCCATGGGACCGAATGACTGGCTTGCGTCGAGCAGCAATATCCGCGAGGATGTCACCCAAAGCCGGCGACGCCTCGTGATTCTCATGCTTCAACTCAAAATCCTCATTGAACAGTCTACCTGCGCGCTTTTCCATCCGTTCCTTCCGTTTGCCCATCTTCTCTCCCTCCAAATCCTCGCCATGCGTTTGGCCACTGAGCACCGTAACGCATCCGAGTTTCTCTTGCACTTCTTGACGGTCGAGAAACTCAGACACATGATCTTCCTTATCTTCACTCCAGTGAGAGCATTCCTCGACGGCGAGGAGCAAAGGTGCGGCGCTGGTCACAACCGGGGATCTCGAGACGTCCCTACGATGTACAAGACTACCGCTGCTCCCGTTGTTCCCTGTATCCACCCGCGAGCGACGTGAGAGCGAAGGTGTACGTCCAACACCGGAGACGTCGCGGAGATCTGAGGGATCATTTGGGTCGTCTCCCCGAGTCGAAGATTGAGGACCTTGGTCTTGTTGCATAGGTTTTGCAGCTCTATCAGCTAAGGAATCGAGTTGATGCCCCTCAATGAGCTGCGCCATTTGCCTCGTATGATCCTGGTGCGAAGATTCCGAGCCGCTCATTGTTGGCAACGCATCATGAAGGTGAAGCTGGCGGCGTAGAGGCGAAGGTGTAATAGGAGACACCGCCATCCTAACCGGTGACATATGGGACATGGCTGATGGCTTGTCTGGCACGTCGGCATATGCCCGGACAGGCTTGCGGTGCCCACGATGCTGGGACGAGGCGGGGCGGAGACTGGTCGTCTGGATCTGCAAGGGTGCCTTCCGTGGGCTGCTGCTGGAAAGAGACTTGGCTAATTGGTCATCAGTATACATTCGGGAAAGCGGAAACAGCATCTTACAGCGAATATGGCCACCCGGAGGTGGCGGGAGTGGCTTGTCCCGTGCAGAGCGCACTGAAAGGAGATCCTCTTTGACGGCCTGTTCTATGTCGGCACTAGCGCCATAGGGGAGGAGGGGCGAAGTTCGAGTGGTACCACGTTCTTCTGCACTATACAGCTCGCGTCCAACGATTTCGAAATCCTCTTCACTAACACGAGGACGGGTGAAAGATGGGGAGGGTAGGTTACCAGACACCCACGTCCAAAGAGCCCGTGTGTTAGATCGAGCACGCCAGGCCTTGAGTTTCTCGCGGATGACAGAGATGTAGGACGCATCCATGTCCGAATCCCTCTGGTTCTGATCTGGGAACGGTCCCTCGATGGGGGTGTGTGCGAGAATTGGGCGGTAGTTGTGGTAGGTGAATCGATGGGGGAGTGGGCACGCGCTCGATGTGAACTTTGATTGACGACGTTTCCTGGTACTGCTTGCATGGGGCTAGCAGACGTTGCACCGGCAGGAGGAAACAAAGACATCCACAACTCTAGTAGGGGGTTGGATTGAAAAGCCCTCTCAGGAGCCGTAGCGTTTTCGTAAAATTCATGCGGCTCTGCGGGCATAGGTGAAATGAGGCCCCTACGCTGCAGGCCATCGCTCAAAGTGCGCAGCGACACCAGGAGCTCTTGCGCATCTTTATCGGATTGGAGGAGACGGTCGACGAGAAGAAAGAGATTCAAGACTGCCTTGTTGATTTCCACTTGGGTTTGATGGTGAGCAAGGTACGGACGAGTGTCGGTGGCGTCCATCTGGTCTACAGGGACGGAATGCACGTAAATGCCGTCAAAACAGCAATAATGAAAGGGGAAAGGGAAAGGGAAGGAAGGCGTGTGGGATGAGTATACGTACCGCAGGCTTGTTTTATAGGGATGGGCGTCATGCCAGTATTTCCGGGGGCAACGTGATCGCTGCGTAGCTTGAACGGCACACTTGTTAATCGACCAGTCCTACGATATAATATTCATCGCTTTTCCAGACTCCAGGTTGCGCGGCTGCTGGTTCGCGGGAGATAGACGCTCTCTTGACGAATCGTTGGCGTCGAACCTGCAACGTGAGCGCTATAGAAGCGCAGGCTCTGTGGCAGATGCTCATACTGAGGCGACAGTGGCTATCTATCGGCGTATTTCCAGCAATTCCGATGGAGGACGGGGTTGGACGGGAGATTCAGTTTGGGTCACCTTGCTGTTCCAAAACATTCAGTACCTGGCCCCACAGCGATTGTTAGATCAGATGGTGTACAAGTTGTAGACTCCAAGTTGTGGCCAAACCTTGACACTTTGCTCCCGACCACGAAAAGTCGGCCGCCATCTCTGTCTACGCTCCCGTGATCGATCGCAAAAAATGGACCCTCAGGCTCTTTCTGGACTGTTTGGGACGACGTACAGTCCCGATCCCAACATGCGCAAGCGGGCCGAGCTCCAGATTCGAGCCGTAAGTTTTGCAGTCACCCATCGGACGCGTCTAAGCGCGTTTCTTACTTTTTATAATATACAGCTCTCCAAGGAAGAGGGAATGCTCCCGGCTGTGATGCAGATCATTGGCGCAGAAGGCGTCGACCCGTACGTCGCCGGTGGCTTTGCCCGTCCTTTGACACGAATGCTCACATCTCCAACTATATCACAGGAGTATCCGCCAGGCATGTGCTGTTTGGCTCAAGAACCGGTAGAACGCGCCTACGTCGTTGGAGCAGACAATACAACTTCTGATCATACCCCCGTCTCGGTTGGAGACCGCGCTGCGCTCAAGTCGGGTCTCCTCCAGCTCTTGGTCTCTGCAACGTCCCGTCCACTTCGACTCCAGCTTGCCAATGTCCTCAGATCAATCATCTCGCGCGACTTTCCACAAGAGTGGCCCGGCTATCTCGAAAATGTGACCGCGCTCTTGTCTTCTCAGAATCCACAAGAGGTCTACGTAGGTCTGATTGCCACTGTCGAACCCATCAAGGCTTTCCGCTACCGCTCGAGCTCGAACAACCTCGAGGTCATTACCGCAGCCACATTCCCACTTCTTCTCCGAATCGGCCAACAAGTCGCTGCGAATCCATCTGGACCCATGACCGCCGAGTTTCTCCATCTTGTTTTCCAATCGTACAAAAACGCGGCCCTCACCTCGCTTCTCCCGTCGCAAATGGCACCCGACAGTATCGTTCCTTGGGGTCGCCTCATGCTCGACGTTGTCAGTCTCCGTGTTCCACTCGCCGATATGGACGAAGAGGAGATGGAAAAGCACGAATGGTGGAAGGCCAAGAAGTGGGCCTATGCTTCCTTGAACCTGTTGTTCTCGAGGTGAGGTAGACGTTAGATAGCATTTATTCATGCTAACACGATCAAGGTATGGCAACCCGTCGCAAATGCCAGCAAGTCTCGCCAAAAAGTACAAGACATTTGCAGACAACTTTGTGACCTCGTTTGCACCTCAGATTCTTACCGTCTACCTCGAACAAGCCCGCCTCTACGTTGCTCGAGAGGTCTGGCTCAGCAAGCGATCACTCTATTTCATCGGCCAATTCTTCTGCGAGTGGTACGTCGCGTTACATGCGGCGTTTGGCATACGCTGATAAGCACGTCAGTGTCAAGCCAAAGACGACCTGGCACCTTCTCAAGCCTCACTTTGAGACGCTCGTCTCTTCCTTTGCGTTCCCTCAGCTCTGCTTCACCACTGAAAAGCAAGAGCTGTGGAGAGATGATTCAAATGAGTATCTCCGCCGTACTTTTGGTAAGGTCTATTACCCTACACCAATGCTGTCTAATTGCCCACAGAGGAATATGACGATTATCATAGCGGAGTCTCCACTGCCACTTCTTTCCTCCTGACACTGGCAAAGACCCGAACGTCAGCTACATTCATCCCGACGCTGACGTTTGTCCAAAACCTGTTGGCAGCGGAGTAAGTCGTTGTATATTTCACCAAGCATCCTTGACTCACAGGGGCCAGATCGACGCCTCCGGAACAACGATTCGGTGCATTGAACATGGTGGTCTGCCTCTCGAGTGTCATCATGGTCCATCCAAATGTCAAGGGTGACATTGACACGTTCCTCCTTCGAAACGTGATCCCTCTCCTCGGATCAGACGTTGGTTACCTTCGTGCAGTGGTATGTTCAGCTTACCAACCTCTTCAGCATTGACTTAGAGTTTGATAGGCGGCAGAGGTAGTCGGTGCGCTCGAGCAGCGTTTCGTGACTTGGAATAATCCCGAGGTGCGTTTGGACGGTGGGGTTACGAGGCATCGTGCTGAGATGATCTAGGGTCTCGCCGTTGCGTACAATGCTATTGTAAAGGCGATGGATGATCCCGAAACGCCCGTTCGCGTTCACGCGAGTTTGGCCCTCGCTGAGATGCTTCGCCATACCTATGGTTCGTACACCTCAGAGCCGATTGTGTTTGTATCTGATAGTGGAATAGTCAAAGATGCGGTCAAGCAGATTATCGGCAAAGTCATTCAGAGTGCGTCTTCATTCTCTTCTCAAGCTCCAAGTCTTATTCCTCGCTCGTAGCCTACCTCGAGCTCGCCGAAGCAACCGAACTGGATACCCTCAACAGTACGATGGACACGTTTGTTCAGCTCTACGCCGACGAGCTCTTGCCCGTCTCCGCTCAGTTGACCTCGCGCCTGGCGACGACGTATATGCGCTACGTGCAAGAGGTGATTCAGCTGGAGGGTGCTGAAGAGCCGTCGGATTCGGCGCTCGAGGCGAGCGAGAACAAAATGTTTACACTTGCTGCACTCCTCAAGACGATTGGCACGGTGCGCCTTTGTTTCGGATGGGAGAGTATTGAGCTCAACTTTGTGTTTAGATTGTCACTGCTATGGATGGATCTACAGAGATTACGATGCAGATTCAGCAAATCTTGATCCCACCCATCTTGATCACCCTCCAGCATTCGATCATCGGTGGGATATTCGGTGCCTTGATTTATCAGTTTCTAAAATTTTCTAGATGTCTTGGATCATGCATTGGATCTCGTGGACAGCCTGACGTTTAATCTTAAGACCATCTCGCCCGACATGTGGCCCATCTTTGAACAAATGTACAAGCTCTTCAAAGGCAACGTCATTGACTTCCTCGAGGGTTGGTCACATTCTCAATGTTTACTCTTTGCTGACGTTATTTAGAAATGCTGCCTTCGTTGGACAACTTTATGAGCTATGGCAAGGAGACGTTCTTCGCGCGTCCTGACTACTGCGAGATGATCGTGGATATGTACGAGACGGCCATGGCATCGCAGCATCTCGGCGAAGCGGATCGCGTCAATGCGTGCTCGTTGATCGAAGCGTTTATGCTCAACTTGCGTGGACATGTCGACGATGTACGTTCGTATCACCTCTTCAATTCCTCTATCTTAACCCTCCATAGAAAATCCCGCGTATCCTCACCGTAGCACTGAAGCAGCTCGACCCAGCACCCAAGACGCGCTCGCTCCGACTCGCAAATCTCAACGTCTTGGTCAACGCTGTGCTGTACAATGCACCATTGGCGTTCCAAGTGATTGAATCGTTTAGCCCCAATTCGTCGCGAATCGTGTTTGACAAGTGGTTCAAGTCGATGAGCGAGCCTGGAGGTTTGCCGCGTGTCCATGATATGAAGTTGAGTATCATGGCCATGTGTGGGCTACTCGAGTTGGATCCAAACAATATCCCTGTGTCTGTCAAGGATGGATGGGCCAGTATTGTCCCTGCTATGCTCGGTGTGTTCAAGGGGTTGCCCGATGCAGTCAGCAGTGAGTCTATTTACCTTACACTTTGGTCTTTGTTGACTCTGTATAGTGCGCAAGAAGCTTCAGGAAGAGTTTGCAGAAGAGGATGACGAAGAATTGGAAGACGAGGACGATGTATTGGTGCTTGACCATGATGATGAAGGTAGGCAATTGCCTGGATAGTTCCTGTGTACTGAGAAACCTTGACAGAGGATGTGTATGACGAGGACACGGCTATTCGGGACGTGATGGCTCGCGAAGTGCGTATACAACATCGAAAATGATACTCCGAACTGATGGATCTACCTAGACGGAACGTCTGCAACAGAACGCGGAAAAGCTGGCAGCCGGTCAAACCGATGTGGTCGACGACGAGTCGCTCTCCGATGAGGAGATTGAAGAGGAACTTGGATATATCAGCCCACTCGATTCGGTTGATCCATATTTGGCATTCCAATCTGCGCTTGCGAGTGCGTATGCTTTTGACTGCTCGAGGCTCGTCGCTGACTCTTGAAAAGCGTTCCAGAACGTCAACCCAGCTGGATACCAGGCTGCGACGACGTCGCTCAACATGAACCAGCAAGTGCTGCTTGGCGAAGTGATGAGGCTTGCAGAGCAGAAAAAGGCTGAACTGGCAGCAGCTGGGCAGCAGCAGGCGTAGAAAGGGTTGGCGACCCAACTAATGGCAAGGGTGGACGACGATTGATCGGTCTGTGATTTCCTCTTGTATGCGACGAAACGGCGACGAATAGATGCAAACTTTGGTGCTCCACGATGGCCAGTGTGATACGTGCGTGTTGTGCGTGGCGAGAGGCTGTTCCTCGTTGGTGTGGGCCATTACGCCCCGTGAAGCGAGGCAGGCGTGCCGCCTCTGCATGCCCTAGTCCGAGCGCATATAACCGCCACAGATCGATTGCTAACGACTACAGACATCTTCGCCACCACTACTCACGATCACCATGTACGTCGTCTCATCCCCGCCTTTGCACAGAAATGCTTACGTTTTATTCTTACAATCATAGGTCTGATAAGCAATCCATCAAGGGATCCATCCGAGGCTCCATTCGTGGCTCAGTCCGCGCGAGCTCCATCCGCACCGTTGCACCATCTGATCCAGCAGAGACGTCGACTATTTCCAACGGCAAGACTCCTGCCGCCGCCTACGCTGCCCAAACCACGATGGGCCCCCAATCACCTGTGTCCGCCCTCTTTGCTCACCCCTCTGGAGGAGACGACGTAATCCTGCGATCGTCTGATGGATACGACTTTTTCGTCAACCGGTATATTCTCCAAATTGGTTCCTCCACCCTCGCATCGATGCTCCCTTCCAAGTCAAAGGCAAATGATGGAGACGAACCACCGGTGCTGCTCTTACATGAGCCCGCGTGCATCTTGGACGTTGTCCTGACGCTCTTGTATCCGGTCGAGCCACCGACATGGACGTCGCTCGATGGGTTTGGACCCGTGATGGATGCAGCGTTGCGGTACAATATGCATGGCGCCATCGAAACGCTCAGAACCGCTCTCATCTCCCCACGACGTGTCGAGGATCAAATATTGCCTTCGTTTTCCGACATTGACCCTCTTCGCGTCTTTGCCATTGCACGACAAAGTGGGCTCGAGCCCGAGGCGCAATTGGCGGGTAATGCGACTCGAAATATCAGCTTGAGGAATTCGCAGATGAGCGTCGAAGTGGAGAATATGCCCACGAAGTATTATCGTGAGCTGATTACACTGAGGGATGAGAGGGGTCATTGGAGGGAGACATTCAAGCTCTTCAAGACAAAGGGTGTCACGCTCAGGGGAACCAGTGGTCTCTCGAGAGTCGGGAGCTCGAGGTCGACAGTTGCCCCTAGTTTCCTTGGCCGTGTTCGTGGTTGAATTTTTTGTAGGGTCGGGAACCCACGTGTAACTTTACAGTTTGAATGCATAGATTCATAGTCTCGTACACACTACATTTATGCTGTTTCTGTTTCTGCTTGCTTGCCCGTCATGTCTCGCACCTCGCCACCGTCTGCTACGTCCATGATCCCACTGTCGCTTAACAATCTCACCACTTCTTCCGCCTGAGCTACATCCATCTTGGCGAGCACCTTGTTCACCCGCTCCAGGCTTCCCTCTTTCAGCGCAGCTTGCAACTTGGGATCGAATGCGTTGAAGATATCCCACCGGGCTTGTAAAGCACGGCGGACTTGTTCAATATCCATATCCTTGATCGAATCGTCGAGCACGAGTTCTTCGGGTGGCGGACCGTCTGGTACGGAAAATGAAATGGTCATGCTCGGGTCCGAGGCAACGAGCTGTACTTGCTCGCGTTCGCCTGCTGCCATTTCTTCGCGCGTCGCCTCTACTCGCCGCTTGAGATGTGCATAAGTGTCTTCGACATCCTTGTTGAACACGGATAATGCCGCCGCATGGCCTTGCATTGCACTACCTTCGTCAGTCTCCACCTTATCCGTACTAAACGGCCGCTTACCGCTTGAAGAAGAGTGCTGGCCCATCTGCCCCGAGTTTTTGGCAATACTGGATCAGCAGTGCTTGGTTGACGCAGTTCTTCGCGTAGAGACTCTGTCCGTTGCTCTCCGCATCAAATGCTGCCACCAGGAGTGCATCATCTGCACCTTCAACGTAGACACCTCGATGGTTTTGCAAATATCGATACGATTCTTCGAAATTGCCGCGTTTAATCTTGGAGAATGCAAGCAGCTCTGGGGTGAGTTTCGGCAAGTCGACATCTTCGTCTTCGTCGTCGGCATCATCACCACCTGTCGGCGGTTTCTCCGTCGGTTGGCTGGCCGAAGAGGGGGCGTTGAGTGTTTCAATCGTCGTCGTCTTTTGTTTTGTCGAAGACTTGGGTTTGGAGAGCGACGAGCTGATTGGCTCTGGATCCTTGGCCTTGTTGACTGACTACAATCACGTCAGCATCCTTGTCAATGGGCCGTACGAGTGTGGCGGATAGAAGAGTGTGGAAGGTGATAGAACGTACGCTCGACGAGAACCCCTCATGGATATCCTCGCTCGTAATCTTTTTATGCTGCTCCTCTTTCTCTTTCTCAATCTCTTCCTTCAGAAACTCTTGCCGTGCGAGCAGCTGCTTCTTCTGATCTTCCAATTTTGCCACCAAAACGTCTCCTAACTTGTCATCTTTCCCATCAAGTCCTTCTTTCTTGCACTCTTCCCACACGCTCATCAAAGCGTCGAGAATCATTTCGTCATACTTCTTCTGGCCTGGGCCCGGTGCCTCCGGGGATGGCGACGACTTCAGTCGTTCTACTGTCGACGAATACGCAGGGGGGCCACCTTGCTTGACAGCTTCTGTGATGGAGACGAGACGTGGGTAGAGGGCATCATTGTTCTTGAGCTCCTGTTCATACTGTGCAATCTTGAATTTACGCTGCTCCCGCTTTTCGTGAATGTCTCGTTGCTTCCATCTGAATCGCTGTGTCAGTCTACCTTTTCGCTGCAAAAGAGTCCTTCAGAAGTCTGCGTACCGGACGAGTGAGGCGTGATCAACGTTTGGGTGGCCTTCAATATCAGAGTCGTCACTAAGCTAACGACGGAATGAGATTCGGACACTATAGGTGAGAGATTGTGATCACGAACCTCTAATTTGCTCCACTTGTCATAGTTTAATTTGCCCATATTGTGGTCGAGTCAACTAGTGTGGCCAGGCGCCTCACCCGATAACTCATCCCTCGGCATGCCCTAGTAAAACAGTTTGCACATTACATGTATGCGTGCAGACTTGCTACAGTAAGAAAACAGACAAAATTGATACAGACAACAGCGAGCCTGATCCCAGAGAACAACTAGAGTCTAGTCTCTTCTAAATTGCATGGTATTCACTTGACCGTCACTTCGACAGTCTTGAGTGTTTGAAAAATCTCGCTCACAGCTTCATCTTGTTTACTTGTTGATGCTGTCAGCGCTTCCAGAGGTCGATTTTGGATGCGGACTTGTCTCTATCGAGTCTGGGGACGGGATAATCGTCTCACTGAGCCAACCACCCTTTTCCCAGTCGCACCCGGGATTGAATGCATTCTCCTTGCGGACTTGACGGTTACTGATACCGGCGAGCAATGTGTCCATCCGCTTAAAGTCGATTGGCTTTAGGATCCAACCATCCATCCCCTGCTCAAGCATATACGGTCGCTGCTCTGGTCGCAGAGATGCCGACACGGCAAAGATGGGAATGTGTCCGCAAAGAATGGCGGATGGGCGTGGCGGAACGACGATTGGGGAATTCTTCTCAATTTCGCGGATCGCCTTGGTTGCCCCAAAGCCATCGAGGATCGGCATCCTGGGTACTAGTTAGAGAAACGGTCAATGAAGAGGGTCGACGTACTGAATGTCCATGAGAATGCAGTCAAATCCGGCATCTTCTTTGATCAGATCGACGGCTTGTTGGCCATTCACCGCCGTCTCAACAGTGTGGCCGTCTGTTTTGAGGCGCTTTGCCAACACTCGAGCATTGATCAGATCATCCTGTTCAGGCGTAAGATTTGGCGCATGGGCCCGCGAAACTGTTTACCTCGACAACCAAGATTCTCAAAGACGGCCTTGCACTCGCGAGTAGATCCCGTTGCGACCTCACTCGTCGCGTATGAGACGCTGTGGATGGCACTCTCACAAGCGACGTTTGTGGGTAGTCAATATCGAATTCGTCCACTTTTGCCGGTCGCACGGGATAGTTCGAGTCCTCGACCTCGAACACACCGCCCGACGGCTGCCGCACTTTCTTTGGGCGTGGTCGACGTAGTGGACCGGCGTTCGAAGCTTGCCCATGAACCATCATATGACTACTTGAGATGGCATCGACAAAACTATCGATCTCACTCTTCGCACTCGTCCCAGATCCGTCGCCGTCTGTGCTTCCGTTTCGTACAGAGTAGTCTGCGAGCGGGAAAGGAAGGAGGCAAGAGAATCGAGAGCCTTGGTCGAGCTTTGAATCAACACGCAGCTGTCCACCAAGTTGCTCCACAACGCGAGCGACAACCGCCAATCCGAGACCTAATTTCTTTTAGGACAAGCATGCAAGACTGCTGCTGCACTAACCAAGACCAGGTCTATTTTCCTTTGATTGGTGCATGCCATCAACTTGCTCAAACTCTCGGAAGATCGATTCGAGCTTTTCAGCTAACGGTATTCAGTATGCATCCTCGAGGCGAAAATAGACGTACGTTGAATACCACATCCAGTGTCGCTGACGATGATTTCGACTGCTACATTGCCCGCGTGGCGCAATCCATCCGGCTCTTCGAAAGTGTGCGCGGTGACAGAGATGGCGCCGGCCTGTGTATACTTGACCGCTGTAATACTATGAGTCGTAGCAGACATTGTTTCATGGTAATTACCGTTTGAGGTGAGGTTTGCGACAATCGTTTTCACCTTTCGTGAGTCGCCAATAACGAGCCGAGGGGCATTTCCTAAATCGACCATAAACTCGAGTTGTCTGCGATTCGCCTCCACTCTAATATCCGTGAGCCATGAATAGTAATAAGGAAGCTCTACTGACCGATACACGCGCGTCGCGTCGTGAATCGCAGTGTGAAGATCAAAGGGTTCGTTGAACGAGGTTTCCTTGCCAGCTTCCATCCGCGTCAGGTCCTAACCTTGTCAGTAACGAAGCTATTAGTCTGAACAGGTCACTCACTAGGAGATCATTGATCGTAAACAACAGGGCCTGATGAATAGATGAGCCGGAATTTGGGCCGCTTTCGATTTCTCTCACCTTTGATGCATTGTAAGAACGCGTGAGGTTTTCACGCAACTCTTCATCCAACTTCTTGCCGTCCAGCGAGAGTTCGAGGTAACTAGAGGAGGATCAGATTTGGCTAATGGCCATTCCATAGGCTTACTTGATGATCTGGTGCAAGGGTGTCCGAACTATATTCACATAAGCACGCGCCCTCGAGATATATATATCGGCTTGCCTTCATGTGATGCATTGGACAACAGCAGCGTTGTCATCTGGTTCATCTGTACAGCCGACTCCTTTTGCCTCCAGACTTCGATAAACTAGGAAATATGAGAGAGGAAAGGGATTCAATTATAATGCTTACCTTTCCGTAGACGAGCGCGAGGACTGCCGCAGTATCCAATTGTTCGTCCGTCCATGCGCGACATCTCCCTGTCAATTTTTCGGTCCAGAGCTACATGCTCATCAGCAGATGTTTACCGCAGAGGGCTTAACTCGCCTTGAACGACGTCCGTGGTTGTAAAGAGTTGATCGTCCCATCATCCTTGGCCGGAGGCTTACCCGCCCAATTGACCACGGCAGCTTGACCCTTGCGGAGTAGAGCGATAAAGTCCTTTCCAGTCATGGATAGTGGAACGTAGAGAAGGCCGGCAATGACGTCTAGTCCCGAAGGAAGCTGGAGATCGGGATAATCTTGCATTACACTCTGAGAGACTTGCAAAAGACTTGCAACCGTCAGCCATAGTCCGCGATCCAGGTGGTGACGCACGTAAACTGCTTGACGCGAAGGTACTCTGCTAATAACAGAATATCCTGGCCATGTTCATTCGGACCCAAGATCTTGGCGCCTTCTCCGATGACCAGCACGCCACAATCGGCATCAAAGAGGGTGAGCAAATCCTGAACCAATCAGCCTCAGCCGATCTCGACCCTCATGCTTACCTCTGAATTGGACACAATATAGCCGGTAGGGTGCTGGTCGGTCGGAACGGTACTAATCTGATACAGATCAACACCTATGCAAATTAGCACCGTATTCAACTTACCAATTTTCGCGTCCTCAATCGCTGCGCATAACTCAACCGCTCTACGTTTCGCGAAATCGAGTCACTAAGCAAACGGAGCATTTGACGAACTGGGAATGAAACGCGCATTCCATGGTCCCCATACGAGTGACAGGCAATCAAACCCCACAGCTTCTGGAAGGCGACAATGGACTGTGGAAGGGGTGAGTAACTATCGACCAGTACCATTATTTACATACAATCGACATGGACGCGCGTACTCCCATGTTGCCCAGATCTAGCACAACGATCAGCACATGGTACATAGCCCGACTGGATTCGTACACTTGAGATGGATTGGACTCATCGCTCGAAGATAGCAGTGAGTCATATCCTACAACCATTAGCCTAGATGCATTGCCCATCCAATGACTCACCAATGGAGGCTCCAGGTCGGATCTATCTTTGACGACAATTCTCGCGGTTGATTGTCCACGATCATAGAGCAATCGAACGCGGTCTTTGGAAGTGTTAGAAGTCGGCCAACGTGGTGGCGAGAACATACTGAGCGCGTAAAGATCTCGTGCCTATATGAGAATCAGCGAAGCGTCCTTGAGCACATAAATAAACGCACCTGAGCAGGGATATCGGCAGCGGGAAAGTGGAGGCCCATATAAAGATCCTGCGTAGCGCCCCAATCAACGAGCTCGGCCACCACTTGACCATTCCACGAGTCATCAAACTGATAGCACAGGACGCGATGAAACTGCGTGAGATCCTTGATCACACCAACCACAATCTGAAGCAACTGCAACAGGCTGAGGGCTTTTCCGAGCTGTTCGTTAATCTCCTGGAGCACCGTAAAGACGTCCATCGTCCCGATCCCCGCTTGATTGCCCCGCGGTGCACCAGGAGCGAGCACATTGCTCGACGTGCGATTGAGCCGCCTCATGCGCTCGAGCGACTTCAATGGCCGAGCACGGTTCGTCGTACTGTCAAGAATCGCTTCGGGGCCAGGGACCCATTCTCTCTCCAACTTTTGCGCCAGATCTCCGGCATTCTCAGTGACGGATACAGTAGTGCCAGGTGTGTCGCCATCTCCAGCCTTGGGCGTGCTATCGCTGGGGATAGTTCCCTCTGTGCTCCCTATCCCGCTTCCTTGCTCTGCCGTCTTGCTCGACCTCGATGCAGAACCAGAACCAGACTCAGCCATTGGTGAAGAATCGTCCGACCTCGAAATGCTGGGCGTACCGGGGAGTGGATAGAGAGGGTTGAATGGGTCCGACTCGAGTTCAAACTCGACGACGATGAGCCTGCGTTCTCTCTTGACTTCTGTAGCTGGATCCTGGAAATAATGTGGAATGCGACTCTTCTGCGATAGACGGTGGGCTGCGACCCAGCATGTCCAGTGTCGTCTGTTCTCCGCGTCCTGGCCCTCTGTAATGGCCGAACCCGGCTCACCCCATCCACTCATGAGAAAGACTTGGGGCCCAATTTCCTCATCGTCGTCGTCAGAAGCATCAGGATCAGACAAGAATTGGACATTGTCCCAAAAAAGATCTGCTTGGGAGGGTGGGAGAGTATTGGTGAAGCAATCGAGACCAAAGAGGTATTTTGGAGACATGCCGAGAATAACTTTCGAGTTCTATGACGATGAGCAAGTGTCCATAGTCAAAAAGCAAATGGTTACCTCGGAGACCTGCCGAACTTTGAGCTGACCCGTCTCCGCGTCGTCGTGCAGCACGATCAGCACGCCAAACCCTTGTACAGCACCAGGGATACGAATGGGCTGTAAAACACTGAGTCATTATCCCTAGGATGGAGGATCCCCACCTCGTCTTCGCATCGGGTCAGTGTCCCCTCTCGTCCGACAAGTACATGATGGCCATCTTCGTCTTCGCGATGCTCGAATCGCATCGTGACTACGGGACCAGACTGGTGGCTCGAGACGGTATTGACGCTAAAGCTCTCATTCTTGGATCCCGACGTCTCTCCATCGGGCATCGGCTGTGGTACCTCTCCTTCTGGAGTGGATTCATCGACTTCGTCAATTGGAGGTGGAATATTGGAACTCGGGTGCGATTTTGAGCTGGGAGTAGAGGATTCCGCGCCGGCGACTTTTCCCCGCCATTCTCGTGTCCGCCTTTGCGCATCGAGTTTGCCGATGGGGGGCAGATGAACGAGGCCCGCAGATGCAAAAGAGTGATCCGAAGTGGCCACGCTCGATGGAGGCTTGCTCGAGCTCTGACTGCCCCTTCTCGTCCCTTGATCACCGCCCTCTGAAATGTTCCTGCTCTGGCCTTGTTCCGAGCCCTCTGCAGAGTCTCCCTTATTGTGGTCAACTGCGTCCTGGAGCGACTGGGCTACGGCCGATCCCGGTAAAGTAGGTTGTGGGGCTTGGAGTTGTATTTCTTTGATGACAGTTTTATCGCCTGTAGCCGAGTCTGTGAGTTCCTGTACTTGGTAGGGCACAAAGGACGATTTGTCAACGCGCGAGAAGCGCGGCGTGTCCTCGAATGAGCGGGCTCGTTTGTTTGGAGGAGCAGATGTGAATGACGGTGTAGCGTCTTCTGCTGGGAAATGGCGAAACTGATAGCCTTCCTCAGACGAGATGGACTGTCTAGACTGGCGGGTGATGCTTGCTTCAGGGGCGCCTGGTTCTGCCGTGAAATACGAGGGAGCGTTTGGAGCTGAGAGGGGCGACTGGGTGGCATGAAACGATGCTGAGTGGCGAGCACAAGACTCTGTGAGCGCGGGCGACTGTAACAAAAGAGCACATACGACTGAGGAGCGTGTCCAAAATGTCCTGACCGCCCGAGGGACGCATAGGGTTCAGTAACGATCGAATTGGGTACACAAATGAGTTTGGGCGGCGACTGGCGAGCGACGAGCTCGTCTTGGACGGCTCAGTATCGCCGTCTTGCGCGTCTTTGGGCTCCATGACCGCTAATCGACGTCGTCTGGCTCGTCTGGCGGCGGCAGCGTCGGCGATCGAGTGCAATCCCAGGTGGTGGTAGCAATCAACTTGGACTTTGACCATGGCCAGCTCCCCCAGCTTATTCAGCAAAATTAGACGAGGGTTTACCCTCTTTGGCGGCATTTACGCTCTTCTTGTCCTGCTAATCGCCCTCCCATTTGGTCAGAAACAGTGCGCAGGTTAACAATTTGACGGTTAATCGCTGACGAAAGCAAGCGCTCTCTATGCTCACAAGGTCAAATGGCCCATAAGTGCACGCTTTGACACGCCAGAACGCTATGGTCTCGCTCGTGAGTAGCGTTACGACGAAATGTTGTAACCTGACAATTGCACAGCTGGAAAGGTCATCAACACGCAAATAACTACCTCTGACAATCTCACACTCGGTGCTTGGTTCACCTTTTCAGACTTGTACTTTCAAGAAGCCAGCCTTTCGCGGCCAGGCAATATCACAATGACAGAGGTAGACCTCGCAGCCGCCCTCAAGGACCACATCACCATTCTCTTCTTTCACGGAAATGCTGCCTCTCGTGCTGCTCCCCACCGTGTTCGATTCTACTCGCAATGGAGCAGTCGCTTTGACGCAAACATTTTGGCGATTGATTACAGAGGGTTTGCAGATTCGCAAGGGTCGCCGAGTGAGCATGGACTAGAACTCGATGCGCAAGCCGCTTGGGACTGGTTGATTGCAAAGGGAGCAAATCCGAATCAGATACTCCTCTTCGGACAGAGTCTGGGAACTGGAGTCGTAGCCAAGTTGGCGTATGCTTTGGGACAACAAGGTATGCCCTTGGAAAGTATTATAATGTGCTCACCATCCCAGGCGTTCATCCACTGGGAGCGGTCCTTGCTGGTGCTTTCACAGACCTTGCGACCTTGTTAGAAACCTATAACATCTCCGGGTGGATTCCCCTCCTACAGCCCTTCCAACTGATACCATTCTTCTTCAGTTAGTCTCACGCAAATAGGGCATGACCAAGCACTGACAACATCATAGAGGCACTCGACAGCATTCTCATGCACAAGTTCTCAACAATCTCAATCCTTCCCGATGTGTCGTGCCCAATCCTCTTGATCCACGCAGAGGACGATTTTGACATTCAGATCGCACATTCAGAGCGCCTATTCGACGCAATCTTGGAGCCCTATCTTGAACAGTATCCGTTTACAAAAGAGGACCTATCCAAAGTTCGAATTGACGAAGCAGACAAGCGGCTCGTTATCCAGGAAATCTCTCAACGACGCCGACAGCAGCGCGAGACAAAAGTACGAGAACAGTATCTGCCCATCGGCAAACTCCTTAGCTTTGAGCGACAAGGCAAGGCGGCGTCCACTTTTTACGGAGCACTTGGGGTGGTCACAATCAGGTCATCAACCTTGAAGGCATCAGCGATCTAACACGCACTGTTTTCGATCCATAATCCTTATTATTATTCGGTAAATCTTGGAATACAGAACGATGGTCATCATGAGGGAGTCCACTTCTTTCTGACCCATTTTGCGTCTCTCTCAATCTTAATCCCTCGTCCGGCGCAAATGGCATTGAGCGTCTTGATCGCTCTAGGGGGATCTGCCATTGTCGCGTCCATGTACGTCGCCTCCTCGAGGCTGACATAAGCTTCTACCCTGAGTAACCCAAGCCCAGGGAAAATCTCTGGATCATAAGTAAATGCCGCCTCCAAGTGTCCTTGCACAAGGTTACTTGTGACCAGCTCCTTTGTCGGAATCACACCCAGCGCATAAATCTCCCAGTCTGACATGTGCTCGACATGAAAGACGTCCAACGACGCATGAGTATTGCAGAGTGCATCCGCCTCGGTCGACCATCCACCACTGCGCGGTACACCGACCTTATCATCGTCGTCTGAGCCACATGTCGACACCATTAACTCTCTAAGCGACTTGAAGTGACGGACGAGGTGCGGGATATGGAACGCATAAGCGTTGCTGCAGTCGATGAGACGCAGGCGCGTCAAGTGATCATAGTGTCTCCACGGAGACACTTGATTCGTATCCCAAATCCTCCCTAGTGCCCTACACCGAAACGCCCGACGAATGTTCATCGTGCGCAGGTTGGGAAATTGGGTGCGGATGAGCTTGTACATATCCATCGGGATCGTCTCCATTACGAGGTCAAGCACACGCAGGTTACTCGTGGCAGCAGCATTATTCGCGTATTGTCCGATAATATAATTCGCACCCCAAGCCATGCGTCGATCCCAACTCGGGTTTCCAACCTCATATTGGAGGATCATGGCCGAGTAAATACCAAACTCACGCACTTTGCCGGTGCTGAGAATTCCTATGCACTGATCGGCGATTCTTTGAGGAATAGAGTAGCAGGAGAAATAGTAGAGGGCCAGCGAAGTCACGTTGGTGAACGCGGCCAGAGTGGTGACGAGAAAATCCCAGTATTGTGAGTGTGTAGTATACTGTGGATCCACTAGAATGCGCACGTTGCGTACGCTGCTTGCGTGTTTGTCCATTTGGAGACGAGCTCATCACTGAGCATCCAGTCATTGGACGTAAAGATAAAGTCGCGATAGGCGAATGGAATACAAATTCCATAAAAGTAATTGTTCGTCCTGTACGAGTCAGTTGTGTTCGCTGCTGTTTACTGGACTCACAAGGCAAGTGACTGAAGCGCCGACCATGGATTTGTTGACGACGCTTGACCTGATCCAGATGCAGTTTTAGAATCGTTTCCGTCGCTAGAATTGACATTATTTTGCTCTGTCTCCACCATGTTGCTCTCTTCAGTCTGCCATAGTTTGGTCCAGGCAGCCGCTTCTCCGATTTGTCCTATAGAAATCTCTGGACAGAGGTGTTCGATAATCTCTAGTGTCACTTCAACGGGAAGTGCCTTCCACGACATTTAGGTCGGCTCCAAGTGGTGAACTAGCTTTGCTCCCGACCGAATCGCGAGCACACTGAAATTTGGCTACTCTGCTACAATCAACTATAGATGAAAACGAGAGCTATCATTCCCTCAACCAACCCCTCTCTCGCAGCCACGGTGTAGCTGCTTGTGCGGCTGCGTTCCTGGCTCCCTGTGCTGTCTGATGCCCCTCAACCGTGAAGGGGATGCCAACATATCTCGCCGTCCCAGTGTGATCATAAGACACCGTCGTCACAGTCAACGTTGCCTTGTGCAGAGTTTCATTTGTAGCATCCGGGTTCGGGTATGCTGTGACCTCGTATGTCACCCATTTGGTATTGGAACCGAGTGCGTTGTTGAGTTCGTGAGCGTTCATGCCGGATAATAGCTACAATCTTCGAACGCAGCAAACTGATATGAGTCTCTGTAGGTCGCATCCAAACGCCTTTTATCATCCTTCGCCATGCCACCTCTACATGAAGAGGCTTCAGAGTTTATATCCAGCGGCGCCGAATGCTCTTTTCAACAAGGAATAATCCGCTCTAGATGGCGTTCCGGCATGCAAATGTACCACTAATTCTAGTCACATCGACAGAGAGAGACAGGCAACTTGAATAACTCGCGCCAACACGACAAGGAGTATCCAGATGAGTCATTCTGGCCACCTAGACTGGATTATTTGGAGTACAAAGATTCCAAGCGACGGCTTTGCCACTCGCAAGGCCCTCAATCGCATTTATTGATTCAGTGCTGCCTGCTAGATCTCATGCCAAAACGAGCTAATTTTTTGCATATACAACCGCAACGCGACGAAGATCTAAAATAAGTTGTATCCTTTCTCGCAAACGAAGGCGGGTTCAATGAGAGCGCTTTCACCACCCAATAGTCTCACCCATTGACCTTGCGCGAAAGTTGGTCCGTCATTCAATCGTGAAATGGCAGGAAAAGAGCCGACACAAGTCCACAACATGCTACTAAGGTGACCATTGGCCAGTGAACAGCGAGCTGGGACCTCGAGCATTCTTCCGTGAGGCAATAGCCCTGCAGACTTGACCGACTCCTGCACTAGATCATCGAAATTGGCCCTTCGGGGTTAGTGAGCCCACGAAACAAACTGTAGTTGAGGGAACAACCGCGGGTATGTCGAGAACGTGGTGGTAAGGATAACAGGAGAAAGGGAAAGAGGGAGATAAGGCTGAGTATATCATGGTTCATTTTGAGACGATTGATGTATCGAGTTTGGTGGCGCGCCCTTAGTATTCAGAGGCAACGTACGGTCCATGTTGATTCTTGCTGGGCTTGGATTGCTTTCGGTTCCGTGAATCAATTGATCGGCTCCGATACCAGGTGCGGGGACACACCTCTCTGAGATTCATGTGGCTCATATCTCGTTCAAGACGATGGAGTCTTTCGTGCTCCTCCATGGTTATCAACTGGAAAGAGCTCGTCATCTATGTGGCGATCAGCGCACAGATAATCCTTCAAACATCTACTCGCCACAAAATACTCTTCTTCCGAGTCCCAATATGAGATAGAGTACGTAGGGGAGAGCAGTGGGCATTCTTACGGGGGAGGCATGATGTCGTCGAGATGCTTTCCATCTCTAAATACTCGTCCTCAAGCTCTTCGGCTGCAAAGCCGCATTGAAGAGGTTGATAAGCTCCTTCCGAAGTGCTCTCAAGTGGGTAAGAGCTGTAGCTGGCGATACGTCGGATAAGGATGAAAAACTCTGTGAGCGACTGTGCCTCAGATGGCTTATGAGGGGTCTTATATATCATTAAAGGAGTCTCTGTTTCAAATAGAGACATTTGAATTCATTCTAAACGGCGAAAGAGGTCTGAGGTAAGAAATTTGAATCAACGAACGGCCCGGGCGTATACTCTTTACTCTCGTGATTTACGCGAATGATGGCAAGATTCTTCGTCGATGAGGTGCATTGGATAAAGAATAAGCAGGTATGTATCAGTTCTGGCATGGCCTATTCAGTGTACCCTAGGACGGAAGCAGTGAGGACGAGGCAGGCTGAAGATATGTTCCAAAAGTCCGTAAATATCCTATCCAAACGTAAATGTATGATACAGTTGAACTTCTTTATCCATATATGTCAAGTCGTAGGCACCAAGGGGGAGGATGGGCGGACGGGAGCAAGATTAAGGGAGCAAGATTAAGGGACCGAAATGACATAAATGCAACAGAAGAAGAGAGTTAATGCCACAGGATGGCGATCAGATGACCCAGTCGCTATACCTGCTTCAAAGAAGTTGAGCTACATGGAACAGCAACAGGAGAAGATAGAATAAACACCTGAGTGCGCTCCAACTGTCTTATGTAGGCAACTGCCTGCGCCGAGACATCCTCATGGGCACCTTTCTTCGTTGAATGTCCGTGATTGCAGTTCCAGATCCAAGCACCCCAAGGAAGACCGTGTTGGATCTGGAGGGTACAATAATATACCTTCTTTCCATTGACATCAGCCATTCTATCGTCCCAAGATACCAAGTTAAGCCAGCTGTACTTTCTGAGTAACCCGTTCAGCTCCTCACGGCGGCTGGAGTGACTCATTTGTCTTTAGAAGGTTGTGAAAAGGGAGGCGGAAAGGCTGGAGGAGCGTTGGTTAGCGGAGGGTTGCATATATACTGAGAGCGCCTGCGAGGCAACCCAAAACTTTTCAGTGCCGACTCGCGGGTTGATTGGTTGCTTTGGGGCTATAGGCTAGTCCATTCTGGAAAATTTGACGCGTATAGGCTTTTTTCCTGCGTTTTGTCACCGCCGCTCAGCAAAAAGCGGAAGTGAGGACGCTGGCGCTAGCCGGCTCCAAGGATCGTCGCTCGGAATCAGAACTCGCGACACTGGAGCGCTGGTCTAAGGAGAACTTGATCCTTGAGATGGCAGCAGAGGCTGCAGGTCGGTACAGGCGTCCAGGGATACCACTCTTTCAGAATTCTCAGAGGCGGTCAACGACTAGGAGCAACGGTCAGTAAGGAGCAGTTGATTCTCTTGACGAAGCTATGTAACTGTGGCATTAGGTCATGAGGCCGGCTTGGCTCGCTGCCACCCTAGGGCAGCGACAGGATTGTTGCTAACTGACCATGCTTGCTTGGCATCATCCAGTCAGACTGACATCTTCATTGGGAATGGGTGAGGGGGCCGGGGGTACAGAGCGGTTCAACACCAGCTCGAAGTGTAACATCGTGAAGTCGAGCGAGCAAATGAAATTGATTCATTCCTCGGTAGAGGTTTCGCAAGACCTAATGGCGGCGACGGGCTTGTGGGGTCAAATCGATTTTTGCTGGTTCAGTTTTACGAACACGCCCAGGTTGACTTGCGCATCACTTTTCGCTTTGCTCCATGTCTAAGCTTTCAAACGCGGTGGGCTGTTGTTCGATAAAGCGTCGTCAGACACTGGTAGATTTTAGACACTTTTTGGATGGTACAGACCACAGCGCTTCCTGAAGCGTGACTCGAAAACGACACTAGCAGCTTTCGGGCAGGCTTTTCTCTGACAACGGCCGCCGTGGAACCAAAAGGAACCTCAACCCGCCGCTATCCTGCTCCGCAGCTTGCGTCAGCAGATCCTTGGAGGACATATAGCCAATTACAGTCCTCTACAAATGGATCGAGGCGAGTCTGGGCCCTTTCGGAGCCGGCAGGCGACAGAAAGTGATCACGCTCCCTTTGCCGTATACTTGAGCGTCTCCAGCTGCCTTATGGACACCTTTCCATCACGGATAGCGCTTAAGGATATCCAAGCGACGAGGGTGGCCACGACCGGAATGGCAGCAAACGCCCAATCGAATGTTGCCTGGGTAAGGGCCGTCAACAGCGGATAGAGGCCGACCGCGAGTTGAGCGGGTAGCAGAGGCGGTACAGGGTACTTTTTTTCACCAATGGCGAGTTCGGTTCGATTATGTAGGACGAGGGCGGCGTGGGCGTGGACCACGAGGTGGAGTAGGCCGAACAAGCTGACAGCGAGCCCTCCCGGACCAACAATTCCGATGATGGACAGGATTTGGCTGATATTTGCGTCAGATTTGGGGTCCCATTCATGAGGTTCGATCCGACCTACATGATGGAGGAAAGACCAACCACAGCGGTGCCCAAGAACGTATAGGACCGGGCAATCTTTGCATTTTCTTCCTCAAGCCTTTCGATTATCTCTTCTTGTTCTATGGTCAACGACGTTAGTTAATGGCCGTTTGGGCACCTTGTTGGCATCCTGACCTTGTTCATCTAGGACGCGTTCTGGATTGTCCTGATCAAGTTCAGGAATTTCATTGGAGAATTTGAAAGGATTTCGCTGGCGTAGTTGAGCAACACTCATGTCGTGGTCAAGAACAAGTTACACGTCGGCACGACGTAAGGTCGGCCGGCACAGGCATCCAGCAAAAAAGACTATATAACTAGCGCGAAGTTACAAGCACTCCTTGTCACTCAGAAGATCGTGATAAAGTCTTGGATCCTGTCACGTGCATCCTGGGCGATGCACTCTGCGATCCACGTTAAACTTCGAATTTCTTGCTCCTTGAGCTTGAAATAGCTGAAGAAGATGGAGTACTGGAATTGCTGGAGGAAAGAGAGCTTGTTTAGGTGCACTTCGGTCGCAAAGAACCTGTCCTCGAGCGTCGCAGCAATCGCGCTCGTTGGATCATCGCCTGCTCCACCATTTCCACGGCTCGCAGACGACGCAGCAGCATCGAAAAAGTGGCGGTACTCGGCAACGTAGTCGCATACTGCACGAACCTGCTCAATCTCGTCTGCCTTGGCGAGCAAGTTATTGCCTGCGGGGAATAGGTTTCCGATGGTTGGAAAGAGACGTGCGCGCTGCTCCTTAGAGAGGTCGGTTCCAAACGAGTTAATGGTGATGTTGATAGTGCGGCGGTCCGCCTCAAACGCCAGAATGCGGTGCATAGCGTCGTATGTTGGACCTCCAATGGATTGACAAAAGTTGTCAAAGTCTTCGAGGTATGCTTTATAAAGTGTGTTTCGAATAATCTCAATGTTCAGATCATCGAGGTCCGAAGCGGAGAGGCACTCGCGAAAGTACGGGGCTGTGGGAGACATTGAGTACATGCACGCAAAAGCCGACGTTGACGCACCCAAAGGAGTCTCTACAAGAACACTCTGGTAGAGTTCCTCGACATTGGTTGCCACACAAAGGGCAGGCATAGTGTCAAACACACCCAACGGGTGACAGCGTTCCAATAGCTCGTGTGTATCTCTCTCGTGGAGTGTGCCGGTGATGAGAAGAATAACATTATCGATCATGTATGCATATCTGCATTGATTAGACAGATGTTTGAATCAAAAGAAAGTGCCACGAACGTTATGTAGTCGAGAAACTTGTCAAGCGGTGCGACGGCATTGCTACGTAGATAGTGAAATTGGTCAACCATGACCTGGGTTGCCTTGTCTGAGATTTTTGAAGTTGAAATTGGGAGAGGCTCGTTGGCGAGGAAGTTGCCATAGTCTGTCGCCGACAACTGCATCCTAAAGTCTTTGGACCGTCAGAATACACGTTTATTCCAATTTTGTACGCACCCTCAAGCGTCTCACACTGTGTCAACGTCGCATACTGGGCCTGGGTGAGCAGGCCAGCCTTGTAACCTCTAAGTATGCCCTCGAGGAAGCCGGCAGACACCTAGAAATGTGTTAAATCGTGATCCATGCGCGAATTACGGCATTCTACATTGAAAAAGAGGCCTTCCATGGCAAACGGGATTGAATGGGCGGGTCCAACGATGCCGCTACGGCTCAGCGCTTTGCCAGTTATCTTGGCCTTTGTCAGCGTCTTGCTCTCTGTACTCTCCTTGCTCTCGACGACGACAGCCAGATTATCTGTGACGTTTCGACGCCGTTCTGAATATTTGCCAAATTAACGGGTGCCCCGCTCACCACACTTGGACACTGCCATCGCCCAAGACGCCCAAGTAAGAGCTTCGGATGCTCCTTTCAAACCCAAAGGCGCCGCGCAGGGATGTCGAGTTTGCATCCGTCTTAGCTCAGGAGAGGGAGTTGAACGCTCACCCGCTGCCTAAAGGCATTCTAATTGCTTGCATCGTGATCTGCACTGGGTGTACGTCGTCTGTTCATCCAGCTTACAGTCTTTGACTAATGATTCAATATCTATATAGTCATAATATTTCTACTTATGGGCAAAATATCCGCCATTTGCGCACAACGCGCAGAACGACGGCGCGCCTCATCGTCCTCTGTCTCTCAGACTCCCAACGAGCCACTATCACGCCGAATCAAACGTCTATTATTCAAAATAGTACCCTCGCGACTCCGTCCTTGTCATCGCCAGCCAAGTTCATCCTTGCCAATGTCAAACGTACCCCCAGATGACTTTCCCGCACTCTCAAGTGCCACGCTCCCTGCTTATCCTGGGCAAGCGACTCTCCCAGAGTACAGCCCCCGCAGCGCCATTGTGCGATTTGGGATCATGCTCGCCAGTATCCGTCCCTCACACCCTGGGCATCATGATCCCATCCTCGAAGTTGGTGCACCGTTGGGTTCACCTCCCATGCACTCACAGGTGTCCATGGTTCTGATCGCCGACCCACCACCAGCCTATAGAGGTCCTTCCCCTCTCCCGCCACCACCAGATACGAACAGCGCGCCTCAGTAACGTCGACGAATCGGCAGCTACAACCAGAGAAGACATCTTATGAACTCTTCAAACATCCAGTGACCACATGTCGATGGAATCTATTCTCATCTGTTTATTATTGTCCATCCATATTCTATGCATGGAGTTGCTGCTATATGGGATCATAAATTATACACTGTCCTGTCATTGAATAGTCCGTTTTTATAAACATCTCAATCTACAATAGAAATCTAAATGAGACACGTAATGGAACATGGTATACTGGGGCAGAACCCGCTGCAAAATAGTACGAGGCAGAAATGGTTAAAGGCTAATGACTTGGTACGCCCGTCCCAAAGAAATCCTCCAATTGCTGGTCGTTGAGCGGCTCGTTGGCAAACGTCTGGGTCGGAACCGCCTCGGACATGTCGAGATGCGCCACGCCGCGAGGAGGCTGATACGGACTGACATGGACGCCCATGCTGCGGAGCTGAGGATGCTGCTGTTGTTGCTGTTCGTAAGAGCCATGCGACTCGGGTGCGATCGAGGAGAATTGTGCCATCATATCGTTCATGCCGATAGACGGATTGGTATACATTCCCGCCATGGGATCTTGCTGATCATTCAGATTGATAGGGCTCGTCACGTTGGATCCAGTTTGCGTGGGGACACTGCCGCTCCGGTATTGTGCTGGCGCGACAAGGCGTGCGTATTGGAGTCGCTGTTCCATGATCATTGCCTCGTGTTGCCGTTGACGTTCATTCTCTTCTCGCTGACGCTGGTTTTCTATCCTCTGCTTCTCTCGGTCTTCGAGCCTGGGACATGATCAGTTCATAGTCTCGACTTTATCTGTCGTCCTTACCGTTTGTTCTCAATCCTAATCCACTCTTCCTGGCGTTGGCGCTTGCGCAATTCCCGCTCGCGAAGGATAGAGAACAGCGCGTCCATCGTTTTCTCGTCTTGACTGTCCGACATGGGCATCTCCGGCGAGCCAGAGTTAGACGAATAATCGACGTTGGAGAATGGACTAGTAGCCTGAGGGCTAAGGGACGGCGGTGGATGCTCTCCATTCCCAAAGCCTTCCATTGAAGGACCACGGCGATGCTTCCCAGATGGCACGCGCCGAGAGGTCTGTGCAGATAGATGTTGTCCATTGCGAGAGACATCTTGAACTGACATGGACGGGAAGCGTGCCTGTGACGGAACGGGTGCAAGAGGTGACGCCGTGCTCGACCATGGTCCAATGGCCGAGTTATCATAGCTTTGAGGCTCTTGAGTAAGCTGATTGGTGAGACCAGTCGTCCAATTTCCTGGAATACCATCATTGGCCTGTTTGAACTGTTGGTTGGTATGGATGTGTGACGGGAGCGCGCCGGCGCTGACAGGTCGGCCCATGGCGCCTGCGTTCTGTGCGGACCAGGTGGCCAGGTGTGCGTCGTTTCCAAATGATGTTTGTTGAAGAGGCATAAAACGTCCAGATGGTGAAACCGCGGGGCTCAAGCTGGGGCTTATGGGCGATATGCCGTGGCTAACCGGGAGTCCAAAGGGCTCGGCATCGGAGAAGGTGGCTTGGGTATCGACGGGAGGGGGCAGTACTTCGAATTCCTGCTCAGAGTCCGGTCGCGTGGCGTACATAGGGCGGCAGGGCAGGGCGTTAGTGGCGAGCCGTAAACAATGGGCCAAACACGAGGCCGGCAAAGACCCGTGGTGCAACTCACCTCCGGCACTTCAAAACTAGCGGAAGTTTCGACGCTCCTGGCTCGTTGATGATTACTGATGAATGAATTCTCACTGCCACCGTCGGATACGCTCAATGCCCTCGACTTCCAGGCCCCGAACTGCTGTGCGTCTCTCGCCATCTGGGCGATGATAGCCGGTAGCTCGAGGGCCAGTTCGTGGTATTCAAAATAGGTGGGAAACCTATCTTTAATCTTGCCTAAGGTGGCGTACTGTAGTGAGTGCGGTGCACATGTGCTGCGACAATACGACGTACTCCATAGGGCCCGATGCTCCGGAGGAATCTGATCCTCGGATTGGTATTCATCTTTGAGTTGTGGCATCTGACGTTGGGCCTCATCATACAGCATTTGTGTCCTGTGAGTGGCGTCACGCGGGTGGTAGACGGACTGCGGCCGAAGACATACTTGTGTAGCTTATTCTTCACTGCTCTCGTAAGGTTATCCATTACAACCGGGTCGTTCAAGTCGTATGATCCGTCGTTGAAGAGATGTTCCGCGATGGTTCGTTGCAGGTCCTTTTTGCTGAAAAGCTGCATACCAGCCCCCATGGGACCCAAATGACGTGATGGTTCGTTGACAAGCAACCGCTTGAGTTCAGGTTTTGCCTTGATCAAGGCCCACAATTGCTCTGTGAGCTGGGGAGTCCATCTGGAATTGTCAGAATCGCAACCTATACAAGTAAATATTACCACTGACTTGACCTGGACGACAGGCTTTTCTCCGCGTTTGCGTTTGTTTTCTCCCCGCTGCCCTGGGCGCGGTGCGTGTCCGCCAGTGAGGAGATGCTTGGGCTTTCGAGAGTTCCCAGATACTGAATGACCTTCATCTGGCACGTAGTCATCGTTCTCTCTTGCGGGCATGGTGTGTCTCGCAGCCTTGGCGGAGTGGGTATAGTTCTACGAGCGCTGAAACTGGGTGGAAGATTGTAGTGAAGATGTAAAGGTGACACTCCCAGACGTACAGAAAACGTTGAAGTGGTTGGCAAATATGGAACAGGTCCAACCGTGCTTACGCCCAGGCTCACACTGAGCGAGTCACTTGGTCTCTCCCATCTCCCATCTACTCTTCGCCTATGGCATCCACAAGCACAGATACACCCACAGATGCTGTTACAGTCTACGTCGACGAAAAGGTCGGCTCAGACGATGCCGGCGATGGTTCGATCCAGAAACCATATCAGAGTGCTGCCCAAGCCATCGTCAACCACGGGCCTTCGCCACCGCTGGTGATCCTGACGAGGAAATCAGAAGAGGAGGAGTGGGTAGCTATCGGCATCTCCGCCCTCAAAAAGGCTCGCAAGGGCGCAGAGGGAATCGAGAAGAAGCGACAGAAGGCATTGGCGGCGGAGGCAAAAGCTGCAGAGAAAGCCGCAGCTCAAGAAAAGGCTAAGGATGTTGTACTTGAAGAGGATCTTTCCCTTCCTCAGGCAGTCAAGGTGAGCAAAGTCTCTCGTTGTGCAAGGTGGCATGGCCTGACTCAGACACGTAGACAAAGATCAAATATCTGGAGAAATACCGCGGACAACGAGTTAGAATCTCCGGCTGGGTTCACCGTCTGCGCTCACAGGGCAAGATGATATTCGTCGTCCTGCGAGACGGAACCGGGTTCCTTCAAGTGATTATCGGCGGAAAGTTGGTATGTCGGTTTCTCATCGGCTCACACATATCTATTGACAAGTCAATACTCAGTCTCAAGTTCACGATGCTTCGCTCTTGACCAACGAGGCAACCATTGAGGTGGTCGGTAACCTGCAAGAAGTCCCCGCGGAAAAGTCTGCGCCAGGTGGCCATGAAGTCGTCGCGGATTACTGGAAAGTGATCGGCCATGCACCTCTCGGAGATGACTCGTATCTCTCTCGGTTCAATGAAGAGACCGGCCCGAGTATCCTTGCTGACCTTCGTCACCTCGTCCTCCGTGGAGAGACTCAATCAGCCGTTCTCAAGCTCCGAACAGCTCTTCTGTCTTCCTTCCGGCACGCATTGGATGCACTCGACTTGAAAGAGGTCACACCGCCGTGTATCGTACAGACTCAAGTCGAGGGTGGCGCTACCCTCTTTGGATTCAAGTATTACGAGGAAGAGGCATATCTCACTCAAAGCAGTCAACTCTACCTCGAGACGGTTCTCCCAGCTCTTGGAGACGTCTATTGTGTCCAGGAGAGCTTCCGTGCCGAAAAGTCACAGACAAGGCGACATCTCAGCGAGTTTACGCACTTGGAAGCCGAGTTGGCATTTATCACCTTTGACGATCTGATGACTCATATCGAGAACGCGGTACGTATCCTGATCGCGCGGCGATTACTCTAACAATTCGATAGATTTGCGATACCATTGATCATCTTCTTGCGACGCCTGGGGTCTCCGAATTGATGAAGGTGCTCAACCCCGACTTTAAGCCACCTTCCCGTCCATTCCTTCGCATGTCCTACGCCGACGCCATTCAGTGGCTCGTGGACCACAAGATTCAGCACGTCACCGAAGAGACGGAAGACCTTCCGGATGCCGAAAAGGTCTATGTCGATCACGTGCTGGGCGATGATATCGCCGAAGCAGCGGAACGTAAGATGACAGACGAGATTGGGCGACCCATTTTCCTCTACGGATTCCCCAGCCATCTCAAGGCGTTTTATATGCAGAAGATGAAAGGTCCTGCTGGAGAGGGACCCAATGGAATGGTGTTCACCGAGAGTTGTGACCTGCTCATGCCTGGTGTCGGAGAGGTTGTCGGTGCGTGAACATCTTGAGGATCTGGTATAAGACTAACAGACGTAGGCGGATCCATGAGGATTCACGATGCGGATGAGTTGCTCGCTGCGTTTAAGAAACAAGGTATCCCGGCTGAGCCATATTATTGGTATGTGGACCAACGAAGATATGGTACCTGTGAACACGGTGGTTATGGTTTGGGTGTAGAGGTGAGCCACAACTAATCGCTGGACTATCGTTGAAGCTTTTGTAGCGTTTCCTTGCATGGATCGGTAACCGGTACACTGTCAGGTATGCAATCTGAAAGAGTCATATTCGTCTACTGACTCTGCCTTAGGGAGTGTCAATTGTACGGTCGTTGGCCAGGTCGCGCGACCCCATAGATTTATTCAGGCATTTGGATCATAACAAATATTTAGAGCCGTGAATAGAGTCGTTCTGAGCGTCGAGAACGGGTATCGTAAAACGTTACGTCGGTAGCATTTTACATTTGCTCAGGTTTGACGCTCCTGTCTTTTGCCGCGTCGTAGTACTCGTTTACCTTTGTCTGCGCATCGCGGACGTATTGCTGTGCCGAGGGAGGGACGATACGGTCCTTTGTCTCTGCAACCCATCCTTGGACACCTTGGCCTTCTTGGGAGCGGATGTGGAAGAGGAGTCGAATGGCGAGGAAGCATCCAAGGAGACCAAGCGTGGCGGCACTAGCAAAGAGAAGGATGATGATGAGTGTACCAAACAGAAATAGTCCTGCGGAGACGTTAGCAGCCAACTGCGGCATACATTTCCATTCACGTGCCTGTCCAGAAACCGACAAAGAGCGTAAAGCCAATAGCAGTTGCGAGTGCGAGTGAGACGGTGGAAATGAGGACGAATGCGGTGAAGATTCTGTAGGGGATCTTGGTGAGTGGATGAAGCCACCGCGACCATGACGCACAAGTATGAAGCGACGGGGATGAATGCGAGCGCAGTAAATATGCCAACAAACATCTAGAAATAGCGTCTGAGATATAAACAAAGAGTAATATGGTGTACGTACGGCAGAAATGGGATATGCGTTTGCGAATTCGCGCGAGCGTGCCTTGCCTGGTGTCCATACAGCGCTATCAAACCTGCGACGAGTGTGTGAGTTAGCAGAGATAATACAGTCCGTATGTCTCGACTTGCCTGTCCTGCATGGTTCGTAAATAGACGCCTGCTTGTTGCAGCGTCTCGTTTAACCCATTCTGCGGTGAAATCTCGACCCTGTATCCGTTGCTTGCATTTTCCATGCCCATGATTGTGTCGAGATATACTTGGCCAGTGGCAGAGGAGTCTAAACTTCGACCCTGTCCCCGCTTTTTATTCAGGCGCACCCATGGCGTCTTCATCAAGACCTCTAAATGCACTGGAAATTACTCTGCACCGTATGATACTAGCATGTCGCAATGAAGTGTGTCAATTGCTATTTGGACATTCTTGGAGACTGATTGGGATGCAGACGGCAAATGCAAGTGACCTCGAAAACATTGCAGCAAATAAGTCGGAAAAGGAGAGCGCTATCAACTTTTTGATTTCAGTCGTACGTCGATACTGCACGACCAAGACGACGTCTGACTCGGGTAGGGCATGATCAAATTGCTCAAGGAGGACAAGACCGGAAAACTCTTGTACAAGGGAGTACAGGTCAAGGAAGCCAAGAGGTCGGTCCGCTTTTGTCCTATGGAGTCTCTCTCATCGTCGGCAGTAAATCGTCAATGGACAAGGACACTCAGGCGGTTCTTGCGCTGATAGAAGAGGCAAAGAATGAAGGTATGTGGTGGTCAGGTCCCGGATGAATTTGACGGGCGCAGGCGTCTGGACAAAAACGCTTGAGCGACGGACGGATTTGCCCCAAAAGGTTGTTACACGCAGTCTCAAGCAGCTAGAAAAGCAAGGCCTCATCAAACCCATTAAATCCGTCAAGGTTGTTTTACCTACCCTACTTTGATATCGTACTAAATCACTACAGTATCCTACACGAAAGATGTATATGCTTTTCCATCTCACTCCGTCGTCCGAAGTGACAGGAGGTGTATGGTACCACGAGCAAGAGTTTGACCAAGAGTTTGTCAACATTATGCTCGAGCAAATCTATGGCTTCATCGCTTCCAAGGTCAACTCGGTTCCCTTTCTAGTATTCCCCTCTGACTGTTCATTAGTCTCTTCCTAAACCAACACCTCGATGCGCTCGTCCTCTCTATCCACGTTCGGAGGCACATCGATACCCTAGTTTGACGCGCATCGCCGATTGGATTCGCAAAAACCCCATCAGCGACGTCAAGCTCAAACCCGAGGACGTCGAGCCGCTCCTTCGTGTACTCGAATTCGATGGCCTGATTGAGAAACTACCAGCTGGCATCGGAATGGCACAAATGTCGAGCGACGAGGATGACGACGAAGACGACCGTGCGCGTTCAAGCAAAAAGGCAAGCAAAGTCGGCTCAAAGAGAAAAAGGTCAGAAAGTAGCGATGAAGAGACTGGGAATAAGAAGCGGAAACGGAGTGCCCCTGCTAGTGACGATGAAGACCTTGGACGACAAACCGACAGCGACAGCGACGATGAGCGGAACAGGAGCAAGAAGAAGCAGAAGAAGAAGAAACGCGAGGCCTACAATTCCGACGACGAGGATGATATGGGGATTCGAAGACTTGCAGAGGTGCATATTAGCGACGCCTACGTCTATCGCGCCATTCGACCGCTGGAGCACAGTAAATCCGAAGAGATTGAGACCTCGTATGCACTCGGAAATGGAGGTGACTCGTGGGTGTCTTCTGGCCCGCTGTTTGGTGGAGCGTGGTTGGGTGGCGGAGGTGGACATTTGCCGTGGGCGGATAGTCCGTGCACGGGCTGTCCGCAAGTCGACTTTTGCAGCGAGACGGGGCCTGTCAATGCGTCGGAGTGTGTATATTACACCGCTTGGCTGGACCCCGAGCGCGCCGTGCACAAGATGCGACCCAAACTCGAGGGAGAAGATAGTCATGCTTCCATGGCGATAGAATTGGAGGTATAGCCGGACGCATGGAGCGTGGGTGGCAGGTTCTTGAATCCTGTCTTTCAGTCAGTTCGAGCGAACATACATCAACGCTCAAACGTATGGAGAGCCTATCACTTGTAATAGTACTATTGGGCGTTGCTACTGTGGCAATGCTGGAGGGAAGAAGCGCCGTAGGCCTGACGTCAACTGTGAAGATACGGGTTATCAACTTGAACCCAACCGTGTCTAGATGGCAGACCAGAACGAAACTCGAATCGCTCCTCCACCTACAATGTCCACTACAGACGAACGCCATGAATCTGCGTTCACCACCAGCCTCCGTGACGCTATCAAGCCAATTTACTCAAAAGAATACCGCGTAAATATGACCGCCAGGTCGATTCAGAGTGCTCTCAAGCGAGATTTTGAGCAAGAGAGACGTGAGATTAAGCGTGCGGACAGAGAGCAATGGGATTGGGGTCTCCCACTGAAGACGAAATGGCGGCTCACAAAGATGCCGTTAATCTGTAAGTCTGACTATATTGAGCATATGTACACTGAACCTGCCTAGACATGGTTCATTTGCAGCGAGCGGCCCCGCTCGAGTTTGCAAGGCTTCGAGAGGAACATTTCTCTATCACCGACGAATCTTACCGCGCCGTTACTGCATCGTCACTCAAATCTCTCTCGAACCTCGGTCTCTCTGGCTCTGCATTCTTCCACACCGAAGGACCCTCGACAAATGCGGGCCTCATCATCAAGTCGATTAACCGCGCATTCGAGTACGAGTTTATGCACGAGACACTCCTACCACGCTATATTGAGTACATTGAAGCAAGACCTGGTGCAGACTCGTTGTTGACGCGCATAACGGATGTTCTCTTCTGTGCGGATCTGAGTCTCGGCGAGGCCTTGAACGTCAGTCCGCGGCACTACATGGTTATGGTGGATGTACTCGGTGATCTCAAAGCCGTCAAGGGTGCGCAAAAGTGGGATCTCAAACCTAGTGGTTTCTTCGAGGTACGCTCTCATTCTCCCTATGCCACTCTCATCTGACGTATCACGTAGCCAACAAGAGACCTCGTACCAGACATTATCAAATCGGAAGCCACAAAGTCTGGTCTGGCGGACACGCTCGATGCCGACGTCCGAATCAAGTTGACAAAGTCCCAATATGACGATCTGATTCGAGTACTCGAACAGGATACTGCATTCCTCGAGGAGTTGGAGACGGTCGACTACTCGTTGTTGCTCGGCCGCTTCCCTGCTTCCTCTTCGCCGCAGCCTCCGCTTGGTCTCGATGCCTCGAGCACAGTCCATCTTCCCATTTCTGACGTGCTCCAGCAAGGCGCATCAAAGATCAAACGTGCATTGGGAATATCTTCGTCGCAGGAGACTGAAGACGTCGCCCCAACTGCGGGTGCCAGTGCAAGTGGGAGAGAAGGTCAAAAATTGACAGGGGACGATTTCACCAAAGGCGTCTTGTCTGCGGATGGAGAGTGGGTTTACAGGCTGACGATTGTAGACTTTTTGTGGAATGTGAACAAGCTCGTCCCAACAGTGATGCGGACGGCAGGCAAAGTTCTTCCAGACCAGACGATTACAACCGAGCCCGCGCGGTATCGGCAAGAGTTTATGAAGATGGTGGAAGAGTATGTCGAGGTGGCTGATAGCTAATCGCTAATCGTTGTCATGGTCATTATGTATATCTATGTTAATCTCTTTGAAAGTGACGCGCTTGGGGGCTGAGCGTGAATAATGGGTACAATTAATCGGGCCTCGGTCGCTCCGAGAGGCTGGCAGAGCCGTGGCCTCAAATTCTGGGCGCCCAAATGGTCCGTTTGAATAGGTTTAGGCGATATGGATAACTCACCTGTCTACTCCTTATCCTGTTACCGCGAGGTATCCAAGCTGACTTTCTCTCTCTGTCGATGAGACTAGGATTAGTGGTACATTTACATGATGGGGCTCTGTAAAGATAGGACTGCTCCTTGTTGAAAGAGCATTCGGCGCCGCTGGATGTAAAGTCTGAATGCTCTTCGAGCATGAGTGGCCAGGAAGGAAAGGATTATAAAGTGGCCGCTGGAGCTGCGAAGGAAATCATCATCCCACCAGATAGCTCCCTTCGAGTACCAGCCATGAGCGACAGCTACACCTTTAAACTCAATAACGCACTCAGCTCCAACCGTAGATTGGTGAGATACGAGACCACGGTGTACAAGAACCCGAAGGCTACGAATCAGACTCTGCACAAGGCAACCTTGTTTGTGACGATAGCCGAGACTTATGATCATACTGGGGTGGCGAGACCTGTGGAAGTTCCCTTCACGGCTGAAGGATATCGGACCGCACAAGAGGCCAAGGACGAAGTAGCAAAGGTCGCTACACCATGGTTGCGAGAGCGAAACTTGTTGGTCAAGGACCAAGAATTAATATAAGAGGTTCTCACTTCCTAGCCATAAATAGATTATGTTGATATATCACCAGAGTAATTGGATCTTACTATTTTTTACGAAAGCATACATAGAATTTCAGTAGACTTGGAAAGCAAAGTCAGGCCGGAGCTGACCCTCCATTCGAGAGTTTGGGCTGCTCTTCGCGTCGAAATGACACGAGATGTTGGAATCGATTTATTACGTGGCACAGAGTATATTTCACGGTAATTACAACCATTTTCGCAGTCTGCTGAGACAGAAGCATAACGTTATACAAGTCGCCTACACAAACTACTCTGAGTAGTTGGCGAAGGAACGGTTGATGCTTGTCTGTCTTGGTCCAAGGTTGCTAAAGGCATCAAGACCGATACAGAGTCTCGTCGTAGAGCATGATCTCTTGAAATAAAACTGTTACCAAACAACAAGGCCAACTGAGTTAACCTGTCTGTCGTATTGCTCACAAACCCAAGTCCGAAATGATTTGGCTTGCTAAGGACTCCAGTGATGACCTCAAGGCTAAGTATATTGCTCTAACAAGTGCTCCTAATTCAGCACGCCTTACACTTTCAAGCACTCACTTTACTTATCTTGTCGAAACACGATAGACAATCAACAAGCTATATAGACTCTATCATAGACTATACAACTCGGCATGGGTTCAATAAGTACAGAGACTATACAACTCGGCATAGGTTCAATAAGGACAGAGACTATACAACTCGAGCAACGCCTAAGTCCACCGAGCCGACCCTCGAGCCGCCACCCGACAAAAGGAAATTACTTACCTTGATACCTAAACTTGAACTTGAACTCGAAAACCAAAGTCGAAACTGAAGTCGAAAGTCAAAACTGAAGTCGAAAGTCGAAACTGAAACCGAAGTCGAAGCCGATACCGAAAGTCGAAACCGAAGCCGAGAAACTGAAGTAGAACCAACGATACAACTACAAGCTCGAGAAAGAGCTCCAAGAAAAAAGGGTATCAGATCCCTCATTTGGGAGAGAGTTCAGGATGCTCGTAATAAATGCCCGTTTCTTCGGAGCACTCGCTGATCCCATTCATGACCCGCAAGCGTCCTCGAAACCTCGAGTCCTCGTCGATTACCCGTCGCAAGCTGCGCATCTTCCCCAACGTGGGGACAGCAAGCAGTTCATTGGGTAATCTTGGAGGCTGCAGGCTTCCATCCCTCAGTCTCTCCCAAAAGTTGGGACTTTGTCAATGTAAGTGTCGCATAGAGCTCTAGCAAACGGGACGTACACTTCGTGGAACCACTCTGCGTCCATAGCACGTTCGAGGGTCCACCGGGCCTCTCTGTCTCGCAACATGAGGCCCTTGATCAATATCTCAATGTTTTTAGAGCATCTCTGTGAAGACCATGCAAAGGGGTCTACGAACAACGTCATTGATCAGGGTTTCGGCATCATCGCTGTCACGGCGAAATGGATGCTACACTCTTTGTTAGTGTGCACGAACCCCCCAGACCCAAAGTACGCACCGTCCCTGTCAATAGCCTGTACAAGGTCACCCCAAGGGCCCACACATCACCCTCGGGGCCCTGGATACCCAGGACATGACCCTCTGGTGGGATATACCCAAGAGTGCCTACTCCATGATAGTATCTTTGACCTGGTTTCAATGGCTTTGGTTCTTGGTTGACATTTGATATGTCAAGCGCAAGGCCAAAGTCCGCAATCTGGGCATGCCCATCCCTGGTCAGCAGGATGTTGGCAGTTTCAGATCGCAGTGAACATATCCCAAAGCGTCGTGCAAATAGTGCAGGCCGCAGATCTGTCCCGCGATTAGATATCGAAAATAGTATTCACACTTTATTGATAGACTCACAAGCTCACCAGAGTAAACCCTCAATGAGTTCTCGTCTGGACGGCTTATGTGCCATATCGGACAGACATAATTCCTGGACGTTGTGAGTCGATATACCCCATGTCCTCAATATAGCCACGTACCATCGCAAGGACGACACACTCTGGAGCCACGAGGGCCCCAAGCAGGTGCAAAAGACCCAGGATCTTTGGGCAGCCTGCCTGAGCGCCAACTCTGACTTTGGCGTCGGAGATGCATTTCCCAACGTCGCGCTCTCTGACTATCGAGTCTTTGACTCGATCGGTCGTACTCGAACGGGGGATGAGCTTGATAGCAAGGACACGCCCACTACCCACATGCCGTCCTTGGTATATACGACCATATCCGCCCTCGCCGATCATGTCAGACACGAGGAGGGAGTCAAGAGAGAAGTTTTTGGATAGGTATGCACCCGCGCCTTGTCTGGTCACGGTTCGTGTCGGTCCATCGGAAGAGACTCCTCTTAGGGAGCCGGATCTTCCAGTCCCCGACGAGCAACCAAATGTGTAGTGTTCGGCATAGTGTTTATTATCGTCATTCGTAGCCCCCTTGTCCTCGCGAGAGAGAGCCGGAATCCTCGAGTCTGACTCGAAGAAATCCGCATTAGGCGCAGGGGTATATTCAGCACCGTGGGGCGAAAAGGGGGTTGTACCTCTTGCCCACGAATACCGAGGGTATATTGCGCGTGCATTTTCTCTCTCTAGATGCTCTCTATCTCCGCGCAGCGACCACTCTTGCGAGCTAGACGCTGCGGGATCCAAACTGGGGGTCTGACGACCGACCCAGTGTGTGCTCGGATATTGTTCACTCATTTGGCAAGATTGCTAGATGAATGCACGATATGCGCCGACTCGATTAAATCGCTTTGGTATTTCACCAATGAGATTGTTCCTATCAATGTTCGTTTCTTATTTCATAACGTTGGGAATAGCAGAGTCAAGGTTATTGACATCTTGTCCCTTCGAGGTGTTGCTGTAGGTGCCTACAAGAGCGCGCTTTTATAGAACATTTGCGCGACGACCTCTTCGAACCCGGCGCTCGACGGGCCATTTGTACAGACTCTGAGCCACGTCTGGGCAACATTTATCTCGCTTATAGATCGAATGCTTATCATTCTAATATAATCAGTGACTCGATCAAGTTTACAAGGGTTCATGTACCAGAGTCAAAGTTTGCCACATTACTTATGTCGGTCAGGTACAAAGTGTACAAATCTTTCCTTATATAATCTTGACCTAGTGTACCGTTCAATCTATAGATCCGACTGACTTTGTTGTAGATCGTCAAGAGTTGGGACATCAACAGCCGTATAGTATAGTACTGGTCTCCTCGACTGATTCAACGGTGTATAATATACACCTTAATTGACTAGCTCCCGGTTACTATTCCCCTTGATCACATACTTGACACTCGGAGCATGCACTTTGTTATCAGGCAGTCTACTCGCAGATTAATGAATCAACAAACGTCTAGGTAACATTTTTGTTACTTGGAATACAATTCCGGTTCAACGAATGACCACTTTCGGGGATCGACCACTAAAAATCGTCGGCGTGTCGATGAATCGAACCCGGCACGTCATGATTTGTTGACTGCACTAGAAGACAGGGTGACTGTGTTCACTATTTTTACTAGACTTTGAAGAGATTCATTAGGAAGTGTTTCTCAACTTTACAAACCTACGTGAATCGTCACCAGTCGAATTTGAACCATCAACCTCAAAAGTGCTACTATAGCTGACATCAAAGTAAGTAATTGACATCTTCTACCGTTCTCTGTCAACTCGTTGGGCCATATTCAGGCCTGAACCAAGGCCACTTTGGTTCAACACTCTGTAGGATCACAAGTCACCGTCATCGCAGTTAAAGTTGCCCTGTGTAGAGTTTCGTTCCTAGCATCCGGGTCTGAGTACGCTGTGACCTTGTATTTCACCTATTTGGTTTTGGAACCGAGCAAGTTGTTGAGTTCGTAGGCGTTCATGCTGGATAATAGTTACAATTTTCGAATGCAGCAGACTGTTGTGATCCTCTGTAGGTCGCATACAAACATCTTTTATCATACCTCACCATTACAGGTCATCTCTACTCGAGGTTTACATCCAATGGCCCCAGATGCTCTTTCAAACAAGGAGCAATTCCATCGTCATAGGGCTTTCGGCGCGCGAATAAATTGTTTCCCTGGTCTCGTTGGCAGCAAGAGACTGTCAGCATGACGACTCGACAAGGAGTAGCGGGAATGAGAGGCCAGAGCTAGCAGGGTCTGAACGCCAAGCGTTTAAAAGCGCTGCCAGTCTCTCAGATACAGCAAGGTCGCCTTGAGCAAGTCAATTTAGATCAACGTCGGAGTGAAAGTGCGTCGCTGTTTGTGATAAGCTGACGTGCCTGTGTCTCATCTACCAGACTAACGGTTCTGTAGACAACGGTTCGTGCTAGAAATTGCATACGCCACGCTACGTTTGGCAAATTTAATCTAGTCTTACGAGAGATGGCTGAATAGTGTTGAACCAAAGTGGCCTTGGTTCAGGCCTGAATATGGCCCAACGAGTTGACAGAGAACGGTAGAAGATGTCAATTACTTACTTTGATGTCAGCTATAGTAGCACTTTTGAGGTTGATGGTTCAAATTCGACTGGTGACGATTCACGTAGGTTTGTAAAGTTGAGAAACACTTCCTAATGAATCTCTTCAAAGTCTAGTAAAAATAGTGAACACAGTCACCCTGTCTTCTAGTGCAGTCAACAAATCATGACGTGCCGGGTTCGATTCATCGACACGCCGACGATTTTTAGTGGTCGATCCCCGAAAGTGGTCATTCGTTGAACCGGAATTGTATTCCAAGTAACAAAAATGTTACCTAGACGTTTGTTGATTCATTAATCTGCGAGTAGACTGCCTGATAACAAAGTGCATGCTCCGAGTGTCAAGTATGTGATCAAGGGGAATAGTAACCGGGAGCTAGTCAATTAAGGTGTATATTATACACCGTTGAACCAGTCGAGGAGACCAGTACTATACTATACGGCTGTTGATGTCCCAACTCTTGACGATCTACAACAAAGTCAGTCGGATCTATAGATTGAACGGTACACTAGGTCAAGATTATATAAGGAAAGATTTGTACACTTTGTACCTGACCGACATAAGTAATGTGGCAAACTTTGACTCTGGTACATGAACCCTTGTAAACTTGATCGAGTCACTGATTATATTAGAATGATAAGCATTCAATCTATAAGCGAGATAAATGTTGCCCAGACGTGGCTCAGAGTCTGTACAAATGGCCCGTCGAGCGCCGGGTTCGAAGAGGTCGTCGCGCAAATGTTCTATACAAAAGCGCGCTCTTGTAGGCACCTACAGCAACACCTCGAAGCGGGACAAGATGTCAATAACCTTGACTCTGCTATTCCCAACGTTATGAAATAAGAAACGAACATTGATAGGGAACAATCTCATTGGTGAAATACCAAAGCGATTTAATCGAGTCGGCGCTCATATCGTGCATTCATCTAGCAATCTCCTTGCCAAATGAGTGAACAATATCCGAGCACACACTGGGTCGGTCGTCAGACCCCCAGTTTGGATCCCGCAGCGTCTAGCTCGCAAGAGTGGTCGCTGCGCGGAGATAGAGAGCATCTAGAGAGAGAAAATGCACGCGCAATATACCCTCGGTATTCGTGGGCAAGAGGTACAACCCCCTTTTCGCCCCACGGTGCTGAATATACCCCTGCGCCTAATGCGGATTTCTTCGAGTCAGACTCGAGGATTCCGGCTCTCTCTCGCGAGGACAAGGGGGCTACGAATGACGATAATAAACACTATGCCGAACACTACACATTTGGTTGCTTGTCGGGGACTGGAAGATCCGGCTCCCTAAGAGGAGTCTCTTCCGATGGACCGACACGAACCGTGACCAGACAAGGCGCGGGTGCATACCTATCCAAAAACTTCTCTCTTGACTCCCTCCTCGTGTCTGACATGATCGGCGAGGGCGGATATGGTCGTATATACCAAGGACGGCATGCGGGTAGTGGGCGTGTCCTTGCTATCAAGCTCATCCCCCGTTCGAGTACGACCGATCGAGTCAAAGACTCGATAGTCAGAGAGCGCGACGTTGGGAAATGCATCTCCGACGCCAAAGTCAGAGTTGGCGCTCAGGCAGGCTGCCCAAAGATCCTGGGTCTTTTGCACCTGCTTGGGGCCCTCGTGGCTCCAGAGTGTGTCGTCCTTGCGATGGTACGTGGCTATATTGAGGACATGGGGTATATCGACTCACAACGTCCAGGAATTATGTCTGTCCGATATGGCACACATAAGCCGTCCAGACGAGAACTCATTGAGGGTTTACTCTGGTGAGCTTGTGAGTCTATCAATAAAGTGTGAATACTATTTTCGATATCTAATCGCGGGACAGATCTGCGGCCTGCACTATTTGCACGACGCTTTGGGATATGTTCACCGCGATCTGAAACCGGCCAACATCCTGCTGACCAGGGATGGGCATGCCCAGATTGCGGACTTTGGCCTTGCGCTTGACATATCAAATGTCAACCAAGAACCAAAGCCATTGAAACCAGGTCAAAGATACTATCATGGAGTAGGCACTCTTGGGTATATCCCACCAGAGGGTCATGTCCTGGGTATCCAGGGCCCCGAGGGTGATGTGTGGGCCCTTGGGGTGACCTTGTACAGGCTATTGACAGGGACGGTGCGTACTTTGGGTCTGGGGGGTTCGTGCACACTAACAAAGAGTGTAGCATCCATTTCGCCGTGACAGCGATGATGCCGAAACCCTGATCAATGACGTTGTTCGTAGACCCCTTTGCATGGTCTTCACAGAGATGCTCCCTAAAAACATTGAGATATTGATCAAGGGCCTCATGTTGCGAGACAGAGAGGCCCGGTGGACCCTCGAACGTGCTATGGACGCAGAGTGGTTCCACGAAGTGTACGTCCCGTTTGCTAGAGCTCTATGCGACACTTACATTGACAAAGTCCCAACTTTTGGGAGAGACTGAGGGATGGAAGCCTGCAGCCTCCAAGATTACCCAATGAACTGCTTGCTGTCCCCACGTTGGGGAAGATGCGCAGCTTGCGACGGGTAATCGACGAGGACTCGAGGTTTCGAGGACGCTTGCGGGTCATGAATGGGATCAGCGAGTGCTCCGAAGAAACGGGCATTTATTACGAGCATCCTGAACTCTCTCCCAAATGAGGGATCTGATACCCTTTTTTCTTGGAGCTCTTTCTCGAGCTTGTAGTTGTATCGTTGGTTCTACTTCAGTTTCTCGGCTTCGGTTTCGACTTTCGGTATCGGCTTCGACTTCGGTTTCAGTTTCGACTTTCGACTTCAGTTTTGACTTTCGACTTCAGTTTCGACTTTGGTTTTCGAGTTCAAGTTCAAGTTTAGGTATCAAGGTAAGTAATTTCCTTTTGTCGGGTGGCGGCTCGAGGGTCGGCTCGGTGGACTTGGGCGTTGCTCGAGTTGTATAGTCTCTGTCCTTATTGAACCTATGCCGAGTTGTATAGTCTCTGTCCTTATTGAACCTATGCCGAGTTGTATAGTCTCTGTCCTTATTGAACCTATGCCGAGTTGTATAGTCTCTGTACTTATTGAACCTATGCCGAGTTGTATAGTCTCTGTGCTTATTGAACCTATGCCGAGTTGTATAGTCTATGATAGAGTCTATATAGCTTGTTGATTGTCTATCGTGTTTCGACAAGATAAGTAAAGTGAGTGCTTGAAAGTGTAAGGCGTGCTCAATTAGGAGCACTTGTTAGAGCAATATACTTAGCCTTGAGGTCATCACTGGAGTCCTTAGCAAGCCAAATCATTTCGGACTTGGGTTTGTGAGCAATACGACAGACAGGTTAACTCAGTTGGCCTTGTTGTTTGGTAACAGTTTTATTTCAAGAGATCATGCTCTACGACGAGACTCTGTATCGGTCTTGATGCCTTTAGCAACCTTGGACCAAGACAGACAAGCATCAACCGTTCCTTCGCCAACTACTCAGAGTAGTTTGTGTAGGCGACTTGTATAACGTCATGCTACTGTCTCGGCAGACTGCGAAATGGTTATCACCGCTACGCAATATACTTTCTTCTTATCCATTTTGCATCCTTCTCAACCTTGATCCCTCGTCCAGTGCAAATAGCATTGAGCGTCTTGATTGTTCTGGGAGCGTTTGCCATTGTCGGCTCCCTGTATGTCGTCTCCTCGAGGTTGACATACTCCTCTACTCTGAGCAACACGAGTCCAGGGAAAATCTCTGGGTCGCGAGTAAACGCTGCCTCCAAGTGTCCCCGCGTGATGAGACTGGTGCTTAATTCTTTCGTCGGGATCACACCCAGCGCGTATATTTCCCAGTCTGTCATATGCTCGATATGAAAGACCTCCAATGGCGCGTGAGTGTTGCGGAGGGCATCCGACTCAGTCGACCATCCGCCACTCCGTTGAACTCCAACTGTATCATCGTCTGATGCACCACATGTTGACACCATTAACTCTCTGAGCGACGTAAAATGGCGAACGAGGTGGGGGATGTGGAACGCATAGGCATTACTGCAGTCGATGAGACGCAGACATGTCAAATTGTCACGGTGTTTCCAGTAGGGAAGCTGATTGGCGTCCCATATCCTTCCTAGCGTTTGATACCGGAGCGCTCGACGAATGGTCAGGGCGCGCAGATTGGGAAACTGGGTGCGCACGAGGTTGTAAATCTCCGTGGGGAGCGTCTCCAATACGAGGTCGAGGACGCGTAGCTTGTTGGCGGCAGCGGCATTGTTCGAGAATTGTTGGATGATATCGTATGCCATCCAAGCCATGCGTCGATCCCAAGTCAGGTTTCCAAGCTTGTATTCGAGGATCACGGTGGAGTAGATTCCGAATTCGAGGACTTTACCGGTTTTGAGAATGTTTACGCACTCCTCGGCGACTTTCCGAGGCAGAGAGTGACAAGAGCGATAGTAGAGGGCCAACGAGGTCACATTGGTGAATGTGGCCAGGGTAGTGGCGAGGAACTCCCAGTAGCGAAAGAGAAGAGTGAACCCCGGGTCCAGAAGAATACGTACGTTGCGTACATTGCCACCGTGCTTTACCCACTTGGAGACGAGCTCATCGGTGATGGGGGTCCAGTCATTTGACGTAAACACAAAATCGCGATGAGCGAATGGAATGCATAGCTTGTAAAAGTATTTGTTCGTTCTATGAGAGGGTCAATTGTCGTCGGTGCTTTGCATTGTACCTACAAGGCAAGGGACTGAAGCGCTGACCACGGATTTGTCGACAACGCTTGTGTTGACCCAGATAATACGCCTTCAGAGCCACCTCCTTCGTTAGAATTTTGCTCCGCCTCCATGTCTGTGTTGTTCGTCTGCCATAGTTTTGTCCAGGCAGCCGCTTTTCCGATTTGTCCTACATTAATCTCCGGACAGAGATATTCGATAATCTCTAGTGTCACTTCGACGGGAAGGACACTCCAAGACATTTCTCAAGATTTTGGTCGGCTCCAAAGTGGCATCTGGGCTTTGCTTCCGACCTCTGCTTCCAACTTTGACTGTTTATAATTTCGTAAATCAAGGTGATACTCATCCACTCTGATAATCCAAATTGGCACATCGAATATCATTCGGATCATTCGAGCCCGCCGATATATTCTTGTGGTAGCCTCCATCCATATATCGGGAGCGCGTAGTTCTGGCAGTTCTTATGGCAATTCCATCCAACAGTCACGAATCCGGCTTCATTTGATTCACACTCAACACTAAGGTACCCAACGCGCCTATTTTCGAAAAGACTCGTCGCCCTTGAGATACCAGCGAAGCGATTAGCAGGGTCGAACATCTCAGCTGCTGCTATGGGAATGGCAGTAAAGCTCATCTACTGATGGAAGCATAAGGCGCGCGGCGGAGTTTGCAACCTGGCTCATGATGATGCTCATTGAAAGGCTTATTTTCTAGGATTAGATGTCAATTTGAGTAAGTAGACTCGAATGGAGCAAGCAAGGACGGCACTTACCTTCGGAGCAAGGCTGAAGCCGTGACAGGACTGACAGCACAGGAACTCGGTAAATCTCTTGTGGAGCCAAAATCTTTACTTTGATGCTTCGCCTGTACTCGTTGAGAGTCATTAAAGGGACAAGGACAAATACCAGCTTGGACCTGTTTATTTCCAGCGCTTTACTATCCAGAACAACAAGTGGACTAAAAATTCATGTACCTGAAAACGAAGCCCTGATACACCTGTCAACACGTCAGGCAATACCGCTGGCGACGGCTGTCGAGCCTCCGCGTGCGCCTAGATCTAGCCCGTCCGCGCATATATGCCCATGAAGAGCGTCTGCTGTCATTTTTCATTCCTCAGCCCCCTCCTTTCTTTGGTACTAGCCTCCCATAATCTTACGATCGGCAGGATGCTCTCAAAGCGGACACTGGCCGCGCTCTTGCCTCTCTTTATAGCTTCTAATGCTTTATTATTCGAGCCAGTACGTATCCTAGGTCTTCATGAGCACTTATTCACGCCGTGGTCAGCCCTCTGCGTCCGCGGTCAAGAGGCACGGACAACTCTCCCGTCGCGCTGGCCATGGTCGTCGTGCGAGCGGAGACGGTTGGGTCTCTTCAGGATGCTACACGTGAGTTTCGTACTGTTCAAGTCTAGGAGCCCATCTCACCCCAAGTGTCAATCAGCGACAATCTCGCTCGGCGAACGCTCCCCGCCTTCAAGGTAGCCTCGGGAACCATGACAAACGACGCCTGCAAAGCAATCTGCGATGAACATGGATATGCAATCGCAGCTACCGAATGGAGCGAGGTATGCCTCACGTCTGAACTCGAGTAACTTGCTGACAATGCTCTCGCTCTTTAGGAGTGTTGTATGTTTATATTGCCTGATTTCTTCCCTATTCTCATCCGTTCATTTAGTCTGCGACGACGAGTTCCACAATGGCGGCGTCAAAACTGCAGACGGAGAATGCGATATGATGTGCACTGGCGCACCAACTGAAGTCTGCGGCGGTGGCCTGCGACTGACTGTATGGACCAAGCAAGCATCCGTACTCGAGAGCTACGGCAACTGGAACTCTCAAGGCTGCTTCGTGGACAGTGTCAACGCTCGTATCGTCCCGAATCCAGTCGCTGTCGAAGGAACGTTTACCCCTCAGAAATGCATGGACTCGTGTGCCGCCCAGGGCTATGAATACGCCGGTCTAGAGTTCAGTCATGTGAGTGTCAACGAGCCCATCACGATCGTACTGACATAGCCTAGGAATGCTGTACGTTCTATGCTCGTCTACGAGTCCTGTGCTCACCTTGCACCAGTTTGCGCGAATGGGATCAACACGGCAAATCTTCAACAGGTTGATATTGGCGAATGCAACTCAGTATGTTGGAGGATACGTAACTTTCTTCAAGGGTTCTGAGTTTATATAGCACTGCGACGGCGATGCAGCTCACTATTGTGGTGCCGGAAACAGGGTAAGGGCGTTCAATGAAAGTGACGGCAATGCTCATCTCTACCCATCAGCTCAATCTCTACAAGCGTACGACGTCAACTTCGGTCACGCAAGGTATCGATGGATGGACGTACGATAATTGCTACGGGTACGTTCAACAGTAGAATCTGTTAGCGATCTTTTCCGACGCCTCTTAGTGACGAGGTTGCGAACCGTGCTCTGGGACTACGCGCATATGTCGATGGCGGGATGACTCCAGCCAAGTGTACCGCAAAGTGCTTCTCGCTCGGATACAACTACGCAGGCGTCGAGTACTCTGATGAATGCTGTAAGTGGCGGGTTTGTCGATATTCCGGGACCTGACTGGCTTCCTAGATTGCGCTAATTCAATTGGATCTTCTGGAACTCTAAAGACGGACGGATGTACGATGGTAGGTCTGATTGTGAAACCTCTGCGCTCGCTTATGCTGTCTGTAGTCTTGTTCCGGTGATAGGAACGCAATATGTGGTGGTAGCAATCGAGTACGTCCAATCCTTGGATGTGTGCCTTCTCAACTCCTCCAGCTTACCGTCTACAAATACATTGGTGGCGAGCTGCCTGGACCGGCTTCTGTCCTCGAGACTTATGGAGATTGGAATAGCGCCGGATGTTATGTGTAGGTCTCCGAATCTGCCTGCTATAAATAACTCACTACGTCTAGTGATTCGGTGCAAGCCCGTGTGCTCACCCCCAACGCCAATGCCCAAAGGCCTATGACAGTGCAAAACTGCATCGACGCTTGTGCAGCTGCTGGATACACAGTTGCTGGGCTCGAGTACGCTGACGAGTGCTACTGTGGTCTCGATTTGCCGTCCGTGTCAGCTTCCGACAATTGCATCATGAAATGCGAGGGAGATGCAGCCCACCTGTGCGGAGGGCCAAACAGAGTATGACTTCGGACGGCAACTGTGCACACTACTGACGCTCGACAGCTCAATGTTTACCAACGCGCATCTTCCACGGCCACAGCGACAGACTCGTCGACTTCCACGTCCGCCACCGACACGACGACGAGCACCAGCACTCAGACCAATCTTCCAGGTGCCACTCAGTCATCATTGGCTAATCCCTATGCCCCATGGGTGTATAATAACTGCAAGGAGTAAGCTTCCTTGGGTATATTTTGCGTTCGTTCTCAGCCTTGCTAGCTCGCTATCCTATCAGCCTGGGTATCAGTTCACTATGAACCCTGTCAATACAGCGGCAACGGTTCAAACTTGCCTGACGGCATGTCAAAATTATGGATTGTCGGTGGCACAAATTGGTTGGGGTTATGTGAGTATTATTAAATTACCAGGAATTGTGCTCATTCTATAATAGTACTGCAGTAAGATTCTCTGAGCGGACAATACTGGAGGCTCACAATGCGATAGCATGCGGTACGCTTCTAGGTGGACGAGAAGACCTGATTTGCAACACTGTAAGCCTATTGGAAGATTATTAACAACGGTCTAACTGCCTGAAGCCTTGTCGTGGCAACGCCAATGAGATGTGCGGAGGTACATCTGGAGGGGTAAGGCAATCTCCAAATGTTAATGAATCATTCTCATTTTTTTCAGTATGCAACATACACACTCCCAAGCGACCAGACGCCTCTGGTCATGCCTACCTCTGATGCGTCATGGCTCGACGAAGGCTGCTACAGGTAGCGTTCTCCTACTATGGATTTCTATATTTGACCACATTTTAGTGCCGGTGGTGTTTACACTCAAGTTCTCACGGAAATCACCGATGCGTACAGAATGTCGCCCGATCGATGCACTGCTGCATGCCAGGCCATCAATATGCCTGTCGCAGTCATCTCTTCCACTACACAAACGTTTGGTAGCTCGATCCAGGAACGTCAGGTTAGTATATTGTGATAACCCAGCGTCACCCATCTAACATCTCCCCAGCTCTGTGGTAATGCTTTATTTAACTAAACAGAGCAAGCAAACTAAAAGCTGAGTAGGATGCGGTAATGTTCTTCCAACTACCAGAGCAACTGCAGACAAGTGCAACAAGGTAAGAACTAGCTAATGATCCCTGCACAAGCCTCACTTTTCACAGTCGTGCACTGCAGCCGGTTCACAATCCCAGACATGTGGTAGCGACTTTCACGTGCGTTTGATATCTTTTCCTTTTCAAACTTTGACAAAATTTCTAGTACAACGTATATCGATATGCCGGAACCAGTGCGGCCTCGACGTCCACGGAAACGTCAACGTCGGCTACCACAGAATCATCCAGCACGGCAACTGCTACGGACTCCTCCTCTACAACAGCCACTCAGACTGGTACGGATGTCGCAGGCGCTACCCAAACGGGCGCGATTAACCCCTATGATCCTTGGATTGAGTATGGCTGCTATTAGTGCGTTATCTCCTACACAGGGGTCTGGCCATCTGCTCATTTCGTTTCAGCCCTCTGAGTGGTAGTATCGAGGATGAATTCATCATGAACTTTGCAGCACCCCGAATCCAAACATGCCTTGGGCACTGCGGCTCTATCGGCTTGAGTATAGCACTCCTCAGCGAGGGAAACGTAAGCAAAGTTCCCATCGCCAAGTAACCTTCGGCTGATTTTCATAGCTTTGCCGTAAGAAATCGCTGATCGAGACGATATTGAGTACTCATTTTGATAGGCTGTACGGCGCTCATGCCCGCCGCACAGGCGACGGTGTGTGATATGGTATGTCCACCCGATTCCTCGTGAGGTTTCTGACCGCCCCAAGCCTTGCTTGGCTGAGGATAATGAGATTTGTGGTGGTGCAGGCGGCCAAGTAGGTCCAGTGGCATAAACACACCCTGTGATCCTCACCATATCTAGGCAAGCGTCTTCTACTTACGTAAAGACAAAGCGCTCGAAATGCCCCCGGCCAATTCTGGGGCTCAATGGTCTTCTGCGGGTTGTTACAGGTATTTATCGCTCTTTGATACAATTCTATGGCGATGCGATAACCCGGCCATAGGTCCTCTGGAGAGTATCAATCTGGTTTTGGCAACGACTTCAGCAATTCCGCCTCGATGACACCCGCGAAATGCACTCAGGCATGTCAAGCCATGAATGCACCAGTCGCGGTTCTTTCCTCTCGTACAACGCAGTTCCTCTTTACCACAACGGAGAATCAGGTGGGTCCCTCTCAGTCGTTCTGGATGATGTGGCCTAACCTTGTACTAGATTTGCGGTCAGAGCAGAGAAACCTGCAGTATGTCTAGTACTTACTTGTCATGATAGGATGCGGTCACGACTTGCCGGACCAGAAATGGGATGATGACTCTTGCAACAAGGTATCTTAGCTCCTTTCCCATGTCGACGTGGATGCTCATTCTGCGAAGCCTTGTACAGGAGATAATAACCAGAATTGCGGGGGTGACGGCTTTGTATGTCAAATTCTGCATATTGAGCGTTATCTGACATGGCTCTAGCTTTCCGTCTGGCAATTGACGATTCCTTCAACGTCCACAAGCACGCAGGCCTCGATACCGACGTACACTGCAGATTGATTCAACACACCGAGACCCTCACCATAAACAGTCGTCACTCATTCCGTCTCTTTAGTTCTCTCTACATATACATTCACCTTGCATATAATGTCACTCGTTTACTTGCCAACTATTCCTGAGCGCTTGTGTAGCTACTTGAACTCGACCATTCCCGGCTTGAATCACGTGAACGGCTGGCATCACTCGTCATGGTCGTAAGATCTGGTCTACAAAACGAAGTCATCTCTCTCTACCGTCGGTCTGTCTTCCAATCATTTGAAACTGTTCGTCGACTCACATTTGGCTTTTTTGTGTTCTACGCACATGCTCCAGCGCGCTCCGACTGGTCCGTACAAAGCCCACGACCTCTCAAGCGCGCTTTAGGACACTAATACGATGGACTTTTCGACGTCCTCAAGTCCAAGAAGAGCTCTCTGCGCGCAACCTGACCCTCGTCGAGCATCACATTCGACAAGCCAAAAAGAGTATCGAACTCTGGGAGAATCCGAGTATCAAAGACGTCGTACCGACGATGCAAATGCGCTCATGGGAAACGAAAAAGGCTGGGCTATGGACGCCGCGACCCAACACCCGTAATTCATCACAGGACAATACACAGTCATAAATTTCCATGCATATAAACGAGAGTTGGTCAAGCGTTTGTATTCCACACGTGATAGAACAGGCAGTAAAGCTATCGTGGCAAGGAGAGAGTACGAACACTGTGCATGGATGCACATAGGACGAGCAAACGAGCAAGCGAAACAGAGGACAGAGTACGAAACTGGTGGGCGAGGTACGACAATCAAAGCGCATAGGATCGCTCCGTCTTATGCGCGGCAGAAGGTTGCAGAACAGGAATGGAGTGCAACAGACTGGACAGAGTTTCGAAGTGAGCGACGAAAGACGAGGATAGGACGGGGAACGGGAGTAATTGGGATCCCCAAACGCGAGTGCGGCCCTCTATTACAAGGCGATGAGGGGAAAAAAAGGAGAGCGCACTCGTTGTTGTAGAGGAGCAAAACCTAGGAGATGAACAATGTTGCAAACAAAAGAGGAAGCAGATCGGATGAGCTCATAAGAAGCGAAATAATGATGACAGACGCCCGTGTTTGACGATAGTGCACGTTGCGTCGACAGTTAGAAGACAAGAGTGAGGGATGGAAACTGTTAATTTGGGATGTGAGCAGAAGTAGAGCGCGAAAGACGAGAAGACGAGAGAGTGAGAGGAGACAGCGTGCGTGGCAGAACAAAAATGCGAGAGACGACGGCGGACCGAGAAAATTTATGTCGAGTTTACAAAGCAGAGCGAGATTAGGGGATGTACTGGGGCGAATCGAGTCCGAGTCGAGTCGACGACAATGACGAATAGAGCGCCGGAAAAGGGGGAGAGGGGATGATGGGGAACGACGATTAGTATCTTCCAGGTTCTCCACGAAGTTGCGCCGCAAACGAGCCGCCGCTCATTCCCGACGCAGGTCCAGGCGAAATGGGCGCCCGCGCATTCATGCCTCCACCAGGTCCACCCGTCCCAAGCCCACTAAACATGCCCGCAAGCTCGTGCATGCCGTCCATACTCGGGTTGATGGTGCCCGCTGTCGTGGTAGACGTTCTCGAACCAGGAACACCATGGGCGTTGACGTGTCCGTTTGCCTTGGGCGGAGGAGCAACTGGTCCCACGCCATTCGCCGCACCGGTACTGCGAGCGCTCGAACTTCCAGAACCAATGACGGGTGCCGAGCCAACGTTGCTGTTGCTATTCGGCGACGAGCTCTTGTTCGATGACTGGCTCTTGGAGAGATACGAATCGAGACCGCTCGAGTCGTGCCTCAAAATGTCCGTCGGTTGAAATTGTGGACTGGGCTCCTCAATATAGTCGTAGGATCCACCTCCTGCAGGTCCGGTCGCAGTATGAAGACCATGAGCGGCACCGAATCCATTGATCCCACCGGTCATGTGGTTGTACGGCACTCTTGTGCCAATGAACCGATCGTTTATATCAGGTCCCTTTCCAAACACGCCAGGACTGCTAAAGCCGCCATATCCACTATTTCCCGTCGGATTGGCAAACGATGCGGCGGCGGCAGGAGAACGATAACCACCCAGATCTTGATCATACTCTCCGCCATAGCCACCAGCCATATACCCAGCACCTCCACCAATCGGTCCATATCCATTGGCGTTACCCGCGTAGACACTCGCGCCACTGGGCCGAACGGCAGAGTTGGGCAAGCGATGCGACGCACCACCGTACGTGCCAAATAGTTGATCTTCCAGGACAGACGCGTTGGGACCTCCAGTCGGATACGCTCCCATGGGCAGGTGGTTCATCGCAGGTGACATGGCGCTCATCCCGCCCACGTTCACTCCTCCATACGGCATTGGCGATCCGTACCCGTTACCAGGCACGTCGTAGTAATATTCGTTGCGACCATAATCGAGTCGTCCGTGGGGGTGATAAGGAGATGAGGGCATGCCACCGCCGTGCATAAAGCCGGGGGATTGATTGATGCTTGGACTAGGGTACCCAAAATGATCACGGTATGCACCTCCCATAGGACCACGTTGCGCGATTTGACCTTGGGGTAACCCTCTGAGTAGACCAGCAGATGGCGGTCCCATCCCGCCGACGCCCGCAGTGTTTGGCGTCGAAAGCGAAGGGACAAGTCGTTCAACAATCTGAAGTGCTTGTTCGCTCGACAGCGGTCCATCGTTTCCGGCACTTGGCGAGCTGACGGCGGGTCGAGTTGGGTGGCCCTGAGGTGCACCAGACGCAGCTGCAGCGGCCGCAGCGGCAGCCGCTTGCGCCGCACCTTGAGCGGCTGGAACTAATAAAACTTTGAGCAAAGTGTTTAAGAGCTTGTGATAGTTCGACTCACTGCGTCCCCAGCTCAGGCGAACCTTGCTTCCTGCAATCGAGAAGCCACTAAGAGCCTCTATGGCGCGTTCGGCGTCGCTCTTTTTGACGAATTGGACAAAGCCACATGACTTGCCGGGAGGGACCTTCACGTAATGGATCGCTCCAAATGGCGCAAAGAATGTTCGGAGCGTCTCCTCCGAAATGAGCGGCGAGAGACCACCAACAAAGACCTAGAAAAGATGAATTTAGCCAAATGGGAAAGAGGGTATGGCGACGCACTGTCGTGTTCTGAGGATCCGACGGGACGAGAGGATCGTTTCCATTCCCCAAAAGCGTCTCCAGTTGCGCTCGAGCTTGCGGGTTGTCATGTAACCATTGCTGGATCTGCGAATTGCTGAGACCCGGCGGGGGGAGGACCGAGGCAACGCCTCCGCGATACCCCGGATGTTGACCCATGGTATTTGCAAGTTGAGATATTTTTGCAAGCATCATGGGATGGAACTCGCCACGTTGACTGGGACGAGACGCGGCTCCCTCGGCCACAGCGCTCGTGATACTTCGTATTTTGCTCGGGTCAATACTTTTAGGTGAGAGGGGTCCGCCAGACGTTGCAGGGGTGACGCGGACGACGACAGACATGGGCTCTTGATGTTCTTCATCTGCACCGCCCGCCTTGTTTTTGGCGGTGGCCGTGGACAGTCTCACTATTGATCAGAGGCAAACATTGAGTCAAAGACCAGAAGATTGGTGATCAAAATCACGTACTGGGTCGAGATTTGCAATAGAGGCCCTGCATCTCCAACAGTGCGCGTTTCTGGTCAGCCTCGCTGGTAAAGCGGACAAAGCCATAGCCCTTGGAAATGCCGGTGACAGAATCGACCATGACTTTGGCGTTGCAGCAACTGAGAAAGGGAGCGATGAGGCGTGGCGGGAAGTCGCCCCGTAGGCCGAGATTGGGGTTTCGAAAGACGTTCATCAAGTCTGCGTTTGTCACGTCTGCGGCAATGTCTCCGACAAAGATGCTGTACTCGATCGCATTGTCAATCGGACCCGGATCCTTTCCAATCGAGACTTTGGCGTTTGTCGAGCTAAGCCAGTCGAGCTTGATGGGGCGATTCGAGTTTGGGAGGAGGATGGGCTGGGCGGTGCTGTTGTTCATTGCGTCTAGTCCATACTGCTCCACGACAGTTGCAGCCTTTTCGTGAGTGGGGAAGATTAAGAGACAGTAGCCAGCATTGTTGGGATGTCGTGTGGCATTGGGCGCTGCGGGCGGGCGGGGCATGTAGATTGCAGACGTTTCCCAGCCAAAGAGGGAGCAGACTTGGAGCATGTAGTGATCGTCCATCCATGGCTCGAGGTCGCCGAGCCACAGCGTCTTGTCTGGTGGATGATCGACGTCGTTGATGGTCGCGCGCAGCTGAATGTGCTGGTTTGTAGATGTAGATGTTACTGAAGCTGTTGTAGCGTGGGGACTATTCTCTCTGGCCACAGACGACGGCGTCTCTGAGCCGGTGCGAGGGGCGGCGGCGGCTGTAGTTACAGACGACATTTGCAGCAATTTGTAAGCAACGATAAGACGGAATGAGCAAGACGAGTGCAAAGACCGAGTGATTACGAGGAGCGTAGGCTTCTAGACGTCCGGTTTGAGCCGTGCGGCCGTCTGCGCAGACGTCGTGGGCGATAAAAAGCAATCTAGACGGCGCGAATAGGTGCGAGACAGTCGCTCTAGGGTCCCCTTTCGATCCCAGCGGGGCGTACACTGACAGGCCCGGTTGGCGGAGAGTTCAAGATGCGTTCGGCAATCTCCGAACGGCGCTGCGTCTCACACGTCAGAGTGGACTATACAGCGCTCGAAAAAGCTTATTGCTCATAAACAGTTAGACTAATTATTCATCGGACTCGAGGTCACAAAGGGGCCCGTCACATCAGTCAGATTGGAATCTGCGGTGGATCGCTGCAGACTGCACCCGCTGCTCCTGACCGGCTCATATTTAGTCCAAGATGGCACATGCAGGCCCTCTGCAGACTCGCTGTACTCTTACAAATACCTTCTGAGAACACTTTGAATGCCCCTCTTTTAGCTGGCGTTTGACAAAGTGGCCCCAATTTCCACGTGCAGAACCGCCGAGACCAGCGGCTCCAATGCGCCATTACGTTAGTCGACAATTAGAATTCGACGCGGACCAAAAGAAAGTACGACACGATCGACGACAGCGAGGGCGGCAGTATGGCCACCGCCAGGGCGAAGAGGGCGGGCGGCGTTGTATTCCCATCACTGAGACATCAGAAGTCCTGCATATCCACGTGCTTTATTGCCGCGATCAGAGGAACCCCTAAATTTCTCTGTCTCGGAGAGAACAAGGTTCGTGGTCAGGCGACAGGCACTTGGCTTTGACCATGTTTACCACTCGTTGAATCCTTCGCAATACCGACGCTCCATTCTCCGTCGAGATACCAAAGGACGCATATGTCTCCGAGTTGAGGCAGAGATTCAGAGAGCAGGTCCCCAAGATGTGATGGACATCGATATATTCCTCCTCGACCTTTACAAAATAGTCGTGGATACAGGCAGTGGACGCGACGTATATCTCCCAGAAATCAACAAAATAACTCTGAGTTTGGGTGCTCACGAGAAACTTCAGCCCTTAACCAAGGTCCTCGAGGCGGACCAATCCGCAGAGAAAATTTATATACTGGTTCGAACTCGTACGCAAATGATAGACCATCATATAGTCACAGATCCTATGCTTGCTTACGTCCGTTTGCCACACAGCTCAAACGAGCCGCATCTGAGCACATGGTGTCCGACTGACCCGAAGCGTTTGCGAAAAGGTTTGAAGCATTTTATTCAAAAGTGGTGGTTTCTAATGCAATATTTCCAGAGAACGATGCAGTCGATAGTGCCTCGTCAAAGGGTTCGTCCCAGATCAACGCAAAGCCTGTAAGAATTCTAAATGGATGGTCCTACGATTTCCGTGGCCCCCCATCGTCCTCTTTGAAAAGATATTCGCAGACTTTTATCGACAGACGACCTGTGAATCAACCCCATCGACTTTCCCAAACGAGGTGTATTCAGACATCGTGGTCCCTCAGGCTTGCTTCCGCGCGGGTAGCCGAAGATGTCGTTCTTAGACACCTTTTGTTCATGCCGCTCATGGAAAGATTACTCGATCAGTCTATCAGGCATCATACTGCACCAGATGCAGAGGCCACCGGTGATGGTATATACTGCCAACCCCCAGAAGTGTCCTTGTCAAGTTTACGTCGCGATACAACCCAGAGGCCCACAAGTTGCTGGCCAGTCGAGGTTATGCACCCGAATTGTGGACTGCAAGATTGACTTTGGATTCATGGTCGTCATGGATTGGATCGACGTCGCGCATATCAGAGGTCAACTTTCCGAACAGGACTTGGCTCGCGTACGAGAGGCCAAAGAGCTCCTACACAAGCATGACTATGTCTGTGGTGACCTACGCCGGAACAATATCCTCAAGCCTAAGGACGGCAGTGGAGTGATGCTGATTGATTTTGATTGGTGCGGAAAAGAGGGTGAAGGGAGATATCCACTGTCGATCAATGGGGACGAGTCATGCGGGTGGTATTGTGATGTCGGGCCTGGAGTGCTCATGTTCAAGGTGCACGATGATCATCTGTTCAATGGCCTTTCGCAGAATGAATGATTTCATGGCTGCTCTTTCATGAACATTCCGAGGCCTTCTTTAGGAGCCCTATATTACTGTTTGTTCTACGGAAATGTATTAGGAATATGGCAAAAGTCGCCGCTTGTTAATGTACTCCAAGGATTCGTTCTGTCAACGATTCGCAACTAAGAATCTCTGTACACTGCCTAGATTTTATGAGAGTGGCATGGGAAAGTCGGGTTGAATAGTGAATAGGAACATGTGTAAAGCACTTTTATTCTGTCGGGCGGAGCGGGTTTGAAATATTGGGCGCAAATAGGACGCTCTATTTGGATTTCTATTGATAAAACCCCTGAAATTCTGGACTAGATAGCAGGGAGGGGTCCATGTAAAATTTTGATACGAAACCCACGACTTGAAACACATACTTCCTATCTCAGAGCCTTTTAAATAACAAATTAGGCATTAATAGTGATATTAATCAAGAATTACAGAGTGGGGACTCTACAAACGTTTGTCCAAGAAGTCCCACATTGAAAACGAGTGAAATCAAGCTTGGTTGCGCGGAACGGACTCGCTGTTGGCATAGTAATCAGAAGTCGCGGAGTCTGTAGTCCATGCCGGTTATCTGGTGGCACCCAAAAGAGAAGCCTACCAGAAGATTGCACCCAGCCATCTTGCAAAAGTACGCACTGGTTGAAGCCAGGTACATGGATCTTGAGAAAACTTTCCGGTGGTACAGCTGAGGAAACATGATCCATGTAATCCTTCTTGGTATTGATTGTGTTTCTACCTGGTAGGATTTGTCAGATTAGATATTGCACGGTGCTGGCAGATTAAGGTTACACCCGGGGGGAGGGGGGCGTTAGTGGGTATATCTGATATCTGCTACTGGACACGGATAACTGTTAACCGCGTTATTTGTCGAGATGAAGAGTCCCGACATACCCGACCAAGCCACCTTGATCTGGATGCATAACACATTTCCTCATCCTTCTCCAAATCAGAAAAGAAAAAAGTTACACCCACCAGTTTCTATATTCCACAGTCGAATTGTCTTGTCGTCAGAGCCCGAGATGATTTTTGAGCCGTCTGGAGAGAATTTGACGGCAGCGACGGATTTCTGGTGACCTCTGATCGCCTCCCCCAACTGCTGGCCAGTGTTTGCGTTCCACAGTCTAATTGTCTTTCCCAAAGAGCTAGAGACTATTCGCGAGCCGTTAGGCGAGAATGCGACCGCTTGAACAGGGTATGTGTGACCCAGAATAGGAACCCCTAACGGCTGACCAGTGGTTGTGTCCAAAGTCGAATTGTCTTGTCTTGAGAACCAGAGACAATCCGTAAACCATCTGGCGAGAAATCGACGGCTGTTACCGAGCCTCGGTGACCTCGAATTGGCTCCCCCAACGGTTGACCGGTATCTGCGTCCCACAGTCGGATAGTCGCATCGTTCGAGCCAGAGACGATTAATGAGCCGTTTGGCGAGAATTTGACGGCACGGACCGAGTCTTGGTGACCCCGAATTGGCACCCCCAACGGCTGGCCAGTATCTGCGTCCCACAGCCGAAGGGTCATGTCTTCCGAGCCCGAGAGGATCCGGAAGCAATCTGGTGAGAACCCAACGGTAAAGACCCTGCCTTGGTGACCCCTGATGGGCTCTCCCAGTGGCCGGCCCGTGCCTGCGTCCCACAATCGAAGTGTCATGTCCTCCGAGCCAGACACAATCCGCGAGCCGTCAGGGGAGAGTGCGACAGTATTGACCGAGCCTGTGTGGCCCAGGATAGGATCCCCCAACGGCTGACCAGTGATTGTGTCCCATAGTCGAATTGTCTTGTCCACGGAGCTAGAGACGATTCGTGAACCGTCTGGCGAGAATTCGATGGCATTAATCGAGTCTTGGTGACCCCGAATTGGCTCTCCCAATGACTGGCCAGTGTCTGCGTCCCACAGTCGAATAGTCCGCTCGTAAGCGCCAGAGACGATTCGTGAATCATCTGGCGAGAATGCGACGGTGAGGACTGGCGATGCATGTCCCCATATTGAGCGTCCTAACTGCTGACCGGTGTTTGCGTCCCAAATTCTAATCACTTCGTCGTGTGAGCAAGAGACAATTTGTGAGCCGTCTCGCGAGAATTTGACGGCATTGACCGAATTTTCGTGACCCCGTATCTGCCCTCCTAACGGTTGACCAGTGTCGGCGTGCCATATTCGAATCGTACCATCCTGCGAGCCAGAGACGACTCGTAAGCCGTCTGGCGAGAATGCGACGGCAGTGACAGGGTTGTTATGGCCTCTGATTGGTTCTCCCAATGGTTGGTCGGTGTCTGCGTCCCATAGACGAATTGTGCCATCTGAAGAGCCAGAGACGATTTGTGAGCCGTCTGGTGAGAATTCGACGGCATTGACCGAGTCTTGGTGACCTCGAATTGGCCCCCCCAATGGTTGACTAGTATCCGCATCCCACACTCGAATTGTGTGGTCTCTCGAGCTAGAGACGATTTGAGAGCCACATGGCGAGAATTGGACAGCCAAAACTATGTCTTCATGTCCCCAGATTGGCGTCCCTGAAGGCTTGCCAGTGTGTGCATCCCATAATCGAATTGAACCGTCGTTTGAGCCAGATACGATTCGTGAGCTGTCTGGCGAGAATGCGACGGCATTGACAGAGCCATAGTGACCTCGGATTGGCTCTCCCAATGGCTGACCCGTGTCTGCGTCCCACAGTCGAAGCTTCCTGTCTTCCGAGCCAGACACGATCCGTGAGCTGTCAGGTGAGAACGCGACGGAGTTGACCGAGCCATTGTGACCCACAAGAGTCCTTGGAAGACTATGATACATATCCTCAAGTCCTCGAGTCACTTTGAGGGTGTTTTTGTATATATCAAGGCCGCATAGGTGCATTTTTGACTTCACAGGCGTGAATGGAAGTGCAGAAATGTAAATATGCGGGGCGCTATCTTGGATTGGTACCGAGAACGCCATCAGAAAACGTCGGATCTCGGTCATGTCACTTCTCGTCTTCTCTTCAATCTGGCAAGAGTATGTAAGAGGTCAAAACAAATCATGTTAAATCGCTCACCCTTGCGTGCCGAGTAACAGTCCGAAGATCTGCTATTGCTTGTGGCACTCCTCCAGTAAAGCTCAGGATCTCCATCCAGTATAAAACATACGGAATTTGCATAATGTGTTCAAGTTCGCTTTTGAGTGCGCTTCGCCAATAGTCATCCGTCTCCGCAACGTGAAACAGCCAATTGGAACTGGCATATCGAAGTTTCCTTGGGATGAACTTGGATATCCTTGCATCAAGGTCGGATATTTCTCGGTTTAGATAGAACGATGACTCGAGTTGACAAATGTTGAACTTGAGACCTTCGGTCCGCGACTTGAGGCGTTTAAAGGACCAAAGTGCGACCTGACCATGTGCATTGGCGGCTTTGATATTGAGTTTACGGCGGCCATTGACCGCAGTGACAATCGAGCACCGTCGGAGGTACTCAACCAGGGTCGGATGACGAAACTGAATCAATTTCGTACTCTCGTCCGCACTAAGTACGCTTCCAAGATTCTTCACAAGTGCCCTCCCACTTCCTTGCAATCCAACTTGCTTCAAAATGTCCTCCAATTCGTCGGTGGTGAGTGGCTCACACGCTACAAGGAGCAGAGCGAGCATTTCGCTCATGACTGAGAGAGCCTCTGGATCCATCCGCTCGAATACAAGGTCATATATTTCGTCCATGGCTCCAACCTGGTTTAACGAAACCAGACGTTCATATATGCTTTCAGGAGTGTATAAAATTGTCTCGCTTGTAAGCATTCGGCAAGCAGTGCTCGCCCAGATGAACAACCCATTGGCCTTCTCGACTATTCGCTGCCTCTTGTCAAGAGGTAATATGCCATCGAGCGACTGGTGTACATATAACGCGACGTCGTCAATATTATCGCGGTGCTTGACATCGTGGAGGCGATCTCCCAGCTTTGATTTGATGGAGAGCGGCCCTAAGACTGCTTCGATGACAGGATCAGGTCGGCTCGTCATGAAGATTTTGAGGTTCTCGCTCTCTCGAACTGCCTTGGAAAATGTTTCGAGAAGTTCTCGTCTCTGTGATCCAGACTTGCATTCATCGAGTGCATCGACTACAATGATTGTACGGCCTTGCCGATGGTGGAGAGGGTGGACGATGAGCGCCCTGAATTGCTCTTCGATTGAGCTTCGCATGATATCGGGATTTTGTTTCACAACCGCAGCGATATGTGGACCCAGTTCGGGCATTTGCTGCACGAGCTCCCTGGCTATGGTCGAGCAGAATTTGTCAGTGGTCGACCCTTCGCTGCTGGCCAAGGAGAAGAAGAATCGACCGCCGAGTACTCCCTGTCTCCGCCACGATGCCACTGCGGACATTGCAACTGTGGATTTACCGGAGCCGGCTATGTCACAGAGCCAAAATATTGGCTTGTCCGACGTGTCATCCTCGGCCCAGCAGGAGATTGTCTGAAGAACCGCCGTCCGTGTGCCTTCCATACAGGTCGTATGTACCGAGGATGCAAGAACTGCTACTGTTGGTAGCTGAAGAATAGCTCCAGTGTCGACTTGGAATACTAAGCAAGCGTCTGGTATAAAAATCCTTGCTTACCATCTGTTAGAAGAGTCTTCGTATTCTGCTCTATGACTTGAGTATGCAACGCGGTGAAGAGACCTAATGCTTCCTACGTCTACGGTCGGTTTGTGGACAAAATAAGATTTGACGGAGCACGTACCATGAGCTGCCTATGCCGATCCTCTATATCTTGGTTAAGCATACGGATCTCCTCCATATCGACTTTGACTTTGCTGAACGCTTTGAACAGGCCCAGTCTGCCGCGGCTGCGTGTCTCCTTTAGTTCAATGATCCGATCATGCATATCTTCGAGAAATCTGCATCGCTCAGCATATTGAAGTATACTTGAATTCTTTACGCACTCGACATATTGGATCAGCGGTCGGCTGACCGCCTCGTTGACGGCTCTGTTCTCTATAGGATGTATCTCAAATAACGTGATTTGGTTTTCTAGTGCGCCCATGTAATTCGTGAGACGCCGTGCTAGGTCGCTCCATCCTTCTTGATTGCTATCTATCGCCTGCAGCATTTTTAGAAGTCGTCGCTATTAGTATTGCCAACTCGCCCGTAAGACTTCGAGGATCGATTTCGTTGTTCGACACGCAGCTTTCAGAGGAGCAAGCAGCTCGGATCCCTCGGATATATTCCCCATCACATCGAGACCGACATTGGCTGCGTCGTACAGTTGATGCTTGTTGCGTGATGAATTTCCAGGAAGAGAATATGATCCCAACGAATTCTGAGTCCTATACGACTTTTTAGCCTTGTTTGACTTTCTAGTTGACATAGCGGAGGTGGATGATTCCAAGATGGAGTCGGCGTCTGCCAGCACCCGAAGGTACCGTAAATTTACTCATATCAGCGAAATTTTAATGGTGTGGACTGTTATTGCAAGCATAGACTCGCTGACCGATCCCGCGACCTTGAATGCAATCGTAATCTGCGAAGTGCATGGCAGGATCTTATGGAGTCAGTAGAGTGTGGAAATTTTGAGCTGGTGGAGAGGGTATCTCGTTGCGAAGATGTTTAGAGTAGCTTGCCGCTCGACACCACGCTGTAAATGCGCCTTCAAGCGCTGCTACCAACACTCAGGTCACGCCCAGTAGACGAGGAAAAGCTCAAGCAGCTCTTAAATGCACTCATAAATCTCCGACTTGCCTTGCCACAAGATGTCGTCCTTCGATATTCGGCAGAGCAGCTCTTTCATCTGCTTCCTGTGGATTGTATCAGCCGAAAGCAGTGGAATAGTCTCTACGAGGAGATTACAACGTTCTTGGTAGCAGACGTCTCAAAAGGAGACGAGCTTTATCAACAAGAATTGTTGCCCCGAGCCTGCCAGAGTAGTGTATGCACTCTAGGATTACCATCTATAGATTCTGCGATCGATTTACCCCAGGATGGAGTCGTAGAGTTGGCTGGATTTGCGGGCAGCGGCAAAACGGTGAGCTTGATACAAAAGGTGAAGACCAAAGTTGACTCTTGAAGGTATTCTTGAACCACATGGTTGTCAAGTACCTTTTAGACAATGAAGACCGATCAGTCATGTGGATTGATACCTTGGGATCCTTCTCTCCGGAGCTTGCCAGTCAGGTAGTGGAGCAGTTAAAAGCCAAGAAGGAGAATGTACAATCCGTGCTTTAATACCCGATTATTGGCACTGAGCTTTGGTAGGATGCCCTCTTACGACTGCAAGTCGCATCTTGCCCCGACTTGGCCTCGGTGTACGACATTCTCGAAGGAGTGGAGACTCAATCAAAGGTAGTGTTCTAGGTATCACGCAGACATTGGCTGAACATTCCAGGACCAACAAATCGTGGGCCCAAAGTTGAGAATGATTGTCATTGACCCCATCACGCCATTGCTGGGACCAAGTCTTAGTGCAGTATCTTCCAAAGGTAGTTTTATGTGACTGTAAGGGTATCAGAGTCAACTCACATCCACTAGGACATGCCATGATGGTCACATTCATGAGATATCTCATGTCGCTAGCAAAGCAATACAGAATTCTGGTGTTTGTGAGTCCTTCTAGGCTCCATATTTTCATGCTCATGGCCCTAGATATCGAATACTGCAACACGACCTCGTCCCATTTCAAGTGCTTCCCTGCAGGACGCGATAAAGCCGAAACCATCACTTGGTCCATCGTTTACGTACCTTACAGATGTCTCTCTCTTTCTTAGCAAAGACGAGCAGAGACCAGGACCCGGTTCAAGGGACGTCTTCCGGCTAAAGATATTGAAGAGTAGAGGCAAGGTCAGATTCGTAATCACGTGTATTCCAAGTTCTCACGCCTTGCTAGCATTCTGGCGACGTGTGCCGGTTTGGAATACAGAACGGATGCATCATCACCGGCAATGGTCGGCAATGATAGTTTGTCCAAGAATTTATAAAATCTCTTACGGAATTCCGAGATTTCGCGAGCTGGGCGGAGATCGAGTAAGCGCATCCATCGGTGCTGACGTGAATCCTATCCTTGGACCCGGCCAGCCACTTATTGTTATAAGCGTCTTCACCTCTCAAAAGCCCGTCAAACTGTTTGCGTTTATTCGTACCCTCAGACGTCCGCTCGTGACCAACACTCTTCGTAGTGCCTCTGTTTCTTGGACACTTGTCGATTTCCAGTCGCGCAGAGCATTTGGTAATAATTCACACCTAAAGATGGCTCCAATCCAACCACAGGGAGAAAAAGGTCGTAGCTCAAAGATGCACTCCAAAGTTGTCAGTAGACTTGCGCATCTCGCGTCGGATAAAAAGCTGATGGTTTTCACGTCAAACAGGTCATCATCGGCTCTGGACCAGCTGGACATACCGCAGCGATCTATCTTGCGCGTGCAAATCTCGATCCAGTCATGTTTGAAGGATACATGGCCAACGGATTTGCCGCTGGTGGTCAGTTGACAACAACGACTGATGGTATGCAATATCAAACTTATTTCTGGATGAAGAAATGCTAATTAGGCTTTATCTCTACAGTCGAAAACTTTCCTGGCTTCCCCGACGGTGTGCGCGGGCCCGAGATGATGGACAAATTCCGCGCACAGTCCATCCGCTTCGGCACCAACATCATCACCGAAACCATCTCCAAAATCGATCTCTCTCAGCGACCGTTCAAGTACTGGCGCGAGGGCGAAGAGGAAAAGGAACCCGAGACGTGCGACGTCCTCATCCTCGCAACCGGTGCGAGTGCGAAGCGATTATCTTTGCCTGGGGAAGAGACCTATTGGCAGAGCGGCATCTCTGCCTGTGCAGTCTGCGACGGTGCGGTTCCTATTTTCCGGTAAGTGCAACTCGGTCGGGACATCGGAGATGTGTTCTGATGACGCCTTCAGTAATAGGCCGCTTGCTGTTATTGGTGGAGGAGATTCTGCAGCCGAGGAGGCACTCTGTGAGTGGCTATCTTGGCGCATGGAGCCGAGACTGATGCATTGCAGATTTGACCAAGTATGGCTCAAAGGTCTATGTGCTAGTACGAAGAGACGAGCTACGCGCGAGTAAGATTATGGCCAAACGTCTCATGAGCCATCCCAAAGTCGTACGTTGTTTATCACCGCAACTGCCCCAAAACCTCACGCGCTCTAGGAAATCCTCTGGAGCACAGTTGCAACAGAAGCATGTGGAGATGGCGATCTCCTACAGAGCTTGACAATCAAGAACGTCAAGTCGGGCGAAACGTCAAAACTTCCCGTCAATGGCCTCTTCTACGCCATTGGCAAGTCGTTTCACCATTCACGCGAAACTTTCTAACAAATATTTTAGGACACGAGCCAGCTACCGCTCTCGTCCGTGGCCAAGTCGACACAGATGCGGACGGATACATTATCACTGTCCCGGGTACAACACAAACTAGTGTTCATGGCGTCTTTGCGGCCGGTGACGTCCAAGACAAGCGATACCGACAAGCCATCACCTCTGCCGGCAGTGGCTGCATGGCCGCGCTAGAAGCCGAGCGACTACTCGCGGAAGAGGAAGAGCTCACTGAATGACTCGATTCGAAACGGGAGGCTGCTGACGTCAATAGGCCGAGGCTCTAATAGGTGTATAGATCCCGTCTATTGATAAGCAGTAATGGAAGACAATTGCAATTACTAGACGCATAGAGTAAGCCCACAAACGCGGAATATTACGACAAATCGTCGATTTCCAGCTCGGAAATTGTAGCGTTATACGAGTTGACCTGCTTTGCGACGGCGATGGGTTCGTTTGTACCAGGGGGCGGCAAGACGTCACCGTCTAGTGTCAAAAAGTCTTTGAGCGTGAGGGGCCGAAGCTTAAAATCTGCTCCGACACCTTCCAGACCACCCTCTCGTCGCATCACTTCCTTCAGTGGATGCATAGCAGCATTTCGACATAGCTCATGTAGATCTGAGCCAGACAGGCCTTCTGTCTCCGCTGCGAGGAGATCAAGGGAGAGTGTAGGTGATAGGGTGTGTTCTTGAGCATGAGCTGTAGAATCTTGAGACGCTGCGCTCGGTCGGGGAGTCGAATGGCGAAGCGTTTGGGGAGTCGTCGCAATATGGCTGGGTCAATGTCGTTTGGTCGGTTCGTTGCACCTAGCACGAGAATTCGTGAGTCTTTGTCCGTTACAAGTCCGTCCCATTGCCTGAGAATCTTTAGATGATGGAACAGCAGGTTAAATGTAAACTCACGTCATGAATTCTGCCTTCATCATTCCAGTGACCTCATGATCACCCTTTCCTCGTTCGCGCAGGAAACAATCTATCTCGTCGATGAAGATGATACACGGCTTTAACCGTTTGGCGAGCGAGAACAATGCATGTACGAGTTTGTTCGATTCGCCGTACCACTTGTTCGTCAACGTAGAGACGCTGATATTGATGAAATTGGCCCCACTCTCCTTTGCCAATGCTTTGGCAAGCATAGATTTTCCACACCCTGGTGGACCATAGAGAAGCACACCCTTGGGTGCTGATAATAGAGATGAAGATGTAAACAGTTGTGGGTGTGTCAAGGGAAAAATGACGGTTTCGCGGAGGGAGGTGATAATGCCGTCGAGTCCACCAATGTCGGCAAAGGTTACATTCATGTCTTCAGGCGAGATAATCTCCGCAGCGATAGTTCCTGAGAAGAAGAAGTTTGGCTCAGCAATCCGAGTGTCTGCCACAGTTACTCACTCTCGTGCTCGTCCAGGTCGCCATCCTTTAGCCCTATTCTCTCCAATACTTTGTTTCCTTTGTCCAACTGTTTCTTTCTATCTGGATCACCGCCAACGTCAATCTGGTTGACGAGATACTTGATGGTGAAATACAGGGCAACTTGAGAGACGGCCAACATCCCGACTGTAGATACAGTAATGCAATTTACAAGTAAAGCGGCCGTTTTCAGCACATAGCAGACTCGGCATCAGCACAATGTCCAGTTCCTGACATGAGGGCTGCACGCACCGTCCAAAATCATACGCGTTGTGTCCCTTTTCATGATATCTCCGCGTCTCTGGGTGCAAAATAACAAAGTTGTACGCGTTGCGGTGGAGGCCAACGACGCGGCCAGGTCCAAAGTATTTTACCGGGCTTGGAATCACAGACACGTTAACATTTGGACCTGACCGTGTTCCTATGGGATCCCTAACAGTCGCTTCGTTTACATTCATTGTTCTTGTTGCAACATTGCTCGTTCTCTTGCGACGACAGTTCCACCAACTCCGCGTCACGCACCGTCAGCGACTACTAGCGAGCCTGAAACTCGACAGCCAGACTGAGGATGGAACAGAAGTGATGATTGCAGGGTTTATGCACCCGTATTGTAACGCTGGAGGCGGAGGAGAGCGCGTCTTGTGGGCAGCGATTGCGTATCTCCAGCGTACGCAACCAGAGGTGCTTTCCGTCGTCTATACGGGAGACGTAGACCCCAAAACGTCAAATCCAATCACAAAGGACGAAATCATTCTACGGTGCAGGGAAAGATTTGGTATTCACCTCGACCCAAAGACACTTCACTTTGTCCATCTGGAGAAGAGATGGCTGATTGCGGACGGAACGTGGAAGCGTTTTACACTGCTTGGACAAGGAATCGGTGCTGCCGTACTTGCGTACGAAGCAATGTCAAAGCTCGTCCCGGATATTTATTTCGGTATGCTCTTCATTTTTCGTTGAATCGATCTCATGCTGTATTAGACACCCTAGGGCTTGCCTTTACGTATCCCGTCGTTCGTCTTCTAAGTTCTGGTGACCCAAGTGGCAGGGTTCCAATCGTAACCTATACGCATTACCCAACCATATCAGCCTCGATGCTCAAACGCGTATCAAATCGAGAGACTACTTATGCCAACGATGCCAGCGTGACAGGGAGTGGGTTGCGCAGTACTCTCAAACTAATGTAGGTGGTTTCATCGTTCAGTGCGTCTTATTGATCTTATTTAGATATTATCGATTATTCTCATATCTTTATACGTCGTGTCTACTCACATCTCCTCCTACACTTATATCCGTCAACTCGTCCTGGACAAATACTCATATTCAGGCCCTCCTATCCACAAAGCAAAATCGATTATCCCCGTTACTTGGATCAATATTGGAACCTTTCACTCTTCTTCAAACGTTGATTGGATTCAACGCCCCAACGCCCGTCGGAATCAACCAGCCTCCGCAATCACAGGTTCAAATCAAGGATACGCACCAAGTGCGAACGATATTCCCTCCATGCGATGTAGAGTCTCTCAAAGGTTTTGACTTGGAACGTCGACATCGAATCATCTTTAGCTGTGCGCAATTTCGGTCCGTGTTTCGTTCAATTCGAGGTCAAAAAACTGATTTTTAATAGGCCAGAAAAGGATCACGCACTGCAGATCAAAGCGTTAGCTCGCCTCCTAGAAGAGCACCCCGAATTGTCAGGAAAGCCACAAGAATCAGATCCTGAGGCAGACTCTCAGGCCGAGGCGGACCAGGATGATGATGGTGTTCGCCTTGTGCTCCTGGGAAGTGCGAGGCATGCGGACGATCTTAAGCGGGTACAGACCCTACGCGACTTGACGAAGGAACTGGGAGTCGAGGTATGTTCACCCTCTATCTTCTATCGACTTCGTTCTGGTCCATGGCACCTCCCTGTTGCCAAGTTGTCTCAAATTGTACATTTGCTGACGACTTTTGCTCTCCCACGTCTTATTCTCTCTGCATCCCGACAACGACCGACGACGGCACGTACACAAACGACACTGATACCGTATGCCGAACACTTGAAACCCTGGGTAATCACACCCATCCCCTCGTGCGGGATGCGGGGCGGCCGGTCGCACCCACCACTTTCTCACCCCGCCCTGGTGGCTTCCGCAACCGACGATTCAATCCCGCTTGGCTTCTTGCTTTACCCTTGCTTCGCGTCGGATCCTTTACCCGTTGTGGATGATGATGCCGACGACTCGTGACCTGGCCCGCCGTTGGGAACGCATGGTACGCCACGAATAAATCGATCATCTTTCTACCCATTCGGGATCGGGCGATTGTTCTGAACGATCGCGGTCGGTTCCGCACATCCCCCCATGCGACCTCGCTTGGCCGCTCGGCGACGACGATTTTGCCGATTATCTGCGAGCAGGGAAATGTCATCTTCTGTTTGAATGCGTCATACTCCGAACTGTTACATTGGTTATCGACTGCCAGTGTGGGTATCAGCACAATGGTCGAAGAACATTTTGGGATCGGGATCGTTGAATTCATGGTTAGTCCTTTCTCATACTTCCTATTGTACACGTTCCCCTTCTTCACACGAGGGCTTCGGAAGTGGAAAGGGGATTGAGGTCACTTCTTTCCAACTGCTACCCCTCGATTTCTCACCTAGACTATCTGTTTCCGACGATTCCGTGTCCTCCCCTCGTTATCCCTGATCGACCTAGCATGTGCTGACTTCTGCTTTTCAGGGAGCGGGATTGATTCCGGTTGTCCATGCTTCCGGAGGGCCAGTAATGGATATTGTTGTGCCGTTTGAAGGGGAACCTACAGGTACGTCGCATCGCCTTCTCAGCTCTGAAACCCTACAAACCACTTTGTTACAGGATTTCATGCTGTCACCGTGGACGAGTTTGCGACGCAGCTACACAAGGCGCTTACGTTACCACCGGAAGAGGCTCTGGCTATGCGAGAGCGTGCACGTCGAAGTAGCGAGCGGTTTTCAACGACTGCATTTGAACGCGGATTCGGTGCGCTGTGGGAGGACGTCCGGGAACTACTGTAGGATACATGTTTCGGATGCAATGCCACTAGAACTTGTTCAGATCACTCGTTGCTGTGGGCTGACCCCTCCACCCGGCTTCTTCCTGTGGTTCCTTGTGGGTCTGCTTCTTGACGCCGACCGGGTCCCTAGCGGTTTTTCGCCCGCAGCTTAGGGCCATACAAATGCAGAATAAATTAAGAAACCGAGTTCACATTCTCAAGTTCTTCAGGGGGACGCTGCCGAGGCTCCCGTCCCAGGTCATCGCATGCTGCCCGGGCTTGCTGGTGATCCTGTTCTCGCCGACAGAGCGCGCGCTGAGCATCTTCGTCATGCTTCCAAGAAGACATGATGGTATATAAACATCCATCCCGTCTTCCGAGTATAATCCTCAGTCCACATCTCGAGTTCGGACGTTTCCTCTCGTTTTTCGTCGTTGGTGGTCAATTGAATCTACAGAAACGCACAGATGATGCTTTTCACTTCGGTTTTTTCCTGTCTCTTGCTCCTCTCGCCTGGTGGAGCCCTTGCTCGTGCCTCACCAAGGGAAAATCCGTTTAATAAACGGGTCAGCTACACAAATGTTGCAGACTTCGATACGTTTGAGACACCCATCGCCCTCGCAGGCTTGTATGCCAATATTGGCCCTGATGGCGCCAAGAGCCAGGTATGGTTCGTATTTGAGAGCCACTCGTTTCTAACAAACGTTTCAGGGTGCCAAAGCTGGTGTTGTAATCGCATCCCCTTCCACATGTTGGTCCCTCAGCTGTGCTCGTGATTCGTGACTAACATCCACGCAAGCCGACCCAGATTATCTATATACCTGGACGCGTGATGCATCTTTGGTATTCAAGTACATCGTAGATCGTTTCACGAGTGGTCGGTACGTGTGGAGGACTCATGTTGGACACATCCTAATCAACGTACTTCTGATGACAGGGACTCATCTCTTCGCACCAAGATTGACAACTTTGTCGGTCATGTTGGTCGCATCCAGCAAGTCACCAATCCCTCGGGGACTGTCTCGACTGGCGGACTAGGAGAGCCAAAGTTTATGATCTCCGAGGCTGCTTTCACTGGTGGTACGTTCGACATGTCTCACGCGCATGGTTTCTGAAGCGCTTGGTAGAATGGGGTCGCCCACAACGTGATGGTCCGGCTCTCCGTGCGACGACACTCATTGCCTACGCAAACTGGCTCCGGGCAAACTCAAACACTACCCATGTCCAAAATGTGCTCTGGCCAATCATCTCACTCGACCTCAACTATGTCTCCAATAACTGGAACAGTACTACCTTTGATCTTTGGGAAGAGGTCAGCGGTGCCTCGTTCTTCACCACAGCTGCCCAGCACCGTGCCCTTCGTGAGGGAATCGCCCTCGCCACGGCTCTCGGTGCCCCATCCAGCACCATTACTGCATGGACAACCCAAGCACAGAACCTGCTATGCTTCTTGCAAACGTACTGGTCACCTGAATCGGGCTTCATTGTCGCCAACGTCGACCCGATTAACGGTGCTATCCGTAGCGGCAAGGATGCCAACACCGTCCTGACTACGATCCACACATTTGACCCCGCAGCGGGATGTGACTCGAGCACATTCCAACCTTGTTCGGACAAAGCGCTTGCCAACCTGAAGGTTTACGTCGACTCGTTCAGAAGCATCTATCCTATCAACTATGGTATCGCCAGCAATGCGGCTGTCGCTACTGGTCGTTACCCTGAAGACGTTTATTACGGTGGAAACGTGAGTGTCTTGTTCTGGCGTGTGATCGCCTCTTACGCCCTGCAATAGCCATGGTACCTCACAACGTTTGCCGTTGCAGAGCAACTCTACCGCGCACTCCAAGTCTGGGACGCTGAAGGCAAGGGTATCGAAGTGACATCAATCTCGCTCCCCTTCTTCCAGCAATTCAACTCTTCGGCAACGGTCACCACCATCCCAGCAGGTTCCCCTCGTACACGACGCTCACCAACGCCATCAAGACGTTTGCTGACGGCTTTGCGCTCAAGGGAGCTCAATTTGTGCCATCTTCTGGTGCCCTCGCTGAGCAATACGCTCGCAATGACGGCACCCCCGTATCTGCAGTCGATCTGACGTGGAGCTACGCTTCGGTGCTGACCATGTTTGATGCGCACGACCGTCTTGCAGTAGACAGCTGGGGAGCTGCTGGTCTCACTGTTCCTACCACTTGCTCCAGCGGCGATGGGAAATCCGCGACGGTCATCTTCAAGGAGACGGCCACGACGATATGGGGCGAGAACATTTATCTCGTGGGTAATATCGAAGCGCTGAAGAACTGGAATACCAATAACCCCATTGGACCGCTGTCCACGACCACATATCCCGTCTGGACCACGCTGGTTTCTATCCCGGCAAATACTCACTTTGAGTACAAGTTTATCCGCAAGTTTAATGGTACTGTCACTTGGGAGTCGGGTGCGAATCGCTGGAACGCGACTGGTGCTGCAGGCACGAGACTGACGCTTAACAATGTCTGGAAGTAAGCTAGTCTTGTCGCCAGAGGCATGTGTCTGTCTGTATGGACATTTACTATACTTTTGTCATTCTCTCTATCGTAGTGCCAGTCAAAGGCGTTGCTGCTGTATAGACGATAACAGAAGAATGATTATTTGATCGAACATTGCAACCCACAATCAACTTTTCTCGTATGATATTGTTCTGCACTATGTGTTCTGGACGAAAAGTGTATGGAGATTGAGAAATTGAGATGATACCGGCCCGTGTAAGCCACAATCCCCCTGGATGATTAGAGACCGGGGATGTCTCCGACTGAACCTGATTTGAATCACCTTGAATGTGAGATGCGGGTGATAATCAGAAGAGGGAACAGAGTCTAAGCGACTTGGCGGGAAAGCAGGAGTCGAGCCGTGTTCGCTCTCCCTCGTCCATCGGCCTCGGGGGTCATGTAAGAAGTAGTTTTAGTCATTCGTGCTGCCTCTTTCGTTGTCGTATTTGGACCAACTATACCATAACTGGCAGCCGTTGCGCTCCCACGTCGTACTCTCCCTGCACTCCGAAAACGACCGTCGAGTTTGCTTATACAAACTGTTGGCTGGCTAAGTAACCATACTTCATCGCGGCATGTGGAATGCGGGGCGCGTCCGAATCCCCCACCCACGCAGTTTTCCTACCCCGCCCTGGTGGCTTCGGGGACAATTGAATTCCCACCTTGGGTTCCTTGCATGGCGCATCGTGGTGACCCTTTGCTCTTGCACAGGGCGCGTAAATAATTCATTAGGCCGACAACTCGTGACCACTCTTCCGCCGCCCCGAGCCCGAGACGCCATAACGGGGCGACTTGTTCATTTGAGGTCGGGCTCGTTTTCACGATCGCGGTCGGCTCCGCTTTGCCCTCGCGTCACCTCAGTTGGCCACTCGATATTTGCCGATCCCCTGCTGGGCAGGAGACTGTCAATTTTCAGTGGAATCACATCATATTTTGAGCTTTGCATTGGATCCTGATTTTTTGGATAGTATTACCACAATCGAGGGAAGCGGGGAAGGAGGGTGGAGCCCCTCAGCAACCAGCTATCCCCTGATTCCCCGGACTAGACAATTTCTTCCGACGGGAGCGCGTTCTACTCCCTGCCTTCCTTGTTCTCGTGTTCTTCGTTATCCGTGCCACCCTTGTTTCATCGCCGAGTTTGCCCAACGCTGATTGCGATTAGCACCAATCGTATAGCTTCCGGACAGCCCTTGATGGACAAGCCAAGCACTGTTATGCCAATCTGGCGCCTCACACCGTCTCAGAAATCACGTCAAGTAGCCAACGATTCTCGGCGAGCGTAGAGGACGTCCGGAACTATTATAGGATACATGTTTCGGGAGTTATTGGCACTAGAATATTCATTGTGGCCACTGATGCTGAGTCTGGTTGTCGACCCGGCATCTTCCTGTTGGTCCCTTGTGTCGTTGCTTCTTGACGCCGACCGGGACCCTAGTGATTTCTCCGCTCGCGGCTTAGGCTCATTCAGAATATACAACTAATTCAGAACTCATTGTACCTTCTCAAACTTCTCCAGGGGACGTAACCGAGTGCTCCCGCCAACGGCCATCGCGCGTGATGCCAGGCCGACTGGTGATCCTGCTCTCGCCGACAGAGCGCGCTGAGCCTCCTCTTCGTCATGCTTCCAAGAAGGAATGCGGGGTATATAACCAGCTACCGAGTCGGTTTGATTATGACCAGTCCACGCCTCGAGCTCGGGACGTTTCCTCTCCTTTCTCATCGTCAGTAGTCGGTTGGATGCGCAGAAACGTATACACAATGCTCTTCACTTCGATCCTCTCTTGCCTCTTGCTCCTCTCCCCCGGCGGTGCTCTTGCTCGTGCTGCGCCAAGGGATAACGTCTTGGACAAACGTCTCAGCTACACCAATGTTGCAGATTTCGAGACATTTGAGACGCCTATCGCCCTCGCGGGCTTGTATGCCAACATTGGACCGGACGGTTCCAAGAGTCAGGTGTGTTTTTGTGTGATCATTCACGTTCGTCTCTAACACGTGATTCAGGGTGCAAAGTCGGGTGTTGTGATTGCTTCCCCCTCGACGTGTTGGTCGCTCACTTTGGGCTCGTGATTCTCAAACTGACGTCTTCTTAGCTAACCCGGACTATCTGTATACCTGGACTCGTGATGCGGCTTTGGTATACAAGTACATTGTGGATCGCTTCACGAGCGGTCGGTGCGTACAAATTCTCCATCCCTCGAACCACAAGGGCTCACCTGCCGACGACAGTGATTCATCGCTTCGCACCAAGATTGACAACTTTGTTGGTCACGTTGCTCGTATTCAGCAAGTCTCCAATCCCTCGGGCACCGTCTCGACTGGTGGGTTGGGTGAGCCCAAGTTTTTGATCTCCGAGGCAGCCTTCACTGGCGGTACGTCCAAATTTTTTCTACTCGTACCGTGTCTAAATAGCTCGACAGGTTGGGGTCGCCCTCAACGTGATGGTCCGGCTCTCCGTGCGACGACACTCATTGCCTACGCAAACTGGCTCATCGCCAACTCGAACACGACCCACGTCCGCAATGTGCTCTGGCCCATCCTCTTGCTCGACCTCAACTATGTCTCCAACAGCTGGAACAGTACTGGCTTTGATCTTTGGGAGGAAGTCAATGGTGCCTCGTTCTTCACCACTGCTGTCCAGCACCGTGCTCTCCGCGAGGGAATCGCTCTCGCTACGGCTCTCGGTGACCCATCGAGCACCGTCGCTGCATGGACCACCCAGGCGCAGAATATATTCTGCTTCTTGCAATCGTACTGGTCGTCTTCTTCGGGCTTCATTGTCGCCAACGTCAACCCTGGAAACGGTGCCATTCGCAGCGGAAAGGATGCCAACACCGTCTTGACTTCGGTCCACACATTCGACCCTGCTGCAGGATGCGACTCGAGAACCTTCCAACCATGCTCGGACAAGGCACTCGCCAACTTGAAGGTCTACGTCGACTCGTTCAGGAGCATCTATTCCATCAACAGTGGCATCGCTAGCAACGCTGCTGTCGCTACTGGTCGTTATCCCGAGGACTCTTACTATGGCGGAAACGTACGTATCCTCACGTAGCTTTTCGGTCAAAAAGCTGACGTTCTCTGACAGCCATGGTACCTCACGACCTTTGCCGTCGCCGAACAACTCTACCGCGCACTCCAAGTCTGGGACGCTGAAGGCAAGGGCATCAACGTGACGTCCATCTCTCTCCCCTTCTTCCAACAATTCAACTCGTCTGCAACGGTCACCACCATCCCAGCCGGTTCCGCCTCGTACACGACGCTCACCACCGCCATCAAGACGTTTGCCGACGGCTTTGCGCTCAAGGGAGCTCAATATACGCCCTCATCTGGTGCGCTCGCTGAGCAATATACTCGCGGAGCTGGTACACCGACCTCTGCCGCCGACTTGACCTGGAGCTACGCTTCTGTCCTCACCATGTTTGATGCTCGCGACAACCTTGCGGTGGATGGCTGGGGTGCTGCTAGTCTTACGCTCCCAAACACTTGCTCTACTGGTGGTGGAGGTGGATCGGCTGCGACTGTCAACTTTAGGGAAACGGCCACGACGGTGTGGGGCGAGAATATCTATCTCGTGGGAAGCATCGATGCTCTCAAGAATTGGGATCCCAACAACGCCATTGGACCACTCGATAATACCAATACCTACCCCGTCTGGCGTGTCTCGGTTTCCATCCCGGCTGGCACGTACTTTGAGTACAAGTACATTCGCAAGAACAATGGTGTCGTGACGTGGGAGTCGGGCTCTAATCGCGTCAACACTGCCCCAGCTGCGGGTGCGACACTCACTATCAATGATACCTGGAAGTAAAGCCCAGCGTCGTGGTCATTCACTCGCCGTGTGGCGTGTAATCTCGACTGTTAAAAGCTCTCTCCTTTTGGATCATGAATTATTCCCTTTCAATCGCTCTCATTTGTCATTCTTTCGATAAACCCTCTGTCATTTACAAGAATGCAATAACGGATATCTACATCAAAGAAACCCTTGATCGTAAGCGTCGACATGAATAGATGTGGCTATTTTTCGTCCTTGATCATTTCGTCTTCGTCGCTATCCAATACAATGGCCTTGTCACGTTTTCGTCTACCGGCCTTTGCCTGTTCCAGCTGGCGTTTCCTCGCCCTGACTCGTCTTTCAATGTTCTCGTCTGGTACTAGATCGTTTTTGTTGATTCTCCTGTTGCATCCAGATGTCGGACACGCCTTGGTCTGGTTCCCAAGAAACTCGTAGATGGATGCGCGAGAGTACGAGTGACCGCACACTTTTCTGTACAAGGTTTAGCAACCTAGAAAGACGTAATGATGATGATGATGATGCATACGAGGTCATGGGATTCTCGAGCATCTGTCGGGTGAGTGGATCGAGATAGTCTTGTACTACGCCTCCGACTTCGACATCATCGTCACTTTCATCATCTCCTTCCTCTAGATTGCTGTTAAGAGAATCCACCTATGATGTGGTAAACCCACCTCGTGGGATCAAAGACTGGAGTGGGGGCATGCCTTCACCCTCGTGATCTGGATCGCACGCCTTGAGAGGATAAGCTTTAAGATTTGTGGTATAGCACCACGTACCCATATATCGGCGCGGTAATCCTCGTATGTCCTGTTCTTCCCATATTTTTGTCTTGCCGTCTTCTTCTCGTATTCTGCCAAAGCGGCGTCGGATTTCTGTTGCCACAAGGTTGCCGGGTCAATCTACACTCTGTTAGATAATGAATAGCCAGTCGAGTCGAATGCACAATCCGCTTGCCCTGGGTGAGCTCCTCTCTTATTTCCTGGGACGCGTTTCTTCGAGCAGCGAGAGCCTCTTTCTCGTCAATAACGGCTCTCATAAGTTGATCCAACTTTTGAAGTTCCTATACTGGCCATGATCAATTTGACAAACGCGGCAAAACCACACGAGACGAACATTTGAGTCGACACCGTCAATCTCTGCCAACATGGGTCCACAATCTCTTATGAGCTGTTCGAGCATGTTCAACGGAGCGCTTATCCCGTCCCAGCTGTCCGTGACGGCTTTGAGTTTTGGGTGATTCGCAGCTGGGATGGGTGCATGTTCAAATGTTCGTGGGTCGAACGCTGGATATTCTTCTTGATCACCATTATTTCTCCCTCGATCTGCTTGTGCGTTTGGCTCTCCACCTCGTTGTGCGGGCTGATTTTCCTTTTGGTCGTGCTCCATTTCCTCGTCGGATCCAACTCGACGTTTTGTAACACGCGCACGTGGCATCTTTTCTGCTCTCCTGGAGAATTGACGAGCCGAATTGGCTGTGGCAGAGTCCAAGAGTACGACCTGCGTAGCACGCTTCTTGTCTCCAACCGCATTTTCGTATTGAAGACGGCATGGCGTCGATTCTCCAAAAATGCATACAAAGACAATTGACGCATTCGCATCGTCTTTTGCGGGCCAGCAAATCGACAACACACGCCTTTTCGACACATTCGAGGATCAATTTCCTGCGGTCTACACCCACTACATCACTTCAGAAGTCGTCTAAACAACATTCTTCTCGATTATCCTCGGGTCAACTCACGTTTCTCGCTCGAACGTTGCATACAACGAACCCGCGGAGCGCAACGATGAACCAGGCAATGCGCAGACCACGTAAATCGCCAAAGGACATTCGACGCTCAAAGTCAAAGTCACCTTATTTGGAAAATGGGCCGCAGAAAAAGGGTGTCTGCATCTCTCTCATGATTGCCAAACCCAAAAAACCCAATTCTGCAAAACGGAAAGTAGCGAGAGTAAAGTTGAGCACGGGAAAGACGATTCTGTGCTATATCCCCGGTGAGGGACATAATTTGCAAGAGCATTCGGTTGTACTGGTCAGAGGCGGTCGTGCGCAGGATTTGCCTGGTGTGAGGTACGTAGAAACTACTTCTTTGCGTTTCTGCGTGTACTCATGGATTGCGCTAGGTACCGACTTGTGAGAGGGGCGTATGATTTCAACGGTGTGGTCAACCGGGCGAACGCGAGGAGTAAATATGGATGTAAGTTTGGCCATTCCGTTGTTTGACGCTATCTCACATCTTCTAGCAAAAAAGCCGAAAGGAAATTGAACATTCCTATACCTTATTGATGCAATAATTACGTCCCCTTTTGCCTCTCCCATCCCGTTGAGTTGCAGCACACGGAGGAGCCTAGAGGTTAAATGGGCGTCGCCTACTAGTTCCCGTGTGTGGATGTTTCTTGCCCATCTCAGACATGCCGCCACGACGCGCAAGCCGGCTGGTCTCGTATAAAGGCCGTCTCGTGATGATGAAGTGATTCTACCAGATTTTATAGGACCCTCTTCACGCAATGATCTTTCGTCGTTGCCGACCGCTCTTCCACACGCTGCGCAAAGGTCAGCATTACGTTCCACCTACTCAACATCCACGCTTTAGGCCACCCCAAGTGACGACATCGGCTGCATTCGTACACCCATTCCGCGATTTTTGGGGAATGTGGAGGTCTGGGTGGATGAGTGATATCCAGACGCGGATGGCGATTGACCTCGTCGACCACGGTGACGCGTACATCATCGAAGCGGAATTACCTGGCGTGAAGAGAGACGGATTGGACGTGCGTGTAGGGGATCATGGTCGGAGTTTGTTGATCGAGGCCAAGTCGGAGAGTCGGCCTTGGGATGAAACGGACCATGGTATGTCATGGATACGAACTCAAAGCACCAATTCTCATGTGATGAAAGCGAGTCAGGAGAAAGAGAGGACAAATGAGTGGCAGATATTGTCGGAGCGCACATCGCATTTTGTCCGCAAAGTGTGGTTGCCCCACCAGGTCGATGCAGCCCGTATCAATGCAAGTTTGGAAGACGGCGTGTTAAAGTTGCATATCCCAAAGACAAAAGAGGACGGGAGTGTTAGAGTGGATGTTGTCTAGACGCCGCTCTTCTCTTGGTTTTGATTATGAAATGAGGTGAAATACGAGCTGGATTCCGATGGGCGGTGGATATAAATAGTTAGGCAATACTGCCTTGCCTCCTAGACCCTGGCGACGTGAAGCGTTCCTTTCCCGGAGATGATTCTCGCGATTATGGATATATCGTTCCAGCTTATGCCCGTCCTCTGAATGCTATAGGATATGGGTGTTCAAAGATTTCATCATTTGGCGCGTCGAGCCCGGCACCGCCTTTGAAAGGGCGCCCGTGGGCATAAATGAGTCGGCTGTAGGCGCTGAGAACAAATCTAGAAACTATAAAGCGGACCATAGTTCCCGCATCCGCTCTTGCACTCTCTTTTATCACCTCCTTTGCCCGGCCAATACACGGTAATAGGCAATCACGAACTGGACTTGCTGAGATGTTGACCATTCTTGTATTCTAGTTCTTTATTTACTATTCACCACATTATCATGTCATTGCGTATCGCAACTACGGCGCTCGCCTTCATCTTAGGCGCGAATGCTCAATGTAAGCCCCTTACTTCTCCAAGGAAGTCCTATGCTTATACCGAGTTTCACTAGATATCGCTACTTATGTATGTCGTGCCTCATCTCTCGCCACAATTCTCATCTCCATAGGACCCGAACAATCTCCCTCAGAAGACCGAGAATGGGCAAGTTGGTATATAGCTTGTTCATTCCAAGTGGAGAATCACTCTAATCACATGAATAGGTACCAACCAGTGTGGCGAAGCCAATAGCCAAACCAGTCTTTGCCAAAACGTCTATGTGAACGGACCGGATGACTTTTGTCTCTGGGGACCACAACAAACGGCATCGATTGGAAATGTAGAAGGGGAGGTCGTGGCATATTGTACCAAGCCTGGCCGCGGCACGCGCTTGTTCCCAGACGGCACTATTCTCTCTGCGCATTTGTACGTCCCCTATTGTTGCTCGTGAACAAGCTAACCATGCGTGTGAAGCCTCGAGACACCAGACTATATTCAAATCACCGGTACGGGCGTGTTTACGAACATTGGGGTCATCCCAGACGGTGGAGGAGAATTGGATCCTCATGGCGCCGGTATGTATTTCGTCAACACAGAATAGCACCTCATTCTATCCAGAGGGCACTGGGAACCCAATTGGAGGTCTTGTCTTCTCAAACGTCTGGACGGGTGGAAGCGGAGCTGGCCAGGTGCGTTATCAATGCATCCTGCTTTATCATGGGCTAATGACGCGCCATTTTGATAGCAAATTCATGAGTGGACCAACTTTATGAGCGAGTCCGAGTACTGCATCCGAGTCTGCAAAGATGGCCCGATGGCACCGACCTACTGCGGTCACGTCTATGGTGCGTACTCAATTTTTTATCATTCTACTTATTCACTACATATGCAGATATCAACGGATGTCAGTGGAATATCCCTGGAAGGTATGATGATGGATTTGAGAGATGCCAGGCGGACAAGTACGTTTCTGAGCGCCTGAATTTGAATTCTTGCTGACAGTTTACAGCACTCTGTACGTATTCCATCAAAGGAAGGTTGACACGCGCTGATTTATTCATCTAGTCCAATGGGACTTTATCCACAACCCGACGGTTCGACGAGCACGTATAGTCCACGCGCATCACCCGTACCTACACCAGTAAGCCTGCCATTTACCTTGTTCCTCATCTCATCGCAATCATTCTAGCACCCAGCCGCCGCAAGCTCCAATTGCCAAACCTTCGAATCGACCGCCCTCTTCAACGGCCTCCCAGCCGCGCCAGCATCGGCATCATCATCTACGACTACCAGCTCTTCATCCAGCTCGTCTATATCGAGCACTACTCCGAGAACCACTGCACAATCGACTTCCCGCGTCAGTGGATCCAGCTCTAGTCATGAGCGTCCGCAGACATCGTCACCTGCGCCGACCGGATCGCCAAATAGTGCATCTGTAGGCAAGGGCCCTGGCTTTGGTGCTGCTGGGCTCGGATTCATGGCGGTTATTGCACTGTGGATGTAATCCATCTCTCATTCGTTTACGTGTCGTATAGCCTTGTACTTAATTACCTCTATCTGATGGACAGTTTCCTGATACAGATTTATTGCTCATTAGATTTGGACTTTGTTCTGTGATACATCGCAAGTGCCTAATTTCTGGTGGATACATTCCTCGACCACGACGGAAGATCAAGGGCCTGTTTGGCATCAAATTATGGCTCTTAATAGACAATTTCAAAAAGAAACGCACGGTTAATCCAATCCTCAACGCTCGTTCCACGTTGGATACACAAGTGATTCTCCTTGAGGTGTCGCGTAAAGGTGTCGAACACCACGAATCTGGAATTGCAGATGGATACGTTTATCCACCCAACTGGGGTGAGCCTGTGGGCTGCGTAACAAATATACTTGGGCGGCTTCTTGGCCACTGTTCCTGCCACAATTGTCGTTTCAGACTTTGTGGCTCCTTCGTTGACTCGGGAACTGCGATCAGAAACGCTCCAGTAGGGAAACAAGTCGATGGCTCTGGACCCATTCTGCAAAACTTGCTTGAGCTCAGCGATCGTAAAAGGCAGTTTTATTTGTGCTAATGAACGTTAGTCAGGAGTCTAACGGTCAAGTACTCTGCGACCTACGGAGAACTAGAGTGTACCATTGCCCGTCTATGAGACCGTACTGTGTTCTGAATTCGGTATCACTTTGTGCTTCGTCATTATTGGCGTCAGACGAGGTCTCTACGGGTTTCGAGTTGGCGTCATGCTCCCGTTCATATTTTGTGATCTGGGATGCCTGTATACGGAATATTAGAGAGCGCAAGAAAATGCTAGAGTGGTCACCTTTTCATACGCATCAGAGTAGGTTTGCCAGTTGTAATGCTTTTGAAGGAGGCGCTGCTGAAGAGTGAACAGTCTACGATTACTAGCCGTCGTCTGTGATTCTGGTTTGTATATCACTAATTTTCTGGGCGCTGAACTGGAACGTGGTCGGGTCCGCCACGATGTGGCAGGAGCCAGAGTTCGGGGATGGGAAGCCTCTTCGGACTCCTTCGTAGGCCTTTCAAACGCTTCAGAAGAGACATATTCCTTCCTCAAATCTTGTTTCTCTTCACTTTGTTTGGTTTTTGTAGAGGCATCCTCGGGGAAAGATTGCACAGATGACCTTCGACGAGGGGTGAGTTTAGCATAAAGGAATACATGACCAATTCAGGCTGTGAGATGGACTCACCGATAGGAGGCATGTCTTGAATGGGTCGTCGAGGGTTCCTTATAGTCCGGATCATCGCTGCCTTCTGCGTCTTCGTCGCTCGCGTAGTCGGGATATGCTATTCCATATCTTGTTTATGTTAATTGCAACTTAATCTTTGTAGGACCAAATAGTGAGGCTCACTCGCATGTTTGGTCCGAATTCCGGCTCCCTACAAAGCGTGGGTCCTCCCCGTTGAGCATATGGTAAGTAGTGAGTACTTCCAAAGAAATCTCTATGTATCCTACTACTACCCCTGGTCAGTCAAAGGGTGCATTACCGAGTAACAGCAAGGACTTGGCTGGTTTGATATTCGAGGAGGGGTATTAACGAGCTGAAGCGAGATAAAGGCCATTCTGGTCCGTTCATATATGGCAGTGACTGACAGTCTCGTTCATTGAGTCGTTTAGAAAGGCAATTCGGCAGGGATATGTCGGAGGGCAACACGATTCAAATCCATGTGACTATAATACAAGAATTTCAGGAACTTGACAGAGGACAGGGAGCCGCTGGCCAACTGCCGGCCTGGACCAGCCGACCAGAAATGTGGCATGCTTCATCAAAATTTACAATAAATTCATAGAAGCCATTTTTGATGACTGCTTACAGCGCAGTGAGAATGGATCCTTGGCTGGTTTCAATTCTGAAATACCTTGGCTGGTAAGCCAGGCCAATCCTGAAGGCTCGCGGCAGCCGAATAGCATCGGCAAGGATAAAATAAAGTCCTTCTTGGGTCAGTAATGAATACTTAGGGTCATTCTTTCCGGATGTCATGTTAAGAATGAAGAAAATCAGTCGAGAGCTCCATGAATTTGCCGTGTGATTGCTAGATTCACTAGAGTTACAAGATTGCGTCAAAGTTTGGTACATCGAGGAATGAATGCATCTCCGGTGTGATTGTTGCTTGACACTCTTCCGACAGGCGGACCCACTCGTGCTCAAAATCATAGATACTGAGAACTTGAAATGATCCGTCAGGCTTCTCAGGTGTCAAAGTCTTCGAGAAAGAACCGTGGAATCCTTTAGCTCGCCCCCACAGTGCTCTGATCCTCATTGCCCCATGATGACGAGACTCGCGAAGTTCTGTAGATTTATGAGCATTTCCCAAAACATTCTTCCTTCAGCACCTTCGTCAACATTCTTGACCGTCAGCTCCCACTCCGCACGAGACCGTCCGGAGGCCTCGTACACTCGCTCCCAGTGATGATGAACAATCTTGGATAGGTGAGTCTCAAGCCCCGATTCGGTAAATTCACGCACCAAAATATTATCCTCCAATATTCCCCTACTTTCTTGAGTCGCGCTGCTTCGGCTGGGTTTAGGGCTACCCAGATGTAAGGGAGTGAATATGACTATCAAGTACATACACGTAGCCCAGGGTCCAATTGGTGGGGTGATCAAAGCCGCTGTGCAAGAGGACGGGTCCAGAAGTTCGTGGTTCCATAGACCCTTGTCAATTTCGCGTTCTAATAGTCGTGGATCGACTCCTAATTTCTTGACTCCAGGGAATCCTCCTTTCCCATGTGTATGTTTGGTGGCCTCAGATTTGGGACATGGTGCTCACCTATGGCGGAGCGCTGGAACCATGAACCTTGTGGATTCGCTTGGGTGTACAACGGATACATAGTTTTGCGGTCTTCGGAGATCAAGAAACTTGCCGAGATGATAATCAGCAGTCCGCCTGGCTTGAGACATCGCTCCATTTCGATAAGCGCTGCTTGTGGGTCCGAAAACTTGCTTAATTAGCTGGAAGTAGGCATACAGAAAAGGGTAAACGCACAACCCCTGCCGTAAACCGTGTATGAACAAGGTCGAATTGGCCATAAAACTTTTCTAGGCCATCATTTACATCGCAAATCTCGGATAGGTAATTCGAAGGAACGTTTGACCGATGTTGAGGTTTGATGTCGATACCCAGGACATGTACGTGCGGATATCTCTCTGCCATGTCGATGCACCTGCACGAGCGATGAGAATATAGTAGATTGAGTCCGAAAAAAAATACGAACCAAGCTCCTGAACCTGAACCTGCGCAGCCGTCAGTTGGCGAATACTAAAGTGATCTCCCTTACCGACATCCAATACACTTTTCTGGTTGTCTGAAGCTTCTAAGATTTTATCCACCTGCTCATCGCAAACATTTAAACCCTCAAATGCTAGTTTTACCGCCTCATGCTGGAGGTCTCTGCGAAATTATCAGTCTCTAGCAATTGGGGGGGGAGGGTGTCAGATACAGCCTCTCAAACTCTTTATCATCTATTTTTTGTGAGATAAATCTCGACATGTATAGATACGGATACTCACTATGCGGCAAGCCATAGACAGGCTTACTGGTTGGTGGATGTATGGTTTCGTTCATCGGCGTTGACAAGGGAGAGTACAAGTGGTAGTTTGCGTATGAAGTCATCGATATGGTGGTCGGTATCTTATCGATGATCGATGGGCCTTACGCAGTGAACGTAATGGAACCATATACGTCCAGTGGGCTGAGGTGTAAGAAAACCTCCTTGGAAGCGTCTGCCATGTCTTTCGATGCAAATATCGGTCGGTGTAGTGAAGTGACATTTTTTGATGTATTGCCATATGAGCTGGAAGCACACAGAGATATTTCCTGAAGTAATGGTCATGACGAATCTTTGGAACCCATGCATTACTCGGTTGTGATAGCACATTCACTTGTCAGTTACATATGCCCTAGCTACAGGAGTGCGTCAAAGTTTGGGATATTGAGAAATGAATACATCTCTGGCGTAAAGGTTGCTCGATATTCCTCTCCCATACGAACCCATTCATCCTCCGAGTGATGTATACTCAAGACTTGGAATGTTCCGGGGGAACTTTCCAGAGGCAACGGCCTTTGCACTGTTGAAGGCGAGGGATTGAACCCTCGGGCTCTTCCCCAAACCGCTCTCATGTGTATTGCCACACGGTGACGAGTTTCGTGTAGTTCTATAGAATGAATGAATGAATGAAATCATGCAAATCACCAGCTCTACCTTCGTCCACTTTCCTCACGGTTAATTCCCACTCTGAGCGAGAGCGACCAGAAGCCTCGTGCAATCGTTCCCAATGATGATGAACAATCTCGGACATTTTGGTTCAGTGGATCCACTCGAGTGAATTGACTCACAAGAAAATTATCCCTCCAATACTCTCCGACTTTCCGGAGCTGTGCGGCCTCCTTGGTGTCTGGAGCTGCTAAACTATGAGAGAGCATAGGTGAATCATATGAATACATACACGTCGGCCAAGGTCCGATTGGGACGGTGATCAAAGCTGCTGCACATGACAATGGATCCAGAAGCTCGTGCTTCCATAACCCTTTGTCAATTTCCCGTTCAAACAGCTGAGGGTCGACCCCAAGTTTTTTAAGCCCAGGAAAATTCTCTGCCGGCACGTATATAAGACCGATATTATGGACCTGAGCTTCTACTCACTCATGACCGAACGTTGGAACCATGAACCTTGTGGGTTCGCTTTGGTATACACAGGATACATAGTCTTACGATCCTCTGAGAGTAAAAAGCTAGCCGAGATGATGATGAGGAGCCCGCCTGGCTTGAGGCATCGCTCCATCTCAATCAGTGCGGTTTGCGGGTTCGCGAACTTGAAAGTTTGGTTGGAGCATGATACATGTGAGTAGGTCTAACTCACCACCCCCGTTGTAAAGCGAGTATGAACGACGTCGAACTGACCATAAAACCTTTCCAGGCCTGAGTTTACGTCCCAGATCTCAAAGACACAGTTTGGTGGAAGATTTGATTGCTCTTGAAGTTTGATGTCGACTCCCAGTATGTTTGCATGTGGATACATCTCCGCCATCTCGATACACCTATCAATAGTCGACACCTTGTGCTTCAGATAAGAGTATTTCAAACCAAACTCCGGTGCCTGAACCTGAATAACTGTTAGTTGGGCACACACGAGAAGGAACCGTCGCACCAAGGTCTAGGACGCGCCTTTGACCATCTAAAGGGTCTAAAACGTTGTCCACCTGATCTTTACAGATGTTCAGATCCCCAAATACAATTTTGACGGCTTCATGCTGAAGATCTCTGTGGAAAGGTCCGGAGCTGGACACAGTGGCGATTAAATGCGTACAGCCTGTTGAGCTCCTTATCATCTATGTATTTGTTTAAGATGTCTAGCTGTATTTGCTGATGGTTACTTGCCATGAGGTAGGCCATAGATGGGCTTGCCGTCGTCGCTTGTCAGTGGGTACGTCCTTTCGTCTGCCATTGGCCCCAACTGATGCTTGTGCGGTCCAAGTTGCACCACCCCGTGGGCACGGTACGTAGGGTTAAAAGGACCTCACGCTAGTTGCGGCTCTCGGCATCTTATCGATGATCGATGCGACTTTGAACTGTGCCTGAGATACAATGTGACAAGTGCGCAGTGGTCATTATCACACATTTCTAGGATAAGAAGCAAATCGGGCCCCACGAACTATCACAAGTTTTCATTTTTAGTTACAGGAGAGGGTCAAAGTTTGGAACTTCAAGGAATAAATGTACCTCAGGCGTAAACGTCGCTCGGAATTCTTCTGCCATTCGAATCCACTCATCCTCCGAGTGGTGGATGCTCACAACTTGGAAGGATCCATAGGGCTTCTCCGGGGTCAAGGGCCTTGACGGTATTGAAATAGAGTGAGCAGATCCTCGAGCCAGGCCCCAGATCGCTCTGAGATGTGTCAACATACGATGTCGGCCCTCCTTGATCTCTATATCGTAGATTAGTACTCGTGCGCAAGGTACTTCTGCTCGTACCATCGTCTACGCTGTTAGCAGTCAATTCCACCTCTGCATGAGATAGCCCGGAGACTTCATGCAGTCGTTCCCAGTGACGATGGACCATCTCAAGTATTTAGATAGACGAGATTAACTGAGTACAATGACTTACTAGAAAGTTATCTCTCCAACATTCCCCAACCCTTTTGAGACGTGCGGCTTCCTCGGAGTCTGGAGCTACGAAAGTATCAGGGAATAGAATCAATTTTGTGTTCACATACATGATAGCCAGTGTCCAATTGGGGCAGTTATAAGGGCAGCTGCGCACGATGATGGATCCATAAGTTCATGCTTCCACAGGCCCTTGTCGATTTCACGTTCAAATAGCTGGGTTTCAATTCCGAGTCTCTTTATCCCAGGAAACATCTCTGTTGAAAATGGGTGTGAGCTGAGCGTTATGGAACTCCGAGGGAATCAGATCACCCATGAATGAGCGCTGAAGCCAGGAACCGTGTGGATTTGCCTTTGTGTACAACGGATAGAGTGTTTTGCGGTCGTCGCAGAGCAAAAAAGTTGGAGATATGATAATCAGGAGACCCCCTGGTTTAAGGCACCGCTCCATCTCGAGAAATACAGCCTGTGGGTTTGAAAACTTCGAAGGTCAATGGAGAAACATCTAATAGAAAAGGCCAAGCTCACTATCCCAGACGTAAAGCGAGTATGAACGAGGTCGAACTGGCCATAAAACTTCTCTAACCCATTGTTTACATCCCAGATTTCGAAGGCGCAGTTCGGAGGAATATTTGATCGATCTTGAGGCTTGATGTCGAGTCCCAATACGTGTGCGTGTGGATACCTCTCTGCCATCTGGATACACCTGTGAATGGTCGAAGACGAACACTTAGCACGAGATGAATACAAACCAAACTCCCGAACCTGAACCTGAACGATGGTCAATTTGCATACAGGAGAGCGCCAAAGCTTCGCACCAAGGTCTAAGACTCGTCTTTCATCGCCCGAGGAACCTAGAATTCTATCCACCTCCTCGTTACAGACGTTCAGACCTTCAAATACTAGCGTGACGGCCTCGTGCTGGACATCTCTGTATAAATGTCGAGCGATGAAAACGCTGACGAGGAAATATATACAGCCTGTTAAATTCTTTCTCATCTGAAGCTTTGTGAGATATGCGATGCTGTACGAATTGACCAGTACTTGCTATGCGGCATGCCATAGACAGGTTTGCCCTCGCCTCTTGTCAGCAAATGATCCGTCATTGAGCCCGATTGATGGCGGTGGAGTCCAAGTTGTACGACGCTACTGTGTGCAACTTAGAGAGATAAAGGGTCTAGCACCAGTTACGGTTATTATCGGGACGACTGAACGCATCCATGGCTGTCAATAGGTGGCCGGGATCTTATCGATGATCAGATTTGATTTCATAAACACTTTTAGGATGCGATCTGAGCGCCCTATCATTTCCGGGTTGTAGTATCACACCCCTTGGATTGAAGAAACAGCGCTGTCTTCTAAGCAAATGTTTCATAGGAGTGCGTCAAAATTTGCCACATCGAGGAACGAATGCATCTCCGACGTAATGGTCGCTTGATGCTCCTGCGCCATTCGAGCCCACTCATCCTCTGAGTGGTGTATGCTGACGATTTGGAAGGATCCATGGGGCTTACTTGGGGTCGGCGGCCAGGACGGCGTTGAAAGAGGGGAGTGAACTCCTCGGGCTTGGCCCCAGATTGCTCTCATTCGCATCGCCACACGATGACGGGTCTGGCGAACCTCTGTATAATGAGTAAACAAGCCGTTGAGACTACTTTTGCCTACCTTCGTCTACGTTCCTGACAGTAAGTTTCCATTCTGCGCGAGAGCGTCCAGAAACCTCATGCAGGCGTTCCCAATGTCGGTGAACAATCTTGGCGGCTTTAACTCTTCAGCTTTAATCAAAATAATTGACGTACGAGGGCGTTATCACGCCAATACTCTCCGAGCTTTTGGAGGCGCCGCGCCTCTTCGGCGTCTGGAGCTGTCAACGCGTAAGAGCAAAAAGCGAGGTTTCGCGGATACACACATGCTGGCCAAGGTCCGATCGGGACGGTAATCAAGGCAGCCGCGCAGGAAGACGGGTCCAGAAGCTCATGATTCCACAAGCCGTTATCAATTTCACGTTCGAATGATTGGGCATCAATCCCCAGCTTTTTTATTCCGAGAAACATCGCTATTTTTCATGCATGAGGTATGGTTTATTGAGCGAACGACGGTTGAACTCACCCATAGCTGAACGTTGGAACCAGGAACCTCGCGGATTTTCTCGAGTATACATCGGATACATCGTCTTACGATCTTCCGAGAGCAGCAAACCACCCGAGATGACGATTAGGAGTCCACCTGGCTTGAGACATCTCTCCATCTCGATAAGCGCGGCTTGTGGGTTTGAAAACTTGAACTTTGGTCAGAATAGGATGCATATCAATGTACCTAACTCACTACTCCGGTTGTAAAGCGAGTGTGAACGAGGTCATACCGACCATAAAACTTCTCTAGGCCGGAATTTACATCCCAAACCTCGAATAGGTAGTTTGGTGGAACATTTGACCGATCCTGAGGTTCGATGTCTACTCCTAATATGGTTGCGTGTGGGTATCTCTCCGCCATCTCGATACACCTGCTAATGGTTCAATTCCTGAGTGCTTTGGGTGAGATGCAAGCGAACCAAACTCCCGAGCCTGAGCCTGAATAACAGTTAGTAGACAACATATGGGGAGGGAATATTCGCACCAAGGTCTAGAACGCTTTTCTGACCACCCAAAGGGTCTAAAACTCTATCCACCTGTTCGGAACAGATGTTGAGACCCTCAAATGCAAGTTTTACGGCTTCGTGCTGAAGATCCCTGTGGAAACTTTTAGGGATTGATGGAGATCGCACGAAGGCCTACAGTCTGTTGAACTCCCTCTCATCTGGAACTCATAAGGCACTCATAGCTACATGGTTGACTGACACTTGCCGTGCGGCATACCATAGACAGCCTTGCTATCGTCTTTCGGCAATGGATGCATTCTTTTGACCGTCTTTGAGGTCGAATTAATGATGGAGTCCAAGTTTCGTCGTCCTACTGCGCACAGCTAAAAAGAACCACCGCTAGTCGTAGTCGTCCGTGCGGCACGGCTGAATGGCTCCTCATCCGTGGCCGTCGGTATGACAATCAACGTAAAGTTCCGTCCCCTTTAAAGCAATTGGGATACAGTGAAGTCAGCTGGAGTTTCTCACGATAACAAGCCAGCACCCCTCCAGACTATCCCAATGGTGTCGGAAAAAGAATGTGTATGGCAAAGCTACAAGGGGGATGTAAGGCTGGTGAGGAGGCCTGTCGTCAGGTGGAAGCTTGGGATGAACCAAGCGATTCGTTGGATGCAACGGTGGTGAGCCATCTGCTCAGGCATCACGAATATTCATTGTAGGTGCTAATTGGAGCGCAGCGGATTCGTAGTTGGGAATACTTTTCGTCTTCGCAACTTATCAACAGGATATTGCTAAAGGACGTCAATGTCATGAAGGCTATCGAAGGGCACCTATTCCAATGGGTCGTAATTGGGAATAGTCATTAGGGCCCGCATCTCTGGAGTTAACCTCGAGTTGTATTCTTCAGAAAGGCGCAGCCATTCCTCTTCGGAATCGTAAAAGGAAGCGAGTCGAAATCCCGTGAAAGATGACTTGTTGTCATTCGGTGCATGATACGGAGATGGAGGAGACTCCGTGTTCACACGTCTTCCCCATAACGCTCGTACGCGAATAGACAAGTGGTGTTCGTCCGTGTGGAGTTCTAGAGAACAATTTCAGGCTGATATCGGCCATCAGGAGTTGTGTCACCTCTTTCGGTGTTCTCGATCAGAATTTTCCACTCCTTTTCAGACCTCTTGGAATGGTCGAAGAGGGCTCTCCAGTGGTGATGAACGATCTATTTCAGGTCAGGACTCTCAGTTTTGATGTCCAAAAGCGTCTCTGACAAGTATGTTTCTCTTGTTGAGTTCTCCCAGTGTGCGAAGTCGTTCAGCTTCTGCAGGATCGGAAGCTTATATGCATCAGCCAAGTGAAGATTGAAGAGTGAAGTAACTCACATGTTGCCCAAGGACCCACAGGAAAGGTGAATAACGCTGCCCCGCACGTCGCAGGCTCAATGAGCTCGTGCTTCCAAAGACCGGTGTCTACTTCTTGAGCTGCTGTGTAAGGATCCGAACCCATGTTCCGGATGCCAACGCGTTGTGCTAAAGTGTTATTCTTCAGCGACGGTGACATGCTTTTATATCAAGGGCTCACCAATGATCGCCCGTTGAAGCCAGGAGCCGTCAGTTTGAGTTGACATGTACGGCATATATGGGGTATTCCTTTCTTCTGTGACAGGAATAGTCGCAATGATAAACATGAGCAGGCCACCAGGCTTCAGGCATCGCTCAATCTCGGTCATCGCGCGCTTGTGATCTTTAAACTGAAGGGCGTGTCACGTGAAAAAATGACACCTGTGGGTTTTATGGACTTCACTTACCCCTGTTTCGGTAAATCGGCAATGGACAAAATCGAATTGTCTATAGTGGTGGTCCAAGCCATCGTTTATATCCCAGACCTCAAAGTCGCAATTACTTGGTAAAGTTTCTTCGTGCTCGCGTGGTTTTAGGTCGAGGCCATGGACCTTCACGTAGGGATATTGGCGAGCCATCTCTATGGCCCTTTGACAAGTGAGCGCGCGGCGTCTTCAAGAATATTTCTACTGTACCATGATCCGGATCCAGAGCCTTGGATTCGTCAGGGCAAACTCGTCGAAATCAGGGAATGCTGACCCAGATCCAAAACTTGAAGCTCCTCTCCCATGCGGTTGGTGAGCACCGAGTTGACGAGCTCATTACATACGTTTAGGCCGTTGAATCCGATCTTGAGCATCTCATGCTGGAGGTCCCTACAAAATTGAGGAGATTTGTCATGGTCTCGGTTGATGAACCCCACAGTCGGTTGAATTCTTTATCATCTAAGCTTTGATTCAGATATCTATTATGTATCCGATTGACATTCAGCTAACCTTGAGGCAGAACGTAGTGAGTTTTCGCTGGCGGAGCATTCTGATATGCCATTGAAGCAGCTATAAACGACGCAAACGATGGTTCTGGCAACCTTTTTGGCGGGCCGGGTGGCGCTCAAGGAAATGTCGCTTTGCTCCCGACGAGAACGGAGGCAAGGAATGTAATCCTCCTGCCACGACTCATCTGCACGTCAGCGCTGTGAGCTATTTGCAAATTGTAAACATTCCATAAAGCGGTAGTACTATAATTAGAGACATGCCCAAAAAAAAAAAGGTTGAGTGGAGGTCGTGACCACAGCAATCCTCGTTATTCGCGAGGTCCTATGTATCCACATTCGCCGCTTCTATTTCCTTCTGCAAGATTAACATGCGAAGAGGTGAATCTGCAGCTACTGCGGGCCTTGTTGCAGGTGGCAGAACCCGGCACGCTAATGCCTGGTCGAGGTCTTCTTCTACCTCATCATAATCTACATCATCTGTATGTCACATTAGGATGAGACTCTTCTCCACGATGACTCGGGGACGAGACTTGCCTTCATCCGATAGCCCGAATGTTCCTATATCGTCGTGTGCTTCATCCCAGTCTAACAGGCGTGCCTCGAGTTCGCGTCGTAAGAGAGCTGATGGCGCTGCGACACGTTGCGGTGCCGACAAGGGGAAGCCCATATCAGCAATGTCGTATGAGCGAAGGAGGGATGTAATGTTGTTCGGTGCTAATGGTAAATGGCGCTGGTTGTTTAGCTCGGTTGGCGCTGCCTCATAGCGATCTGAGACTTCTGCAACTTCTGTACGACGTTCGGTGGGCCAACGGAACGCCTCTTCAGCGTTTCGAACGTTTGATGGATCATTCCGAGTCCAAGACTCATTCGAGGAAAGCCCTGTCATCGCTATGATATTGTCCATCGACTCTAAAAGTCTTTGGTGTCGCGCTCTGAGTAGGGCGAGTGGAGAATCGTCGTGTTCTCGTGACGAAGTTGATGGCTCCAATTGCGTCTGTGTTCGGATGGGAGCTGAAGCTGGAGGTGGACGCGCCGGGGCGGGGATTTGCCCAGAGGGTACAGGGAAATCGAGTTCCTCGTCAGAGCTGTATTCTGGATCCCATTCGCTGACCATTCTCCTCACTCTTTCTGTACCTCTTCGACCAACGAACGTACGCGGTGGCAGCGCTTGGTTTCGACCATCCGAATCGTCGCGAAGGTCAAATAGTGATCCGAATCTGGCGGTGTCACGTCTTCCCGTTCAGGCATCAATTCTGCGCGACAAGCCGGACATGTCGACGCGCGTGTGCGGAGCCAAGATACTAGGCAGTCGAAGTGCATGACATGTTGACATGGGAGCAAAATAACTGGGTTTATAACCTCGTCTTCAAGCATGGTGGATTCTGAATTGGACGTCACTCCATCTACAGACCTCTCTGGGGGATCTCGTAACTTTTGGTCGTACACCAAAAGTAGCGGTTCCCAGCAGATCAGGCAGCTTTCGCCATCCTCTCCCGCTCCGCCGCGAACATTGCAGAGCCGGCGAGCCAAATCTTCATCGAGATACTCGATTCTCTCCAAGACGTCATTGATCTGCCGCATCAAAGTAGCATGCGAGATCTCTCGAGGCGGCAAGTTGCTTGGTATCGGGTTTGGGGGTGGAGCCGGGCGAGGGTTCGACAGGGTCTGAACTTCTTCGAGCAACATACCCAGATAGTGATCTATCATCTGAATCGAGAGCAGGGCGTCGTCACTTGGTTGAGTGGTGTCCATACGTGCTTGGACGCTGGACCGAGCGACGAGAAGAAGGTCGGCCATTTGGGAGAGCATAGAGGTGATTCGGAAAGAAACCACAATGGATTGTTGTGCCAATCGATCTTCGGCGTCTCGGACTCTCGTCAGGGCGTCTGCAGGTCGTTCTTGAGCGAGTTGATCCAGGGGTACGTCTTTGATACGTTAGACCGATATATAAGTAACAGATATTCGTACCAGAATCGTCTCCTCTCAAAATACGGCGAATATCCATAACGGTCGTTCGAAAAGCCGCAACGGATTCCAGGTCTTCAACAGCCGACCGCTGAATATCGTCGTCCGAGGTATCCGAGTCAGAGTAAAGTATATCGACATCATCCGAGCTCGATGAGACCGACATCAAACCCGGCAAATTATGAAACCCCTCAGCGTCGGAGAGTGTAGAGTCCATGTCGCCCTCGGGAGTCAAATATTGTGATTCATCGATTTCAGAATCGTCAATATCAGAGTGAGCTTCGAAGTATGGAACATGCTCTTCGTCGGAACTTGTGGGAGCTGACATGACCGGATTGGGGCCCCAAGTTTGAGCTTTCTGCGGGAATTAGAAGAGCCAAGTGATTCAATTGAGCTCCTAAATACCTTATGGATGGAATATTTGTGATCTTCGGGCTCCCTTGGTGTGTTCAACCCCCAAAAGGAGCCGAATAAAGAATATGAATTCTTCTACTGGTCCAACAAGACAACAAAGGAGCTCAATAGGATTGGAACTGGGTTTCCTGGCTTCTAATTCGACTTCAATGACTTCCCGCGGGTTGCTGGTCAGGCGCAAGGCGGTAGCGCCCACCTTGGTCCTTTTCGTCGAGCTCCTTATTGCATTTCAGGTACGGAGAGAGGGTTAGAACGCCAACCCGCTACTTACTAGATTGGTCTCTCCAGCTTGCCATCTTTGATACTTCAATGCATGCTACAACTCCTGAACCATCTGTCTAGAACTTCTAAAGCACTGCCTTGCCAGTCCGTTCTTCTCGGGAGAACCCTCCGTGTTCTCCCAAATATCAAGAACCTTGGCCTTTGGAAGCAGGTGTCACGGCCACTCCCTCTCCGCGTGTTCGACCTTTGTAACAGACTGTCATCTCTCGCGGAATGTGCGTATTTTCAGTCATGTGTAGCTACAAATACTGACATATGCCGAAAGACAAGAACACCGGCAACTGTTCTGCGCGTCATTCTGGTCATTTGCTCGTTTGAATCGCAACGATTGAGAACTCGGCATAATATCGAACATTTGGCCTCTTATCACTATTATACACCGTCTATAATCATCAAATACACGGTCATAGAACACAGCGCGCGCCATGCACCAGATCTTTCAGACAGACGAGATCCTCCGGCTCATCATTTCCCATCTTGCCAACCCACAGAATCGATATACTATCACATCATGGTCTCGTGGAGGACCTCATACAATCAGTACTTCCGTCGTTACCTGGTCCCCGCCGTTCCTCGGTACCCTGCCATACCAACAGGTGCTGCCCATCGGTACACTCGAGCGACGTACGGTGGCGAGACTAGCAAGAGTGTGTCGTACATGGGAAGAAGCAGCACTGGACGCCCTCTGGCGCGAGATTCCCAGTGTCGAGCCACTGTTCGGGCTCTTCCCGCCATCTTGCCTGAGCGGTGCTCATCGACATGAGAATGTTGTGAGTTTGAATGTTTTTCTTGCGTCACAAGTAGCTTATTGTTGTTAGCAATTCACCAGACCTCTGGTGCCGAGTGATTGGGTGCGCTTCCGGTATTATGCGCCTCGCGTGCAGCGAATTACCCCACTAGACGCTCGTTGGACGAGATGGACCGTCGATTTCAAGGCCTTTCTCTCTCTATCCCATTTCCATCCAGGTGGCCCAATCCTACCGAATTTGCAACAGTGGGCATGGGATACTCAACGCGGTGCTGGGGATATTGTTGGGGGGATGTGCTTTCTCTCACCCTCGGTAACCAGTATCGAAGTGACCCTCGGCCACACAACGTCGGCGGACACCCTGTTCGGCTTTCTATACAACCTGCCGATGCGATGCCCGCATCTGACATCCCTCGCTCTCAGCTACAACGACAAGGATTGGCCAGACTGGGGATTAGAGGCCACAATGACCGCGCTACAGAGCATTTTCTCCCTCTTGCCGAAGCTTACAAGGCTAAGCTTGCCCTTTTTCATGGATCAACCCACCTTCATTACTCGCGTTGGATCTATCCCTGGACTCAAAGAGCTGATGAGCGTATGCCCAGACAAGCTAGTAGGTGCATTTGTTGATGACGACTCGGACGAGTTGGATGATGAAACAATTGCTCCCGAATCAATGCTCTTTCACGACCTCAGGAGCGTCACACTCCAAAGCACGATGAATTCGTGCTTCCGTTTCCTGCGACGTTTCGTTTCCAAAAACATTATCAACATGTATATTACTACCCTACATCTCCGGTCTCCGACTCAACTCTCCGAATGCGTCGCCATAATTGCCAGCTCGTGTCCACACCTGCGAGTGCTTCATCTCCAGTACACACCGGCACAGCACGACATGTCTTTCGACACAAGCTGGTTCAAGTTGAACACTCTGGCACCGTGTGGAGATCTAGAAGAGCTGACAATTGGCCATCCGCGTGTGGCACCGTGGACTGATGACGAAGTCCTCGAAGCCGTACGATGCTGGCCTCGTCTGCGCGTGCTGAGACTCAATCCTCGTCCGACTCGTGCGCTCTTTGAGCCCAAGTTGACACTGCGGACGTTATGGAACCTCGTCAAGTGGTGCCGACGACTTGAAGTCGTCAGGTTCTATGTTGATACGAGCGAAATTCCCTCGTTGGCGGAACTGGCGCAAAAAGGATGTTGGCTTCGAGACTCCTGACGGGAGCGAGCCCTCGTCCTCGGCTGCGGTGGAAAGCGAGCAGATGAAGAAGCTCGCCCTATTCTCCCCGGTCCTCGCTTCGGCGCTCGCTTCGAACTCTGCGCTAGGTTCCGGTACAGATCTCGGTGTCGCAAAGATCAAGGGCTCGAATATTCTTACCCTACTCGACTTTGGTCATTCGCAGCGGTGTAGCGAGAGTAGCACGCAGGAGCTGGCGACATATATTGCCACGCTGTGTCCGTATGCGCAAGTTCAAGGAAGCGAGCAATGGCGCGAGGTTGCGACCATTCTCAAAGTCAATCAGGCTACTCGCTTAGAGGACCAGAAGAAGATAGAGGCGTTGCGAAAGGAAGTCGAGAGGTTAATGGCCTTGCTGGGAGGCAGTGTCAAAGTATGATGCTCTGTACTACGCGATAATGATAATGATGTCTGTGTTTATTCCCACTTCGAAGTGAGATAACCGAGCTTTGAGCCAACCTTGGGTTAAGGCAGATTCACCACAAAGCGGGCTTATGTCCGGTCAAAGAGCGGTTGTATCGAAGCCAATAAGAGTTGGCGAACAAGACTGGTCAGTACGATGAACATACGGTATGCGATAGAAGAAGTGATGATATTATATGGCAGATACGATACGACGAAAAAGACCGAACCGCTTCAACATTAAAGGAGCAGTTGGTTCCAGGCAGCTCATATGAATTGATAGGCGGTGATCTAGTAAGAGTCATTAATCAAGTCGGAAGTAGGAGATCAGTCCTCACATAGCCATGTCCACCACAGTTCTGGGAAGCGTTTCCTCCACACACCTGGAAAGCATTAGAAAAGTAACATGGTCGACGGATTGATGTGGTCTCACCTTGTCGCACATGTCACTTGATGTTGCTGTTGGAGGAAGAGTGGTACCACAACCTAGCAAAGTTAGTCAGATGTTGATCGCAGCCTGCTGGTCTCAATAATTACCGCAAGTCTACACGCATCGTTCAGTACGCATAGTAAAAGACAAGGCATGGACTTACTTGATACACACGAGCGGGCTGATTCAGAGAGAAGATAACGGCAACAGGCTTGTTCAGCGCCTGGCAAGCCTGAGTGCACTTGTCTTTGCTCATAGTTAACAAAGAGTTGTTATCATTCAAGACTGCCTCGTATAGTCCGTTTGGCCTTGGGTATCATCAGCATTGAGTAATAGTAAAGGAGAACAGTACACAGATTAGAACTTACAAATAGCAGCCTTGTGATACCCAAGATGCGGCCTGAGGTGATGTAGGCATTGCGATTTGTTGGCCGACCGGTTTGATGTAGGTGGATCCCTTTAAAGATTAAGCAACGTGGAATTGATGGCCAAGGGCACACATACGGCATTACGGTCTGACCAACTGCCGCAAAATCGGTCAAAATCGTTCAAGCATCGCTAACGGAATTGTCAGGACGAGGAAGAAGTTTGAAACGTCAGACAAACCGCATTGCAAACGCCTGTAGAGCTCGGAGTATGCATAATCATGCATGCTATCTTTACTAAATGTCAAAGTATCCCGAGCCGTAAAAAACCTACTGCAGATCTACAGAGTCGTCAGCAGCTGTTAGTACATAAGCCAAAACAGCCTACACCGCCATTCGTGATCCGTGCAGCACCCATTCCGTATTGGTCGCACATCGTGGTACATGTCTTGACACTTTGGGATCCCATCATCATGCCTGTTTGCATCCACATCGAGTATTGGGCATACCCCCTGTGAACGACGTGTGACAGGTTATCATTCTGGTATAAAATAAATAAAGTCGAACGTACACTTGACAGCCCGCATCAATCCATGGATCAGCGGCCTGTGTTTGAGTTGGCGTAGACGTACTGGTATCCACAGTCGTCGTGAAGGATTCGGTCTCTGTGCTAGTCGACGACGGAGATGCAGTGCTCGACGAAGAGTCGCTAGTGGATGTCGAAGTCGCTGAATCAGTGGTCGAGGTCGATGAATCATTGGTCGAGGTCGATGAATCAGTGGTTGAGGTCGATGAATCAGTGGTCGAGGTCGGTGTAACAAGCGAATGTTTGTAAACATTAAGCTAGTGGACGTCATCAGGTAATTCCTCCACTGTAAGTCCTCATACCCTGTTCGGTCCACCGCACAGATGAGCTTCATCTCCCTCGCATTTCATGATACAGTTGTCTGCAGCCAAAACAGGCGGCAAAGCGAGACCACAATAACACTCCTCAGCGTACTCGAGCCCAGCCACCGTATATCCAGAAGCAGCACAAGCGTCGATGCAGTTTTGAACCGTCATGGGTCGTTGGGCGTTGGTATTGGGGGTCAGCACGCGGGCGTTCATCGAATCACTGGACATGATCAGCTACCCATATTTTAGGCTCACAAGAACATACACGTAGCACCCGGCACTCGTCCACTCTCCATAACTCTCTAGAACGGAAGCTGGAGTTGGCAGCGCGGTGCTGGTGTATTTGTAGACAGTAATCTGAAGCATATGAGAAGAGCACAGATCCATGCGTCAAACGTACTCGGTTGCCACCGCCGCAGATCGTATTTCTATCACCAGAGCAAGACTGTAGACCCCATAAGCGACTAAAGGGGTATCAAAATCAAACATACCATCGTGCAACCGTCTGTCTCTTGTGTTCCGGATGAGCCAATCGAATTGGCACAATCTATGACAAGCTAGTCAACTCAGGCAAAAGTGATAATAGACCAACTAACAGCATTCGTCAGAGTACTCCACCCCTGCGTGGCTATATCCAAGAGAGAGACATTTTGTGTTGCACTTGGTCGGAGTCATTCCACCATCGACATAGACGCGAAGTCCCAAGGTGCGGGAGTCCATGTTATCGCTGAGCAAGTTGAGTAACTCCGTCGGTACAACTATGCCAAACACGTACGAGTAGCAGTTGTCGTATGTCCAGCCGTCTGTGCCTGGTGCAATAGTAGCAGTGTGCTTGTAGAGATTGAGCTACTCGAGATATGAGCACGGCTTTATCCTCTCTCAAACGCGCTTACCCTGTTTCCGGCACCACAATAATGAGCTGCATCGCCTTCGCAGCGCTGAGAGGCGTCAGAATCCTTGAGCACAGGGGAGCTCTTTTAACTCACCGAGTTGCACTCGCTAATATCGACTTGCTGGAGGCTTGCCGTATTGAGACCGTTGGCGCAATCTGGTGCTAAGTGAGTTTATCGCTCATAGATGAACATAGAACGTACAGCATTCCTAGATAGTGTCAGCTACTCTCGCAATGAGTTCTTTGATACTCACATGACTGTACTCTAGGCCAGCATATTCATATCCTTGCGCGGCGCACGCGTCCATGCACTTTTGAGGCGTGAAATCTCCATCGACAGAGACAGAATTCGGAACGATACGAGCGTTGATACTGTCCACGAAGCAGCCTTGAGAGTTCCAGTTCCCATAGCTCTCAAGTGTGGACGCTGGCTTCGTCCAGACGGTGAGTCGGAGGCCGCCACCACAGACTTCAGTCGGCGCGCCAATACACATCATGTCACATTCAGCGTCTGCAGTCTTGACGCCGCCGTTATGAAAGTCGTCATCGCAGACTGAATGACGAATGAGAATCGAGAACAGGAACTGGAAAGGGATACGCACAACACTCCTATCGAATGAAAGCATCGTCAGCAAGCTACTCAAGACTAGACGCCAGACGTACCTCGCTCCATTCTGTAGCTGCAATGGCATAGCCACGCTCGTCGCAGATGGCTTTGCAGGCGTCGTTTGTCATGGTGCCGGAAGTGACTGTGTACGCCGGGAGCGTTCGCTGGAACATATTGTCGCTAGTTGCAAAAATAAGAGAGGGAGAGCCATGGGAAATGCTATACTCACGTGTAGCACCCCGCAGCGACCCAACCGTCCCCGGTCTGGCGACGGTCATGATGAGCTCGGCGAGCAATGTCACCGTGTCTCTTCAGAGCAGACGCAGAAGGCTACAGCGATCCGTCAAGACTTGCGGTGCTCAAGAGGACGCAAGACGTACGGGTTCGAAGAGGAGAGCATTAGTAGCTGTAAGGAATGGTAAGAGAGCAATCAAGGTCTTTTGAGAGAGCATCTCGATGATACTCGTTAAGATATGAGGAAAATGAGAGGAAGGGGGGTGTTCCGGCCTGAAACCAATTTTTGTGCACTGCTGAGGGAAATATATGAACGGAGCCTTCATCAATGGGCCTAGGTCGACACTTTTTGCCCCTGAGACAAGCTTGCCAAGCGACGGATCGCTTCCGTGCCCTGGCTTTAGCAACAATCACCGACAGGTGTCAACACCACGAAGCGAACGGCCTTCATACGTCGTATTTGGGAGGCGCTAGTATGGCATGAAACCGTCAATTCTTTTTTGGAGAACATACAAGACACGCTTTTTCATGGAATAAGGAGATTCGAGTTCGTACGCCTTCATCCGCGCCCAATGTATGGCATATCTGTTGCCCTGAACGAGTCGTTAGATGGATCATGAGCAAGATTTAGCAGCTTACATGATGTTCATTTGGAGTACGGTGACTGAAGTAGGGAGACCTGCAATATGGACGACAGCACGAGCTACATGGCGAGCGTCGATTGAGCCTTCTACTTTAACGGAGCCATCTGGCTGGAGGGCTCCGGTCGTCGCGGCACCCTGGGCCATCTGTGTCATCGCATTCCCTGTATGGTGTGTCAGTGTCAGACTACTGGTCGCGGGTGTACAGACCGATGTCGAGCTGAGTACAGGTAACACCGAAACTCCGACCTTCGAGCTGTGTACTCTTGGTGAGGCCCCAAATAGCGTGTTTGGAAATGGCGTAGGGCGCTCCGTGCGGGCGAGGAGCATGCGCGGCGATGCTTCCATTGTTGATAATCCGTCCCCCTGACGCATTCTGTTTGAAGTGGCGCAAAGCATGCTGGGTACAGAGCATAGCGGCGACGAGATTCGTGTTCATGACTGCCATAAAGTCTGCAAGGGAAATATCTTCCAGAGGTTTGGAGGGTCCGGTGATTCCGGCATTCTATCAAGATGTAAGCGATGTCGAACCTATGAAGGGGTGTCGTACATTGAAAAGCATGTCGATCCTTCCTGTCGATGGGTTAGTATCAACAAACGATGTGGGACCGGAACGCACCGTATGTAGCAATCGAACGCTCGAATAATTGGTGAACATCGCTCTCTTGTGTCACGTCCCCAGCAACAACAAGAGTAAGCTCGGTTGCTTGGACACTCTGGTCGCGTGCAGCTTCTTCGCACATACGTGCAGTCTCTTCCAGTGCATCTTTACGACGAGCGGAAAGAACGACATTCCAGCCTGCTTCGCAAAGTGCAACTGACGTGATACGGCCGATTCCAGAGGACGCGCCTGTTACGATGGCCACTTTGCGACGGGATTCTACTTCTTCGACTCTACTCATAGCCTTGAAATATTCGAGTTTGCAAGATGTGGAGAGGAACAAGAGGCTTGCGGCTGGAGATCAACGGGCCGGTCGACCGTAAACTCGGGGTGCGGGCTCCGTCAGAGGTGAATGTGATTGGTTTCTGTACATTTTGTATAATTGCATATAAATTTGGGTGATGTCGGGGTCCAAGGCGGGCCGTGTTTGGCTCGCTGTTTGTCCACCAACCTTGACCCTCCAAACCCGTCGACCTCTACAAAATGGCAAGTATTTTTCACCAAACGAGTGTATTAGGGACATCTGGATTCTGTACTGGATTTGGATGCTCTTGTGCAATGTGATGCTCAAGCAGATGGACTTGCAAATCGACGGTATGCGCTTTCAAGTCACGCGGGGACGTCAAAGCTCATTTACTTCATTTAGATTGTATTTGCTTGCCATGAGCATCCTAAATGACTTTGTCGAGCGTTGCCAATTCCCTTCTGTCGCCGTGCAGAGGAAATGGAGTGGCTGCCGGCAAGTCTTATTGCGGGCTCACTCGTATTCTTCCTCTTGATCAAGTGGAGGAAGAATATCGAGTGAGCACTAGAGCTCCGAGTCCAGCAGAATCCAGATGGACCAAATCTCTTTCGATTTGTGGTTTTCCATCTGAGATTTGACGCTGACTGATTCGTCTCCATGACCGCCTCGCTTCCGAACCATGCTGGTCTGACTTGGACAACTCCAGCCGCCGAAAGGAAAGACCTCGAAGAAGCCCGCCCCGGCCCCTTTCGCCACCTCCAAGGCGTCCAAGACTACCAAAAACCCTCTGTTCGAGGCCACTCCTAGAAACTTTGGCATCGGTATGTGTCTTTTTCTTGAGATTGGTGTTTAGGATGCTCATTGCTTTCTAGGCGGAGATATCCAGCCCAAGCGTGACCTTACCCGCTTCGTCAAGTGGCCCGCATATGTCCGCCTCCAGCGACAAAAGGTCATCCTTCATCAGCGCCTAAAAGTTCCACCGGCGCTCGCTCAGTTTGCCAACACCCTCGATAAAACACGGCTACTCAACTCTTCAAGCTCTTGAACAAGTACCGGTACGTATATTCGAATCCATACACAATTCTTTCTCTCTAACAAAGGATCAGTCCCGAGACGAAGCAAGAGAAGAAGGCCCGTCTCGAAGCTGCTGCAAAGGCGCAAGCCGAAGGCAAGAAGGATGAGGGTAACAAGAAGGTCTGCACCGTCAAGTATGGTCTCAACCACGTCGTCTCGCTCGTCGAAGCCAAGAAGGCTGCCTTTGTCGCCATCGCCGACGACGTTGACCCAATCGAACTCGTCATCTTCCTCCCCGCTCTTTGCCGGAAGATGGGTGTTCCATATGTCATTGTCAAGGTGTGTTTCTCTCCTAATCCCGACTTGTTTGGATATTTACACTCGAATAGTCAAAAGCGCGTCTTGGCACTGTCGTCCACAAGAAGACTGCTGCCGTTGTCGCCATTACCGAAGTCAAGTCGGAGGACAACCGTGAACTCGCCAACCTCGTTAGCGCTGCGAAGGCCAACTTTGGAGACAAGTACGAGGAGCACCGTCGTCATTGGGGAGGTGGTGTCCGCGGCAACAAGTCGACGGAAAAGCTCAAGAAGCGTGCAAAGGCGGCTGGTACAACTGTTGCGAATGCGGCCAAGCTCTAAAAGGCGTTTGTATGGTCGACTTGTGTACGTTCTACCTAGGCTTTCTGATGCATTTTTCACTTTGCTTGGTGCCCCGCCTCGTGTCATTTCTTATTACTTCAGTGTTTACATAGGCTGGAGAGCTGGTCGATGCCTAGCCTTTTGCATCGCCACTTCGCCGGATATCCCTCGTCGACCTGCACCGTGACAATGAAGACGGAGATAGCGGCGGGTATAACGGCATTACTCACGAATAATTAGGTTTGACTCGATGTTTGATGGTTGATTTGTGCCAAGGAAGATGGCCAATAAAAGGCGACAGCTCCGAGCCGCGCCGGGATCAAACTGACCTCTCACAATTTTCATCTCGATTTTTTTTTTCAATGACCATTTCTGGAAACAATATCCATTTACGAAAGCGGGCGACGCAGCTCGAACTCTATCAACTCACCGTCCCGCTCAACGTTACTGCATTTACTAGAGGACACATCAATCAGACCACTTTCGAACTCAAGTTAAAGGACACTATGAGTCGCAGCTATGCACGGACGTTTGCAGTGGGCGGTGGCGACCCGCAATTCGTCAATGGCGTAAACGGACTGTTTTACGCCTCTGATTCGTACTCTTACGGTGGAGGTACACGTCAGTATATCTATGGAAGTGCACTATGGGGGAGCGGAGATGGGGACTTGAGACGGAATGTGACGGCGCTCCCACCAGTTGCCAATGGCTATGGATATGCATGGGTGCCCTCGTTGGCACTCAACATGACTGAGCGAAGGTATCCGTTCGGATTCTGGCCGCTGTACTGGGGGACAAAGTACCGGCCTACGTCTCGATGGCAAGACGATAGTGCGCGGCCTGGTGGTCCACAACGAGTGGCGTTAGTGAGGAGCAACGAGAAGTCTCCCATCACGTGGTGGATGTCGGGTGACGAAGAGTCTCTCAAGGCTGTCATGCCTGTCCTAGCGTTACCTACGTGGAAAGGAGGATGTGGTGTCTACAACGACACCACGCTTTACACGTTTGACCTGGATAGGGGTGATCTATTGCGGATATTGCCATCGCTTGACCTCGTCCGGACGAATATCACTCTCGCCCCTACCTCTGCCCTGCAATACTACCGTACGAGCTCGTTTGCACTTGGACTCCTGGCTCATTATAATCCATGGAGTGAGCCGAATAATACCGCTACTGCTCAATACTGGCAAACCACGCCCGTGGATTACCCAGCCGTTTTGGCCAGGATGAACCAAACAACACCAGCACTGTCCAATACCGCTGGAAGCGAGTACCTACGGCTCGTCGAGGAGCAAAATCAACTTTTCACGTGTCTGAACGTCACCATCGCGGGGAGTCTGCCTATCTATGATTTACCAAGCAACGTGACGACGACTTCGAATGACCCTGCCAGGCCGAATATAGAGCCGAGATTGGGGTTGATAGTCGGTCTCAGCTCTGGAGGACTCCTCTTGCTCCTCGCCATGTACGCATTCTACGACTGGTGGCGGAAGAAGAAGACTATCGCACGACCACAGCGACGTGTTTCTCTCGCCCAGCATACGGGTGGAAGTCGCGTCGTATTTACTAGAGAAGAGGCTGCTCAGATGATGAGAGCCAGGTCAAGAGACGAGAGCCTTCCTGTATATACGCCACTTCTAACTGACACGAACCCGATGGGAAATCCGCCGGCGTATACTCGGCACGAGCAGTCGGCAAACGGGTGATAGTAATAGACTCGTGTAGTATCCCGTGAGAGTCTTTGAATTTCAGGATGGTTGAGAATTTCGCCCGCGTCTTTGGGTTGAGACGCCACGCTGGTAAAGGTACCAATAAATTGTTTCCGCTTAACTCTTTGTGATATATAAGACATGTAATTGGCATCTCTCTCTCTCACAACCCCCTCCCCCCAACTAATAGTCCTTGGGAGGCTTCTGCCAAGGGAAGCATGGGCCGTATCCAGAAGAGAGATGGACTCAGTTTGAGCAACATCACCGTCCCATTCAATAACACGGCATACACCCTTCACTCTGTCGAGAGGAGCCTTGTCGAAACACTTTGGCGTGGCCCTGGATCCGATCGTATCAGCGTATACACATGGACGTTTGCAGCCGGTGGTGGCGTGCCGAAATCTGCACCGGGAAATGGAGGCGCAAATGTCACAACCTCTACCGTTGACGCGTTCACCTATGGAGGTGCAACTCGCCAGTTTATCTATGGAAGTGCACGATGGGGAAGTGGATTTGGAGTGCTCGTCGAGGACTCGAAAGCAGAGCTCCCATTCGCAAATGGTTATGGGTACAGGTGGGCACCCTGGACGAGCCTCGAAATGGACGAACTTCATTACCCCTTTGGTTTCTGGCCACTCAGCTGGGGTCGTGGGTATTCGACGTCTGGGAAATGGAGAGACGACGATTGGCGTCCTGGAAACACACAGGTTGTAGCGCTTTTGAAGAGCAGCGACACGTCAAAGGTCGAGTGGTGGGCGATGGGAGATAGTCAGTCCATGGAGGAGCTGCTAAAGGTGCTATCTTTGCCCACAGAAAAGGGCGGTTGTGGCATCTCTGGCAATACTCCCGTCTACAAGTTTGACCCAGAGGAGAACAATGTCCTTCATGACGTTTCCACATCATCTACTGCAGTACGCACCAACGTTTCCATCACTCCCATGACCGCAGTTCAATATTACCGTGGCAGCTCGTTTGCGCTTGGACTCCTTGGACATTATGATCCATCGAGCGAGCCAAATGTTGCAGCGGCCAGTGATGGATATTGGGCACGGGCTCTCATCGACTACCCGGCAGCATTGAACCGCACGGGGAGTGTCTTGGAGAACGGGAATGCCACCGCCTACCAAGAGCTAGCTCGAGAGCAGGACTCGTTTCTCCAGTGCTTGAACGGGACGATAGCAGGAACCATTCCAATATACGACTCATCTATCGAGCCAACAGGGACCACCATATTCTATATGCCAACTTCGATGCCGCGCCCAGAGGTTTATGGACCGAGACCTTCGTCTACGTCGCGAGACAGTGGAGGGATCATCGCGGGGACAATCTTGGCACCATTTCTCCTTTTCCTCGTCGGATTTTGCTGCTGGAAGGTGCAGGCGCAGAAAGATCGGGAAAAGCAGCTGAGGAAGACGGCGGCTTCCCGACGATACGAGGAAGCTCGTAGAGTTTCTGCTTCTCGACAACAGCAAGCTCCTTTGGTACCCCAGGAAGACGCAGATGAACCGTTGCCGGTGTACACGCCCAAAAAGGAGACAGAGCCCACGCCAAAGGATCCTCCGGCGCAAACAACGCTTCACGCGACCAACCCTTGGTCGACATCTTGACCACTTCGGTGGTAGAACATATGTACCATGCTTTTGTTGATCCGTTCCTACGAATAGGTTCTGTAGCTTATCTAGTTGTCTAATGCATTCAAGCACTGTAGAGGAGAGATGAACAAACCGCCAATGAATCGATCCGAGAACTGCATCTGTCGGCACACTCATTTATCCATCTAAACGATATGCCGGCGAGCGTCGTAGTGGGTCGCGTTGCACGACCAATGTCAAGGTACAGGTCAAGAAAGACACCTTCAATGATCGAGAAACCGACTAGTCACGCATCCTGCGAAAGGAGAGCAAAGAGGTGCTTATCGTGTGCCTTGAGCATCCGAGCTCCAGGTCCAGCATCAAGATGCCACCCACAAGACGAGTCGGCGTTGATCGACAGCGGATATCTCTTTTCGCCCTCCTTTCTGCACCAATCGAAATCAATAAGCACCACTCCAATACCGTCTCTGGGCTTGAGAATATTGCCCCGGCCTAAGTCACCAAAGACATAGTCATGCTCGTGTAGGAGCTCCTTGGCTTCTCGCACGCGTGACAAGTGCTCTTCCAGAAAAGGATGATCTCCCATGCTCGTACCGTTGAATCGGCCCAGTCCATGACAATCATGAGGCCAAAGTCAATCTTCTCGCACATCGGCCGGACTCACATTATCATTCCGCATCGCAACGCGGCATGCACCCGTCATTACATTGAGAATGTCACTATTCACACGACTTGGCGGGGTGGCGACCACGATTTCAATGTAGATGAATGGACATTTTTCGTTGGTGGTGGCATACCGAAATATGCTAGTGGCAGAGGTGAAGTGAGAGCAAACTCAACTACCTCTTCATTCACCTATGGAAGCGCGAACCGTCAATTCATCCATGGAAGCGCTAGGTGGGGAGCGGTTATGAAAGATTTGTTCAGCTCCCCGGAGCGGAACCACCATTTGAGAATGGATATGGATGCCGTTAGAGTCCTTGGACGGACGTGAAGTATCACGGAGGATAGTGCTTTCCGGTGGGTCAGAGTCGTAAGTGGGAGTACTGCTGGTCCCTCTCTTCGCTTTCAGCAAGGATGGCACTCCGATAAGAGAGGCGAGCGACATGTTTCCTCACCATCTAATATTCAATTTTGGACGTATTGCTGCTCCTCGCAACTGCTATCCACTATGCCCCACCAGGATGTGCATTGTTGTCTCTCCATTGCTTCGGCGTCGAATATCCGTGACCCCAATAGATAGGCCAGAAGCTGAATGGATATTGAAAGGCGCGTACGTCGAAGTGTCCTCTGCTGTACCGGACAATGACTTGAACATACCGATGAGCGTTGTTGGTGCTCGGCGTGGCGGCTCTCATAATTATGAATGCCTGAATGAACAAGGTACACAAAGGAAGTCGAGAAGAATATCTCTCGAGCGGTATACTGCGGGAACGGATAGTCGTTTTTACCCAGGAGCAGGCTCGGCAGATGACTAGAGGAAATCCAGATGAAATAGTTCCCACATGCACACCTAGAGGTGAAGTAGATGCTGCTGTAAATCATTCTCCCATGTATGCTTGCTTCTATCCCGCCAATCGTTCAATATTGTAATTGTTCGGCCAATAATGCCAGGCTGTAGGAGTAGAATCTTCTCCTCTCTTTATGATATCCACATATATTTATCTCTGCAGAGATTGTAGCCTAAAAAATATGTACAGAGTCCCATTCTAGTCGCTCTCAGTGAAGGTGAACTATCGATGTCTATCATCCTGCTGTGATGAAGTTGAAGTAGCCGAGCGAGCAGACGGTGGAACCTGTATACAGCCCCCTGAGGCCGGTAGAGGCCAAGAATATTAGGGCCAAACACAAACACACGTTGGTCTTTCCGTCCATCCTGCAGGATGGGCTATTATTCCACGCATTGAATATGAATTTAAAACTATAAGGAAGCACATAGGGACCTTGACCTTTGACCTTGGGAGGCCTGGTCGCTCAGGCGGAGTGGTCAATGTCGTGCTTGACATATTGCGTCTCGGCTTTTCGAGGTCTCCACAAGAAATTGATTTTTTAAGAGGACACTCGAGGATAGGTTCGTTGCGGTGGACGGATATAGAACAAGCCCGTTCCTCCAGTAGGTTTACTGCTCAAGTTTTCTAACCACTCTAAGCTCAATAAGTAGGAAATTCCAAGGTTGACCTGCAATGGTCCGATTTAATAAGTGGTCGCCTGGGAGGCACGTAGGCAGAACTAAGGGAACAGCCCGAACTTGGTTACCATCTTCTGAGTGAAATAGACTTCTTGTACAGTTTTTGTGGTCTCTTAGCCTTGTATTATTCGTCCAGTCGCTTTGCTGAGTACCGATCCTTGGTAGCTTTGCGTCCTGCAGACACATGGAACTTGCAGGTGACCCCGACATGACTGTTCGGCAACAAAACTGCTGAACCCTTTTGAACTGCCCAAGGAAACATCTGAGCATCATTAGGATGCTCCGGAGCGTTCTAGATGACGAAGACCAACGTTACGATAAGATGCGCCCAATATCAACAAACCAATGTTGCCGTACATGGATCAAGAGCGTATCATCAAAACCTGTGGCCAGAAAATTCAAGGATCGTCTTGTCGTTTACGTTCGCGGGTACCGCCGTGGGACGTCGGCTCTTCCGATCATGTAAGTCGGTTTTAACCTCCTAAAGTCCCCCCAAATCTAACATAGATATCAGTAGGATGCATCCTGCTATCGGAATCGCTGTTCCGCGAGGCCTCACCGTCATACTAATCCGCCTGCTCCACCTCGCGTTGCACGCCCGCGCCGCACTCATCCTCCAAAGTCGAATAGAAAGGGCTGCCGATCAAAGGAACACCTTTTATTACCTTTGGTACCCTCTCAGCTCGCCGTGGGCCCTCTATCCGTTCGTGTCCGTCCTCAGTCACGAGGCTGTCAGGTGGGCGTTCATCGTCGTTCCTGTGGTGGTCACCGTCATCCTTCGATAATCTACACACGGCTATCACGGAAAGATGTCAATCAAGTCAACTTGAGACAGTCGAAGCGGAGAGCGATGGTCGCCCCCTGTCATCCTCAGGGTCAGGAAAACGCCGACATCTACAAAGGATAATGTCAGCGGCCGTAATTCTGTATATTTTCTGTACTGCAGGAAAGCCAGGACTAGGACATTGGTGAACTGAGGCTCACTCTGATGACCTGATCGGCTGCTGTTGGACGAGACGGCGTGCCCCAAAATGCTCTAAGCACCATTTTCGACTGGTTTTGAAGGAGCGCCAACGATCTCTGGGAAGTCCCAAATGTTTTTTTTTTTACAATCAAGCCGTGTCCGCCGACGCGTTGCTGATCGACAGCCTTTCAAACTCATAGAGTTTAGGTAGGGATGGAGGGAGAATCGACAGGTCAACCTCGCCGGGCAGGATCCGACCAGCAAGGGCCGTGGTTGCCTTTGAACCGCCCCCTTCACCATCACATCTGCAAAAATTTCGTCGAGAAATGAAACACATCTGCCTCTCGTTTGCTCATTCTCACGACACTGCATGCCAACAGGTGACCAGACCGGCTGTATTAGTGCTGTATCCTCAACAAAACCGGCCTTATTTGGACTGATGGCTAATGGAAAAAGAACCCTGCCAGATCGATAGAGACCATTTCAACACGTCGACACAACATTTTGACCGAACCCGCAACCTAGGCCGCTCTCGCACGCTTTCGTCATGAAGTTCTGATTGTCCCCATTCTGACCATTGGTCGCAATTCTGTGACCGCCTCGGACATACTCAGGGCCGAGGCAGGCTAGAACCATAAGGTGTCTACGTCGGCCTTTAACGTTCTCGTCCCGCTTCAGTTCTTCCTTGCGGTGCCGTCCGCTTTCCCTGTTTTTCTCTTCCAACTCCACCCAAATTTTCAGTTGGTTTCTCCAAATGACGATTATGTTGTCCTGACTCGTGCCCGCGTCCTCGCATGCCCCTTTTGCGCCGAGGGTAATCAGAAGAGGCGACGACCCGGGGCATGACACCGATCCTTTTCAGAATTAGACTAGCATGCATCCAAGATCCGAGGACCAACCAGCGGTTCGACTTCAGATGTCTGAATGTATCGCCAGGGTACAAAAACCGCCACGTAGCCCCCATTCCTTCGTTCCAGACACTTCCCATGTCCCACTCGAAGGAGAAGAATCCCAGCAACCGCGAACGCCTCAATGGATTGGCCAGAAAACTCCAATTACCCCCCCTCAAGTACGAAAAGTTCTTGGTGCACAGGGGTGGGAGGGCACGACATAGTGCCAAGCTAACCGTTTTTTACAACACACGACTCATTACCTGGTGTTCCTCTGAGAGGGATTCCGGTAATGATGCCAAGGAAGATGTTGCAGAGCAGGCGTACAACTACATTTTGGAGAACTAACGGCCGCGGCTGATGAAACTGGAAACATGGAGGTGAATTGTCTTCTCAATGTCGCCGACTGCTCGCTGAGTACTCCTTTGCCAAACATAGACGTGGTCGTCGGCAGCACAAGGTGCCCATTTCTCCACCAATCCTGTTGATTCGTACATATATTCTCTCGCATGAGCTCTCGCCAAGGATTCCTCTCCTCGTTTCCGTCCCCCGTCCTGTCAGGCAAGAGGGCAGAAGGGTAAACGGAGGGCAGGCCAGGACGGTGGGTCACAAGCCCCTCTTAAATTATACAACTCGTAGCGTGAATCTGTCGAGGACAATCAAGACAGGATTCGAACGTGCTTCATCCTCATCTCGGATGTCGCATGCTATTTATCGCCGGGATATCGACCTCAACACTCGTTATTCATCGCCTGTCATATAATAGAATCTCATTGCTTCATCATATCTCTCCGCAGAGGGCGCTGGGACAGCGCACATTAGAATCCTGCAATGACCGACACCCCAGACTGGTCACAAGTATAAAGAGATTGACGGGCTCGTTTCATGGTCTCAGGGTACTGGGACAGAGGACTCCCAAACTAGGGCCTCGCGGTCGACGGGGTGACTGTGATTGGCCTGCGGCCTCACGGGTCAAGGTCTCAGAGAAAAGATATTTATTCTCGATTTTTATTTTTATTTTTTTGCCACATAGGTTATTGTGGATCTATAAGACGCGCCGCCAAACATTTCGCCAAACACTTGTCTCTTGGACTTCCCTTCCAGTCTCCTTTGCAGCGCCTTACAAAATCTGCCAGGTCGCGTAGGTAAGCTTTCCCAGCTATTCCATGTTTTTATCCAGGCTTCTCTGTTCCATCCCCCTTTGACTTTCGAGGCGTGTTGCGCACCCGCCAGGATCCGCAATCCGTCCCATCTAGCACTGCAGCTTGCTGACAAGTCTTACTCCAGCGCATCAAGAAACAGTTTGTCATGCCTCGAAATATCAAGACCCTCCCAAGGTCATCCCGCGTAACGAGAGCCGCCGCTGGCGGAACACGCGCGGCCGTACCTCCACAAACAAGCAACCCTCTCAGGACACTACATAACACATAGAGGAGACCAAGAATGGCATGACTGAGCCCATCTCGTTCATTACAACAACCCTCTCCTCCGTCAGGATCTCTTCTGGTCAGTAGAATCACGCAATACATAGATAAAAGCCCTCATGTCATAGAGGACAATGATTTAAGGGATCCGGATTTCCATACGGATCTAGACGGGCCACAAGAGCCCAAAAGATCCTGGCCTCACAGACGAAACAGGTTGAGAGACTTCTTTCGCCATTGAAATGAGCTAACAAAGTCTCTCTTTGAAACATAGAATCTTGTAATTCCGGTGCAACCCCCTCCGAAGCTATCTGAGGCGCAATCACTCGCAGAGTTTCTTGCCCTTGTCCAATTTATCGCCAACTGCAACTCTCACCCACATGGGAGCGCCTCGGGAGGACCTTTTCAACATCTCCAACGCGGCTTTGCAGCCGAAGAGCCTGAGGACGAGTCATTTAGAGATGGAAAGCATGTCGTCGGCCCTCGACGACATCGTGCCTCCCACTTACGAGTGCCCACTGCTCTCCCCTACTCACTCTGCCTCATCCTTAGACTCGGAAGAAGAATATTTTGTGGTGCGTAGATGTTTGAAGGATGATCTGTTCGCTGATCGCCACATAGATGACGAGCTCTGGCCAGCTGATATCGATGGAGGAGCACGAAAGACTCTATCGTCTTGAACAAGATATGAGCTGCATGAATCTCAAAGAGGTATGTAATGGCACCACCTACGATCGGAGCCGACAATTGATTCAACGGAACCGAAAGGCATCTAAGCATGGCAAGAGAGGCGAACACGGTCATGCTCACACCCACATCGCCGAACCCCGACTGTATCAAACCTTTGGATACTGATGGCCGATCAGAAAATGCGACGAATGCCAGTAGACTTGATCGCCGTCTTTTATCCTCGCTACCAGCTACCAGGCCGCATCCTCGATAAATTCACGCTCGCTTCTCGATGGTGATTTAGTCGATCTGCTCGTCAAATATCAGCGTCTCGTGTCGATGTACTGGCAAGTGTTGGTCCTCAAGCTGCCTGCCTCGTGGAAGAGTGCTCGAGTCCCGGCTGGGCGCCCACTGACCTATGATCGCCTTGGTAGCCAGCTGTGGTACGATGAAAGCGCCTTCCGCCACTTGGTGGTTGGATGACAGACACGCTGTTATGTATGGCATAAGAAACTTGGTCAAGTTGCATCTTCTCATCGAACTGTGTGTCGCATTTGCGAGTATAGGAAGATTGTGCTCGTCGAGTTGTTTATTGTGCACCTTGTTCAGTGTATGCGGAGACTCGTCAAATACATGTAGCTTGTTGTCTAGAGTCTTTCCCTTTGACGAGCTTCGTCTTAGAGTTCCAAGCACTTTCGGGTAGACAGAGCTAATAGTTGAAAATGGCACGAGTCATAAAGTGCGTACTGCGCCGTAGCATTGGTTTGAAGGGGGCGGTTCCGATGGATGGTCCCTTGGTCTCCACCATCTTTCGGTGAGACAGCGATACCAGCAGAGAAGTCACTGACTCGTCGTTTCAGTGCTGCAAAGTCTTTCCGAGTATGGACATTTTCCAACCAGACGACTCTTTACCCGACGTCGAGCTTGAATGGATAGAGGACGATTATTCATCTGGACAAAAAACATTATTTCACCTCCTCAAAGAGGTGATAAAGCGAGCCTCTGCTCTCACATCGCAACAAGTCGCTCAACGCATTGATGATCTATACCCGCCCAATCGCTCTCCCGAGGATCAGGCAAATGAAGATGCAAACGACACTCCAGGAGGCTATCTGTGGTCTATATGGGAGGAATTTCACTGGTTTGCGACGAGAATTCCCTATAACCATCCTGCCCAGGATCGATTAGCCTCGGTTGTCGCCGCTC